AGGTCTACGAATCGCTCCAAGTCTTTTGGCTTGTTGACCCGGACAGGCTTGATGTTCTCCAGCTCCTCTGTATGGATTGCGATTCGCCGCCGCTCACCGCCGTACTTCCTTTCAAGCAGCTGCTTCGCTGCATTATATCCCCCGGCCGAGTATCCCAGGCTCTCGACAGCCCGAAGAGGTTCGCCTGCCAGGTACTGTCGAAGCTGCAACATCTTCGTCTCTGGTGTCATGGGCGCAGCGTCGATGCATGCCATGAATGCTGCATGCCACCCTTCAAATCTGCGTTTGTCTCCGTCAAACACCGGAATGCTGATCTTCTGCAGTTGCATCCACGGTCCAGCTGCATTCGCACTAGTGCCAACCGCTGGCGGTTGACCCTGAAGCACTTGGCAGTCTTGGGGCTGCAGGCCGACTGGCTGATATCCGTATCCCCCATGTCCTGAGTAGGAAACTGGGTTCGCTTGTGATGGCACTGGCGGTCGTCTACCAGCATTCAGGCCGGCTGCTGACTGACTGTTCTGAGACTGAAACACCGGCGCTGCAGGGTTCGGGTACGCATTGCCCCTGGACGCCGTTCTAACAGACACAGTCCCGCTTGCTGACGCTGTCACTGCCGCACTTTGTGATGCCGTCGCACTGCTACTCACACTACCACTCGTAGATCTAGCAGGCTGCGGACCGTGCGGTGCAGCTGGTGGCGCTGGTCTGTTGGGTGACGTCCCTGGTGCCGGCGTCCGAGTACCAGTCTGACTGCTCGCCCCGAGTTGCTGCACAGGCCGCGTGGTGCTCGTCGTTGTCCCGTCCTGGGACGCTGTCAAGTTCGAAGACGAAGGAGGGCTAGCGCTGGAAACGGAATTCACCGTGCTACTCGCACTCGTAGCGGTGACGCTAGCGCTGGTTCTACGAACTATAGCGGACGCTGACTCAGCGGACTGATCTTCTGCTTCCCTGTCCACATGACTCATGAGGTTCATCCTCACTCCTTCTGAAGACCGGTCTCTGTGATTGTATGCTTGATCGATTGTTGGCCTCTCGTGGTCAACCACAGTATCAATCGATGACAGGTAATCGCGTGCTTGGCCGTGCGGTGAGCTGTAACTGATACCACTTCTGGAGCGCGTACGTGCAGGCGCACCTAACCGAGACGCAGTACTGGCAGTGGTGCGTGAGAACTCTGAAACTGGCTCTGAATCAAAGTGTTGCTGTTGGCCATGTGATGCAAAACTGTAGCCCGTGTTGGTTGACTGCGAAAGAAATGAAGCTAGTGCATCTCCAGCGGCGCTGAGCTGACTTTCCATTGTCTCTATTTCTGACAAAACCTTTGTTTTCCCAGCGATGTCGCCCTGCACAGCATAACAACCCATCAAATCCGCCATCACTGCGGTGGCCCTCTCGTATGCCTCCTCTAATTCTGTGAAACCGGCTACAACTTCTTCGGTACTGCACTCACCGTTCGTCATGGTCACCAGCACACGTCTGCGAACTTTTGTGAAATCCCCTTTTGCCTGCGTCTTCCAGGCCCGCAAGGTTGACACGTCTGAAACTGCGTTGTCGGAAGTTCGTGTTGACAGGGACCCACTCTCGAGTGGCGCATCACTGTCTCCTTCCACTGGTACTGCGGTTCCGGTTCCTTCAGCGTCCGACGCCGCTTGCGTAGGAACGCCTTGTGTGCTCGAATCGCCTTCATCCGAGTTGCCCGGTACCGCCGGCTCTATCTGAACTGGTTCGTTGCTGCTCATGGCTCTACATAGAAACCATCCTCTGCTACCAATAAATGTTCCGATGAAGAACTGAGACCCCGAGTTCTCCGATAGTGAGAGACCCGCTCTGGTACACAATGCTCTCCGTTTGTGAGAGACTCACTTCTTCCGCCCAATGCTTGGACACTAAAAGTAATGACTGTTCTCTTTCTGTTCACCCAGAAGTCAGAATTATGCTTGAACATACACAAGAATAATACCCTCGCCGGGCAAGCTCGTAATCAGGCATGCGTAACAGCACTAGCAGGCAGCTGCAAGCAATACTAGCACGGTAGTCTACAGTACAATGCAGTGGTACACGAACTACATGAAGTAAAAGGATGAATCACCACCGATATGACAGCCAGAGTCCTGTGGTCTCTTCTGACCACAACACAGGGTACAATGAGACACGGCCTATGGCACTCAATGCATAAAGATTGAAACATGACACTATTCAAAGCATCCTTCTGAACAGAACTGCTTCTCTGTACCGAAAATTTCTGTTCACCTAACCTAGCCTTTTGCTCTCATACCGAAAATATTGAGCACCGAAAATTTCTGAAACTAGAGTACGTGTTTTCCAAATTTTCAACATTCCCTTTACTATCCTGAAGAGAAGGGAAAGAAAACATTTGATAGATGAAAGGAAGTGTCTTCTTGATTCTGTGGATTTGCGTCTTTGCATGCGAAGGTATAGATTACGAAATTATTATTATTCGAACTCAGATGGCGAGCGAAGGAAAAAAATTGTAACATGGAAAAATGTGGGCACAAGTTACTTAGTATGCGATCAAGTCCAACGAGTCCATGCGATCAAGTCTCTTTGGAATTAGCACTAATATCCATGAACCTTCCAAGTTGGAAGGCCGTTGGTTAGCGCTATCGAGCAGTGCTTAACTCCTTGTCAGTTTTGTGCTAGATTGTGCACGTCTGACTGTTCAAAATCTGGTTTAGTTGGTGGATTCGATCGCATAACTTGTGCCCACATTTTTCCATGTTACAATTATTAACAAGTAATATTATTATTCAACGCAATAAATAGAGTAAGCTGCGCACTCAGTACAAACACCATTAGCAAAACTTGTTTTCATGTAAATAAAGAAGCTTGTTCCTAAACGTTTTCGTCGCCATCTCGTCAGAGGATTACTGGCAAATCAACATTAGCTCTAAACTCAATATATATACGCACAATGCAAGTAATAATTTAGACCCTAACTAGCGCGAGAAAATGAAAAACAAGTTTTGCTAATGGTGTTTGTACTGAGTGCGCAGCTTACTCTATTTATTGCGTTGATTACACTTTTATCTCCACGTAAGCTTTTTAAATATTATTATTACTATACAAAATAGGTTCTACTTCACGGGCAACAAAGAGAAATCACATAGAAAACATGTGTCTGGGATAGAGTCTGGCTTAGCACCAGCATTTGGCAGCACACAGTCGGAAAACTACCTTTAAGAAGTACCGAATTTAGAACGAAAATTTCGCAGTGCACATCCAACATGATTTTTTTTCTGAAAGCAGAAAAGAACTTTTTTGAGATATTTTTATTTGGGAAGCCCAGTAATACAAGCGACAGCCAATGTACACTGCAGAGTAGAGTCCTGATTAGACATACCCTCGGTAGAAAAGCTTTTTCACATCTTATATTTAACTCGGATGGAGAGCCAAGGATTAAACTTTTAAAAGAAGAAAGGACCAAAGGTTTACAAGTTACCCGTATTTGTCGAACACTGGCAGTTATAAGCTTGATATTGATGAGTCATAACGTGCAACAGGTAGCACAATAATGACTGCTGTGGTACTGACATTCAATGACCTGACGTTTAGCTTCATCATGTCTTGAATGCGCACGCCATCAGCCTTCCAACTCGGAAGGTTTTAAGTTGTGAAATAACTTGAGAAAGGGGAAGGTGAGCGCACTCAAGACGAAAACAAGCTAAACGTCACAGCGAACCAAGAATGCTACATGTAGCTGTGACAAGAAGATGACGAAAGACGAAGGACACACACACACACACACACACACACACGCACACCTCAGACATGCCCATCGCGGAAGCGATGATAGCGAACAGCTATGTTAGACATAGCAACTTGTGCTGGGATTACACCATTCAACAGCTTGCAAGGCTGATGAATCGACCACCACTAATTTTTAGCCGAAAAAATGAAAAATGAAAAAAAAACCTCATTTTTCATTTTTTTACACGCACACACACACAACACAGTTGAACGCACAGATGCGTGCACGAGCACACACACACCACCACCGCCACCACCCCCACCAGTCCACCACCACCCCCACCCCACCCAGTCCACCACCACCCCACCCAGTCCACCACCACCCACACCACCCACGCCACCACCACCCACACCACCACCACCACACACCACAGAGTACGTTCATGCATACGAAGTACCCGTGAGTTTTCACACCTCTCTCAACTGCATGCAGTGCACCCTGCATTGCCACTTGTCACATCTGTTGACTGCATGCACTCACTTCTGAGCGCAATTCAGCCCTGTTGCAGGTCGGATATGGCACTTGGCACACTAAAAGTCGGCCGCAGGTCGCACAGCGCAGGTGGTCACTTATTCCAGTGCAGTTTTTATTAGTACTAGTTTTTATGCAGAACTGCCGGTGCATAGAAAAGCAGTTAAAATTAGGTTAAAAAAGAGGACCATAAGTTTACAAGTTATCCGTTTCGTCTAACACTAACGATGATATGCAGGATACTGTCGAGTCAAAATGTGCAACAATTAGCCCAAAACTGACTGATGTGATACTGTATAAGTACAAATTTTCGTTCACGATATCTTTCGTTGGATCACTCCACCAGCAGGTTCGTTACGTACTAAATTTCGTTTTTGGTCGAGAGCTGTCACCCCGAACGTTCAGAAGGGGTCACTTTAGTTTGGTACAAACTTAAGCTATTTCGTGCCCCTAACGAATATAGCGAAAGTTAATTCCAAACGAAACTTTGTGCTTATACAGCACTGACATTCAACGACCTTCAACAGTATCCTGCTTATAATCGGTAGTGTTGGACAAAACGGATAACTTGTAAACTTATGGTCCTCTCTTCTTTTTTTAATGTTAATACTTGGCCCTCCATCCGAGTTTAATTAAAATTAGGTGGTCGTTAATACTAGAGGTCGCTAAACCCAAATTTTAATACACAACACGCACACAATATACACGCACAACACACATACACACACACACACACACACATATACCATCAATAACTTACATTTTCAAGACGGGGTAAAAGGACGGACAGCAAGGACATAAACTCTTTTTTCGCTAACAATCCCTCCATGAACTCAGTCAGCCAGTAATGTAGACCATCCACAGGAAGAATCAACAGCCAATCCATCAACGTTCCAAGGCATGTTGTGAGGCTTTTAGCAGTCAAGTTGCTGTCGAAAATAGCACATCGACATGCATTCGTCACTTGCGAACGAGGCAGCGTGCACAGTGCTAGCGCAAGGTAGCATCCACGCAGCTCACCGTCACGGCTGCCGCAGAATGATGGCACCAAAGGCAAACCATCGTTAGATATCGCACTGAGAATTGTCTTCAGGTTGACAACAACTACATCTGCATTCCGCGACCATAGCATTGCCAGACATTTTGAAATAGATTTCATGTCAGCAAACGGCGGAGAGAGCCTGGCAGCACTGGACTGTCTAGAGCCTCTAGCATTGGCATCGGGTTGTGACCAAGTGCAGTGTGCAAGATATATTAAAAACTTGCGGCTAACTATACTTGTTGGAACAACAGTTGAACTTGGTAAACAAAGGGGGTGGTCAGTAAGTAACCTCGCCATCTTGGCCAATACTGATACAGAGGTTATGATGACGTCTGCAGCTGACAGCCACGTACATACAGCATTCTTCACTTTGGCGCACACCAAATGCCGATCGTCCATTGGAACAGCGTCCACTACACACTGAACAGTGTCGAAAAGTGCTTCGGTAGGCTGTGCGCTCAGATATTCCACCAAACAGCCATTCACAGCGCTCCGTAGAGCTGGCAAGTACCTTTTTCCCGCATGAGAAATCAGGCTTCGACCAAATGCCCGGTGAACCCTCGAGTCCTCGTCCAGTGACCAGGAAATAGCAGAACTTATCAACGAACTACTTGCACCTTTGTCAAGCCTTCCAGTGTCAGCTTCGATTGCTCTCTTCAAAAGTTCATACTTGAGTGATTCAGAATGTTCTGAAGCTAGGATTGACTCCACAAGATCATCCATCGCCATCAAGCAAAACAAGATGAAAGGAAGTATGATGAACAGGGGCTTCTGCTGCAAGCAGCTCTATTCTTTCATTTCTAACGTCAACAAATTCAAAATCTCTTATGCCACTTCGGCTAAACTCAGAGCTGTACTACATGTACTACTAGTACATAAAAAAAAAAAGAAGGCTAGCTGAACTGCTGAAGGCAGGATGGCTTTCCAGCGGAACAGCTACAGACCAAAGCAAGCTGCAACTGACTGTGTAAAGACGTGGTAGATAACTACAACTAACTTACTATCAAAAATATTGTAACAGAACTGTTACTTTGTCCAGGACCAAACTCGTCACTTGTCATTTGTAGACTGTAGAAGAAGTGTAGTAGAAGTGATTCGAACATTCCACAATCCACACGTACATCATCATGGCATTCATGCATGCGCATACATCTGACAAGTGACATCATGATCTTAGAGCTCATTCTCTCATCAATCATCATCAGGGAGTCGTAAAATACTTTTACGACTCCCTGATGCTGATCATCATCATCATCTGATCTGACTGCAGTGCTAGAATGCACACGTACACACGTACACGCGCTACGGTGACGCGCACATATTCACGGGTGTTTGCAGTGCATGAACTCTGGCCAGTCGGCCCCGTACGCAAAATGCGTACGCATTTGTATTTACCGTACATTTCCTCGTGTTTTGGGCGAATCTGAGCGGTACGACGCTGTCGAATTATTATTATTATTATTATTATTATTATTATTAAATTTTGAATAGGGCAGTCCCACAGGCCTAGGGCCTTTTTACAGGGTACCCTATGAATTGTTGAATAGATGAACGGAAGTTTCTGAGCAAGGAGATTGTGCGAATATCAGCAGGAAGCGCATTCCAACGATCAGAACCAAGAAAGCTAAGCGAGTATAAACCATAGCGGCGAGAAACTAAAGGAAGACTAAGTGACAAAGTGGATTGAGAGCGTGTACGGGCTGAGGTTTGTGAAGTGGCAGTGCGAGGGAGGAAGCAGGTCGAGAGTAGTGGACTGCACAACTTATGGAGGGCTCGAAACACCAGTACAAACAGGCGAAATTGATATCTAAGGGAGATAGCAGCGAGATAGTTCCTAGCTAGAACAAGAGAAGCATCGTAGTACTTCGGGTAGCCGAAGACAATCCGAACAGCACGGTTGGAGATGCGAGTAATGCGGTCCATTTGCGAGACTTGGAGGCTGTGCGCAAATGCATTAGAGCCGTATTCAAGTTGGGCTTGAATGAAGGAACAGTAGAAGACTCGTTTAGCAGCAGGTGTTAGATTGTGTTTGATTTTCCTGAACACAGCGAGTTTAGCGCCTATCTTGCGTTCCAGGAGCGTGATGTGATCTCGGTACGTAAGATGCTCATCGAACAGGAGGCCAAGGTATTTGATGGTGGCTGAAGGCGGAATGCTAGTGCTGTCAATTGACAATTGGAGATTAGCTGGGACCGCCTTGGACTTTGGGCGGAATATGATGAACTGTGTCTTTTCCGCGTTGAGTTTAAGGCCGTGGTCCCGGAGGAAGTTGCGGATTGACAGAACGTCTCTGGCCAAGTCTGCAGTGAGCTTCTGTGGATCCCTTCCGGATTTGTAGACAGAAACGTCGTCAGCAAACTGACGGACCTTGGTACTAGCAACACACTCTGGCAGTTTGCGGACAGCAAGATTGAACAAGACAGGTCCAAGGATAGATCCTTGAGGTACACCTCTGGAGGCAGAATAACAGGCACCTCTGCTAGACTTGGTGACAACTCTCTGCTGCCGGTCAGTAAGGTATGATGCGAACCAACGCAGTGCGACCCCTCCCACACCAATCTCGAACAGTTCTTGGAGGAGCAAACTGTGGTTGACAGTGTCGAAGGCTTTGGACATGTCGAGGAAAGCTGCAGCTACATACTCGTTCTGGTCTAGACTTTGACTCCAATCATTTGCCACCAGAGCGAGAAGATCGTCGCAGGAGTGGTTTTTGCGGTACGCAAACTGAACTGCAGGGAGGGATTCCATGTGACTGGCGCTATCCATGTATTGCGTAAGTTGCTCTAGCGCACAAATTGGGCCTGAATTTGCCCTGAACCAGCCGCTATCGAAGTAAAATTAGGTGTTTTGAAGGCCACACGGGAACACTGCGGCCATGTCTTCTTTCCTGCGTCGTTTGTTTGAAAATCGGCGTGTTTTTGAGCTCGTAGTTTCGTCTTCGTTGTGGAATGGCCGTGCGTACATTCTCCTTGGAATTACCAAAGTCACACCCCCGTTTATTACATTACTAAGAGTTTTGCCGGCAGCCACGATAGTTTTTATCCCTGCTTCCATACGTCCTTTCATTGAACAGCCAAACGAAACTTTGTGGCGCGGGGGTCTCAAGTTTGTCACTTCGAGTTGTACACAACAATCACATCAACACCTCAAAGGACCAAAAAACCAAGTGAGCAAGTATTTCAACCTTGCGATTCTGCCAGGCCTACTCTGAAGATGGAGACTTCTACTCGGTAGCACATACTCGTATCAATAAGCTGGGAGGGAGAGCGTGGCGAGTAAAATGTTGGGATGAAAAGAGCCACATTCTCTCTCGGAAAAGGTCGTCGTTCCTGCACTGGCATGGCTACACACTTGCTCTACCCAGCTCTGCAGAACTAACTAATTACTTCAGAACTAAGGCTAGATTTTGCATGCACGTGCGAGATTCGCATCCGCCGCGCACATAGGCAGAGTCGAAATTTTTGTACTCTCGGATTTGCCGCCATCTTGACGAGTGGCCAGTGGCCACTACTCACTGTACTAGTGCACTGCGAAACATGTGCTCACAAGCAGCAAGGGGCTATGGCTAAGGAATTATTTTAGGGCCTGGTCAGACTGCGGCAAAATCGAAATCTAGGATTATAATCCGAATCTCCATAGTAACTTGCCGCCAGAGCGGCAAAAGCGAGAGTTGACGCTCCAAAAAAAAGCAAGAACGAACCACGCTTTTCCGCTCCAAACAGGATTTGACGCTGATGCGCCATTGACGCTGATAATCACTGATTTTTTCATCTCGATATCGAGGAGCTAATTGGCCACGGACAACAACAAAACTCATAAAGATGGTTGCAAGGATTGCACTGAAGGTGTTGGCGATCCCCAGGGTGAAGGAATTTGACGTCGTTCGTGGAGATTACCACTTGACGCTCGCAATGAAGTTTGAATTTTCACTCTCCCCACATGTGGACGCTGTTCTTTTTTCGTCAGGCAACCAAAACTTGCCGCAGTCTGACCAGGAAAGTCACCATGGAGATATTCCTGCGGGTGACCAAAATTTGCCCGCGGGAATCAAAAGTGTCCATGGCCTTTTTGCCCGCGGATGCACTCATCTGCGGGCACTTTTACAGTTATGAGGCTGTGAGGTCATACTATGGTACGGTAGTCTTGAGCCCTGGTTGTTTGGCCTTTGTTTTTGGGTACTCATTCCAAATCACCACAGTAACGCCGTATACTCACCGGATACTCGCGGGAGCTCTGGCCGCCACCCGCGGCCGTGTGAACTGCGGCCTCACGTTTCACTTCCTGCGGGCACTTGACAAACGTGGATTTGCCTGTCGTGTGAATCGCCTATAAGTGGATCCAATTTTTGAAATTTTGAAATAATTGTTGCTATGCTGTGACGTAGCACTTTCAAGCCATCACTGTATTTGTACATGTTATATACCACGCGGCTGTTAGCTGCACTTGGATCGCGGCAACCAGGGAGTCGTCAAATATTTGACGACTCCCTGATTAAAAAATTGCAGCTATCAAGATCACACATACATAAACCATTTTTTATGTACTCTTGTTATCTGGTTATTATACGTCCAGCGCTAGCGAGGTATATTATGGCACCGCAGGCCGCGCACCAGAGGGCCTTTCTGGAAGCCTTACTCGATCGGATAGAGCGAAACTGAGCACCCTGGCCTAGCCTGCGAGCAGTTTTTAGTACTCCCGGGTCCAAAATTAATTTTGCGCAAGTAGATCAACGTTACAACGAGCTACATGTCTGGTTCAAAAAATAATCATCTTTTTAGCTGTGCGGTGTGTTTATAATTTAGCACTCACAGGTGATAATTATTAACTTTTAAACTTTACTGTTTCAATCAATGCTTCCAATTGCCAAGCAAAGGCAAGCGTCGCAAACGTTGAAACCAGGGAGTCGTAAAATACCTGGTTGAAACCAGCTTGCTATTTTTACAATTCTTTTATTCAAATCCTGCAGACCTTAGTACAGTATTTTGTGAGAAGGCGGGCCATTTTCTGGATATGTTTAGTTGTCGAGCAGTTAGAACTTTCATTGGAGGGCGCTATACTTCTCGTTTTCTCATACAAGACCATCTAGACCATCTAGAAGATTCACGATGCAAGAAGGAGGGAATGAATTCCGCTCTCAAGTCAACGAAAAGAAGTCGGCCCGTAAAGAAACGCCCAATCGGACGGGTGTCTGTCGTGAGTGATGGCAAGGAACAGGGTCTTGATCCTTTGATTCGTCTCTGGGATTCTGGAAAGGGTGCTCTTCTTAGCGAAACATTGTTACAGCTAGAGCTGAACGTATGGCCAAAGTCCTGGTCTCATCCCGAGCATCATGATCTGCTAACATCTATAGTTTGCAACTATCCTGATCTGCTGCCCCAGCTGATCAAGGAAGTGGTTCGCTCTCCGAAGGAAGCGTTTCATGATCGCCATATTGCTGTAGACCTATTCTCTTTGATCTTCACAGAGATTGGAGAACGTGAACCCGGTGACATTGCTAGATGGTTATCTCATCTAGCTTTTTTCCGTCAGTTATGCCCACCTGATGTCTGGTCACTAGACTTCCTGGACAACAAGAGGCTGGATGTTCGAGTTGCAAAGCAATTTGTCCAGTGTTTGTCGTTTGGACCCCGGACTGCCCGCTGTGATCTCCTGAATGCTTTTCTAACTGATCAGTACTTATATGAGAAAGGCCACAACACACACAGTCATTTATTCGCCTACGCCGCTACCGGTGGTGTCCTTTCAGAAGAAGAAATGAAAACTGAAATGATGAGAGCTGATCACACTTCTTCTGGTGCTACACAGCGGACGGTGTGTTTGGCATGGATTGCATATAATAACGGGCCAGAAAGTACCGGTATTGTGAAGACGTGCTGCCAACGTATTAATGCGAATAAGGACCATTTGAAACATGGAAGACGGGGAAGCGAGGTCTGTTCTATTGAAGATGCCATGCTGTGGTATGGTCTGGCTTGCAGTGGTGCTGAGTTGATGGAAGTAGTTGTCACACTCACTCATAGCGTAAAGCCATTTGGGTCTCCAGAAACAGCTGGCAAGTATCTGGGTGGTGTTTTGTCTGCTGTCCCATCGCGCTTTGCAACTAGCGGGAGCAAATTACTGCAGCTACTTCCCCTTGCCCTCGAGCCTTCACTTCTGTTGCGGCTTGTGTCCTGTGTTAAGAAGTCACTGGACCGCAGTGTCTATACTCAAAGACAGCTGCACAAATTGCTGGAAGTTCTTGACGATATGGCTGGCAAGGTCTAGAAGAAATGAACCCACTTCCTATTGACTTTGGCCCTTCATGTCTGTCTACTGCAATATAGCACGTGTGTGTGTGTGTGTGTGTGTGTGTGTGTGTGTGTGTGTGTGTGTGTGTGTGTGTGTGTGTGTGTAAGTTGCTATGTCTAACATAGCTGTTCGCTATCATCGCTTCCGCGATGGGCATGTCTGAGGTGTGTCTGTGTGTGTGTGTGTGTGTGTGTCTCTGTGTGTGTGTGTGTCTGTGTGTGTGTGTGTCTGTGTGGAGGGTAACTTGCGACAGACTCCCCAGGAACTTGCAGGTCGTGTAGTTATTGATTGTCTTATGTGTTTGAGATAATTATGTGTACATGTTGTGATATTTTACTCTAGTTTAGGTTTAGGATTTTCTTGCAGTAGTGATCGACCATCATAGTTTCCACCAATGTGATGATGTAAATAGACCTTGAAATTACACGATAGTAGCTTCTTCAAGAAAGGCACTGCCAACTTTTACTGTCATAATCGCATATGTTGGTTCTGTTATACGTGTAGTTCTGTACTTAAGTCATACAAACTTTCTTCAATTCTCTATTGGGGTCATCATCACATGCCAGCATGGTATGAATATGAAATTATAAACACTCTGGTTTTGTTTAGCCATGTGCAAAGCATTGCATTTAACTAGGGGTGAAACAATTATACCAAATAGTCGAATATTCGTTTGGATTTTTCAAGTATAATCGTACTCGGAATAAATCAGAGTACTCGCCCATACATGGTACATGCATTTACCACAGAAGTCTGCAGTTTCAGAGCATCAGTCAGCAGATATTGGTGTGCAGAGTGTGTGGTGACCGGTGAACATTTGCCTGTACACGTGTAGAGAGAGCCCAAATGACCCACCAACCAATACACTCGAGAAAAAGACTACCAATTGGTTCAATCAGGGTGTGCGATTTTTAGGATATCAACAATACTCGAATATTCACTCTGAGAAAATTCGAGTACTCAAACTCGGAATCCCAGTGCCAACTTTCACCCCTACTCGTACACATGGTACATGCCACTCTTACTACATTGTACATGTAGTCTTAGGCTGCGTTTACACGACAACGCTGGGGGCGAAAACGCAACGAAATCCTTTCGGATCCATGGTTCATTTACACGGTACGCGGAGCAAAACGTAAAAGTTGTACACCAAAACGGAAGAAAACCAAAACGCTGGCCAAGGTGGAAGAATTTGAAAACGGAAATGTTCTGCCGGATAAATTTGGGTGTGTAAACAGTCGAAACGGTGTGCTGGCCTCGTTTTCCGTCACGTTTGTTTCGTTTTCGGCCGTTTACACGGATCCGACAATCCAAAAAATTGTTTTTACAATTTTTGTCATGTGACGTGTGTTGTCGTGTGCCTGTTTTCAACCATTACTTGAGTGTGATTGGTGCTTCCACGGCAACACTTGGCACATGACGAACTTTGGCGGATCCTTTGCTCTCGTGTAGACGCTTGAAAACGGTACAAACGGAGACCACCTCGGATCGGCTTTGATCGTGTAAACGTACGAAAACGAAAAAAGAAATGCGGGACTGAAAACGGAAAACTGGCCGTGCGTTGTCGTGTAAACGCAGCCTTAGGCCGTCATCACACCACGTTCTCCGACTCCCGTTTACGTCTACGTCTATGGTGAAAAAAACAAAACGGATGGTCGTGTCATCAGACAGGCACAGTTCTTGACGCGTACACCCCTGGTCTGTCCCCGGGGAAAATTGCGGAAAAAATCGCAAAAAACGCGGGGAAAAACGCGGCATAATATGGCATAATTTGCGGTGAATTTGCGGTAAATGTGCGGTAAATATGCGGTGAATAATATTGATGTGCGGCAATTTTCAGTGAGTATGGAGTGAAATCAATCAGTTACAAGTCTCTGGTGTAAGCACTCGTCATATTTGAGTAAAAAGTCGCCACGATGAGACGTTGCTGACCGAACAGTGCACTGTGTGTACGTGTAGTGCAACAAAAAAGTTCAAAAAACGCGGGAAAATCGCGGAAAACGCGGTCTTTTAAAATATCGCAAAAAAACGCGGAAAAAAACGCGGCCGCGGAATCGCAATTTTCCCCGGGGACAGCCTGGTACACGCAGTCAGGTTTTGTGGAGAAATTTGAACCCACGTACATCGAAGTACAGGGTCGCTCGGAAAAAGGCTGGGGGAGATACGCACGTTCATACAAAAAGTCGTATACCCCCGGCCCCCCTCTCCATACCACGTCCACGTCTCCCGTTTCCCCTGCTCCCGTTTCCACCCCGTATACGGATCATCATGACAACCGACCAAAAACTCCTTACGTGGACGTAGACCAGTGTAGACGCAGCGCTTTGTACCATGGTGTGATGACAGCCTTAGCAAGAGTAACCCCCCCCCCCCCCCCCCACACACACACACAAGAGTGCAACTCTTGACACCCTTTCTATGGGGTACGCCGAGTCGCCAACGGCGAAAACTCACATCACGCGGTGTAGTGTCGCAGTTGTACGTTTCCATGATCCAGCCCGTTCAGTTTAGCAAGCAGCGGAGTAAAAAAACACTACTTATCTGACAGAAACTCACTGCGGGTATGCAAATCCCCAGCATGATCATGGCAGATATTCGGATTGCGCGCACGCTATCCTTCGTTGGTACGTAGTACGAACGTACCTGAGACACGTGATGTGAGTTTTCGCGTCGGAGACCCCATAATATATGCAGAGCTGCACACTCTTGGGGTGGGGTTATATACTCTTGGTCTTAGTCCACGTTGGTTAAATCATTATTCTGGCTTACAGTGCTGCTCAATGAAATCCGGCCGCGTGAATCAAGTTTGCGCCTTGCACCATTTTGCAGTCCAGTGTTCGCAGGTCTAGGCGGCTGCCCAACGCCCGGCGCCTACTACTTGAGTGATTCGACTGGATTTAATTGGGCAGCAGCACTGTAGTATTTTTAAATACTACAGTAACTTGATCCATATTCAGTGTACTTAAAACTGTACACTGAATATGGATTTTCAGAATGCTCCTTCAAAACAGCTAGCTTGCCCAAAAGTGCTCAGATAGCTGCTGACATACATTGTACCAAGCCCAAGAGTAACTTACTTACTCTTCATTGTACATGTACTGTACACGCAAGGGCCGTAAAACTGTATCTTGTAGTCAAGGTACTACTGTACACTCACAGGGGCGGCAGAACCGGCGCGACACGTGCGGCCCAATCCGCACCAATAAATTTATCCTGTGATTTCTGAAGCAATGAAATATGGGCCCAATTTTCCTGAAACTTTCCCGGGGAGGGCCCCCAGACCCCGGACCTTTTCATGGTCGTACCAATATAGTCCTTCTGACACCCCTGGCTCATACATGTACCATTATCCGGACACTGGAGCTATGTACTTTGGTCTACCGGACACCTCGCATGCCAGGACGCCCATATTTGCTTGATTTGTACCAGTCACAGTGCTATCCGTAGATTCTGCATGGGCGGACTTCAATTCAGTCCGGAAGTTAGTAATTGTAATGCGCAGGGAATAATAAAGCTCCGGTGTGGGGAGCGAACTCTTTCTTGCAAATCATAGCCGAAGTCGCAACCACTATTTCTTTTAAATGTTATCATGATAATTATATGTACTTCACAACGGAGGGACTGAAAATGGAAAAAGTCTGAAGAAAAAACGGACTCAGTCACTGTTGCCCGTGGACTCAAACTAGGGACCTTCCTTATAGCTAGTATAGGCAAGCAATGCTCCAAGCACTGAGCACACACACACGCACGCGCTTGCAATAGACCTTTACGTTGAGTCCCCAATGTTATGACCCTCTATTATCCCAGTGTCTGTTAGGACATCGGTACCATAGCAGGCATTCTGAGCAACTTTTTTTGGAGCAACAACGGAACCACAACCGGTGACTGGGCCCTTGTCGAAAGAGGAGAGGTTCTCTCTCAGACCGGTTTATGGATGGAAGCTGAATTTTCAGTGCCCGGCAAGTCGGACAGTTAGGCAGCACTGTTGATGATTGGGCCCGTTTCTGTTGTGGTCTAAAATAAGAGGGTAAAGAAAGCACACGTGAAACTGATGTCTAAGAATACTGAAAACGTGTAAATGTACCATGTTCACTTGATCAGCCAAGCTGTGCTTATGCAGTTCAAGTTCATGTTGAGGTTGTACAGCGACAAACTGGGTTCTTGGCATCACAGCAAGGTCGAATTGACTGGTCCAGACTAAAATCTGCCCTACTTGTTTTATCAACTGATATGTTATACATGATAGTGGAAAGAAGTAGCTTGGCTTTCATTATTATAGCCGTATGTTCAGTGACATTCAGCGGAGAACTTTCAGCTGGGTCCACTGCTAAGTCAAAGAGTTGAGGTGTTTCAAGCATAGAAGTTGGTACAGATCTGCCAAGACAATCTAGAGAACTCCCTAGAATATAGCGCACCTTGTATTGGCCAAGTCGAACAGTTTGTAACAGGCCGTGCTTCCCCACTCCTGAGTTTGGGTGAAACAAGTGATCGTGTCCAAAGTCATTTCTATGTCTGTCAACTTGGAATGAATGTTGTTGAACAATCATGCCACCATTGTCGATCCTGTACTTGGGATAAGTTAGGTTGTGAATCCATGATGCACTCAGTGTGTCGGAGCTTGCACCAACTAGCGTACTCTCGCTCAGTAGCAGATTGCTTATGTCAAGTCCATCATATTGCCGATCATCTGGTAATTTTAGGCCTGCTAAAGCGATGAGTGTTGGCATGATGTCCAGTGTACTGGTCAATGCATTGCTAACACTACCAGCTTGTATATGTCCTGGCCAAGACACAATTCCAACTTCACGGTGTCCACCTTCCCATGTTGTCGTTTTCATTGTTGCACCACCACCGCCACCATTAGCAGACTGTTGCCATTGTCCAACGAATGGTCCAGAACTTCCAGTTAAATTACACTTCCTATCCCAAGGTCCATTGTCTCCAGTGAACCAAACAAGTGTGTTATTGGTGAAGTTTTTCTCAGCAAGACGACTCATGATTTCACCGACAAGGTGATCCATCTCTCGCAGAGTGTCTGCAAACACGGTACCTTTTTTGGAGGAATTGATGAAGTCGTCGCTGTGTTGCTGAGGAACATGCATATGTGCAAAAGCAACATAGAGGAGGAATGGCCGTTTCGTGTCAAGTTTGTCCAGAAAACGTTCTGTACTTTCTTCATACCTGCAAGAATGAACATGAACAGAAAAGGAGATACAGGTGGAATCATCACAATTCGAACCCCACTGAAATGCCAGGGAAAAAAACTTCTAATTATCCGGACATTCTAATTAGGCCATGTAAACTATATAGCGTCAGCCTTCGGATTTTTCCGAGAAATCGGGGCGGACGGGAGGCTTTTAATTTTTATATTTTTATTATGCATGCCTAGTATGGCTGTAGGGTAGGTACTAGGTGTTCGCAACCCCAGACATGCTTTTTTTCGCTTTTCTTTTTTAAGCCATTTTGGCACAGAGTAAGATAAATCCACGTGATGCAGATGAATCCTCAGCCATGAATAATTAACGTCTTGCAAGACAATTATTCAGTAGCGTGATACTCGCCTAGCGCTTTTGCTGTTGCCTAGCAACGCGTTTCTGTCTTTCCTGGGCCCCCAAATGCATGTTGGGTGGCCCTGCGCATGACTGCACGTTGTCATAGCAACCTTGAAAATCTCAAGCCGGTTACCAACAAGCTAGGAATCAGACCAAGCCGCCGGCCACCGGCGCTTCATTGCAATTGAATTTGTCAAGAATAGTGAGCGAGGACAGATCAAATTATGCAAATACATGATTGTACATGTAGCTTGGAGTACCAACATGCTGAGTGGCACTCATTGTGAGACATAGGAGCCTAGGAGTGTAGAGCGATATAAATTTCAGGAGGCGTGGGTGGGAGGGAGAAATTGCAAAACAGTTGGATGCGCGCAGCAGCACAGCTAGCAAGAGAAAGAAGCCGTGGATGGGTTTGTTCCTATTTTTGATGGTTGTGGCCATCCGTTGGCCCAACGGTATTCGTGTGTACGGCGTTTGTTTGTGCTGCCAACTCGTGCCCGGCGTTTGTTTGTGCTGCCAGCTCGGGCCCGGTGCGCGAGTCAAACCGAACTTTGAAAAGGCTTTCGCTCTTTAGTGCTATCGACTGGCTTTTCATACAATGCCTATTGATGTCTGGAGACATGCTGTCTAGCCTTCCCCTGGTACGCATTACGCAGGGCATTATTTATTCTTGAAGTCCGTACCGTGAACTGCCAAAGGGAAATGTTTGAATGGTGCTGGGGCGGGTGCGACATTACGGTGTCCCTGCAGCCGGCCTAATCGCGTTTGTCGCCACAACCGATTTTATGTGCAGTTGGGTCTTGTATAAAAGCCTGTCTCGTATAGAAGCCTATTTTGAATACAAGCATGATTTTTAAAAGGCACCCTGTCAGCACATAAGCCTGGTTTTAGTATTGACATGACATGTACATAGAGATGCGTGTTTCAAATAGAAGCCTGACTTGAATAGAAGCCTAGCACTAAGCACTGACATCGGCTTCTACAGACTGAATAAGCACGGCTTTTATATGCGACATAACGGACCATTTTTTTTACGGTATGTCAAAAATGCTCGCATTGACACGCAGAGTTGCACTATGCACCTTAGAGACACAGATTTAGTGGACATTGAACTGCTTGCGCATGCAAGCCAAACTGATTTGCAGGAAATAAAATGAACTTCTAATTTTATGCTTTGCTAACTTCGAATTATCAGCACAAATTCCACATTATCTATTTAAGTGGGTTCCGTGGGGCTTCTAATTAGGGGTGTCAACGAGTAGTAGGGTACCCGTGCTACCCGTAATTTGATCGGGTAGTAGAGTAGCAATTTGCTCCTGAGAACCCGATCGGGTAGTTGGAGTACGGTGTTTTTGCAACGGTGCATGTAACCAGCACGGCTACGTGCTTACTGTACATTTTCTATGTAGTGCAAGTGCACACTCACACCACAAGCGGTGTCAAAAAATACCCGATAGGGTACCCGTGCTACCCGGATAAAAAACCCCGAACCCGTTACCCGACCAAATCACTACCCGTTGTAGACCTGTATAATAAACCGGACATACCCAATTCGAGGCACGGTTCCAGTTATCAGAAATTGTTATGTGAAATTCGTATTGACAGAAATAGGCCCCGGAAGAAACTTCTAATTAAGCAGTATGTTCTAATTAAGCCATATTCGAATTATCAGGATTCCACCTTTATTGACAAAAAGGAGAGCAAAGTGGATAGTGGTGTTTCGGTACGGTAAATCCACGTGCACTATGTATGTCTCAGTTCCACTATTGCATACTAGCATACTCAGTGTACACACCATATGCATACAGCTTGGTCGTAGAGACTCCACATGCCATACAACAGAATGCCACAGCACTGAGGTGCTTTCTGCCTAACCGAAACCTCAGAAATGATGGTTCCACTTTCCAAATTTTGGAGGCAGTGGATTTGAGTTTCCACCAAAGCGGCAATTCTGCTTGCTGCAGTTCAAGTAGTACCGTGTTATTCAGTTCTGCTCCTATGGTGCCGCTTCAGAGGCTCCAACATTCTCAAGTGAATGTGTGACCGTTGCTTTTATAACCCGCTCATTCCCTCATTCTTCATTCCATTAGACTTATGCGAAAGTTGTGCATGCCGTGTATACTTACATTGCATCAATGCCCACACAGAGAAGCTCATAATAATGATAATTAATAATTAACCCAATGCTGTAGACAGCAAGCTGCTCCGGCCACAAAGGCCTCATCAGTACAGCTACGAGCTTTTAAGTAAGCCAGGCTACCAGCCATGTTGCAAAGGAGGCACCACAGACATTAACTTGCTCTAGCGCCAGAGTGCTCTAACTACGAAAACTAGAGGGCAATGCGTTATAACAGCAGCACTAGAGCAGCCTACCGACAGTGCTCAACAAGACAAATGTTGAGGAGCGTTAATTTATTATAAGCCTAAGTAAGCTAGGTACACACAAACTTCAACGAGAGTATATTTACCTTTGCGCCAGTTGACGAAGGTCTACAGGCTGTTCAACAATGTTGTACCCATCAAAGAGTGGCACCGAGTCATTCCAACGATCGCAATCGATAGGTGCTGATGTGGCATTACTGATCCTGGCCATGTTCTCTTTGCCCTCAATCGAATCACTCAGCGGTGCGGCATATGCTAGGCTTGTAAAACTATCCCTGTGCAGCTGCGGACACGGCTTGCACATGGGAAGGTTATAGCCTGGATAGTCTGTACAACCCATGTCATTGCTATACGGCAGGCCATAGTAGAAGTCAAATCCTCTCTTCAGTGGATGATATGGACCATGCATGCCAAGGTGCCATTTCCCTGCATGCAAAGGGACAACGACATCATGAGCAAATCATAGTACATGGTGGTTACTGAGTGGCAGAGTAGGTCGTCGCACAACCAATCTAATAGTCGGATTGTTCGCCGCCGCAACACATAAAGTTACTTGCATATACAGAGTGAACTACTTGAAGTACTCGCTTTGGTGTCACAACGCAAGCATTTGATATTTGAAAGATCGTTTTGTTATTGAACAAATGAAAGGATGCATGTATCATTATATTCCGTATTTTCCAGAGTGTTAGCTGTGCTTAGAAACGCATACTCGAAGTACAAAAACTCAGAAATCGCCCTCTGAATGTGAATGAATGTGAATCAACCTGCACTACCCCGTGCGTATAATATTGCATACTAGAACGAAGTCTGTCTCGTTGTCCAGGAAACGACCAATCAGCGACATTTCCGCCAAGGGCCCCGAGGCTTATCAAAGTTTAAAGCCCGCTTAATCGTAATTTTACTACTCTTTGATGACGCGTCGAGGGCCTTGGATTAGTTTAAAGCCCGCTGAATGTACTCTAAACAGGTGCGTACAACTTAAAATGTATGCATTGTAGTACGGTGCGCGAGAGCAGATTGGGCATGGGATGGTGCGGCGCTCGGAGCCAGAGCTGCATGTTCTGCGGTTGCAGTTGTGCATTTCAGAAATGTGTACGTTTTTTTACTCTCGTACTCATTCATCTGTACGACTTTCCTTTGTTCACAGCTGGCAGAACCCTATAAAAACCCAAGATCATGCGGCGAACTCAATAGGTATCGAAAAGGAGCTCTCAAAGCCCCTAAATAGCTCCACAAGCTATGAATAAGAATGAAGCTCACAATAAGAGCCCAGCTTTTCATTTGCTCATATTCACCTTTTATATACTCAGTGCTGTTGAGTTACTAGAAGAAATTGTTCTATCATACTCGTACTACACCAATTCTCTCCGCACACAAACCACCAACTACCCAATATACATGTAAGGGCACACAGGCATAATGCAAGGAACTAGATAATACGATGTCATGTACCCTCGTTTTAAAGGGGAACTCCGGTCCAAAATCACCCCCATTTTTTATTGCGGAATCCATTAGAGTATGTCGTAAGTGGTAGAATGGCGAAAACCGGAAGCTTCTACGACAAGGATAACATACCTAAATTACCAATTGCAATTTTCCATATTTGGCACGAGGGGGCCCCCTCCCACCCTGTGACGTAAAACGTTCTCAGCCCGGTCCACTCAGATGAAATTTTCAAATAATTGAACTATTTGAAGCAAGAATGAAAAGTCCTTGGCCATTGTTGAAGTGCTTGTTGTTCTGTGCCATGCCCGATTTATTGTCACGACTCGCTGCTGCGTCTCTGGATGCAACAATGTCACGAAGAAAGAGGCGCCTGCGGGCTGTCGTAGCATGGCTTTCCTCTGGCTGACGCGAACCTGACGACAGCTTGGCTATGGAGAGTATGTTGGAAGGATTTTTCTCCGACGAAAAATAATCGTGTCTGCACTGAGCATTTCACTGAGATGTGCTATGAAAGAGATTTCCAACAAGAGTTTGCACAAAGCATTGGTGGCTATAAGCAGAAGCAGCAGCGACGCTTGAAGCCAGGGTCTCTGCCATCCTGAACTTGGCGGTGCATGTCATACTAATAGTTAGTAGCTCCTCTACCTCTGCTGCCAGCAAAAGCAGACCATCCTCGATTTACTTCCAGGAACGTGAGCACGATGAGGTAAGTGAACGGCATGATTTTGTGCCGTCCAGAACGTAGCTCTAAACGACTACAGAGTACAGTCCTACTCAAAGTCCTCTACTCAAAATCCTAGTCAGTGAAGTCGAGAATTGATGTAATGTACATGGAACGTTATCATGTGTGTTATTTCGGTTCTCTTTATCTGTAAGTTTCCATTGCGTTACTTTCCGGTTGCAGCTACACTGCCACAAATACAAGGTACAGTATGATTTGTAGTCTGGAAATTTTCCATGCTGTCATACTGAAGTGGGCACAAAAACGTGTCCACTTTTCGTACAATGGCATGAGAGCACGGGTACAGTCGGCATGTCTGTCCCACAATGCCAATATAGGGAGAGCGCACGCCAAAACCAAGGAGGGTGTGCTCAGGTACAGGCTGGAATACACCAAGAGCACAAAGTGGCCAAGAAGCTGCACGACAATGTCCTGCAACTTCTTGAAGGACCTGTTGAACGATGTGCATACAACCATTCTCGGCATTCGCAACGGCACCGGCACAACCCTATGCTCTCGAACACAGTACAGTCTTGTGCCATTGTATCTGGCAACTTTACCAGATTGTTCATGCAGCTGCATTGGTGCAAAGCATGCGCCCACCCGAAAACACAAATATTGCCCGAGTCAAGAATAGTTATATAAATCGTGTCTGTCAACTGTTTTCTACATTCTGCATGCACATGTACCAATGATTATGTGAACGTCAACCAGGCCAAGAAGCATTATCATCATCATCATCATGTCCAACTGCTTCCTCAAAGCCCCAGTGTGCATCTGCATTGGCTTCTGGTACAGCTGCTTTATCTTCGATACCACGCAAGACGGTATCACACGCCGCTGCTTGCGTCCAAAGTATCCATGGGTGAACCATGTGTATTGTCTATACGCCACATGTCTCCAAATCCTGCACAAAACAGTTGGAGAGATTTAGATACACATACCACGAGTGTCTTCATGATTGTGTAAAAGTAAATAGTTTCAGTGTAAATAGTTTCGGATTCGAATTGATATTTCTATGGGCTACTATACTGAAGACACTTTGGCCTTTTTTCAAATTTACATCACTTTTACACACAGTTGAAACACTTACAGTGCTAGGAATAGTATGAATGAAAGACATCGTGTACCAGTATAATTATATTGGCATGGGTGCAATAGAACTTCATGATTGTGTGATGGAAGTTGGTGAATTTGAATACTGTACACAAAATCATTGCACAACACTTCCCATCTACTAGTACTTTGTACCGGTACATGAAACATGGAAAGAAAGGAAATAATGAAACCGATTCAGTGAATCCTCACCTGTTTGACCACGGTCCACATCTTGCCCGAAATTCTTCGAAGGAAAGCAATGCCACCTCGAGCACTGATTTTTGCAGGCAAACAACAGCAAACTCTGAGTGCTGCATGACGCACTGCAGCCCTTCCTGCTCGCCGCGTTTACTGAAAGCTGCAGGAACCTCCCAGCAACAAGTCGACTCGACCTCGCTCCACATCATGCTGCATTGTCCGCAACGGCATCAAGCAGTGCTTCTCACGCGAGCACTTGCAACCAAAGCGTTCTCTTCACGTTCATCTGTTTTGTAGTCTCAGAAATATTACTTGTAGACAGTTTCGCAGACGCTGATGCGCGCTTCGGCTCGAACCTAAAAGGCCTCGGTGTTGTTGAATCCGAAGTGGCGTCCACCTCCACACCTCCCGTGGTCTCCTCTTCCTCCAACATGATGATCGAATGAATACTAGTACAAGGGTTATTGATTGAAGAAAAAACAGTGAATACCTTTTTCAAAATTTCTGCAGGTCTACCATTTGAATAAAAAAATTTGGAGGTCACTGAGAACGTTTTACGTCACAGGGTGGGCGGGGGCCCCCTCGTGCCAAATATGGAAAATCGCAATTGGTAATTTAGGTATGTTATCCTTGTCGTAGAAGCTTCTGGTTTTCGCCATTCTACCACTTACGACATACTCTAATGGATTCCGCAATAAAAAATGGGGGTGATTTTGGACCGGAGTTCCCCTTTAAAATAGTTAGTGCATGGCAGGCCGGGCCTACTTGTAATGGCTTGTTTGTGCCCTTCAGGTTACTACGGGCCCTCAGGCTAACCTGCCGGGCACTAACAAGCCATAAGGCCCTCCCTGCCATGCACTAACCTATAAATAGTGGTGTCATTCGACTACTTTTCCGTGATGTACTGCAACCCATCCTTGAACTAGCACAAAGCTTCTAACGTGTTACATGTTGCCAGCTCCGACATTGCTGTTAGTGGAGGACAAACTAGAAAATCTTTGTTAGAACTTCACTCATGCTTCTCAACTTTCAATCACTAGTAACACATTGAAAGAGCACATGAAACCCCGGCAGAGTGTGCAGCTCTGATGGGTTGCTGTCACGGCGAAATTCTGTGATTACATCATTCTAGTGACTCAGAAGAGTGCGTACCAGCAGGATTCAAGCAGGTCTGAGGTCTCTTTCTGCACAACCGTGCAGCTCAGTTGCATTGGCACCTAATACTTGTAGAATTGTAGACCAATTCAAAGTGGATCATATAAAGTTCGGATGCCCGGGCCAAACGATTCACAGTCCGTATTCGAAATGCATTGCTTTTACCAAAATGCAAACTTATGAGGTGCTCCCTAACTAATACGGGGGAAAAACAGGGAGATTCGTACCTATCATGCCCGTCTGGTAATCTCCATCCTTCAATTGCTCAGCAAGCGTAACTTCTGCCAGGGGCAAGCCACCAATAGAAGCTGGCTCGAAATTTCGAATCACTCCATTGCGAAGTCCTATTCGGCCGGTCAGTAGCGATGCTCTGGATGGCGCACAGACGGATGCTGCCGAATGGAAATCCAGCAGCTTAATTCCACTTTCTGCTAGCTTGTCTATATTGGGTGTATCCTCTGTTGCGCTGGGCCAGTAGGCTCCAACATCTCCCCAGCCAAAGTCATCAGCTAGCATAACGACCATGTTTGGTGGACTGCTCTGCAGGTGCACGGCTTTTCCCGTGTTGTCCACACGACCCATAGACATAGTGCATACTGACATGTTGAGCATATGCAGCAGCACGCTAAACAATACGCAGTTGACGGTAGCAGACATAATTCACTGCTCAACTGTCGACTTGTTTATTACTATTGAGTGACTATTGTGGCCCGTGAGACTGTACCAGTAACAGCAGGCTCACTTATTAGTCGACGATTTCCTTGCTGGTACTTGAATTGAAGTAATCGCTGTATAGTGTATTGCAGCTAACAACCTCCAATCCACGTGCATGTACATGCACTGCAGTAATAGTGGTAGAAAATAATTATTACGGTAGTATTTTCAGGGCTGCTAGCGTGTCGCATTCTGATACAGAGTCAGCCTGTCAGGGAAGACCACGGCATGCCGTTTGGCGTTAGCAAGCTAGAGCTGGTAGGTACTAGGTGCTAACTTGCATCATGACTTGTACTGAAAACGAACTAACCGCTACACAGCTACAATTCAGTCTGCAGCAGCCGCTGAGTCGTCCGCTCTACCATAGGCATAGGGTCTTGAAATTATTTGGAGGGGACATACGTACAAATGGTACAGTGATATACCAAGTACCTACGCCTAGCGCCATACTAGTATAGGCTATGAACTCGAACAAGTCCCAATGCGGCGCGAGACTTTATTGTCGATAATGAAGCTATTGCCAGCTAGTTTTGGCATTGACATTATGATTGTATGATTACGATCATGTAGCTAGATTGTATGTAGTCTTTAGATTCTACTGTGTAAAAATAGATTTTTTTGTAGTCCTGGCTGATCCTGCATAGTTGCATACGTACATGCGCATATTCACCGCGTTGCCTCAGTGTCATGAGTCATGATCATGCCTTCATGGAGAAGGCATGATTTTATGGTGATGTCTGATGAACAAATGAAAAATGTTGCATCTCACGAAATAAACCGCGGCAAGCAAAGAAAACACATCTTCGATGCAAATAAGTTACTATGTAACAGTATGACTCAAAGACGTGCTTGTTGAAGCAATTGCATCGCGTGACTTATTAGATGATATTGAATTTCAACTCGTGTATTTGTACCTACCTCTACGAGACTATCAAACCGAGGAACAAGAAAAGAGCAACATCACCCCATGGATTGTGGTAGCAGTGGGGCCTAATGAGTTCATAGCAGCTATTAAAGCCTATAAATATCGTAGCAGCCGCTGTTGTTGCTGAAATATTTAACAGAATGTGGCGTTTGAAGCTGACCAATTTATGTCATGCGAAGGGACTGCGAAGGTATAATCCAGCAATTCAATGTGCTCTCGTGCAGTCAAGTCGGTCATTGTGTTCAAAATCAAGTGGCGATTCAGAGAAAGGCACACGAGGTGCACCAGCACATGCACCATCTGAAGTTCAGAAACACCATGTGGAAAGCAAACTGAGGCCAGATGGCATTCACATTGAAGCTGATTTGGAGGTCACTCCGAAAAAGAGACCGAGAGAAAGCAACATTGTACGCCAGTTCGAGACCGTAAACCTTCCTAGTTCAAGAACAGTTACACGAGAAAGAGCAACTCTGTTGGCTCGTATCAAAGAGCTATTTGCCAGGCATGAACGTACTCGTGCAGGATTTCTAAGGATTGTTGAGGAGTATAAGGCCATGGATAAGATGCGGCGAGGCCATCCGGAGTTCATCAACACTGCTGTGTTCAAAATGGATGAGTTCGGTGTCCACAAGGATCTCCAGTGCTACCAAGAACTTATCAACTGCTTCCCAAAGGGGCGGTATGTGCCCCAAACAATACTGGATGAAGTTTGGCCAGGGACATACCCACAAACAGAAGCAGCTATATCTCTTTTGAGAAAAATGGATCGCAATGGAGTTGTTCCAAGTTATGAGTTGGTTGAAAGCTTGAGTGGCATACTGGGCTGGAGGAGCTTGGCCTCTGTGCTTGCACTGGAAATTGGATGGTGGAAGTCCATGTTTCAAGACAGCGATCAGTACTACATACCAAGTTCCGAGCGCTATCGTCCATTTCTCATGGCCGGATTCGTGCTGAAGAGAATGGCTGGCAAGACGTCGTCAGTTCAAGTTGTGCGGGTAAGCAGTGCCTATCTCATCACATACTAGTATATATAAATTCACTTTTCACAGGAAAAGGAAATCAGCATTAATTTTATCATTTATTGATTCAGTGGTTAGTTCAGTGTCTCAGTGACCAGTGAAACCCCGTTGAGTACAACAACTGTTAAAGACCTTGCCAGCTGTCACTCTTTATCTTGGTGAGTCTGCAAGACTCAACAATACCTAAGCTGCATCGTCGGATGTTTCGAATAGACACTTGGGTGGCAGCATTTACTTGTGACATGCAGTACGTACAAGAGTATCTAACTTCCAAGGGTGTGCAGCTCCAGTCTATGGGGTTTGCGATGGCAGAACTTCGCACTGATCACGCGACTAACCTGCACACACTAGTTGCGCCCTGCGCATGATAGCAACAGGGTTTTTTTTTCCCGCAACCCTGCTTGTTCAACTCTCTGGTGGTCACTTTGCACTGCTTGCCAGTGAAACTATTGAACCAGGTCACGTGATGTGAAGTTCTGCCCGTGCAGCACTGGATAGAGGTTGTAGAGGCAGTAGCACACTCTTGGGATAACCGTATTATCTCTAGTACAAGTGCAGTCGCTTGTAGAAGGCCAGTCTCTATTATACGCGCACTTTAAGAGGGCTTCGAAGGTATACAAGCGCAGTCTCCATTACATGCACAGGGCTTATGATGGAGAACTGCATGGATCATGTCCATACATGTTTGACGTCACACAGTACCACTTTACACATGCTGTGGTGCCAGTCCGTGATCCCCGAGATAAAAAGTACAGACTCAGTCTACCAGGAAGTACAAAAACTGCAGTCACGGTGCCGGCTGAGAAAGTTTGTGCTACTGGTAAAATAAAAAATAATAGCCAATGTACAGTACCAGATGGTTGAAACATTATAAGCCCAGTCTCAAGTAGAAGCCCAGTCTCTATTACAAGCCCGGGTCCGGACTGGTCGAAAAAATATAAGCCCGGGACATATAATAGAGATAATAATACGGTATACTCTTGGTATTTCTTATGGAACAAAGGTGTTGTTGGGTGAGGTTGTTTGGAAACCAATCTTCTTGGCAGCCTGGTCAGCACTCGTACTGAAGTTAACGTTGCGTATAACGACACTCGGCGGGGCATCAGAAAAGTGTCCTAATATTTGCGAAGTGTCCTTATACCCGAAATCTCATTATAGATGTAGATGGGATTTTGCTCTGGGCATGGAAATTCTGCCGTTATTCGCATATTGTCGTTATATTCGCAGTCGTCATTAGTGAAGTTGCCTGTAGTTAATAATTGTAACATACATAGTGCTGCAGCTCAGCCAGCATTTGTATGAGTACATGTACTAGCACTTGAAGTAAAAAAGGAGAAGGACGAAATGTTACGAGTTGGAGCTAGGTGTCAGATCGCCGAATGTCTCAGTATTCCTTGTCAGTTTTGTGCCATTTTGTCGCACTCGCTGACTGTATAAGATCTGGTTACGTTGGTGGACAGTTAGTCAAAACTCGTAACATTTTGTCCTTCTCCTTTTTTCACAACTGTACTAGGTCTGTATTTCGTAGGGTGAAATCTGCACGGCTATGCACCGCTTTTTGAAGGCTATGCTCGGCGAGTAACTCTTGAGCTCCGCTGAGGAGACCTAACAAGGTCGAAAATGCTAGCCATCCGAAGATTGAGTAGAATGGTAGCCCTTTTGAAACTTTTTTTAGGAACGAGCTTTTGTTAGCTTTTATTGTCTAAATGAAAGTTATAGTTCTGCAGTAATGTGTGACTTCATACTTCAAAAGAAGTAGTTGCGGCCTACGAACCTTCTGTGAGCTTGAGCGTGCAACCATGATAGACATGTGAATGATCGTTGTGCAGCGCTGATACTTGAAGAGCCAATGTGCAGTAGAAGATGGTCCGCTGCTTGAGATACTTAGCACAGTGAAACTTAGATATCATAGCATTGCAGGCAAGCTAACAAATGTAAAACCTTATTCCAAGCCATCACCCATACTTAACTATGATATACTGCAAGTAGTGTGCTGCTGACAACATTTTTCAGTTGTTATTGGCATTCTTCATTGTCTGGTGGTGACAGTCATTTGTTTCTCCAGATTTTTCCCTTTTCGAATCCCTTCCACCCATGAATATCTTCTAATGTGCTTGTAACCACAACGGTAATGCTGGCAGAGCATCAAAAAATCAATTGATGATCTGCCATCATTGCTGGTGTCGTTATATCTAAGCTTTACTGTGTAGATGTGGGGGGGGGGGGGTACAAAGCTAGCGTCCGCATCATTATAGGCCTGGCCATTCCTGAAGTGATTCTGACGGGCCTGCGACCTAAAAGAGCAAGGCCGGAGTCTGATTATTTGAACCAAGTACTTTGTGGAACGGATAATGGAGATCAACATGAGGTTACTGTAGTGCAGGTATGCGCTCTAGTCTGTTCTCCAGTTATGCTCGTCTTCCTGCTCATGTGCAGTCCAGACCTAAGCTAGTGAGGCTTGTGCTCGTGGGTGAATTTACACCACCCCGGCATGCTGTGGCATGGGACGTATTGTAAGGGAATCCGTAGTGCGGCATATCCAATCGAAATGTCAAGCGTTGGCGCAGATGAAAATGTTGTACGCCAAGGTATGAATGCTGCTTACGCAATCAGGGCGGTCTCGAAATACACCAGGGTGTAGAACGGGATAGAGGTTCTGCGATTGCATTGTCATCATCAGTTGAGATGCTTTGGCAAAGTCGCGGCACAGAGAAGCACTAGCACTGGCGACTCACTAGCGGCTCACGCTGCACACCTACCGTCCATAAGCACTTCTGCTGACTCACGCTGTATACTTATAGGTCATAAGCGATTCCGCTAGTTCACCACCATGATGGTATCATTTGCAAAATCTCTATACAGGTAGAGATCGGTTATAGCGTTGGCGGTTATAGTAATACTGTATAGCAGGAAATTTTAGGACGGAATTTATTTTCATACGATTTCGTACACGGCCTCTTTTGTACTAAAATTAATTCCGTACTAAAATTTGTTCATGTGAAATTATGTACACTATACATGCATACTGCTTGCGAACACGTGTATAATATAATCTGTAATAATCTGTATGAAAGGTCGAAATTCGGCTTTGTCCGAAAATATTTCCGTCCGAAAATTTCCTGCTATACAGTATACTGGTTTTACTGATAGTCACGGCACAATTCAAACGCAAAAGTATCTTTTATAGTCAAATTAAATCAGGTATAATAATTGGGACAACATCCCGGGTGAGCTGTTGAAGTACTCAGCCGATGCCACTGCTCCCGTCATAAGCCGATGCATCAACAGCCTATTTCAGCAACACCGGGTAGAGCCATTCATCGGTCATGGCACACTAATACCTCTCCAGAAGCCCGGAAAGCCGGTGGGTGCTTTAACCAGTCTGCGACCGATCATCCTCCTGACAACTCTACGCAAAGTCATGTCGCTGGTAGTCCTCAAGCGCATCTCGCCAGCCGTAAACGATTTCCTATCACTGAACCAAAGTGGTTTTCGTGCAGGAAGGTCAACAGCTGATGTGGTCTGGTGCCATCGGTGGTTAGCAGCTACGACCCAGCGGTACCACTGGTCATTCAGCATACTGGGCATCGACATGTCACGTGCCTTTGACACGATCAGGCGAGGACAGTTGATGGACGTGGTTCAGCGATTCTTGGAAGAAGACGAGGTACGCTTGATCCGTTACCTGATCTCAGATACGAATTTGGCAGTCAGACTGGGCACGGAAACATCAAGCTCTTTCTCCACTAACATTGGTACCCCGCAAGGCGACTCCTTGTCGCCAATTCTATTCGTGATCTACCTGGAAGCTGCCCTGCAGGATGTGCGACAGCGAATGGCTGCGCCTGTGGCCCGGCATCTTCCGTACAATGTGGAGTACGCCGATGATGTGGACTTCATCAGTATCTCTAGTGATTGGCTTCGGATGTTAGAGCCACAAGTTGCCACCATCTTGGGTACATGGTCCCTTACCGTCAACCAGACCAAGACAGAATTCACAGCCATCCAGCGAGAGGCCGATCGTGCTGATGAGCCATGGCGTATGGTCAAGAAACTCGGCTCTCTCCTTGGTGATGCAGAGGATGTCACCCGCAGAAAGCAGCTTGCGGCGATAGCGTTTTAAAGTCCCTCTGCCAGTTATGGAAGAGAAGAGACCAAGTGAGTCTGGAGGTGCGCGTCCGGCTGTATAACTGCTTCGTGTTACCTGTCTTGCTTTACAACTGCTCCACATGGGGCATCACTCGACAGACAATTGAAGCGCTGGAATCGTATCATCGGCGGCAACTTCGGCATATCTTGGGTATCAGGTGGCCCAACCGACTGTCGAACGATTTGGTTTACGAGCGCTGCAGTGCTGCTCCACTTGGCAACATTCTGGTGAATGCAAGATGGCGGTTGTTTGGCCACATCCTGCGATCAGATGAGCACACACCGGCTAGGGAGGCCATGAGTGGATTCTTTGGCTGCTCCGTGCCGGGATACCGTGGGCGGCCGCGGATCACGCTACCAGTCCTGCTGAATCAAGACGCGGAGCGAGTCGGCTGCCGTCTGAGGACTCCAAGGGACTTGCAGCTGATGGCTCAGCGAGCACTGGATCGCCGTGAATGGACATATCTGTGCAACGCAGTTACAGATGCGTACAAGGCAGAGTACTGGTGAAGGAAGTTGGCACTGCAATGGTTTGAGCTACATTCTTTGTTGTTGGTACTCTGATTATCCGTATTATCCGTATTCACATGGCCTTTGCCATTCATTCAGTATATTAATGTCATCAATAATGATATTCTTGTTTGTATTAGTTTATGTGACACCATTTTCTATTTTTCTTAGCCTGCCTGCCTGCTGGCGGCCTTTTTTCGCATGGTTCGGTGCAAGCGAATTTGGGCGAGCCCATTGACGCGGGAGCACAAATAATAATAATAATAATAATAATAATTGGGTGTAGTAATACAACTTTCTTGGAGACAGGAAGCTTATCAGGGAAAGAAAAACTACAAATCTCCAGCTATTCTTCACCATCATCAGCAATAAGGACTCCGAAATTCATGAACCAGTTTTCGGGCATTCTCTTCAAATGAAATACAGTCAGACTTCGCATAACCGCACACATCCGCTTTCAAAAAAATATCCGGATAGGCGAGGGAACTGGGTAATCGAACACACATACTGTATGTATGCATGGCACATGCTGTAAATCGGTAACCAACGATCTTCTTCCGGATGGTGAGGGATCCGGATAAAAGAGGACCGGATAAGCGAGGTCTGACTGTACAAACAACCAGAACCAATGAAACATTGGGATAATAGGGATACTTATCCCTGTGTTTCATGTTCAGATGTGCAGTAATATATCGGCTATTGTGATCAAACTCTCATAACAAAACCACCTGACTGCACACATTTTGGATCGTTAATACTAATAATAGTATTACATACATGTACAATGGTCAGTGCACAGTCACAGTCGAGTCTGTGCAAGTTTCCCACATACTTACCAGTATGTACGTGTTTCTTTACGCACCAAGTACAGTGCAAAATAATAAGTGTTTTTCAGTAGCGCGTGTGCGTGTACTGTGCTGTACATCATGCTCGCGGTCTCACGAGCGCGCGTCTCGTGTACATGACGTCATGACTTACGTCGTAAAGTTATTCCTCTCACCCGAACCAGGACAATCGCATGTAGTGATAATCGTTTATACTAATCAAATTTCGCTGATTCAAAGACCAACGCTATAGCCGATCTCTACCTGTACACGGTACAGCTGACTCCACTTATAACAAACTCGCATATAGGAAATTTCGTGATGATATTATTCATAGCGAACCAATTGTCCATGTCCCTGTATGAAGTTTACTATGAACCCTTACAAAATTGACCCTTTTAATATATTCCGTGGTGATATCATAGCAAGCCGGTGTCCATGCCCCTGTTTGAACCCATACAAAATTGACCCTTTATAGCGAGCAGTTGTCGTTTATAACGAACTATATCTCATAGGCCCGCATGTAAACCAAGTGCACTCACACCATTATGGACCACATGCCAGTCCTAACGCGGTGCTGTGTGAGTGCATTTAGGTTATAAAGAGCTTTAGCTAATTATCCTGCACAATCATGGTGTTCGTTACATCAGGAGTCGACTGTATGCTACACAAATACAAGGGATATGAGGTTGTTTCCTGACACCAGTCCATGGTAACTATCTTCAAGTCAGTTTCACGCACCGACCTCCGGCTAGCAGCATGTTTGGTCATCTCACACTTCACGTACTGACTCGATCATGAGACTAAAAACAATTGTAGTTGACTCGACTGTAAACCATGCATGCATGGACTTCTTCTTTTTTTGCTGTGCGGTGGTCATTGACTGGATCATTAATAATACTACAATTATTTGTACACTACAAAAGCTGAGAGGACACGATGGACCGACCCTAGACCAGGGAGTACTAGTAGTAGTAGTACTAGTACTAGTAGTAGTACTGCTCCCTGCTCCACACGACAGAGAAGTACATGACTACGAGGTGATTCGTCATTATTTAACACGAAAGTAAAAAAGCCTTCCGTAGGGTTCGAGGTGCGAATCTTTCCATTTCTTCCTCTAAAAATGTAATACTGATGTCCTTAGATTGCAATGGTGGGTTGTTTATTCACATATTCCTTGGTGTTGGAAAGCAGGGGGCGGTTGAAAAATGGCAATTTTTCTGCATATTATTTGTTGTGGTCATTTCTTAACATCATGGTAAAATAGGCCTTAGCACCACAATTTCAAGTCAGTTTTCAATAGAAAGAGACCCTACGTATCCAGGATGGTCCAGAAAGACTGGATCAAGAATATGTTCATCCAAATTCAAGCCATTCAAGCTTGCATAGCAATAGATGTATCACCCTGATTTCATATGCAATTGTGATCAACATCTTTGAGTAAATTCAGTAATTGCCAATGTTTGGCCAATACCAGGGCCAACACACCGACATTTCTCCTTCCCAGGCGTCGTTTCCAGTGTGTAGCTATCATATGTTTCCTCTTCAGCTAAATGTGTTGTCACTGGAGGTTGAAACCAGCGGCTATGACTCTCTTATACATGTACTCTATTTTACCGTAAACATCGCGCGCATGCAGACTGAAAGCTCTTGCAATGTTACTTCCTGAAGGAATATCAGTCTCAATTTTGGAGGCGAACTTGACAGAACATTGGCAATGGCAATGGCAAAAAGAAATTTGACATGACTTTTTGCAGGCGCTGGCAATGAGATATTTTACCGATTTGTTAAAGGGGAAGTTAAGGCAAAAATTAAAATTTCACCAGTTGTAGTTTTCGGGGTGCTGAGTCGAATGGTCTTGGTCCGAGAAAGCTGAGACGCTCCCTTCCTGCTTGAATCCCAATCGAACTCGCGCACTTCCACCGAAACTGGGTGACTGCGCCCTACTAGATGGGGATTTGTATGCAAAATGTCACTAAAAGCGCCGTTTCGTTCTTATAAAAGCACGGATGACCGCGATTGGCCCATATGTTGTAGTCTTTTGGACGCTGAATCGACTGGTTTTGGTCCGAAAAGGCTGCGATGCAGCGTTCCTCCTTTATTCCCAATCGAACATGGTTGAACAAGTGGTCACGTGCTCCTGGGTGCCCAAATCACCTGGTCACACCGCCAGCAGGCGACAACTTTCACACCAAGGTTCAACTCGAGTTCAACTCGAGTGACAGGACTGCACCCAAAAAAGGTCAAACAGGCTAGTAAGTTGTACCCTGCAGGCACGGTGACTAGCTGACTGGTGTATGCAGGAGCACGTGACCGCTTGTTCAACCATGTTCGATTGGGAATAAAGGAGGAACGCTGCATCGCAGCCTTTTCGGACCAAAACCAGTCGACTCAGCGTCCAAAAGACTACAACATATGGGCCAATCGTGGTCATCCGTGCTTTTATAAGAACGAAACGGGGCTTTTAGTGACATTTTGCATACAAATCCCCATCTAGTAGGGCGCAGTCACCCAGTTTCGGTGGAAGTGCGCGAGTTCGATTGGGATTCAAGTAGGAAGGGAGCGTCTCAGCTTTCTCGGACCAAGACCATTCGACTCAGCACCCCGAAGACTACAACTGGTGAAATTTTAATTTTTGCCTTAACTTCCCCTTTAGAAATGACTCAATGTTAAAAAATTACGAATCACCTCGTACAAGTACAACTACAAGTACACGCAAGACCCTGGTCCTGGACTGGTGCAACCCTACACCACTCACTGTACACCATGGTACACACTGCACTGTCTTCAGCCTTCACTGCTTCAGTTCAGGCCTCAGCCTAGCCTGTATGTAGTCATGGTAGTGCGCGTTGCCCACGACTTCAGCGCGGGCCTGGACTCGTCACCATGGTCACTGTCGTCAGTGGACTGCCACTGCACTGGCGTCAGTGGACTGCCACTGCCGGGCACTGGCACTAGCGTTGTCATGTACATGTACATGACAGTCTGCACTGACATGATGATTGTAGAAGCGCTAGCGGCTAGTGCTACATAAACAGACTCAGTTCGTGCAGTTTGAACTGGACGTGGTGGCTTTGGTCTTTTCTTTTTAATTTTAGCGAAGAAACTGAAAATGGCTAGTGATATTTCTGAACATTGTTGGTGGAATTCTGCGCGCACATACTTCCTTCAACGATGCAGATGGGTTCTCCAGGGCTTCCTCATTTTATTTGTCTCGGCGAGCTTGACCATCGGTCAGCAGTCGTCGTCGGAGATGTCTACTACTAGTACTAGAAATACATTACCAACGCCGGCGAATGCAGACGCTAGTCCAACGACGACACTCACATCGACTAGCTCTCTTCCATCGAATTCTGATCCCAGAACCAGTGAATGTGTCTGTGATCTATACGTAGGTTTATGTGATGTCAATTGTTGTTGTGATCCCGACTGCAGTGCAGTGGATAGAACGGCTTTCTCCACATGCATTGATATTACATTCAAAGGAGCAGTGACGTCTTGTGTCTCGTCGTATTTAGTGGCTGACAGCAACAGTGGCTATCATACTGTCCGCGATGAATCGAACAGCTTATTCTGTGTCTCTGTCGACAATAACCCAGCAAGGCTGTCGTATGTCTCACCCGATAATGTTAACGATGCTGCTACTTTTCGCCAATTGGTCAGCAAGTATGGAGCATCAACTTCCCTAACAACTAGTCCATCAGGGCCAGTTTGGCAGCAAGCATATTACCAGTCAGCTGATCCTATTATGGTTGTGTCTCCATCAGATGGGCGAGGCTGGCTTGCTATTCCAGCTGCGTTTGGAAGTAGGCTGGAATGCACGGACTTCAACCCAGCCCAGTTCCTACTGCCCGCGGAGAGTACTTGTCGGCGAAGAATAAGTAACATTGAGACATGTGCTGGTGTGTCGGCATTATCTGCCATGGCATACATCAGCGATTTCCGTGTGGCAAGAAACCCGGTTGTTTATGAACCCACACCTAGTCCAGAGCAAGCTGTAGGCAGTGCAGCTGGTCCAGACGCCTATGCGAGTGGTGACGCAGGAACAGCAGCTACACAGGCCAGTACAAGCAGTAATACTACATCCCAGCAGAGTACAGTGTACAATAGCAGTCAAGTGCTCCCGGTTACCATCGGTTCTGTTTTGTGTCGGAGTGTGGACGGTAGCCTTGGTGTCTGCACTGACAATGCTACCGCTATACCGACACCAGTTTATGATGCTTCGACACTATCCTGTCACAACGTCCTTGAACAACTAGTGTACAAGCTAGCTTACAACACCCGTGGTGGAATTGACAGTGTTTCTATTGACGTAATTCTGGCAATAGTGCAAGGTAAGCAGTCGTTTGTGGAGCAGCAGTTCTCTATCTCGTATGCGAAGGCAGGTGAGAGCAGAAGCGGTGTGTTCCAACGCTCTGGAAACCCAGGTTATCAGCGGGGAAATCCTGTCCTAGCTGGAAGATTACAGTCAGGACTCCAAGAGACTGTTCAGGCTTTCAATGAAACACACAATGAGACGGCTGTCGCAGGCAACTCGTACATTGAGCTAAGTTCTAATGCGGAGGAATGGCTTTCCACGAAGCAACATACTGTAGACACCAAATCCACGGGTAGAAGCTGCACCCAGTCACCATTGCAAAGTAATGTTGTGCGCTTTGGTGAAGACCAGCGGTCTGGCTGTCTTGTGTACTATGATGCTAATAACATCACTCAGTATTGCTCAGTTCTACAGGCCTTGTCTCGATCTATTCTTGCAGCACCATCTGATCTTACTCATGTTGGTCAGTTTGGCAATTCTCTACCAAGCAACATTAGTAGTTGGGTTCCAATACTGCTTGCTGAACGTTCTACGCCCCAAACGTTGGGGTCAGGATTGCAATGTCCCAATGTTCGTGTTGGACTTGACCTAGAAGTACTCTTTGCAAAAACAGGTCTTCTAAGCAACCCACAGTACAGAATTGTTGGTGTGCAATATACATATCACTATGCTTCTGTTTCATATCAGTGCTATAACACCATGTGTTCGAATTCATTGCGCTCTGAAACCCAAACTGTAGAGTTGGTGTCCTCAACCACGTTTATTGATGTTTCCGCACCACCATTGCCGCAGTTAAGGGAAATTCCAATTGCTGGTGGTCAGCTTCCGTATGATTTCTTTTATCCCATTGTGCAATCTGCAGCAGCCAGTACTGCTCGTATAGCTTCTTTGATGGTCTGCTTTCTTGTCGCGTTTGTCATTATAATGTAGTATTTTGTAATAGCGAATTATAATGGAGGACTGCTGGTCTTTCCGGAATCTTGATTACACAGTATTCTATTTATTGAGCTCCCGCCAGAAGTCTGGGTTGTGCATCTTGCCTTGAGTAGCATCATTCTTGACCGCATCTACCATACCTGTGGATGTTCTATTACCACTACCGGTATCTTCTCTCAAGCTCAGATTCTTGGCCGGTACGAATTGATATCAAAAAATGCAGCTATAATGATCTTCACTCATCATCATGTTAGTACCGTATACCTTTACCCCTCAGCGCTGTCTTTTTGGCATATGTTTCATGTACCTACCTGTTCATGGTCTTTCAGTGACTCGACTCGGTGTGTTACACACGCTCTGCTGCTAATAGAGAGGTTATGGGGTACTATTTTCCGCGCCGAAATCTGTATGGGTGTTGCGGATTATTTCGAGGCGTCCTTCATACGATTTTTCGGCACAGAGAATCCGTGTGGACTGGCTTTCATGCGAACTATGTTTCGTATGGAGATTTTGCGTCATCGAGTGCAGAAAGATTTTTCGCGCACAAATTTGGTACGAGAAACTTCGATTTTCCGTGGGAAGTTTCGACTTCGGTACAAGTACACATTTTCAAAATAAAAAGGCATAGCGCGGGAGTATGACTTGTTTGCGATCGTATCCTAGGCAATGACGACAAACACATAATTTCCGTACTCTGGAACATTTCACTGCTTGAAAACGACACGTATACGTATAAATCCGTAGTGCCTCTACGGATTTTGGCACGAAAATCGTACTCCGGAACCTCTCTAATGACGGAGCATCCCGTTTTAGTGATACATGTAGCTCAAAAGTGTGCATGCATGGGTGCAGTTTGGCTCTACCGCTTGATGAGAGTCAATATGGTGCATTGATAACATAGCATTGAACTTGACTGTCACCCCTCCTTCTCTCTCTCCTTTTCTGACCTCCCATGTAATAACCGACACCATCCGCACCATGTCTCCATAACCAACGTATCACTTGAAATGTCACACTAATGTCGCGCTTTTGCCACCTTTGCGCGCTACGCCACCTGCTTTTTCGCGCTTCACTCACTTTGCGCGCCCTGTTTTAGCTACCTGCCTGGGTATAAATTTGGACCCAGATGATGTACAGGTTATCAGTTGTCTAAGGATTGCCTTAGCTTTGCTATGTGCATGAAACGCAGCGTTACAACAATGACCTAGCCGGCTGTCTCTGTTCTCTTCTGCCTTTGTAGCATTGTACAACGATACTATAATATTCTATTTGCACTGTCCAATGTTTCTTTAGAGTGAGCCAAACGGAGCTGATGGCTTGCCCTGGGTACTTGCCACGCAGACACGACGACAGATATCCCGTGCAAAGAACTACACAAGGACTGATCTCCCAGTGTACGTCGAGGGTCCACAGTTAATCTACATGCAGACTGTACCCCATTACTACTATGTATTATTGCTGGATGCAGAGCTGAGTGATGCTGACAGCGATGACCCAGGGGAACGTAAGTGTGCGGATCCATACAGAACATAATAGCGCGCTAGAGTTCGTCACAATCATAATTATTATCTCCATCATATTTGGTAGTGCTATTCACAAGTACATAAAGATAGAAAATGTCGCAATTTCTTCAATCGCTTGATCTTTCCCACTACACTGTACATTTTGGAGTTCATGTTTAAAGGGTAGGCGTTCATTGATAGGCAAGATTCTGAGAAAGCTGGTTGACCCCAACACTGGAGCTCGTGCTTCTCCTGCCAACTTGACTTCACTTGACTGACTCACGACTGACATGCCCATGCAGAGTACATAGGAAGTCGATCGAACCTTCGGCAAGATAGATTCCGAGAGCTGACTTAGATATACGTTAAATTTACGGGGTCGTTGCAAAAAAAATTGTCGTCTAGGAAACCATGGAAACGAACATCTTTCGTTGGGGAGGGGGGGAGGGTGTGCGAGCCAAAATCACAAGTCGACCGACACTGTACATATGTACATGCATGCGATTTTCGTCGTCCAGCATAGCGAGTTGAGTTCGTTTCAGAGGGAGGGAGTCCGAGTTCAGAGACGACAAGAAAACTTTTGCGATGACCCCTAAGGGCCGGGTTCCACTGCGGCTCCTCGGTTCCGCGGCACTTGGCTGCATGCAGCGGAGCAGCGCGGTTCCACTGACACTCGCCATTCGCGGTACCGCGGTCGTGCTCCACACTTTTTGATGACGTTTCACCTGCCTGCGCGCGCATGCGAAATCGAAATAATCCCCGTGTTCTGGCTTGCGCAACGAATTAAAATTTGAATTTTAAAATTCTGGCGTACAAAACAATGCAAAGTACGGGAAACAGGTCGAGCCGCGATCGTGGCTCGCAGTTTTTGGTCAAGAATCGTAGCAAAAGCTCGCGGTGAGCCGCGGACTCGCTGCTCCAGCTCGAGCCGCGGTCACTATGGTAATGATGACGTTCCAAGCTACGAAAGACGAGTAGCGGAGCAGCGGAGCCGCAGTGGAACCTGGCCCTAATGCAACCGAGTCCATAGACCACTTCATAGGGAGTAGTGAGGACGAATACCAAATAGTCCACTGAAGTTGCAAGATTCGTAGCAGTTCCATTTGACAATTTTGTACCTCTGTTCCCATTGTTTGGTCATTGCTCTCCAGGTACTGCAGTGAGCATGTGCATAACACCCACTGGATGTCCAGAGTCTGTAAATACATGGATCTACTCAGTCAAGGAGAAATACCCTGTGCTGGCAGAGTGCCAAATCATGTTTAATCAGAAGCCTGTTCCACAGAGTCCCTACCAGTGTTTCTCCGACGTCAGTGCCCCTTTGAGGCCGGGAATATTCGGACATAGCCAAGATGAGAAGCTAAAACCAGATCAGCAAGAGCTCGACGACAGGTTACTTGGTGATCCGTTTTAGACAGCAGCAACATTGCACGTGACAATTCTACATCTGCTGGTATAGGCCGATAGCAATTGCAAAATTAATGCATGTCCACCTACTTTGGAACTTGACTGCATAGTCAATACACTCCATGTTGAACAGCTCCTTTGAATCAGTGGTGTAAATGTCTACATCATGCAGCCACGACATCATAGCTGCCTTCTTCAGCTGACAGCTATTTTTTATTATACTGTGGACACCTCAATATGATGTCTTTACAAAGAAAAGAGTGGCACAACGCTTGAGGCCCTGTAAATGTGCTGCTCTACTTTCTGGTACACCCGCACCATGACGTACAATGGATGTAATCTCCCCCCCCCCCCCCCCCCCGGCACACACAATATTTTCTTCCGTTTTTCATATCATTCTTCACTACTTGCTACTTGATCATCATGTTACATCCCACTAGCGGACATGCAGAAATGGCCCATGCCTTGCCCTCGGAGGCATCCATACTACAATTTGTAATTCGGAAATTATACAAACAAGCGTTTCGGAGATAGCAGCTTTAAAATTGCAACCAAGAGGGCAAACTGTGCGGTAATAAATTTAAATTTCACGGTTCGCCGAGTTTCCGCATCCGTAGGAACGCCACCACCCTCTAAGATCAAGGCGCAGATGCAGCGGCTAAACGGTCACATCTCTCTCCCATTTTTGTTATTGTAGTCATAATAAATTATGGTTACCACACAGTTTGTCCTCTTTGCGATATTTGAAATTATACTCAGTATTTCCTAGGTCAGAATGGCACTTTTCACTCCCAAATCATGCCAAAACATTCCTGTGGCTTAGACTGCAAGCACATTGCACAGAAAGCGGAGTCCACGATTAAGTGCATGCTTGTGTGGCAATTTGCAGCCATACTATACAACGCAACATGTTTCTAGCCACACGAGGAGCAAAATTCAGAAAAAATTGAGCTGCAGTATCGATTTTACAATCAAGAGCGAGAAAATAGTCATCTCCTCTGCTGGTATTCAATTCAGCTTGTCTTATATTTCCAACTTCTTCTGAGTTCTCAGTCTTTTAAATTCCCAAATTTCAGAAAACATGGTAGATGGGTCGTTTTAGATTTCAACCTTGTTGCCTTGCCGGTCGACTTGTTACGTGTAAGTTGTAAGAGAAGGTTGTATAAACACTGTCTACCTAGTGCGGCCGCATTCACGTATGCCGATTCCAATAACCAGTGAATACAGGTTTTGTTGGAAGTGCGACCGTGACTCATCTCGACATATTTTGTCAAAATAGCAATGATCACTATCCTACGGGTCGGATTCTGTGTGTACTAGTACATGTACTTCCATGTGTAGATTCACGCGGGACAAGCAACAATTGCATTTTCGTTGTACATGTATTGATTCTGAAGTTTTAAAATTATGCCATGCATGGGCAATATACGCAATATATGCACTCAACGCGAAACAGACGCGAGAAATTCCATGTTGGCAAGGGCCACGATTGCCGATTCTCGCCTCAAGATCGGGCTGACAGCTGGCGCCGGATAGTAGACTATTCACATACGCCGACTTGGCCCGGCTCGGCCTTTCTGCTCGGCCAAACCGGCATATGTGAATGCATCATTATGACTTCCCTGGACATTCCCTTTTTTTCGGAATGGATGTGCCTCAGAGGGGGTGGGGATGGCCCAGTGTACAGCTCTGACCCTGGAAAACACTCACCGGCAGTCCTTCAGGGCACTCCATTATTCTGCTGATACATTTTTACCGTATGTAAGTAACAGTAGTTTGCACGCATTCTTCTTGCCTCCATCAAGAGGGTTCTGTACTCTTCTCATCCCACAATGTCATGTATCTGCCAATGCAGACCAGCTTCAAGTAACCGTCCACAGAATCAATGCCTGGCTGCTAGCCCGCCACTGGCAAGGGCCCCATATAATAAGGTCATATCCATGATAACACGGGCCGCTGAAAGCAGAACGCAGATCGTAGAACGATCTACAAGAAAGGCCATGTATGATAATGACTGTACAGCTAGCTAGCAGGGAGTCGTCAAAATACTTTTTCAAAAAGAGTCATCTGGTTTGATTTGCTTTCTGCATATTTTTTTTGCAGTATATAAAAAGAAGATTTCCTGGTACGATCGAGCTTCAAATCCAGTCGATCGAGGCTATGGCGGAGTGCGTTGAAATTCAAGTCAGTGAAGTAGATCTCCTTTTGTCTATGTACCCGGACGAGGTTGAGTTTGACGATCCTCTGGCGCTTGACATTGCCCGACAGTTTTGTGAAGATCCAAGTGATGATCTTTTGCCATCTTTATCATTCTATGTGAAATTGAATTGTGGCGAAGAAAGTGAGGTACACCGAATGAAATTGCATTGTCGTTTCTTGAAGTCGTATCCGTTGGAGACAGCAGCTGACTTTCATCTCTCGTGTGACAATTTCTCCCGAGAATCGCAGCGTCGAGTGAACGAGGAGCTGAAGAACTATGCTGATTCTCTGATCGGAGAATGCATGGTTGTTGCATTGATACAATGGATACAGGAAAAAGCTCATGAATACATTGTGAAAACTCTTTGTGATGATAATGCGGCCTCAGCCACTGTCAGGGAGGTCGAGGATGAGCGCAGCGGGGTTTCCTCATTTCATCGCATTTGGCTTTATATGCATCACATATACAGCAAGCGTAAACGTAAAGATATACTGGATTGGTCACATGAGCTCGTGCTGACTGGATTTTGCCTTCCTGGAAAGCCTGGTGTTGTGTGTGTTGAAGGAGATGCACGTAATGTGGATGAGTTCTGGAGACGTATCCGGAGCATGACCTGGCAGCGCATGTCTTGTAAGCATCGGGAAGAGCTCCTGGGTGTGGCAGATGACCTGCGCTGCTTCACCGAAGTGAAGGAAATGAACTTTGATGCCCATGGTGGCCGTCATAACCATATGGACCTGGGACTGTTCTTTCAGTATCTGGACAAACATGGACATGCAGACAAGTTTGAGATGTTGTTTGGTGTTGAGGGTCGTCTTGGAAAGTCAGCTGAGTAGACCGATCTGCAACACCATACCAATACCTATCATCAGCAGCGACGGCACAAAGTCAACACATCGTGCAGCGCTCGACAGGTAATGATGTGCGTTGTATATTGTATACTAGTAGTGCGTTTTGCATCGGTACACTGGTATGCTTTTTGTTGGTTGAGGATTGAATTCTTTTCAGAGGATGTTAGTGGGCGGGAAAACCCCGTGAATTCGCGAGTTTGCACTCCACTTACGGAGAGTACGTAGATAGGGCTCTTATAACGTAGGCGCTCCGTAAGTGGATTGGGGTACAAATTTATGACTCACTCGCCAGGTCGATGCGGTCGTACACTGCCGCGTTCGGAGTTGCCAAGGGCAGCTACGTGATTTGAAAACTCTGTAGGGCGGAACACAGATCCGCATGCAGTTTACGTAAGACTTTCCGTAGATCGACTACGTTTTTTACTAACGTAATTACGTTGTGCGGAACCTCTCTATTGTCTAGGCCAGGACTTGTTTGCTTCATGGCAAGTGCTTGTAAACAAGCACACTGCGGTTGCTGTTTTATCCTTGAATGGCAGAGCAGTCACAATTTGATGTAGCAAGAAAGACACCGGATGATCGCATCGTGCTTTGAAAGTCCTGAAACTGTTTTGTTTAGGGGTACACTGGCAATATATGCACATACCGTCAAGCATATGCAAGTTGCCAAGCAACTACGATTCGTTGTCCACATGCACGGCAGCTTTCTAAGGCAAATCTTGATTTCAGCTATGCACTTTATAGAGGGGTTTTCAAGCTAATACACACCCACACACAACTCAACTCTCTTTCAATTTTCATTTCCCCGCTACTCCCTTTGGTGCAGCAGTCAGGGCCGATAGGAAAACTCTCATGCTTGTCCTGATGTCTTATTGCGGCCTTGCTGTACATATGCTTTGTGCCTTCGTCATAGGATCGTGGTGTCATCCGGTATCCGCTGGATATCCAACCCTGTACGAAGAACATGTATCATCGCTACTGCCTCGGCAAGATATTGAGTACCTACATTGTAAGCATTGGGATTTCTGTGCTTTAACGCTGTGCACAGTCCGAGCTTTGAAGCCGCTTTGGTGCACGATGACTGCCTGTTTTCAATTTCATACTCCAAAGAGGCAACTCACTGGACTCCTTCATTTGTTGAAGAAGAAACAACTCTTCTCTCTTCTTTTGAGAGAGAGAGAGAGAGAGAGAGAGAGAGAGAACTGTTGCGAGAGGAGGGCTGAAGCATGGCAGTGCTGATGTCGATATCAACAATCGATGACTAACTTAGGAAGCTGTGGGACCTGGGGGTTGTTGTGCTTCCCTTAGTGCGAAGGCAAAACAAACGCAGGCAATAGTGGCTGCCGAAGTAAGAGTGGGGCTGCTGCTGGAATGCCGGCTGCCTACTGTATTCTCCACATCACTGGCGCTCCTGGAATCTATGCGCACTTACCTCTACATGAACAGCAGCTGTTTCGTCAACATAAGTTCCTGCCCGCAGATCTACTTTTGATAAAAAAATTATGTTGTAGATAAAATGTTCATCATCTTCTGCATGATGCTTCTTGGCATCACTGGAGTTGCACACTGCATTAAAAAAAATTCTCGGGAAAGTCATAGTGATGAGTCTTTGGTCATTTACTGCTGGCTTTAATTTTTACTATTGCCCTTGTAGTACTGACTTGCACTTTGTACTTATTTTTGCTTCATTGCAATGAGTCAATGGTGCACTGTTGTCTTCCTTAGCTCAGTAGAGCATGGTGAAGGCGCTTCTTTTTCATCTGTATGCTATATTTTTTCTTGCCCAAGCTGTTCGGCATAAGCAAACCTGTTGACTCGGTGGTCCATTTGTTCATTTCAATGCGAGCATCCAACCACCAACACTAGACTCCTTTATGTACAAGTACCAGCAAGAGTAAATCATAGTAACCTAAACCCGAGGAGTGTGCAATTCCTGCGTGACGATTATGTTGTCATTTTTGTTTCCTTGCTTGGCGGGGTTAATTGGGATCTCGTGGCCTGGCATGAGGGAAACTTGGGCGCAGCGAATGAGATTTTCAGTCTTTGACCTGACTCGCCACTTGGTGGTGGGTCTGATGACTCTGATCTACTGGCCTACTTGCAATGAATGAATGGTCATGGCAAGAAATCTTCATACAGTAACTGAATTAGTCACGTTGAACTGCAAGATAAACTACATCAGTACATGCATACATGTATGTTTGGTGTACTACATGCATACATGTATGTTTAGTGTAAGCAAAGCTGTGGAGACCCGGTGGTCCATTTGTTCACTTCAATGCATACCGGTATGAATCGGAGCCCGGGGTTCTTATTTCAATCACGGCCCAGCATTCCTACGGATGCAGAAAACGCAGCATCCCGCCGAGTCTCACACGAACGATGATTTTTTTCAGTCTGTGCACTCCTACCGGTATTAGGACTGTGCTATTATTGGACACTGTACTTTTGTTCAATGCTCCCGTCATGGGGCACAGGCTATCATTACCACGACATTAGTAACAAGAGTACATAAGACTGATAATAACCCCTTTAAGGCTTTATGTACTCTTGTTGGTATCAAGCTAATTCTATTACATGTAGGGCTAGCCGGCTCCTTGGAAAGCTCTTGCCTTGGAGACAGGATTACAACGAGCCCAAACTCGTCAAGGAAATCCATAGTTGTCCACAATAACGGACCAGGAAAGCAGCTACAACACCATCTTGAGAAGGCGAGAAGCAAGACATCGTTCCACCCACCGCCATTATTTTTTTCATGATTTCTTTGTTTATTTAATTTTTAACAGTTTGAGCCAGGGATCCCGGGAGTCGAGTCGTCAAATATCCCGTGACGACTCCCTGGTACATGGTTTGAGCGAATATTCGATCGATCAAACCAGGGAGTCGTAAAAGCCCTTTTACGACTCCCTGGATCAAACTGTCAAAATTCATAATTATTTATAAATATTATGTTATTTTGCAAAATTATTTTGGAGGAGAATCAACGTCACAAGTCAGAAGATTTGATGCAGCGCACGCGCAGCGCAGGGAGTCGTAAAATACGATATTTTACGACTCCCTGATTTGATGCATTTTCAAACAAATGGCGGGAGTCTTATCAATATCATGATGATCAATCATATTATCATAATCTGTCCCATGTGGCCATGGCATGGCATGGGTATCGACTCTTGATCTCGAGCTGTTTCAAAAAAGTGTTTGTTCTTTCGAATTTCAACCAGACTGTATTCATCATGAACGACTGACTTTGCTGTTTGTCCTTTAGTTTCAAGCCACATTTCCCCAGTGCAGTCCATCCAACAGTTTGATGGGACGGCATTCTTAGTATGGAATGATCAAGAGAAAAGGATGGCGGAGGTTCCACTAATTGATGGTGGACATGTAACTCGTGAGAAAGAAGACTGTATTTTTCAGGAGCTCACTGAACTGCAGGAAAGACTCCACGAAAGGAAGTATACTCTTGCGGAGTGGATCAAGTTTGAGCCCAATGAGGTAATGCAGTACATGGATAAATTACTATGCGTAGCTGCAGATTGTATTCAGTATTCACTTTCTGGAGGAAATAATAGCCAATGATGACCAGGCCACTGTTATGTGTTCACTGCCCTTGTGAACCTGAAATCTACTGCTGTGCAGTTGCAGTTCTATCGGAAGACAGGGAAGTTGGTAGTTTGGGGAACAAGAGATCTGCTAGCTCAGGGCCCTTGCTATGCTTGGGTTTACATAGGTCATCAGATGTGTTTTTCTAACTGATAGAAACATCTTCGCAATACGGATAGCGGGTACATCTTCTTTTACCGGTATTCCAAAGACGTTTCTTTCAGTTTGAGCAACATGTATGATGACCTAGGTAAATACCAAGCATGGAGAGGACCCTGAGCTGGAAGCTCTCTTTGTAAAACGTATGCACTAGGCACACCCAGTGCTGACACATGACCAACGCTTTTTGACCACTCGTGTTATATCAGTCACGTGACATGCACTGCTCCCGGCTCCGTGACCTGCCTGTATCTTTGACGGCAGGGTACGGCACATGTACGGGTATTGTTTTATTGTATGTTTTAAACACACGGCGAGGAGACAATAAATGTTTTAGTTGCTACTTTTACGGCAACCAGAGTTGCTTGGTGGCGAGGTTGAGGCATTCCGGAATCAGCACAGATACGAAATAAAGTGATGAGGACCCTGGCTATGCCAGACACTACTACCAAGAGTACATAACCCCCAGAGTGTGCAACGCCGGATCCAGCTCTGCATAGGGTCTTGGTCGAGCGGAATCGGATCTTTGCGTCATAATACCGTACACATCTGAGGGGAACCCGGGGAGTCGCGGGTACTCTTGGATCAAAAACAATGGTGTCCTGCCTCGAGACTGGCCTTGCACTGGTGTGGAGTGTACGCATGACATCAGAAGATCCGATTCCGCTCGACCAATACCCTATGCAGAGCTGGATCGGCGTTGCACACTCTGGGGGGTTATGTACTCTTGCTACTACAAAATGTCTTTTGCTCTTTATATCCTTTATTGTACTTGTGCATCAGTAGATCTGATCGCAGAGGTAACAAAACAGGTCAAGAATAGGGGGAAATGAAGAAAAGGAAATCGTAGTCTTATAGGCACTGAATTGAGTGGTATTGGTCCAAGGAGGCTGCAATACATCATTTGTCATGCACACATACACATACAACACACACACACACACACACACACACACACACACACACACACACACACACACACACACACACAAACACAAACACAAACACTGGTGGCGAAGGCGAAGTGCTGTTGAGCTGTGATTTTATGTTTCACGCATTGGAGCGATCATCAGACAGTGGCAATCACTACTGAAGTTTTGCGAGTGGGCCCACAATAGTTGGTGCTGGTGTGGGAGTTGGCGCGTATGCTTCATTTGTAGTACTCCCGATCAAACTCTCACATGCTTGCTGTCATGATGTAACTGCTGCACGCCAGGTATCCACGCATACTGTTATGCATTTTCAACACAACATGGCAGTGTTTAGAGCCTATTTGATTGGGGAGCAATATGTCATGGCACCTTGGACTGAGACCGTTCAGCTCCATACATTGTTATGTCTATCAGCACTGTTTTGCAGAAATTTGGCGCCAATATTTGCAATACTCTTCGACCTACTGACCAACACGCACGTACAAAACTACCCTAAATTGTTACTACTGTAGTAAGAAACTCACTCACTCTGTAATAGCTAACAGCATCCAAGCTGCTGTAGCATCCATAGCATGTGCTACTGTTATTTTCACACCTAAGCTAGCTGGGTAGTGATCTGTCGCCTTCAATATTTTATATTTCTGTTGTCAATCCGCCTCCTGTTTCACTCTTGTGCAGTGATGGCCTATTGACGTGAGTCGCAATATTCAATTTGTTCCAGCCTGTGCACAGGATGTGTTCTGAATTGTTTTGTTCGTCCGAGGAGGTTGTGGTGCAATGTAGTGTGTGAGCTATTGTATGCACTGCATACATTGTGCTACATGTAAATGTTAGCTGTTGATCTATGTAATCCATGTACACAACGATTGGACAGTATGAAAAGGGATTGCTAGAAGTGTGGCATACTCTAATTTCAGAAATTTTCGGTGCTCAATATTTTCGGTATGAGGGCAACAGGCTAGGTTAGGTGAACAGAAATTTTCGGTACAGAGAAGCAGTTCCCTATTGGATTGTGTGTGTTAGTGTTTGTTCGGTGTATTGAAATTTTAGGTATGAAACAGACGCACCGAAAGTACCGAAAATAAAAGTACACCGAAAATTTGTGAAATTACAGTAATTGATAAATTAACAAAGCACTAGTATGTAGAATGTGGATGTGTTGCAACTAACTTGAACCTCCTATTTGTACTGTGTATCTGATGGTTTCAGATTCTTCCTGACTCCAGAGATCGAGTGAGAAATGAGCTGCTACCAAGGTTCTGGCAGTGTGTCCACGATGCTGCCGTGACATTGCTTGTTGGTGACAAGCTGCCCGTTTCCACCAAGGGAGAAGCAACACCCACGTCGAATGTGCCGCCAAGCTCAGTCAAGCACCAACATAAGCAAGCAAGTGCTTACACGTCATCTTCAAGGAGACACACTAATCAGCAGCAAGCAACGACTAGACCAGGTGCAGTGGAGTCATGTGTTTTCTTGCTCTTACACATTCCTTCTGGTTACTACTGGCTGCTTTTGGAGCTAGCTTAACCTGTGCTATTGTGAATGTATGTGGTACATACTTCACAGTAAATAAACATGTGCCCAAAATAAGTACCCCGTTCATTATTTTAATGTGTTCGTGGCAGTCAAGGTTGGCCAGCAACAACCCGTTGCCTAAAATATGTACGGATATGGTTAGCACATGCAGATCTTAGCGTGTACATGTACATATGGTTAGCACACGCAGATCTTAGCGTGTACATGTACTTCATGTATATACTGTGGTGGACATTGAAGTCGGGTGGAATAACCGGGGTCGGCACCCTTACTGGCCTTAGTGTATACACACACTGTAGTTCACGTGCTGGACACTGCTAAATAGACCAGCAGTATCCAGCACACAGTAGAGTCATATGAATGTGTACCGTGTGCGTACTCACGGCTGCAAGGCTAGCGCCTCGTGGCCACTTGACTTCTCACTGGATTTCAATGTCCACAATGGTATGAATGGTATAGCATGCACTGCAGAAAAACGACTTTCTCCACTACGCTCAAGTCAGGTCCGAAAGTTGTACCCCGCCCGAAAGTTAGTACGCGTGTAGCCACTAAATAAGCATGTACGTTTGTGGATCATGAGCCATGTCTCATTGTTGCTAAATGCCTCACGGTCAGATGACCAGGGAGTTCCTGAAATAAGAATAAGCTCAACGGAACAGTGTTTGACAATATTTAGAGCGCTTCAATCTTTTGCAATTACCGAATCCTCCTATGTACCTTTTTATGAATGCTTTGATCATGTTTGCAATTCAAGCAGCCATTTCTTCTTGCCATGGTCCTTGTTCTGCAAGCCTATTTGATTGGTTCTGAATGGTGGTTGTGATTTTATTCATTTACTCAGTCTGGTGTGAGCCACGATGAGTTTGCGCTCCTAGTGTTGTACAGTGTTGTTGTCCCTGCCATAGAAACATTGCGCTATCACTGTACGTGTACTGATTGCCCTGTGTTGATTCTTAATGTGCATAACATGTGTCTTCAGCTCGTTCACAGCCTGCCAGAACCAATCGTCCTCATCGTCCATCACCTGCAGCAGCACCAAACACTGCCAACGGTTCGGCAAGTGCGAATAACACAGTGCAATCAGCACCGTTCGCAAACGCTCGCCGGCAGCATGTTAGTCCATCATCGGGTAACTCAGCCCGGATGCATGTCACTCCACCGAAAAAGTATCAGTCAGCAGCATACGATACTCATAGTTTTGATGATTTTCCAGTGTTGGGATCAACATCGACTTCCACTCCAAGAAGGTCAGTATGTTGGATGTGTTTCAAAGTTCTTTTACTCCACTCACCCATGTACACGCATACACAACACACAAGGGGACACCTAGGCATTGTGGTTGGCAATGCTTATTTCATGGACACTAAGGCGGATTTGTTTGAGATGAACCGGAACTAAGCAGAAGGCGCTGCGGATATCGACTTATTATGAAGACGTACATTGTGGCTAGGGAATACAAATGGGGAGTGAAGGGACGGTGCATGAAAAGGGGAACCCTGGGAGCACCTCCAGAGGTATAGTGTGGCCTTACAACATTGACTGGCAGGGTATTCCCCCTTGCAGGTGCTGCAGACATGTTGGTACTTAGAGACATGAAAGGCACAGTTCCCACCGTTGTACTTGTCGCGTTTTGGTGGACCAGATGTGGGAGTTTTCCGCTGAGATAGTGCCGTGCACAAGCTGGTCCTTTATACATGTTTATGTTTGTACTGAACTGATATCCTGATGCGACGTACTACACTGCCATGGTTATGCTCATGTTTCTGAACCTGCTCATCAGGCATGGTGTTATAGTGTGTGTGTGTGTGTGTGTGTGTGTGTGTGTGTGTGTGTGTGTGTGTGTGTGTGTGTGTGTGTGTGTGTGTGTGTGTGTGTGTGTGTGTGTGTGTGTGTGTGTGTGTGTGTGTGTGTGTGTGTGTGTGTGTGTGTGTGTGTGTGTGTGTGTGTGTGTGTGTGTGTGTGTGTGTGTGTGTGTGTGTGTTTTGTGTTTTCAGCAGTCAAACGAAACAAATTCAAGGCAGTGCCAGCAAGAAAAGAAGGATAAAGCCGACCACTGTTTCGAAAGATAAAGTTCGAGACCCATGCAATCAACCTACATCCAACCTTATTTCAACACCTGCTGCGGGTAATTCTGAGTCGGCTTTCGTATCTGCTAGCAAGACATCTTTGCGGGAAGAAGCCAACGGTACAGCTGAAGAACAACCCACGTGTCGTTCGGATGGAGGTGAGCAGGACTGGGCAAGAACTCGGAGTGTTCCAACAACAGCTACACATCCCCTTGCAGGTGAAGCTAACATACATCGTATTGGTGCATCACAAAATCAACAGCAGCAGCAGCAACAACAGCAGCAGCAGCAACAACAGCAGCAGCAACAACTACAGCAACAACGACTCATCGGTGCTCCTACTGTTCCAGGACAGCCTGGCGATACTGAACTGGTACACTCTGATTTAGTTCTTACTGGAGTACAAGGAGAAGCAGAACAGAATAATACGTCCCCGCAAATTATGCAAGATGAGAAACTGAAGTCTATTGACAATGCTGCTACAGCGGATAACGTTTGTGAAAATGTGGATGAACTGGCTGAAATTGTCAGTAAGCGATTGTTGTTTGACAGTAGTATGGTTAGTTCATCCATCAAAACACACGCAGCAACAGAGAATCCATCGGCTGAGTGTGCAACTGGTGACCAGCAGCATCAATGTGCAGCATCTGAATTCCTGTACTCGGTTGCTGCTTTGTACAGCACTTGTGTAGAATGTAAGTACGGTATATGGTGTGTGTGTGTGTGTGTGTGTGTGTGTGTGCGCGTGCGCGCGCACGCGTGTGTGTGTGTGTGTGCGTGCGCGTGTGTGCGTGCGCGTGTGTGCGTGCACGTGTGTGGATACATGTATTATGGTAGTGCTGTACAGTACTCAGTAAATTGTTATTTAGCTACTGACCTATTGTCCTTCATGTATGTGTGGCCGTATGTGTATCCATGATAGCAGTTGCATGATGGTGGGGGCTTGTTTGTTGAAGATGCATAGCATGTTTATACTTGTGCTTGTAAGCCCATACACACGTGGACTTGTACTTCAAGTACTGTTTCATCTGGATCTATGAAGTCGTATGCCCTTTATACATTGTACTTCAAGTACACAGGCACGGAATCCTGGCTTGGTGTTTTCTATACTTGTAGTCTACAGAATCATGCAATGTAGTAGTGTTCACTGTTATTTCCATTCTGAGAACGCATGTCAGATCACTTCATGGCACAGGTTTTTTTTAAAGAGCAGAGAGTTGGTTCACGTAAGCACTGACGGTAGGCTGGCTCCCAGTCAGCTCCACTGCCAGAGAAGCAGACTAGTGCCTTCTTCGTAGCGTCCCAGGCACCACAGTTGTATAGGAGGTTGCACTAACACCGTCGGAGACTCCCGGTTTCTGATATGTGTCCTCTCCGCAGCCGCATTTAGTACAGCTGGCTATATGCACAACATGCTGTCTCATTTTTTGCTCTTTATCCTCCCTCCCTCCCTCCCTCCCTCCCTCCCTCCCCCCCCCCCCTCTCTCTCTCTCTCTCTCTCTCTCTCTCTCTCTCTCTCTCTCTCTCTCTCTCTCTCTCTCTTGAATTTACCTAGGTGGTGTGGTGGTAAACGTCTTTACCGAGTTACACATGCTAGCTCATCTGCTATCAATCAAGACAGTGCCAGTCCTCAATCTTGTAACATCTTCTACCTCAAGACTTACAGGTACATGTGATCTTGTTGTTAGCATATACATGTATGCAGCTAAACAAGTATAATTTATAAATTTTCATGACTTTCTGCAGCACAGTATTTATCGTGCTCTGCGTGGTACGTATCATACGCTTGTATCAGACTATCAGACCTTAGGATATCTTCGACATTGTTCTTAACGTTAACATGATTCGCACTCTAAGAACAATTACAATCTTACCACTTTGGTCCATGTTGATCATACCACTGCATGGATGAGGGCCATGACATACTTTTATAGTACATTGCACTTGTCCTGCCCAATTCCGGTGCAGTGTTTTACATGTAGTTATTGTTTACTGTACATTGCACTTGTCCTGCCCAATTCCGGTGCAGTGTTTTACATGTAGTTATTGTTTACTGTACATTGCACTTGTCCTGCCCAATTCCGGTGCAGTGTTTTACATGTAGTTATTGTTTACTGTACATTGCACTTGTCCTGCCCAATTCCGGTGCAGTGTTTTACATGTAGTTATTGTTTACTGTACATTGCACTTGTCCTGCCCAATTCCGGTGCAGTGTTTTACATGTAGTTATTGTTTACTGTACATTGCACTTGTCCTGCCCAATTCCGGTGCAGTGTTTTACATGTAGTTATTGTTTACTGTACATTGCACTTGTCCTGCCCAATTCCGGTGCAGTGTTTTACATGTAGTTATTGTTTACTGTACATTGCACTTGTCCTGCCCAATTCCGGTGCAGTGTTTTACATGTAGTTATTGTTTACTGTACATTGCACTTGTCCTGCCCAATTCCGGTGCAGTGTTTTACATGTAGTTATTGTTTACTGTACATTGCACTTGTCCTGCCCAATTCCGGTGCAGTGTTTTACATGTAGTTATTGTTTACTGTACATTGCACTTGTCCTGCCCAATTCCGGTGCAGTGTTTTACATGTAGTTATTGTTTACTGTACATTGCACTTGTCCTGCCCAATTCCGGTGCAGTGTTTTACATGTAGTTATTGTTTACTGTACATTGCACTTGTCCTGCCCAATTCCGGTGCAGTGTTTTACATGTAGTTATTGTTTACTGTACATTGCACTTGTCCTGCCCAATTCCGGTGCAGTGTTTTACATGTAGTTATTGTTTACTGTACATTGCACTTGTCCTGCCCAATTCCGGTGCAGTGTTTTACATGTAGTTATTGTTTACTGTACATTGCACTTGTCCTGCCCAATTCCGGTGCAGTGTTTTACATGTAGTTATTGTTTACTGTACATTGCACTTGTCCTGCCCAATTCCGGTGCAGTGTTTTACATGTAGTTATTGTTTACTGTACATTGCACTTGTCCTGCCCAATTCCGGTGCAGTGTTTTACATGTAGTTATTGTTTACTGTACATTGCACTTGTCCTGCCCAATTCCGGTGCAGTGTTTTACATGTAGTTATTGTTTACTGTACATTGCACTTGTCCTGCCCAATTCCGGTGCAGTGTTTTACATGTAGTTATTGTTTACTGTACATTGCACTTGTCCTGCCCAATTCCGGTGCAGTGTTTTACATGTAGTTATTGTTTACTGTACATTGCACTTGTCCTGCCCAATTCCGGTGCAGTGTTTTACATGTAGTTATTGTTTACTGTACATTGCACTTGTCCTGCCCAATTCCGGTGCAGTGTTTTACATGTAGTTATTGTTTACTGTACATTGCACTTGTCCTGCCCAATTCCGGTGCAGTGTTTTACATGTAGTTATTGTTTACTGTACATTGCACTTGTCCTGCCCAATTCCGGTGCAGTGTTTACATGTAGTTATTGTTTCAGTGTTACAGTGTTGGTTGTTGTTTGTGTGCTGGATTTTTCATAGAGCAACTATCCCAAGCACTTGTGACTGGATCAGGCCATGCTGTGTTTGCTGCAAGATGCTTCCAACACCTTGCACCGTAAGTACAGCCTGCTGCTATTGCTGCTGGTTCATTGTTGGCAATTGAGTTATTTGATGCACGTGTCAGATTAGATTCTAGGATTGGAACCAACAGTAAATTACTATTGGAGGATCCTCAGCGAACTCCGATTGTAGTTCTACGATGCCCTCGTAACTAGGGGTCAAACGGGTGTACCTTTAACTAACGAACGGGTAATTTTTTTAACGGGCGGGTTAACGGGTACTCTTTAGCAGCCATATTAATATTTTGCGCATTTCTCACATAAATCATGATTTTAATTTGTATATTCTCAGGTTGTATTTTGATACCACATTATGATTCGTGTCTCATAATTATATTATGGCAATGAAGTTCCAAATGAATGTCATCCGTTCATTTGCCCATGTACACAACTTCACAGGCAGTTACAATCGTACATGGTCCTAGTGCTACATGTATTTTGATACATGTACGCAAAAAATCAACTGCAGACGGATGTGATTCAAGCCATGCAAGGACAGAGTAGTTTAGCAAAACTTCCGTGATCTCGCGCGATCCTATTTTGCTATGTTCGCAGAGAACTGGTACTCTTCGTATTCAGAAGATGTTCGCACCCATAGCTAGCTGGGGTGCCTGACACAGCTGATTTGCTGCTGGCCAGCTAGCTGCTAGTGCTAGCTCGTTGAACTCGTGAAACGAATCTTCACAAATCCCGGTAATCTTGTATGCAATATTTCGAACTACTTTTCAACTAAACCAAGCTCGTCAATTGAAAATGAAGGAACAAATTACAACCATGAGTATCATAGCTACCACCTACGGACATCACCGTGTGTGACACTCCGACTGGTCACTCAGCCTGGTGACACTAGTTCATCTTCAAGTACTGTGGCAGGTTCGATGTCGGAGAACCATCGTAACTTTCTAGTAACTCAGCTGCCATACATAATGATGTCGGAGAACCATCATAACTTTCTACTAAGTTTCTAGTAACTCAGCAGCTGCCACCTCCTTGAACGAGTTTCAAGTCTTGCATTTTCTCACATCGCAATCAAAAACGTCCAGTACGAGGAGTTTTACTTGCACTAGAGTGGAGAGAACGACTGTCTTTCAGCCTGTTCCTGCCTGACAAAGTCGAAAGCGGGAATGCACAGGAGAAAGGAAAAGAGTAGATCTACTAGTACTCAGTAGATCTACGAGTAGGACCATCGAAATCCAAGCTCCTTTTTTTTTTTTTTTTTTTTTTTTTTTTTTTTTTTTTTTTTTTTTTTTTTTACAAACGGGTACCCTTTTACTAACGGTACCTGAGATTAACGGGCGGGTACCCGGGTAACCGGTACACCCGTTTGACCCCTACTCGTAACATACATGATCACTGTCTGAGCACAGTTTACTACGTTCTAACTTGAGATAGCGCCAGCTAATACCTTGAAAACCGCCTTTCGGAGATTTGTTGTATGTGTTGCCATGGTGCAATATGGCCACCACCACGTGCCCGAAACCCTCAGTATTCAATGGCGACAATAGTGAGAAAGGCCGCGCCCTGCTCGAGGGAACAAGCCTAGGCAAGGGTGGTGAGGGTGGGAGTACAGTGATCCTGTATGTTACGAGGGCCTCTTAGAACTCCAATCGGAGTTCGCTGAGGATCCTCCAATTGTTATTTCTACTTCATCCCTCTCCACATACAGGATCACTGTGCTGAGTACAGTTTACTACGTTCTAACTTGAGACTTCAAAGCAGCCCCAGAGCAGAAACCGTTTGAAATTCGATTTCAAATAGAACAAACTGAAACAGCAAAGGCCAGCACCTATGTCAAAGCTGCCATCAGATCATTAGCTACAGCAGGGGTAGGCAAGTGGCTATTTGAGCGGGAATAATGACGGGAAAAAGTACGGTCTTAGGACCAATCACCGGCCGCAAGCACGGAATCAAGGGAAACATTAGAATTTGCAGTGGCTGATGCAGACGCACCCGGATACCTTGACTTCCAAATTTAGTCACATCGATGCCGGCTGCTGACATGATATTCTTGACCCATCTAGAAAGAGTGTCAGACGACACGCCATGGTGGGGTTTGCGGCAGATTATGAAAAACTGAAAACAATCAGCGGGACGACGAGAGGCAGAATGGGCCAAATAGTTCTTAAGCAAGGCAACCAAGTGCAAAAGGGTCAGCTGAAGCTTCACCCGGCAAAGCCATCACACATTTTGGTTTATCCCGCACGACTTTCAAATCCTCAAATATAGAAATGTACGTGGCATTAGGAGTAAAGACAATACGACAATCGATCAGGGCCAACGTATGAATGCGCTGGGCAAAGCAGACAGCTAAAAGGGCAACTAACTTGGAAGATACATCAGGGAAAGAGGAAACAGACCCGTCTTTCAACAGTGCAGCAATCCAGTAACATCCCAAAGAATTGGATACTTTGGTCGAGGCTTGCGGAGGTTACGCACGCCACGCAAAAAGCGGCAAATCAGAGCATGCTCGCCAAGGCGCCCACCAGATACAATACAAGGCCGTATTAATGTGAGGGTAGCAAAGATGCGCTCCGCAGCAGTGCAATGATGTTGGAGCACTGCTTACCGAGACCAGCACGGGCATCCGCATTCGGGGGGGGGGGGGGGGGGGGGGGCTACGGAGATTCTCTTTTACCGAGACAACTATATGCAACGTGGACACGATCAGGTCCTGCGTGTTCTGCATTGACACACCCCGGGACCGTTGAAACCTGTCCAACTCTTTCCAGATGCACGGGTTGACAGTCGGCGTTACTACGGAGGGACAGTTCGAAGGACGCTTAGCCTGGGTCCGGAGCTCCTTCAGATAGTCCTTGTCCAAGCACTTGGAGCAACAAGTCTCGATAAAAGATGCGAGAAACGGATCGACCTCTGGCCTCACACTCTCGTCGCCTTCTAGCCTGAGAGTCAAATCATTCTCGACTTGAACCTTTGAAAGGCAGTTTTCGAGGTAACTAGCTGGCGCTATCTCAAGTTAGAACTTTGTAAATTGTGCTCAGCACAGTGATCCTGTATGTGGAGAGGGACGAAGTAGAATTGAAGTTGGCCAACACTAGCTGAATGTATCTTGCAATCTGCTGTAGTCAGTAGCCCCGGAGATGCTGCTGCTTGGTAGCTGCTTTCATGGTATTGTATACATGGTGTGATCGTATTGCATTTGAATTTCCTGCAGGTGTTTGGAGCTGTTAGATATCAATTCTCGGAGATTGCTTGCCAGTCATGCACTGGTAGGGTCCGTCACTATTGATGTGTTTATTGAGACCATGTTTGCTACTACAGTACATGTATATCCCTGTCATGACCTGACAGCTGCAATGCAGCCAGAATGTTCCATAGAGGACCTCTGGTCACATGCAGGACCGCGCTATCACGTCATATCCATCCTATGGCTGTGGGAAGTATGCATCAGCGCTCTATGCCTGTGCTGTATCACTCTGGATGGCGCCTCCCGTTGCCAACCTCGAACTGGGCATGCCTGGTTAATTTAATAGATGTCCAACAAAATCCACTTTCATAGAACATGCTTGGGATTCCTTCTGATAAGTTATCCAGGTATAATTCGAGGTTCACTGTACACTGTACAGGTCAGTTCGGTGTGCATGAGCAGGCTGTACTGGCCAGTTCAGTGTCCGCGAAATCTGTGTCTAAGGTGCATAGCGCAACTCTGTGTGCCAAAGCGGACATTTTGACGTACATAATGTGTTGTGGGTACACGTTTGGATAATTAGAATATCCGGATATTAGGGGGTTTTCCTGGCAATTCGGGGTTCGAATTGCAGGATTCCACCTGTACGCAACATTTCAGGGGATTTCCAGGGTCACTTCAAGTGTTTTCACAGATGCATATATGATGCATACTAGTACATGCATACATCCAAAGAAATGCTTTCAAACTGTCTGAAAAGTGCTCAATGCGCGAGGCGCAAAGCTTTTTTCCAGTATGAAAGAGAGAGGTCCCGATTGGAAAATGGAAATACGTTGTAACTCATGCGTGTACATATTATACATACATCAAGATCAAGATCCTGCTGCCAAGTCTGGCTACGCAGTCCCCAATGGGACAGGTCAAATGGTGCTGGTCTCTTCATCAGTGGCGTGTCCGGCCGCTAGTCGAGCGGAATGTCCTAAGATAGGTGGAGCACTCAAGTGATGGTGTCGCTGTAGGTGAAACGTCATTTATGATTTAGCTTGCATCTGTGTCAATTCCTACCACTGATGGACGTGAAGGTGTGCTGGCATACGAGGCATGTCAAGCCTGGCCCGTCTCGAACCGCTACTTGTCTCCGTAGTTGTTGCTACTGCTGGTTACGAGGCTGGCTGAGTGATTGAGATTGATCATTGCCGCACCGATGGTTTGCCATGCGAGCGGCCACACATACTGCATTGAACGGAACTTGACTAAGCAGACAAGTAACTGTTTTGACTTTTGTTAGGTTTCCTCTGCGGGGCTCAGAGTGACTGGCCAAACCGATTGCACTGAAGTCCAGTGAGCAACAAAGCATTACACGCACACACCGGTACATGTACAGTCATAAGGAAAGGTTTGGCATATTGCCTGAAAAGCAGGCACTTGTACATGTACAGTCATATATAGTTAGTCGTATACAATACGTATTGCTACTTGCCTCTGTACTAGTAAAATTTGAAGCAATTCAATGTCGATATGAATGCTCATGGTCAGGTCTTGCCATAACCATCATCAGCGCTTTGCTTTTGCTTTGCATTGACGCTAGATTCAAGTTCATGCGCCCGAGGCACTGAGGGTCCTGTCCAAGGCCAAGGAGGATGATACGAAAGAGGTTGGTTCATCTTGTGTCTTGTTGAGCAATTTTCCATGCTCCTCGCACCATTTGTGAGTGAGCTGTTGAGATGTAATGTATTGTTACTATTGTATAGGCAATTACGCATCATAGCTGTAGGCTGGCGATGGCAAGAGTACACATACGAAACTGTCCATGTACTCTTGGCGATGGATATATATTGGCCACAGCCAGCTCAAACATGTTTTAGGGCGAAAAAATGTATTCAGAAAAATGTCACTTCGCTCGCCAGCTGCTTGGACTAGACCGCCGAATAAGTGTGAGAACGAAGTTCGACAAAATGCTCAAGCAACCGGTTGGTGAATGTAGCACAGCGTGAACGTGCTCGACAGAAACAATTCTTCATTCCGTCATGTCTCCAAAAATTACGAAACCCCAAAGACATATTTAGCTGACTGCGACCCATATGGTCAAACAGATATGCCATGTAAGTGTACACAGCTGACTGCGGCCCATATGGTCAAACAGATATGCCATGTAAATGTACATGTAGCATGGGTACTGGAAAAGGCTGCTCATAGAGAATTCTATGTGTTGCAGCAAATCTATGTTCATCAAATTCTTACTTGTCAGCATTAACAGTTATCTTGGTAGTACTGGGCGAGCTCTGCACCAGTTGGTCCAGTTGTGGCAGTTGATGACTTTGCCATTGATTGTATTAATTCGTCACTTTGTGTTGAATGGCAGGCAAGAGATGTCAAGAGTAAGCAACAAGCATCGGTTCCGTTTCAAGAAGATCGCGATGGTGTTGCATTTTTCCCATCCCAGAAAGCGTACCACAGTTTCAAGCGTCAACGGTAAGTGTTGATCAACACCGATAGTGAATGCATTGTTGATACGTACATGTTGTGTACGTTGGATTCCATTTCAGCTTGTAGCTGATCCTGGGAGAGATGTTTACTTTTGTTGTTAAAACTCTTGCAGAACCTTGTTCCAAGTTCAGACTAGATTTATATCTTGTACTAGTTGTTGTGTACTCCCCCGGGTGCAGCTTTGCTATGTGTGAACGTGAGACTGTGCACTCCCCGGGTGCGGTGTACCTACTTCAGTACCCGGTATGTGTGAACATGGGACTGTATTCTCCCCGGGTGCAGTGTTGCTATTTGTGAACATGGGACTGTGTACACCCTTGGGTGCGGTTTGCCTATGTGTGGACATGTGACTGTGTTCTCAGCAGGGTGGAGTGTACCATGTGTGAGCAGAGGACTGTGTTTTACTATCCAACCATATACTCACTCTAATAGTAGATAGGAGTAGCATGGAGTATGCCTTTCCCAAGGTTTTGCTGTCTTGGCTTTTCCTTTGCAATGCGGTGAATTGGTGGTGTGTCTGCTATGTACTCTTACTGTCTGTCTTTCATAGGAGTGCTTTCTCATCTTTGCTTCGTGAATGGGAGGATGCGGAAGGAGAAGGACGACACCTTTCAGTAGAACTTGTCATGGCAGACAGAATACGGTATGGTTTGAAGTACTTGAAATCTTGAACAAATTCACAAGCAGCCTACTTGTGTTCATACATCTGCGAATGTAGTCATAGAGTTCTAAAAATTAATAACAACTTTGAGTACTTCTTGTTGTAGGATGCGTGAGTTTGTTCTATAGACAACAATGGTTGCCTAGCCTATTGTTTGACGTGTATCATCATTGTCCCTTTCACCTATTGTATCAGTGCCAGTGCTATCAGCGTTCTGCGTGCCAGCTAACTCCTAATTCCTGACACCTTCTACATTCTGTCAAGAGTACATAAACAAGAGAGTGCAACTCCGCAGCTCGTCTGGTCCACGGCAGAATTTTTTGTTGACGCCATTTTTTTAGGATGCATGTCGTACAAAGTATGTGCAAAGCATGCGCTGGATGACGACCTTCATCGCGAGTTTGTGATTTTGCCGAACTTTAAACATTTTCTCCCGCTTCTGTAACGTTTTACCGTACTCGTCAAGTAAAAAAAGGTAATTTATCGTGTCCGTTCACGAAGGGAACTCACGACAGCCGTTGACACCCGGTAAACCCTAGCAGCAGATGCAGCGCCTAACGGTGCGAGTGAGGGGATAAGTCTCACAACCACTGGCACAAGTGCCGAGAAACCCCATTAAGTTAGCCGCATCCATGTACCACTTGTGCCTGGCCACAAGCTACCGTACTGGCTCCCGTACTCGTAGTGCAAGTTTAGTGAAACCCTGTTGAGTTTACACGGCCACAGACTCGCAGTGCATGCCTCGTACGGTATGCCTCATGATCTCCAGAAAAGGTGACGTCAACAAAAAGTCCGCCCTTGACCAAACCAAGCTGAGTTGCACACTCTTGTTTATGTACTCTTCATTCCTCATTATTTGTGTTACTGTTCTACTCTCGATACATAGAGAATTACTGGATACCCAACTGACTAACCTGATTCATTTCGTCCGCTACTTTGTCCTGCAGTTACTTCAGGTAAGTAGCTGTTTGGCGTACTTCAAAGTATACACATATCTGATAGTCCCGTAAGAGCCCGTAATAAGGCCCTGGGCGGAAACTCCCTGGTGTGTACTATCACCATACTACACATGCACATGGAGCTATGCATGCGCTGCGCTGCTTACGCGCGTGTGTCTTCTCTTTGCAACAGACATGCATTGTACATGTATGTGCGTGCGTGTGAGTGAGTGAGTGGCAGATGCTGTATCCTTTGTCCTTTATCCTTTCCGTGTGCGTGTATATGTGCATTTGTGCCTTTGTGCATACGGGTTTGATAGAGTTGCCAAGCGGAAAATCCCTTTCAAATGGATGGCATGACAGAAGCTGATGCATCAGTTCTGCGGAAGGCTGACATGGACAAGTTGCAGAGGTAAACCGTCCCGTGTATACGTTGTGAACAACTCTTCCCTTCTTGTCTGCGAGCAAAATTTAAGCATGGGGCGAGCTTGTACTCACTAGTCACTACATTGACCAAAACGTAATATGGTTCTACTACATGTAACCGGTATCCACATCCAATGTGCCTGTGCTCTTGGATGCTTTTAAGCATCCAAGAGCAAAGAACACAATTATCAAACACGCATGATTTTAAAAGAAGCACTCTGATGCACATATAGGTTGGTTCTCTTCATGTTATTGTGACGTTTTAGATGTTGGTTGCCTTGCTGCTTTCTCTCCTCTCCCCCAAGCCATTCAGCATAAGCGAAGCTGTGAACATAGCATACTGCTGTTACACTTGAACGCGGAAATGCCTATAATAATATTAATAACTCCGATGCAACGAAAGCATGTCGGTAACAACTAAGCTGAGTTAAGCGTGGTTCATGGATATGAGTGTCTTCTGCTCGCTAGTGATTGTAGTATGACTCAGAGATCTGTGCTGTGTTCTTGTCTGTCTGTTGGCCAGTGCATCTTGGTATGCGGGTAAAGTACAGTAGTTGTATGCCTAGTAACGTGCATTTCCATGTGCATTCTGTTGCTTGTGTATGTTGTCAGGCTGCAACGGAAACTTGTTGAGCGTGCATATACTGATGGAGCCTGTCCTCAGCCTTCCTTCCCTGGCAATGAAGAATTCTTCAAAGGTTTCATACAAGTTGCTCAGAGCAGGTACTAATACAGTGTGTATATCAGCTGTACAGTGGGCATGCTATATACAATAGTGGCGTGTCTGGGGGATTGCACATGCTCCTGTGCTCCTCATGGGCTACGCGTCTTTGTACCACCTACGGAAATGATTACATACAGTGGGACCTCTTTTTCCCCAATACTCCCCCCCCCCCCCAACCGACTACTGTAAGTCAACAAATATTCAGCGCATATTTATTTTCGGCTATTTTCGGCCTGGTCATGTTTGGCCGAAAATTTGGTTTGCAATGTTCAGTGTGACAGTGTATACAGGCGGCAGCAGTACAGGCCGAAATGTGTTTCAGCCCCGGGAGGCCAGCATTTGAATGTGCCGAAAATTTGTAGACTTACAGTATGAGTACGTGCCTGTATAGGTACATAGCTCCAGTGCTATAGGTACATATACATGTGCTGTATAGGTACATAGCTCCAGTGCTATAGGTACATATACATGTGCTGTATAGGTACATAGCTCCAGTGCTATAGGTACATATACATGTGCTGTATAGGTACATAGCTCCAGTGCTATAGGTACATATACATGTGCTGTATAGGTACATAGCTCCAGTGCTATAGGTACATATACATGTGCTGTATAGGTACTTATGCTGACCTTTCATACAAACTTCCAGTCAACTGCCCCATCATGCAGGTGGTTTATATTGGGCATATAAACCTCATACAAACCCCATATAGACCACCACCATACAAACTCCTTTTTAGAGATTGAGAAGAAATATTATCACATTATCTCATGAGCAGAATAACCATGCCTACACGCCAACAGGCAAATCAGCTTTAGAGGAAGCTAGGCGCCTAGCAGAATGCTTGCGCTTCAGTTTCTTGCGAGCCTCAACAGCACGCTCTGCGTGAATATTGAACACAATAGAACTGTGGTTGAAGGTTGTGGAAGCAGCATTCAGATGAGATACGGCAGAAGCAGAGCTCTGAACAGCAGATGAATGGCTCTGAACAGTGACAGCGGGTGTGGATGACTGCACAGCATGGTTTGATTTATCAGCTACAGGCAATCTCAGATCAATAGCTTCAGCCATAGAGCACGACTCTGTTAGGTTGGGCCTATCATAAGCAGTAAGAGACTGGACATTGCGATGACCAGAAACAGAACAAGTTCTCCTATCATCCACACCACATTTTTTCATGTTGGTAATTGATGTTGCTCTAACACAGTGATTAGTATACTGCATTGACAAAAGAGCATCCGAGGACAAGCGCTTCATCATGCCAGATAAGATATTGTGTGAAAGAGGCATTTTCATGAACCAGCAGCAGACATCTCACCTGACAAAGCTCGCTGGAACAAACGATTCTCGTCAGGATGCAGTTTGGATAGATAGCGCTTGATAGCCGACAGCTGAAACTCATCGCGGATGACGCCAGCAGAAGACCAGTCTGAACCTTGCAGCCCACCTTGGTGGTTCTTGGAAACGAATGATGTGGCAAGTCGCATGACTTCCTAGCCGTCAATGGTGGTGAATTGGAGGTCGTCTTTCGTCAACTTGGCTTGCATCTCCCCTCCCCGCAGGCAGAAGTGGATCGTCAACTGGAACCATACGAAGTACGTCAACTTGCGCACATTGGTTGTATCCAGGACATCGGCGAAGTACTCCTTGAGAGCGGCCCAATCCTTCTGGGATATGGGTTCCTTGTGCTGAACCGCCGGCTCAAGCCCATCGCGTTTACGCGCCTTCAAAACTCCGTCCAGGACTTTGTTGGCCCTTGAGAACGCAGAATCGGTAAATATGTTGATCTGCCGCGAGAATGACGAGATGTGCCGCTGAATTGCACCACGGGCAGATTGAAGACTGTTTTTCGCGAACCCGGAGCCATCCTTCTTCTTCACATTCGCGTAGAATGACGAGAAGATATCACAAAGCTTTTCACTCGTGACTGTCTTGAAATCGACGACACCAAACGCCTCGTCTCCACTCAAACAAAACTGATCAAGTATTCGCAACCAGTACTCAGTAGAATAGCGTGTGTTCTTGGGGACACCCTGAGCAATTAGCTCTGTTTGCTCATCGTAGGTGACACACCCAAAAACTCGTTTTTGGGGAAGCTCGTTACTCATTGCGAAAGAAAGTACAGGAATTGTACTAGAAGTAGAAGCAGCAAAACGCAAACTGACCACAACGGTGACAGAAACGGAATGAGTGCTTAGCAGCTATGTTTGCGAGTTTTACTTCTTGTTTTGCAACAAGGTGAAAAGAGCGTCTTCTCCAAGGTCTTGTTTTGCAACAAGGTGAAAAGAGCGTCTTCTCCAAGGTCGTCACCCCAGAAAATTTGGATTTGGACCACTTTTAGGACGAAGCTCTGCAGGTCACCACTGCGCAGACTCGAAACTTTCTCATTATTTTCATGATGAGAAAAGCACGGATGAGCCTCAAGTGAGCTTATGAGCTCATATTTGCAATGATCGTTTTCTGCAGTTGCGAACTGAAACGGGAAGAAGTTGACTGTCAGTTTGTATGAAGGTCAGCATAAGTATAATACATCCCACTAGTACGCTTGTACGTGAAATATAAACCATCATACAAACCTCGGCTTCGCCTCGGTTTGTATGTCGGTTTATATTTCACGTACAAGCGTACTGTTGGGTTGTATTATATACATAGCTCCAGTGCTATAGGTACATATACATGTACCAGTTAGTCAAACCACCTCTGGCACAGTCCAGACCATACTATAGGGAGAACTTAGCATCGCAGCTGCCGCAGTGCGCGTACATACCAGCACGGGTAAATACTAGTACAGGTGCATACTAGCATGGGAACATGCAAGCATGGGTACACACCAGCATGGGAACATGCAAGCATGGGTACACACCAGCATGGGAACATGCAAGCATGGGTGCATACCAGCATGGGAACATGCAAGCATGGGTACACACCAGCATGGGAACATGCAATCATGGGTACACACCAGCATGGGAACATGCAAGCATGGGTACACACCAGCATGGGAACATGCAAGCATGGGTGCATACCAGCATGGGAACATGCAAGCATGGGTACACACCAGCATGGGAACATGCAAGCATGGGTGCATACCAGCATGGGAACATGCAAGCATGGGTGCATACCAGCATGGGTATGTTCCGCGCATTCTGGGATTTTGCGCAATCTAAGAATTGCAGATTGCTTGCGCATTCTGGGGAGACAAGAACATACCGGTATTTGTGGCACGAGACCAGGCATGGTTAATCCGCGTCCCTGAGCGCTGGATCATGGAGCCACACTGAGACTTCAGTGAACACACGCAAGTGTGTGTGGTGCAAACTTCACGTACATGGTTCATGCGATCTATGGATTTCTTTGAAAACCTGAAGAGCACAGCGAATTCATGTGGGGCGCAGTCTGTGGGCGCAATCTGTGGATTTCGTTGAAAAATCATGAAGAGCACAGCGAATCCATGTGGGATGCACTCTGTAGGTGCAATCTGTGGATTTCTTTGAAAAAACAACATAAGTCAAGAGCATATCGAATCTGTGTTGGGCACAATCTGTGTATTTCCCTGAAAAACATGAAGAGCACAGGGAATCCATGAGCATGAGTCAGAGTGTCGCTTGTAATCGTGGTCACGAAAATGAAAGGACGGGCGAAGCTGGAGAAGAAGATTGTTCACCATGACGAACAACAGCATGTCCAGAGGTCACGCTGCTTGTCAGATGTTATGCGGTAGTGTTTGCTATCTCGCGACATTCTGAAAATTCCCAGAATGTGAAAGCAGTCACTATCTGCGCAATCTGAAAATTCCCAGAATGCCCAAGCATGCCTGCGCAATCTGCACATTTCTTGTGCATTCTGGGAATTCTCCCATCTGCGCGAAACAGGTGCATGCAAGTACACAGTGGTAATCCATCACTTGCACAGTTGCACTTGATCCGTTTTCACTGCATTTTCCTACCTAGTGTTTTGCAGACTATTTTGCAGATTTGTTTGGGCTTGCTGGGACATGTGTAAGAATTCGGAAGGATCCACCTTCATTATGCTGTTTTGATTGTATTGTATTTTGATTGTGTGTGCTGCATGTGGAATTGTGGATTATGGACCACTGAAGCCAACCGTTCTCTTGTCATTTGCAAGCTTGCCTTTCTGACAAGATCTTGGAGGTTAGTAAGTGCAGGGCCAAGCACATGTTTGTGTATTGTTTTTGCTAGAATAGTTTCTTACTACAGCAGTGCATGATACCCAATACAATCTAGTATAACAAATAACTTGCACTGGACACTGGTGGCTGTTTTCTATGTTTAGAGCTAAGCGGAATGTGACAATCATTCTCTTCATGAAAGAATGAAGTTGTTTCCTTCATGTAAAAGTGGCTTGCCTCCTGGCTATTTTTATGTGGTCCTGATGCTATAAGTTGATAGTTTTGGTGAGCAAGGGTGAACTCTTTTTTGTCGTCCAAATACTCATACATGTACATGGTCTCTCTGCTGCCAGTTTTTCTTACTGTTTCGCCCTGATGGTGGACCACGCCCTAATTTGGTCAATTTGCAGCTGAGGGACCATGTATGAGTTTTGGATTTAAAAAAAGTAAATGGCTGCAATGGAGTTTGCGAATCCTTAGAAGACCGTTTTTTGCTATTATAATTCAGTGCTGTTATGACTAGTGGAGCCAGTGCAGTCATTGAGGTACTCAACACATGGGTACAACATGTTCTCCTGGAATGATATCTTCCAGTGACTGACACTCAGTGACTGGTGAAGAATACTTCAAGTAGCCTTGTGCATTACCGTAGTGTCTTGTGTTGAAACCCGTATCATATAGAAGCCCGTTTTGAATGCAAGCCTGATTTTCATGATACACTGTCGGCACATATGCCTGGTTTTAGTGATGACACACATAGAAATACCTGTTGTGAATAGAAGCCTATCCGTGACATTAGCTTCTCCAGGAATAAGCCTGGCTTTAATACGTGGCATTACAGCAGTTACTTTGAGTTGTTCTTTCTGCCTTCTCTAGAGAATACATGTATGCTGCAGTACAGTACTAACCATCATCGCAGTGCTGCAATTGTAACCGGCTGCAATTGTGACCGGCTGCAAATGCATGATGTCAACTGAACTTGCACTGTCTGTACTGTGTGTGAGACTTGGATCTTCCTGGGATGTTTACTTTTATTTTTGCACTTGCATGTATGCACACGTGCGTGTCTGTGTCTGTGCATTAATGTGAATTTAGATGAACTCTAAAGATGCTGCGGTATTGTCATCAGAAGCTAATCCCAAGGTGAGTATAGTTCTAACAAATGAATAGAGACACTTTGATCTTAGGGTGCAGGATCTGGTATGGTTGATGCTGAGCACTACGATCCCAATGGCAAAAAGGAGATGTGTGTATGGACACTTTGGTGATATCCAGGGTAGTCTTCACACTTAAGTTAGGAACATTCTCATTCAATTTACTAGTATTCAATCAAGCCCTTTATTCCGGTGCTACCTATCCCATTTTTTTACAAGAAGTACTGGTGAAGTACTAAGGTATATTTTTGTTCATTTGGTCACACACACACACACACACACACACACACACACACACACACACACACACACGCACACACACACACACACACACACACACACACACACACACACACACACTCTCTCTCTCTCTCTCTCTCTCTCTCTTCTCCTGCTTCTTGTTCCGGTGCTTTTCGAATTCTTCTTGTGCGCTTTTTGGTCCACAGAGGTGCATAATTCGCCTAGTTCAGCAGCTGACGGTGCTTGGCAAGTTCCTCGGATATGTGATATCTTTGCCATCTGCATGCCCTGATGCTGTACCTCACACCTTGGAGCCCACTTTGATTAAGTTCCATGAATGGGTTAGTGCACAAGTCAGCTGTGGGATGTAATTCCCTTCTTTTGATCATGCCAACTCAGTTATTTTTTCTGATTTTCTGTGCAATACACAGCCCTGCTCAAAGCTCCCGGTGTGCCTAAATTGAAATTCACCATGGCATGGTGAGTTTAGGCACACCGAGAGCTCTGAGTGGCATTGTGTTCTAAGTCTCACTGATTGTGTTCCCAGTGTATATCAGCAACTGCTCGCGTCTACACAGATTCGGGGCATAATTGTCCAATGGAGAATTAATGAGAACTACCGTGTTCACGCGCATATAAGCGCACGGGCCTATACCCGGATATAAGCGCACCCCTCACATATAAGCGCATGGGCTTGTAACTCAACAGAATTCACATTTCCGGCATCACTGGACCGGTAATGACAAAATTCATTCTGGAATTACGAAGTATTGAAAGGCGTTATCGCAGGGACAGCATCAAAGAAAAGCTCTAAAAAGATCCGGATGTAAGCGCACCCCTCACATATATAAAGCGCATGGGCTTAAAAGTGATTTTTTCCATATTTGAAGTGGCGAAAACAGCAATATTCCCAACATAAGCCCATGGGCTTATATGTGCGTGAATACGGCATGCTTCTTATGATACTGCACTTCTAGCCTCAAACCAAGATTGAGCACTCGAGTGTCTTGTACTAGTGCTTTTAAAATATCCATGCAGTGCGCATCACTCTTCTAGATCAGTTGTATATACTGCTTTTGCGTGATGACACTTACTACCTTTGCATGATGACACTTGTCCATGAATTGGTGCTCTTTCCTTGTCGGGGTTTGAGCTGCAGCCTGGAAAAACCTGGAAAAACATGGAATCAATTGAAAAATAATATTACATGTAACTACTGACTGATCACACCCGTGTTGTGTATGACTGTTGTTGTATTGTTCCAGTGGCCAATGCCTTCTCTGCATTGTGAAGAACTAGCCAGGGACAGTATGACGAATGGCCGTGTGTGCATCACTCTACCATGGCTTGTGTACATGCTTGCTACAATTGGACCAATGTCTTTACACATGGCCCATTTCAAGCCTACGTGGGCTCTGCTCTTGTCTTTGCGCAGGTAAGAGTGTAATACAGTCAATTGAAAATTGTGTAGTCTGGCGTGTGGGAAACATGGATGCAGCAAATGGGATTTGGGCCTCTGGCTAGTGGGTGTAATCGTCTCCCACCATTTAGAGGTTGCATCTGATACCTGGCCATGGAATGGTGACATCCAACAGGCCGGGGGAAAAGTGCTCTTGATCTGCCCAGTGTGCCGATCCGTAATATTTATTTATTGTTTGCAGAAAATTATTGAAAATCCCGTTGTCACCTTCAGCACATGTGGTCTTCAATCCCTGGTTTTTGTCGAGTCATTTTCACTAGCATCTTTAGGAAAATTAATGACAGGGCGAGCACACGCTTCTTTCTCATTGATACTTCCACAAGTTTACCCCATCAGATCCTGTTCCTCAAAAACTAAATACTATGGGGCGTTCGTTATTGATCTACAGGTTTGGGTAGAAACTACTTCTTTCGGTAGAGGTGTTCGTTTTTTGTACTCAAAATGGTAGATTCTACTTTCCTCTACCGGCTCTACCAGGAAAAAGTTGGTAAAAGCCGGTAGAAGTTGGTAGAGGTAGGGGATTCCCAGCAAGATCAAGGAGTTGTACACAACTCCGTACAGAAGAGAAACATTTCACGTACATACCGTGAAAAATTACTAAATCCAGTAGAACAGCGTTTCGTGCACTTACCTCTACCGTCTACCTCTATCGGTAGAGTGACTCTACTCTACTCTACCAGGCAGCTAAAACCGAACGCAGCCTACGTCTTGTGTGTTGTTAGTTTTCGTCAATGGTCTGCATTGGATTTGGATGATGGTGGCGGTGCTGATGTCACTTCTTCTTCTTTTACTCTCTTTTGTTACTCAGAAAAATGCATTGCATGCGCTCCAGTCGCATCACCACATTTCTCCTGGTGTTACTTGGCTGGCTGTTTGAGGTAAGTATTCGGTTGCCTAAGAACTGGGGGGGGGGGGGGGATCAGGCTCCTAGCCTAGACTGTTCTTATTTTCATGTACTACAGTCTCTGCGCAGTTGAGTCACCGTGTAACAAGACAGTTAGTTATACATTGGTATGCTGTGCTTGGTGAAAGTCTAGCCTGTTCGTTCTTCGGCTCTCTGTTCTTCGGCTCTCTGTTCTTCGGCTCTCTGTTCTTCGGCTCTCTGTTCTTTGGTGCCCGACAGTGCTGTAGTTGGGTAACACTATCCGCTGGTCCTTCCTGTTGCCACACATGCTGCAGGGCTTACCAGCTTGCTGATGTGCATGTAGAAGTTGCTGATTTGCAACAAGATGTACAGGCTGTGTAGATGTGCCCTTCTCTCGTATATTTGCACCATGTTGCGTGCTACAGTGTACATGTACATGTACACTTAAACAATGGCATTGAGTAGGCCTGTGGGCCTGTTGCCTGCATTATAGCCAAATATATGTGTGTGTGTATATGTGTGTACATGAATACATGTGTGCGATTCATACGGTGTGCCATGCTTGCAGCTGTTGAATGCTACATCTATTTTGGATTCTCTCCCGTCTGCCGAATATGCCATATCAGCTGAGCTTACGTCACCAAGCGAGCAGAGCATGGTGAGTGGATGTTGTCTAGCACTGCATTATAACTTATAAGTTGTCACTCCAAAAAAAGTTTTTACATGTCGTATGTACTGTCACGTGCGACATGTGCATTTTTTTGCCATAAGGTAAATTTGCAATCCATACAATTGCTTTAGTTTTCACACTCCTGTTGCTCGGGATGTTCAAGGTCTTCTCCTGACTACCGTACTCGCGCGATTGGAGCCCTCTCTTGAATAGTGCCCTATCTTGAATAGTGCCCTAGTCTCCAAGAGCCAGTGAAAAATAAAGCCCTCTCTTGAATAGTGCCCCCCCCCCCCCCCCCCCCCGGTCTTGTAACCAAGCCCATGTGCAAGTTTGGTGTTCTTTTGCTAATGTTCTTGGCCATTGCTTTGCACTGGTGTTTTCAGGAACAAAATCGCAGGTCTTGTTCCCGTTTCTGTGGAGTCGTGAGCGTTTACAGTACACTTTAGGCTCTGTTTTTCTTTGTTTTATGCTGGATGACGCAAATGTACCAGCAATGAAAAAATAGTGCCCTCTCTTGAATACTGCCCCATCTGTGATGGACATTGAAAAAATAGTGCCCCAGGGGCACTAATCGCGCGAGTACGGTAGTTACGAGGGACGCAAGTCACTCTTCGCCTCTACGCTCATCTTAGAATTACTGTAGTAGATGTCTGGACATGCCGTAAAACGAGGTATGCAGGAATGCCATCTGCCTGTATCTGTGGTTCACATTGTCTGCATACAAGCCTTCTATTGTATCGCCCGCCGGTACTGCAGTGGGGTGTAGCCATACATTGTAGTTCATTGAGCTCTTCTTCTTTTTCCTTGTTCTAAATACTTGTATGCTGGATTGTCTTTTGTGCTTTGCAGGGAAATCTGGTGAACAGCTCCTTTGTGATGTCAGTGTGTCCATTCATCAGTACGTGTTTTCTTCTCTTCTCCTCATTATCTATCATGTCTATGGCCTGTGCCTATTGTTCTTTTGAGATCAGAGAAGAGTGCTACCTGTTTGCGAGTAACGAGCTATTTGCCAGTATACAACATGTGCTGAATATTTCTAGTAGCCAGCAGGAACTATTAAAGGGATGTTTAGTCACTTGCGGACGAGTGGGAAGTCTGCGTTTTGCCACCGGTCTGGCTGTGAGTATCATCTGCGGCTCGTAAAATGCTTTCATTACGCCGAATCAGGCATGCTTGACTCTTTGCACGAACCGATATGGTAGACCGGGGTCCGTACTGTTTGTCTGTACTATCCGGGTATGTGCACGTGGGTACCAAGCCATGGATGGTCCCACACTAGTACCACTCATGTGCTTTTACTAGCCTTTTAGAGTGCTTTGTCCTACCAAAGTGCTATAAAGAACTATGATGGGTGAATACGCTGCTCAAGGCCCAAAGATGATGAGGTTTTGGAACAAAATGAGTGGAATCTGCCTTCAGACAGGAGTGACTAACCTGTCCATTACCTTCGCTCACAAGCCTTGAATTTGTTTTCTTGTATTCTGTTTGGATTCGCAAAGCCAAACAAACCAAAAGCCCCATTACATGGGACCGGGGAATGAGCCTGTGACAAATACCAAGTAACAAAAAGCAGGTGTTGGCGGTGTTGGTTTTAACTTGATTATTATGGAGGACTTCACAGTGATACGATTACCAGACAACGGTGCTCTTCCTTTTCTCAATTGTGATCTGTGCAGGTGAAATTGGAAAGGTCCTCGCAGCGTCTTCAAATGGCTACACATCGTCTTCGTGTAAGTGTTCCCTGCAAAGCTGTGTCATTCCCTGGCATGATCACAGTTCCATGCACTTGCATGGTACTCACTGGTACCAGTGCATCTCTCTGCTCATGATACTAAGGTATCTACTTGCTAATACTATTCAAAGTGTTCATAATTAACAGTTAAGAGTAGAGCCCACACGCTCTGTATATGGAACTGGAGGAAGCCTCCCCACTTTTACTTAGTTCATAATGAAGTCGTTTTAAAGTCCACAAGGACATGCAGCTATCCTGACCAGCGGCTCACTGGTTATGAGGGAAATGGCATAAGTTTGAAGTTTTGCTGTTGGTTGTCTTGTATAATGTATTGCACATGGGTTGCATGGGTTGCATGGCCTGAAACCAATCAACAGGTGAGAACTGGCCCCTATTACGTCGCCTTTTTTGGTGCTTATTTGCCTTCATTGTCAGCCAGGAAGGTGAATTGTACTTGCTTACTATTTGTCACCTTTGAAAGATATCTTCTGAATCTCTCTCCACCCTCCCAAAGGGAGACCCGCGTGGTCAGTTTCTGGCAGTGAGCAAGGACAAGTGTGTATGCGTGTGCATGTGCGTGTGTGTACCAATGTGTTTTCGAGTTCAATGTGTTTTAATACTTTTTTATTGTTTATTTTCTATACATCAGCTCGCCGCCGTATTAAGTCTGTATGTTCAGTTGTGGGAAAGTCAGAGGTGGATATTCAGGTGAGAGCAGTGTTTGGCATATGGGATATTTCTCCTGTGGTGGTATACGGGCGCATGTTTTTGTTTGATTTCCAGTAGTGGTGAAACGAATATTCGAATATTCGAACATTCGTTCGATTGATCACATTCGAATATTCTTTAAGTCGCATTCGAGTATTCGTGACGTCACTTCGAATGCAGTGCACGTTCATACGTGCACACCAAACACAGTACAGTGCAGTGCGTACAGCGTGCCTGTGACTTTGTACTGCATGTTTGCACATGTATGTGCATACTGGACTGCCAATGTAGCAAACCACATGTATAAACTTCAAAGTAGCCTTATGTGGCAGTGCATTTTATGTGGCACTACTGTTTGTCATACCTAATAACAATGACAGCATCCATCAAATGACTGAGAGGAGGTAATGTAATGTCATCTGTGTTACCAAAAGAATATTCGTTCGTTCGTTCGTTAAGCCAAAGAATATTCGACTACTAGGTTTTGACGTTCGTTTCACCACTAATTTCCAGGTTGCCATGAAACCGCTGGATGTTGGGTCCAACTGGTGGTGATGTCATAGCGTACATACTTTTAAAACATTTGAATTTGTGGACTATCATTAGTTGCTTCTGGCATAGCCTTCTATCACCAGTTATTTGGATGCAAGTCTGGAAAATTGTGGAAATTCCCCCATGCCCCAGTCCAGTTGTGCCCCTGGACATGCAGTACACCTACCTGTTCTGGAGATGTTCCTCTCTATGGTAGTGCTAGATAGTAGGAATACTCCATCCGGTCACTTGCCTCTCTGTTTATGTATCGGTGTTGTCTGCTGTTCTACGGTTTGTCCTTTTTTCTTTGCTTAGGACTTGCTTGCAGAGAATTTCATGGCATATCAAGTCCCTGTTGTTCAGCAAGTTGTCAATGTTGTCGTGGAACGGTATGTGTTTCCTCATCTGCCTAGACTATCCGTTGCATCTTTTCACCTGTTTGTTTTAAACGTACCGACTCAGTGTGATGATGTGCGGAGCTTTAAAGTTATTTTGGGGAAATGTTTGTTTGGGCGTTTTGTCATCTTCCGAGCACTTTGCAAGCACTCTGTCCTGTTTGGAATGAATGATGTGTGCCACATGTACCACGAAATCCCACCAGAACACCCATCCCTAACACTCCAAGGTGTGATTGTGGAGTGGGGCGGATGGGAGATCTCTCCATGGTCCTGTACTGTGCAAGCTTGGGGCAGTTCGTTTCGTGTTTGTACAGCGTACTTCGAAGTAGATGTTCCACCATGTGCCAATGGGTGCTGAACAATTAACAAGCACAAACTGTAGTACGAACTGTAGTACAGCACATGTGAAACACGTAGATCTCTGGCTCTGGCTTCTCTGTTTGTCAATTTCTATAATTTGACTCGGATGGAGAGCCAAGGATAGATTTATAGTAAAGAAAAAAGGACCAAGAAACTACAAGTTACGCTATAACAGTATCAGTGTCGTGCAATGTTATCACATGAGCTGATTGTTTAGTAACTGATGGTGTTAATGGACATTATAGCGTAACTTGTAGTTTCTTGGTCTTTTTTTCTTTTCTATGATTTGAGGTCCCGTATGAAGACAAATAATAGCAAGGGACAGGTAGGACTGTGTCTTGCCTATTCTTCTTAGCTCGCAAGCCGGGTGATATTAGGTTTTATCGCTCTGTTGTATTGGCCCGCACTTCCCTGATCCACAACCGGTCCTATACATGTATTCCATGTATAGGGAGAATGTTGACCGCTTGTATTGACTCCTTTTTAGGAATCAAGGTAAGCTGTCAAACCTCCAGCCACCCACACTGCATGTTATGTTATCTTTGTTTTATTTCACCATAGGTACGGGCATTGCTGCCTTCTTGCTCTGGGTCATGAATGATGCCACAGCTCCTAGGCTATTATCAAGAGTCCATAAACAAGAGTATGCAACTGTGATCTCTTTTCTATGGGCCAGATGCGCGGCGCACTGCCTTCATTACATCATTTTTTAGCTGCAGTCCGCGCACTGCGCAAAATCAAACACCGCACTTTCCCTCTGGTTTGAAATGAACTTTCGTACGGAACTGGAGTTCACGCGCCACAGTTTAGGGATCGCGTAGGTACTGGAATGAATCGAGCAAAAACGGATGGGCCTGTGCGAGAATTGTGGGTTTAGTGCATGCTTTCAGAGCGTGATGGAGGCAAGTTACGTAATGAAGGCAGCGCGCCGCGCACAGACCCATAACCACAGTTGCATACTCTTGTTTATACAATCTTGCTATTATGAAAATTAATAATAAAAATTAATTAATGGTATGAAAAAATGTACACCCACACCACAGAAATCATGAACCACTAACACACCACGAAACGCACACAAAGCAAGGGAAAGAACCATGTTTTGGCAACACCATAAGATAAAAAAGCCTAGTTTTCCTTGTCGTCAGTGGCCGCTTCTCTAGCAGCTCTCAATTTCTTATTCTCCTTGCGTGACAAAGACCAAGACTTCTTTTACGTGGTGTTATGGAGACTGGAGAAACATTGATAGTAATGTTCGAACACGATTGCAAGACAACACCATCGGGAATTGAACAAGCAGCACTGGATGCAGCAGCAGCTTTATGACGTGACTGGGCAGTAAGAAGTGCTTCCCTGGAAGAAGTGTCGTACACATCTGAAGCAGCTGGCAGATTCTTTCTGGATCCAGCAGCATCTGAATTTGACAGAATATCAATGCAGAAGACATACGCACAGAATCTGCATCAGCAACTCTTTCATGGTTTTGTAGCGAAGCTGGATTCATGTGACCAGAAACAGCGCAAATGTTGTGATCTTCCATTCCACATGCCTTCATCTGAGATAGCAGTTTCACAAGTACAATGATTTGTGCACTTCTGCACTGCAGCTTCAGAAATGCTTTGCATCATTTTACCCGCAGTATGTTATGTGAGAGGGGTGCTATCATGAAGCACACAACGTTACCTTCTTGTGCTGCGTGCAATGCACCACCTTTTGCTCGTTGAAACAAACAATCCATGTTTGAATTCGGAAGGCTTAGGTAGAGCTTGATTATTGGAACCTGAAGCTGATCTCGAACAACTCCTGCACTGGAGAAAGCAGCTCCACTGATCTCGAACAACTCCTGCACTGGAGAAAGCAGCTCCACTGATGCCGCCCTAATGATTTTCGAACAGAAATCTTTCGAAAGTCGAAGGACGTCGTGGCCGTCAATGGTGTCGAACCGCAGATCCGACGTGGTAAGCTGTGATTGACCTTCCCATCCCCGCAAACAGAAGTGCAAGGAGAGAATCAGCCAAACATATCTGTGAACAGCACGCACAAATTGAAAATAAAGAGACCATAAAACAAGTTTGCCTTTACCTGGTAAGGTGGACAGGATTGTCTGTTGTTTCCATATCCTTGAAGTGGTCCATGGTAGTCTTCCAATCACTTTCGGAAACCGCATCCTAGTGTTCGACGACTGGCTCGTCTCCATTTCTTTTCTTCTCTTTCAGCACAGCATTCAGGATTTTGTTCGGTTTGAACGATTTTCCAAACTCTTTCCCTGGCGTGAGCCCAAAGGCTGCCAATTGCAGACAGATGGCGCTGTGTTGTGCCTCTTGCAGCAAGGTAGCTAGCTCGTTTGTATAGGGTCCCATCTTTCTTCTTCAAATCGAAGTAGAAACCCTCGAAGCAGAGCGCAAGCTCCCTGGCCGAACACGTCTGCAAATCCAATTCTGGCTTTTAAACCTTGAGTGCAGACACCCACGTACCAAACTGAGAATTCCTTACTTCCATCGTCACACAAAAGGAGAATCAGAAAGGACAACTTGGAGCACATGCGCAAAATTCCTTTCCCAGAAGTAAAATTGGTGCCTTTTGAATAGTAAAATCTGTTCTTTCTAAATGGCGGATGAAGAAGGTTCAGAGAGCCATTTCCGCCCAGTACAATGCCAAAATGATTCAAGTAAGGTGCTAATACCGTAAGGTGCTAGTAATCACAATACTGTATGCCAAAATGATTCAAGTAAGGTGCTAGTAATCACAATACAAAATGATTCAAGTAGGGTGCTAGTAATCACAATACAAAATGATTCAAGTAAGGTGCTAGTATTCACAATACAAAATGATTCAAGTAGGGTGCTAGTAATCACAATACAAAATGATTCAAGTAGGGTGCTAGTAATCACAATACAAAATGATTCAAGTAGGGTGCTAGTAATCACAATACAAAATGATTCAAGTAGGGTGCTAGTAATCACAATACAAAATGATTCAAGTAGGGTGCTAGTAATCACAATGCCAAAATGATTCAAGTAGGGTGCTAGTAATCACAATACTGTATAGCAGGAAATTTTCGGACGATTTTGTACACGGCATCTTCTGTACTAAATTAATTCCGTACTAAAATTGTTCATAGGAAAGAAAAAGGACCAAGGAACTAAACGTTACGCTATAATGTCCACTAACACCACCAGTTACTAAACAATCAGCTCATGCGATAACATTGCACGACACTGACCGACGGTACTGACGTTCTACAACTAACTGGCTATCAGCTCTAGCACATCTCGGATGCGCACTTCAGCTGATAGCCAGTTAGTTGTAGAACGTCAGTACCGTCGGTCAGTGTCGTGCAATGTTATCGCATGAGCTGATTGTTTAGTAACTGGTGGTGTTAGTGGACATTATAGCGTAACTTTTAGTTCCTTGGTCCTTTTTTCTTTCCTATAATCGTATCCTTGGCTCTCCATTCGAGTCCATAAAATGTTCATGTTACACTATACACGATGTACATCAAAATGCTGCTTGAAGACCCAGCAATTCGCGTGGCATTCTGTACTGAACGAAAATAGAAACCGTACGAAAGGGCGAAATGCGGCTTTGTCCGAAAATATTCCCGTCCGAAAATGTCCTGCTATACAGTAATAGGATATTGACCTCGACTTGGTCAGTATCCTATGTGTATGCGTATGGCTCTCTGTTTTTTACTACAGTCAACTTCGCTAATAACGATTGCGGATATAACGACAATTCGCGATTAACGATAGGATTTCCATTCCCAGAGCAAAGTCCCACCTAACTGTAATACATTCAATGAGACTTCGGGTATGAAGACACTTCGCGAATAAGGACTCTTTTCTGATGCCCCCGCCGAGTGTCGTTATACGCAAAGTTGACTGTATGTGCCATTGGCCCAATGTTGAGGTATTCTTAAGTCATCCGCTTGACTTATGAGTGCATGACTTACGAATATTTTACGGCTTATCGCCAGTGTGTTGATTAAAATTACATGGCTCATTGCAAGTGTACTGCACCCATCAATTATTCTACATCAGTGCTAGTGTTGAATATGTTCATTGGTGTGTGTGTGTGTGTGTGTGTGTGTGTGTGTGTGTGTGTGTGTGTGTGTGTGTGTGTGTGTGTGTGTGTGTGTGTGTGTGTGTGTGTGTGTGTGTGTGTGTGTGTGTGTGTGTGTGTGTGTGTGTGTGTGTGTGTGTGTGTGTGTGTGTGTGTGTGTGTGTGTGTGTGTGTGTGTGTGTGTGTGTGTGTGTGTGTGTGTGTGTGTGTGTGTGTGTGTGTGTGTGTGTGTGTGTGTGTGTGTGTGTGTGTGTGTGTGTGTGTGTGTGTGTGTGTGTGTGTGTGTGTGTGTGTGTGTGTGTGTGTGTGTGTGTGTGTGTGTGTGTGTGTGTGTGTGTGTGTGTGTGTGTGTGTGTGTGTGTGTGTGTGTGTGTGTGTGTGTGTGTGTGTGTGTGTGTGTGTGTGTGTGTGTGTGTGTGTGTGTGTGTGTGTGTGTGTGTGTGTGTGTGTGTGTGTGTGTGTGTGTGTGTGTGTGTGTGTGTGTGTGTGTGTGTGTGTGTGTGTGTGTGTGTGTGTGTGTGTGTGTGTGTGTGTGTGTGTGTGTGTGTGTGTGTGTGTGTGTGTGTGTGTGTGTGTGTGTGTGTGTGTGTGTGTGTGTGTGTGTGTGTGTGTGTGTGTGTGTGTGTGTGTGTGTGTGTGTGTGTGTGGACGTACATGTGTGTGCGTGGACGTACATGTGTGTGCGTGGACGTACATGTGTGTGCGTGGACGTACATGTGTGTGCGTGGACGTACATGTGTGTGCGTGGACGTACATGTGTGTGCGTGGACGTACATGTGTGTGCGTGGACGTACACGTGTGTGTGTGGACGTACACGTGTGTGTGTGGACGTACACGTGTGTGTGTGGACGTACATGTGTGTGTGTGGACGTACATGTGTGTGTGTGGACGTACATGTGTGTGTGTGGACGTACATGTGTGTGTGTGGACGTACATGTGTGTGTGTGTGGACGTACATGTGTGTCTGATTGGCGTTGCGTATGTGTGTGCACGTACATGTGTGTCTGATTGGCGTTGCGTGTGTGTGTGGACGTACATGTGTGTCTGATTGGCGTTGCGTATGTGTGTGGACGTACATGTGTGTCTGATTGGCGTTGCGTATGTGTGTGTACGTACATGTTTGTCTGATTGGCGTTGCGTATGTGTGTGGACGTACATGTGTGTCTGATTGGTGTTGCCTATGTGGACTGTTTAGGTTTGTCAGTAGAGCAAAGAAAGAAGTGAGTATGCTCACGTTACCAGCTCTGCTTGAACGCTACAAAGCTGACGTCTGCTCTATCATGCACCAACACAGGTTAGCTGAGGAATCAATGTAGCTGGCCCGATATCATCATTGCTGTTGTCATCGCACTGCTGCTTGTGTTGCGGCTGCTGCAACTGCTGCTGTCTTCCTCTATTGCTGCTGCTTGTGTTGCTGCTGCTGCAACGGCTGCTGTCTTCCTCTATTGCTGCTGCTTGTGTTGTTATTATTTCAGCCGCTGTCTGTTGCTGTTCCTGGACTTGTTTCGGAAACTTTCATTCATTATGACTGTTTATGTTTTCCATGATCTGTGCTGCAGTGACATCTTGTCATTTGACATGCACTCCACGGAGGTGAGTTGTATATGGGTAGTGCATGAGAGGTGCTGTCAAAGTATTTTACAGTCAACTTCGCTTATAACGATACTCGGTGGGGCGTCAAAAAGGTGTCCTTATTCTCGAAGTGTCGTTATACCCGAAGTCTCGTTATATGTATTACAGTGGGATGGGACTTTGCTCTGGGCATGGAAATTCTGTCGTTATTCGCGAATTGTCGTTATATCCGCAGTCATTATTAGCGAAGTTGACTGTTTATTCATACAGGGGTATTGCATCTGATTTTGAATACCGGTGGCAGTTTCTGGCACCCGTTATTTCCATGAAGGTTTCCCATGCCCTTCATCCCTGACATGAAGGTTTCCCATGCCCTTCATCCCTGACATGAAGGTTTCCCATGCCCTTCATCCCTGACATGAAGGTTTCCCATGCCCTTCATCCCTGACACGAAGGTTTCCCATGCCCTTCATCCCTGACACGAAGGTTTCCCATGCCCTTCATCCCTGACATGAAGGTTTCCCATGCCCTTCATCCCTGACACGAAGGTTTCCCATGCCCTTCATCCCTGACATGAAGGTTTCCCATGCCCTTCATCCCTGACACGAAGGTTTCCCATGCCCTTCATCCCTGACATGAAGGTTTCCCATGCCCTTCATCCCTGACATGAAGGTTTCCCATGCCCTTCATCCCTGACATGAAGGTTTCCCATGCCCTTCATCCCTGACATGAAGGTTTCCCATGCCCTTCATCCCTGACATGAAGGTTTCCCATGCCCTTCATCCCTGACATGAAGGTTTCCCATGCCCTTCATCCCTGACATGAAGGTTTCCCATGCCCTTCATCCCTGACATGAAGGTTTCCCATGCCCTTCATCCCTGACATGAAGGTTTCCCATGCCCTTCATCCCTGACATGAAGGTTTCCCATGCCCTTCATCCCTGACATGAAGGTTTCCCATGCCCTTCATCCCTGACATGAAGGTTTCCCATGCCCTTCATCCCTGACATGAAGGTTTCCCATGCCCTTCATCCCTGACACGAAGGTTTCCCATGCCCTTCATCCCTGACATGAAGGTTTCCCATGCCCTTCATCCCTGACATGACGGTTTCCCATGCCCTTCATCCCTGACATGAAGGTTTCCCATGCCCTTCATCCCTGACATGAAGGTTTCCCATGCCCTTCATCCCTGACACGAAGGTTTCCCATGCCCTTCATCCCTGACATGAAGGTTTCCCATGCCCTTCATCCCTGACACGAAGGTTTCCCATGCCCTTCATCCCTGACACGAAGGTTTCCCATGCCCTTCATCCCTGACACGAAGGTTTCCCATGCCCTTCATCCCTGACATGAAGGTTTCCCATGCCCTTCATCCCTGACATGAAGGTTTCCCATGCCCTTCATCCCTGACATGAAGGTTTCCCATGCCCTTCATCCCTGACATGAAGGTTTCCCATGCCCTTCATCCCTGACATGAAGGTTTCCCATGCCCTTCATCCCTGACACGAAGGTTTCCCATGCCCTTCATCCCTGACATGAAGGTTTCCCATGCCCTTCATCCCTGACATGAAGGTTTCCCATGCCCTTCATCCCTGACATGAAGGTTTCCCATGCCCTTCATCCCTGACATGAAGGTTTCCCATGCCCTTCATCCCTGACATGAAGGTTTCCCATGCCCTTCATCCCTGACATGAAGGTTTCCCATGCCCTTCATCCCTGACATGAAGGTTTCCCATGCCCTTCATCCCTGACATGAAGGTTTCCCATGCCCTTCATCCCTGACATGAAGGTTTCCCATGCCCTTCATCCCTGACATGAAGGTTTCCCATGCCCTTCATCCCTGACATGAAGGTTTCCCATGCCCTTCATCCCTGACATGAAGGTTTCCCATGCCCATTCCTGACATGAAGGTTTCCCATGCCCTTCATCCCTGACATGAAGGTTTCCCATGCCCTTCATCCCTGACATGAAGGTTTCCCATGCCCTTCATCCCTGACATGAAGGTTTCCCATGCCCTTCATCCCTGACATGAAGGTTTCCCATGCCCTTCATCCCTGACATGAAGGTTTCCCATGCCCTTCATCCCTGACACGAAGGTTTCCCATGCCCTTCATCCCTGACATGAAGGTTTCCCATGCCCTTCATCCCTGACATGAAGGTTTCCCATGCCCTTCATCCCTGACATGAAGGTTTCCCATGCCCTTCATCCCTGACATGAAGGTTTCCCATGCCCTTCATCCCTGACATGAAGGTTTCCCATGCCCTTCATCCCTGACATGAAGGTTTCCCATGCCCTTCATCCCTGACATGAAGGTTTCCCATGCCCTTCATCCCTGACATGAAGGTTTCCCATGCCCTTCATCCCTGACATGAAGGTTTCCCATGCCCTTCATCCCTGACATGAAGGTTTCCCATGCCCTTCATCCCTGACATGAAGGTTTCCCATGCCCTTCATCCCTGACATGAAGGTTTCCCATGCCCTTCATCCCTGACATGACGGTTTCCCATGCCCTTCATCCCTGACATGAAGGTTTCCCATGCCCTTCATCCCTGACATGAAGGTTTCCCATGCCCTTCATCCCTGACACGAAGGTTTCCCATGCCCTTCATCCCTGACATGAAGGTTTCCCATGCCCTTCATCCCTGACACGAAGGTTTCCCATGCCCTTCATCCCTGACACGAAGGTTTCCCATGCCCTTCATCCCTGACACGAAGGTTTCCCATGCCCTTCATCCCTGACATGAAGGTTTCCCATGCCCTTCATCCCTGACATGAAGGTTTCCCATGCCCTTCATCCCTGACATGAAGGTTTCCCATGCCCTTCATCCCTGACATGAAGGTTTCCCATGCCCTTCATCCCTGACATGAAGGTTTCCCATGCCCTTCATCCCTGACACGAAGGTTTCCCATGCCCTTCATCCCTGACATGAAGGTTTCCCATGCCCTTCATCCCTGACATGAAGGTTTCCCATGCCCTTCATCCCTGACATGAAGGTTTCCCATGCCCTTCATCCCTGACATGAAGGTTTCCCATGCCCTTCATCCCTGACATGAAGGTTTCCCATGCCCTTCATCCCTGACATGAAGGTTTCCCATGCCCTTCATCCCTGACATGAAGGTTTCCCATGCCCTTCATCCCTGACATGAAGGTTTCCCATGCCCTTCATCCCTGACATGAAGGTTTCCCATGCCCTTCATCCCTGACATGAAGGTTTCCCATGCCCTTCATCCCTGACATGAAGGTTTCCCATGCCCTTCATCCCTGACATGAAGGTTTCCCATGCCCATTCCTGACATGAAGGTTTCCCATGCCCTTCATCCCTGACATGAAGGTTTCCCATGCCCTTCATCCCTGACATGAAGGTTTCCCATGCCCTTCATCCCTGACATGAAGGTTTCCCATGCCCTTCATCCCTGACATGAAGGTTTCCCATGCCCTTCATCCCTGACATGAAGGTTTCCCATGCCCTTCATCCCTGACACGAAGGTTTCCCATGCCCTTCATCCCTGACATGAAGGTTTCCCATGCCCTTCATCCCTGACATGAAGGTTTCCCATGCCCTTCATCCCTGACATGAAGGTTTCCCATGCCCTTCATCCCTGACATGAAGGTTTCCCATGCCCTTCATCCCTGACATGAAGGTTTCCCATGCCCTTCATCCCTGACATGAAGGTTTCCCATGCCCTTCATCCCTGACATGAAGGTTTCCCATGCCCTTCATCCCTGACATGAAGGTTTCCCATGCCCTTCATCCCTGACATGAAGGTTTCCCATGCCCTTCATCCCTGACATGAAGGTTTCCCATGCCCTTCATCCCTGACATGAAGGTTTCCCATGCCCTTCATCCCTGACATGAAGGTTTCCCATGCCCTTCATCCCTGACATGAAGGTTTCCCATGCCCTTCATCCCTGACATGAAGGTTTCCCATGCCCTTCATCCCTGACATGAAGGTTTCCCATGCCCTTCATCCCTGACACGAAGGTTTCCCATGCCCTTCATCCCTGACACGAAGGTTTCCCATGCCCTTCATCCCTGACATGAAGGTTTCCCATGCCCTTCATCCCTGACATGAAGGTTTCCCATGCCCTTCATCCCTGACATGAAGGTTTCCCATGCCCTTCATCCCTGACATGAAGGTTTCCCATGCCCTTCATCCCTGACATGAAGGTTTCCCATGCCCTTCATCCCTGACATGAAGGTTTCCCATGCCCTTCATCCCTGACATGAAGGTTTCCCATGCCCTTCATCCCTGATATGAAGGTTTCCCATGCCCTTCATCCCTGACATGAAGGTTTCCCATGCCCTTCATCCCTGACATGAAGGTTTCCCATGCCCTTCATCCCTGACATGAAGGTTTCCCATGCCCTTCATCCCTGACATGAAGGTTTCCCATGCCCTTCATCCCTGACATGAAGGTTTCCCATGCCCTTCATCCCTGACTGCACATAGACATAGACGATTGCAATAACAGTGACTGTAGTACATTGTGTCATGTGCTAGGGGCATGTTCGATTGGTAGGATCGGGATCCCGATCCACCGGATCCACTGGATTCGCACCCTTTCGATTGGTCGAATCCGGATCCGGATCCTTCGGATTTGGATCCGGTCAACCCACCTCGGGGAGCAGGGTTGACCGGATCCAACGGATCCAAATGTGACCTTTGTGCGTATATGGCGGGTAAAAATCATTTTTGTACACATTGTGGTACACACACGTGGATAGAGATAGAGCTTGTTGACTTTTGGTACGACGCACGCGATGAGTACGACGTTCACCCTTTTGGGTGACTTGTGAGCGCCATTGTCAACATGGCAACAGTCAAGGTCCAAAATAAAGTGTTCAGTTGAATCTGAAGGATCCGAAGGATCTGAGATCTGGATCCCGATCCCGATCCTTACCAATCGAACATGCCCTAGGTTTTCTATTGTTAACTTTTTTTCTATTTTCAGATTCTAGCCTTGTCTGTACTTCAATGGCTCTCCCAGATTTCACCAGGATTGTTTTTCATTGATTTGAGCACCTGGCTTGTTTGCTGTGCATCTATGTCTGACTTGTAGGCAAGAAACATTGTCCAACGACTTAGTTCACGTTTTACACTTCAACTGTCTGAAGAAGTAGCAACTGTGTTTGAACGGTACGTACCTCCATATTTTTCTTGCAGTGTTTGCAGACCCAAGGGAACCACTTTTGTCAGCACTCTTTCATCCCTGGAATGTGCATAATGTGTGTGTGTTTTTTTGTGTGTGCTGTGGTGTATGTGTGTATGTGTGTGTGTGTGTGTGTTTGTGTGTGTGTGTGTTTGGATGTTTGTGTTTGTGTGTGATGTGTCATGTTTGTACTTATTTAGGTTTTCCAAGGATGATTGTTTTCAAGCTGTGTCTCTTCTGTTGGATGGAGAAGTCTCAGTAGCAGTAAGTTGTTGCACTTAGTTCCTTGTTTAATGTGTATGAACTCCAATTCTAATAATCTCAATGGGTCAAATAGACCTGTAATTATGAGTTTTGAATCCAACATCTGGACAGTTTGATAGGCTGAGAATGTTGCTGCTAATCACAGTTGTTATGTCGTCTGAATATAACGAGTACTACTGTACAAGAAGAAATATTCGTCTGGAATTTAATTTCGTCTTTTTCGTCCAAGGAGCTTTTGGACTAAATTAAATGTAGGACGAATGTCGATTTGCCCAGCTTTTCTATACACTCTTATGATCCATGGACGAAATTTTCAACCGGACGAACTCCTTTTCTTTGGAGTGGGACGAAATTATTGACCGACGAAATTTTCTGCCTCTACAGTACACGTTACAGGTAGGTCAGGCAGGACAAACAAGACTAAAGAGTAGACTGTGGTGGACTACAAGTGTTCACACGGAAGGTGAACAACCGGAAACATTCATTACTAGCAAGTGCAAGTGCACGTACAGGAAACAACAACACAATCAGTATCAGTAACGTGTAAAGCTGTGACGTAACAACAAAATTATCTTAGTGATCTTCTGCTTCTTCTTGCTGCATGTACAGGTACTTTGCAAGTTGTACTGAACCTTCCTCAAGTACAGTATGCAGCTTCTTGTGGCTATGGTTATGTAATTCTCCTATGCCTGCACCTGTATGCTTTATGTTAATATAGGTTGTTGGAGCAGCACGTGCTCTTGTTGCGCGGAGGATACGTCAGCAACTGTCTCAATGGCAACAGATCACTTTCTTTGGTAAAGCACCACATTTCCTCTTAATTGCTTTCAAGTACTTCAAAAAAGAAGTAACTAAGTCCTTAAAAGGACCACATGACATTACATGTACAGCAAAAACTAGTTTACCCCTTTGATTCGGATTTCGGATAATCGATTGTTCGGGTAATCAGCATTCTACTGTATTATTGGCTCTGAAATTGTTATAATAGAGGTTTTTGGCCTTGTATGTACGGAAATATACTTGATGTGTGATGATACCTTCCTTTGTTGAATCTCTCTGTCTCTCTCTCTGTCTCTCTCTGTCTCTCTCTGTCTCTCTCTGTCTCTCTGTCTCTCTCTCTCTCTCTCTCTCTCTCTCTCTCTCTCTCTCTCTCTCTCTCTCTCTCTCTCTCTCTCTCTCTCTTTCTATCTCTCTCTCTATCTCTCTCTCTCTCTCTCTCTCTCTCTCTCTCTCTCTCTCTCTCTCTCTCTCTCTCTCTCTCTCTCTCTCTCTCTCTCTCTCTCTCTCTCTCTCTCTCTCTCTCTCTCTGTGTCTGTGTCTGTGTCTGTGTGTGTCTCTCTCTCTGTGCCTGTCTCTCTCTCTCTCTATGCCTGTCTCTCTCTCTCTCTCTCTCTCTCTCTCTCTCTCTCTATCTCTCTCTCTCTCTCTCTCTCTCTCTCTCTCTCTCTCTCTCTCTCTCTCTCTCTCTCTCTCTCTCTCTCTCTCTCTCTCTCTCTCTGCCTCTCTCTCTGCCTCGCTCTGTCTCTGCCTGTCTCTCTCTCTCTCTCTCTCTCTCTCTCTCTCTCTCTCTCTCTCTCTCTCTCTCTCTCTCTCTCTCTCTCTCTCTCTCAAATAAACCTTGAAACTATTTGAAAACTGTTGTGGAGCTCTCCACCCTCATCTGTAAGACTTTTTTTGTTTTTATATTGATGACAAAGTCATTCACCACCCGAACAGTTTCTTGGCTACACATATTTTGAACACAGTACTGGAAGAACAGTCGGAGAGGCCGAGAGCCGAGAGCCGAGAAACCGTTTTGGGTGCTGTATGATTTCGTCAGCAAGATTGAGTGGCTACAGTGGAGACTGAACACCCTTTTGAGCACTAGTCTTTATGGTGAAAATTTCCTTCTCTCACACGCTTGCACTCTTGCTCTCATGCTCACTGTCATCTTCTCCTGTTCAGAGATGTCACAACGAACAGTAAGAAGTCTGTTGGAAAGAGCAAGGCACAACGCTGTGACAACTGTTGGTCCAGCGCTGAATGAACTTCAAGCGGATGAAGTATCAGATGCGTCATGGTCTTATCGCCCTGTTGATGATACTCTCAAGGTTTGTTCTGGCTACTATCCTGTTTTGTGTGTATACACCGAAATGCGCACACACGCACGCACACACACACACACACACACACACACGCACTTTTATACATATACACACGCGAGCGCGTTTGTACCCCGGTTCCTATATACTTTGCACGTTTCAAATGGCATTTGGATCGTTTGATCACGCTTAGTTCTATCCATTCTGGAGTTCCCAACGATGCATACTAGACTAGTATACTATTTGATCATAGAACTGCTGTCATTGTCAGAGTACACAGAATTATGAATTTGTCTGTCGGTGTAGAATGCATTCTGTGAATCATCTTTCGATGACACGTCGTTCTGCGATCTGTCATTTTGTGAACTTGTTTTGGGTGAACAGTCGGTATCTCTGCAGGGCGCAACTCATGTTCACTCGATCAGATTTCATTGAGCAGCACTGTAGCTCATGTTTATTATACACCAGTGGTAGAGAGTTCAGTTCCGGTCACTGAAAAGCGAAAAGTGCAGTCACAGCTCGCCTGTACAAAGTGAATGGGCGCGTCGTGACTGCAGTTTGAGATGCAGTTCGAGGCCCGAATATCTTCTTCCGCGGCCTTTTCGGCCTTGTCAATGCTATTTTTAGGTAGCTGAGGTCATTACCTTTCCAATGGTGCCACACATGCCATGCTTCCAAAAATAATGCCTCCACGCTTGGCGCGGATGCACTTCGAAGTACTAATTTCGACCAGATCCGTACTCGGCCCCGCGAGGAACACCCGATTTTCGTGTTAAGCGGCCTCGAATTAGCCTAAACCAAGAGGATTCTAGAACATTGAGGCTCGCGCTTTATCTCGGTTGAAGGAAGATGATCACAGAAACCAGCCCACGGCGATTTCCTGGTGGTAGACGAAAAAAATCGAGTGAACTGCGCGCACACTGTAGAAGCAGTGACGGTGAAAACGTGTGACTTGTGCAAGTAGGCGCACACGGCATGCATGCACACTGCATGCATGCACACATCCTGTATCGCCATGTATGCACCAGATAGTGCAGTGCTGGACGGAAACCACACGGCTCACATACATACTTGCATTTACTTCTGTGACTACTTTCTCCCCCGTTTTCCGATCTTCAGTCGACTATAACTCTAGATTGCCTTGGAATTTTGGGTTCAAATTTTCACAGGTTGTTTCTCACATCTTCCCGGTTTAGAAAAACTAGCGTTTTATGCGAAACTCACGAATTTGGTTTTTCGATTGAAGTCCCTACCAGTGGATTTGATGTGCTTCTTCCATGTGGTTGTGCAGGTCTTGAGCAGGCGAATCGAGGCAGCGGCGTACAAGTCTGTTCTAAATGGTGGGTAATGGTGGGTACAAACACTGCCTTAGCTTACAGTGTGTCACTTGCAACTGTCAAACGGATGCTCATAAACATGAGCGTGCGCGCACACACGCACACACGCACACACACACACACACACACACACACACACACACACACACACACACACACACACACACTTCCTGGTTCACTGCCAAAACAGGTCACGTGGGTCTCCCCGGGAGAGGGAGAGAGATTCAAAAGGGATCATGGAAAGATATCTATTGAAGCGGACCTAACGGCTGACCCCCTGATGTCCTTTTTCTCTTGTTGGACTTGGAAATGGAGGACAAGGTGCAGAAAATGGATTGACAGCATGAATGTATGCGTCCCAGGATCCGACTGCATGCCATTTACCCCTGCCCCTAGTGAAGGTAATACTTGGTACTACAAGTGTGGGTTGCTTGATCAGAGTTGATCTGATATAGGCTTCACTTGCACCCTTGATTAAAGAGTTAATTTAGCCAGAAGCAGTCTATCGGTCAACACTTTACAGGTATGTATACGTCGAACTGTAAGATATTAGTTCTGTATTTCCGTCAGTCATAGGGATTGAAAAGGGAGCTAGTCTGTAGAAAAATAGCCTGGTATCACCAGGACTTGAACAAGGGACCTTCGCTTGAGGCCAGCGATGCTCTAACCACTAAGCTATTAGAGAGGTTAAGATGCACGTTATTTCCGACGTGACGCGCAATTTCACGTCAAATTTGGCGTAAAACTCCACATTTCGACGTGAGCAGCAGGTCACTCGCGTTGATTTTTCGACGTGCGAGCAAATAACGCGAGCTGAACTTTCACGTCACGTCGGAAATAACGTGCATCTTAACCTCTCTAGTGTGTAGTTGTCATCTACAAGTATTAGCAGTGGCAGTTCCACATTTTCTTTTTATAATGCAGTTTTCCTCGCAGCTTTGTTCATGCTTGTTTGTGTTCTGGTGTGTGCTGGCACATGTGCTCCTCCTGTCCGTCCTGTCTGTGCAGTTGTTCACCTGTCCCGTCTTGCACAAACTATCGGTGAAATTGAGTTAGTTCTCCGGTCATGTTTGGCTAGAAACCCAGAAGAAGCAGAGGATGGTACGAAACAAGATTGCCGTCCACCTGAAATGCACGCAGTATTGAAAGACAAGCGACTTTCTTCAATAGCACTTTATTCTTGTGAGATGGCTAGCGCTTGTGGTAAGTTACAATGTAGAGGTTTCTTTTTTACACGGGTACATGTCGAGTCTTTATCCTAAATAGCGTCCACTCCAGGATCAGGAAAATGCCGTGTACACTGCTACCCACGGTTGTGTATTATCCAGTGCAAGTTGTGCACAATCTGCAGTATTATGTATCACTAGGCATCTTGTTATCCACACCCAATCTGTGCAATCTTATTTAGTTCATAGGGGGAGGGCGAATTTACAGAAAAATTTCTGAAAAATTTCTGTATTAAAATTCGCTAATATCAAACACTGGAATCTCGTTGTTAGGAAAATGGCACTTTGTTCTAGAATGTTATTGTTTTGATATGTGCTGAGCAACCACATTCATGAGCAAGGGACAAGTCATACTTCAGAAGTGAGTCTAAATGTGAGGGGGGAGGGGAAGGGGGGGGGGGGGTAAAAAGTACTAAAAGCGACCACAAACGATCACAGCCCAACATTTTGTATGCACGTATGTATGGTCTATTCATCATGTTGTGGATCATTTATTGTTCTTGTGCAGCGAATTATCACATACCAATGTGCGAGCAAGGCTGCCAGGCATCCACGGACAGTTTATCAGAGTGTCGCCAGCTTAGTAAGGTAAACATTCTGTTGAAATACACTGGGAATTGACATTGGTGTACTGCAGCCTTGACTCCTTTGCCATTCTGCGACTGCACACACAGAAACATGGTGCTATGCCCCAGCTGACTCTGTATACTGTGTGTTGGCCATTAACAGTCCAATCCATTCATGCCAATACTGTAAGTTACTAGAGGCTATGGACCAGCTGATCGGGTCATAGCAGTGTGTGTCTGATCAGGTTATAGCAGTGTGTATCTGATCAGGTCATAGCAGTGTGTGTCTGATCAGGTTATAGCAGTGTGTGTCTGATCAGGTCATAGCAGTGTGTATCTGATCAGGTCATAGCAGTGTGTGTCTGATCAGGTTATAGCAGTGTGTATCTGATCAGGTCATAGCAGTGTGTGTCTGATCAGGTTATAGCAGTGTGTATCTGATCAGGTCATAGCAGTGTGTATCTGATCAGGTCATAGCAGTGTGTGTCTGATCAGGTTATAGCAGTGTGTGTCTGATCAGGTCATAGCAGTGTGTATCTGATCAGGTCATAGCAGTGCTGTACTGCAGGTCAGAGAACAGCTGATCATGCTGTTCAAGACGATCAATTGCGAGTGGTTAGCAGGGACTCGGAGCATCAGTGGAGACAACACTGACAAATGGAACATAACAACTGGGCTGCCTGCTCCAATCACTGTTGGGGTTTGGATAATTTATACACACTGGCAGATTCCATTGCTGGTGTGGGCCACGCAGGGTTAGCTCGTTGCGGCGTCGATAGCAATCGCATGCTAACACACTGTATAAGCAGAATTATTTGTCTGGAATTTATTTTCGTCTTTTTCATCCAACGCGTTTTTGTACTAAATTAAATGCCGGGCAACTTATAAAAGCTGGACTAATTGATATTACTAATATCGATTTGTCCAGCTTTTCCATACACTCTTTTGGCCCATGGACTTCAACTTCACTAACTCCCTTTCTTTGGAGTTGGATGGAATTATTGACCAACTGCAATTTATTTCTGTATTAGTATGGCTTAGCCCTACTGTAGAGGGTTGGTACGGCCCCAGGTCGGCTGCAGGACGGATTTATTTCTCCATGCCACAGGAAGATGCATCTCTATCTCTGTGCGGCATTACATCTGCTTGTTTGAGCTACACATAACGCCAGCAGCTAAAGATACATGTTAGTGTATACAGTTAGCACAGTAGTCCTCTGTCCTCACAGGACACGACGAACAGTCTAGGAGGGAGAGACTCTAGCGAGGGTAGTATACCGTATTAGTACTTCCGCACACAATTGATCATCCACTGGACTACCGTGAAAGTCCGTAAATAAGTACCTGCCCGAAATAAATACCCCCTTCATTCTTTTGACTCTGTCTGTTGAAGTGTCAAGTCAAGCCCGATAAACATACTGCCCGAAATAAGTACCGGTACGGTGCACACATGCAGCAAGTAGCATGTACATCGACATGAAAATGACTTCTCCACTACACACAAGTCAGGTCCGAAAGTTAGTTCGTGCCCGAAAGTCAGTACCTGCCCGAAAGTTAGTACGGGTGTGGTCACTAAATTCGAAAGTAAATACGTACCTATTTACGGTATCTGTGAAAGCTAGAATTGTTAAAACCAGGTACGGCTATGGCCGTACCAGTGCGCCGGCCCTGCAATGGTAATGGTCAATGGTAAATGGTCAATGATTGGCCCATATGTTGTAGTCTTTTGGACGCTGAGTCGACTGGTTTTGGTCCGAAAAGGCTGCGATGTAGCGTTCCTCCTTTATTCCCAATCGAACATGGTTGAACAAGCGGTCACGTGCTCCTGCGTACACCAGTCACCTGGTCACCGTGCCTGCAGGGTACAACTTACTAGCCTGTTTGACCTTTTTTGGGTGCAGTCCTGTCACTCGAGTTGAACCTTGGTGTGAAAGTTGTCGCCTGCTGGCGTGGTGACCAGGTGATTTGTGCACCCAGGAGCACGTGACCACTTGTTCAACCATGTTCGATTGGGAATAAAGGAGGAACGCTGCATCGCAGCCTTTTCGGATCAAAACCAGTCGACTCAGCGTCCAAAAGACTACAACATATGGGCCAATCGCGGTCATCCGTGCTTTTATAAGAAAGAAATGGCACTTTTAGTGACATTTTGCGTACAAATCCCCATCTAGTAGGGCGCAGTCACCCAGTTTCGGTGGAAGTGCGCGAGTTCGATTGGGATTCAAGTAGGAAGGGAGCGTCTCAGCTTTCTCGGACCAAGACCATTCGACTCAGCACCCCGAAGACTACAACTGGTGAAATTTTAATTTTTGCCTTAACTTCCCCTTTAAAAGCTATAATTATGTACACTGGCACGTTGTTAACATGTTCTTTTCTTCGCGAACTGAAAACTCCATGCTCGCGTGCTTCCGTTTAGTACAGCATCATGCGTAAATCAGGAAATTTCCTGATGTATTCAGACGTAGCAGATTACCAGTACAGTCAAATCTGCCGTTAGCGACCTCTACTGTAGGCGACCATCTACAGTTAGCGACCGATTTTCCGTGCACCGACGGTTTCACGTACTAATTGATCTGTCCAGAGCGACCATCTGCTGTGCGCGACCAGCGACCGCGATTTCATGCACGGTGGCTGCATTCAAATCTGCTGTAAGCGACCGCGACCCACGTTCAGTCAGGTGCGAAACTGTACTTGCCAGTGTGCTGTCAACTTCAAGGTGTGAAATGCGCTGTCTTGCAAGTGCGCCCCTATATATTCTATTGAATATCCAATAAAATGATATCAAAAATCATATTTTTCTCGTCGATTTAAGTACATGGAAGTATAATTATATGCATGCCCGGTATGCCGGATTTACCATACATCTGCCGTAAGAGACCGTTTTTTCTTGCACCAAGGGGCGGTCGCTTACGACAGATTTGACTGTACAGTCTGTATCGGCTATAGAGTGACCGGATATAAGAATATATCGGCTACAGTGATATTGGTACGAAATATCAAAAGCAAAACGTATTTTATCCAGTACCAGGGAATTTTCTAGAACCGCCCCAACCGGTTTTCGACCGGTTGAAATTGTTGGCGACCGGTTGAATAGTTACAAATCAGTTCCAACCGCCCGTACCTTTCTGTGGATGAATGGAGCTGCTTATATCTTTGCTACACTCCAGCACCAAGAAATCTGTTAAATTGCTGTCGAGTGCCATATTTGGGTTGTATTTTGAAAAAAATTCCGGGGGACCCCCGACTCTTCATTGGACCGTAACCGGTTGGAAATTCGTCCTAGAATATACCCTGACTGTACAAATATCACTATAACCAATATTATCGGATGTAATGATATATCGGATATTATGATGGCAACAAAGAATCAAAACATGCATAACACACTATATTATTATCGGCTATAGTGATAACTTTAAAATACATGTAGCAATAATATCAAAGGCCCTATTTTTTTACTTTCTTCACGTTGCTTATTTTGATAGTGACACATGTACATAACAGAATTATTTATGGAAATGCGGGCACTGTCAACTATGCAGCATGCTCATTATTTTGTCAAAACACCATGCTGGAAGTATTTCCTTGCCTTTCATGTGTCGATCGAAAAAAATCTATCGTATCGCATATAGTGTTGCATTGGTTATACCGTAAAGTACCGCCAGAGCGCCCCGTCTCGCAAGAGCGCCCCACCTTGATTTTACAGCCAGAGAAAGGAAAATCGTATGGCAGAGTGCAACGAAGTTTGTACGATGTGAGAATCTTAGTGTACTAAGGTCACGCTTGGCAGGTTTTGTGTGGAGCTTGTGTCCGCTCGAAGGTTCGAATAGACTGCAAAACGTGCGATATATGTACAAGGTTCATGTCGTATGACCTACAGACAGCAGACCACCTCCACGAAAGGATGAGATGGCGGGGCGCTCTGGCGGTACTTTACGGTAGTGATAAAAATCACGGAAATCAAAAGGGTACGCTATAGCCGATACAGACTGTAGTTTGGGTTGAACGAGAGTTGGATTTACAAATGTCTTTATGTTCTTATCTACACTGCAGGTATGTGATGTATTTAAGCAGCTGCAGTCATCCCTATCCAGCCTGTGGATATTCTTGAAAGGTTAGTATCGTTTTTTACTTCTATGTTTCTCGTCACCCGCGCGCATGCGATTCAGGAGTCTGGAAGAAAGAGAGAAAAAACCTGTGCTGCACTGTGGGGACCAGATGCACATGTGCACCCTGCCTGGCCTGCGCGACACATGGTGCGAGGTTGCTGCATGCAGTTTTTGTTGTGCAATCTAGGAGTTGTGCAAATCTTGCGGTGTACATTGGGCTGAATTTGCGTTAGAAAGTGTGGGGTTGAACTTTATAGGTCACAGGCGACAATCTCGTATTTTTACTTTGACGTTTGCTCGCGGTGCTCTTGTGTAACATCACATGCACATGTACCACACCGGAATAGTACTACGAGCATTACACGACGTGCAGAGTGCTTGCAAGGCTGCATGCATGCCGAATGCGCCAGTCCGTGGATCATACGAGCAACGCTTTCAAGTACACTGAAGACAAAGGGATTTTCAGCAAGACCAAGACATTTCGTACCTTCTAGATTTTCATTCTGATGTACATACATTCATCATCTTATCACACAACTTCGTCAACAAAATCCAGTTGCACCGGTTTAGAAGTGAAGGCAGGCTCTTACAATATTATGTCTTTCTTTCTGCTCCCATGTGCATGGCATTGTGTTTGATGTACGCAACTAAGCTGCATCTTTCTACTCTTTTTTCCTTTGAGTGGACCTTGAACAGAATCCATACAATAGATTCTACATACATGTAGCTAAATGGCTGCTCATGGTCATAGGCCGCTCATTCCCTGTCATTCTACGTAGCCGTAAATCACTCAAATTTGCTCATGTGCGACGTTTCAAGCCATTGCCTCGAATGTTTATTCGAGGTTCAGTGACACTCATTGTGAATTGAGCTTTGAGGGATTGAGCGTAGTGAAATGGATGGCTCATCGCAGTCCCATTCATTGGTTTTGTGTACAATACCTTCAGTACATTTATAGTATGCGCGGGAAATGCGTTAACCTGAAGTATGAAATGCTCTCTCGCATGCCTTACTGTGGTGCACTGATCTGAGCGTGACAAACGAACACACTAGCTGGGGCTCGACATGCACTCATCAATCTGCTGCAGTGAGCATTCATTGCAATGATCAAAATGAGGTTCGTATTTACAAAACAGTTAGATGGCAGTGGAGGACTCGGGTTGTCTGAGACAGACTGACTACAGGCCAACCAAGCTTTCTCAATTATACCCACTATTTCATTTTTCGATCCAGGTTACAAGAGTAAGCACGAACGACTGTTGATCAGATATGCTGTATTTTGCTTTTGTCCTTTCTTTTACAGAAGGTTTGAATCTTCTGCTACCCCCTAGACAACTGCAAGCTGACGATTTGCAAGTTTTGGAGCGATGTTTTTCTTACTGATACTTTGAAGTAATACTATTTAAATCAGAGCACCTTGTGAACATGATGCAATGGCCTGTCTTCCATTGCACTCTGCTGTACAATCTGCTTTGCCACCATATTCAAGACTGTAGAGTTAGTTGCCGAGCGCATTATTCTCCTGGTAATCAATTTTGGCTAGGTTATTTTGCAAAGTCCTTTCTTTTAAGAAAATAAAACGAATACTTGGTTTAAAAAATCTAGCTAATGAACATCCTGGAAGTACTTGACTTTTTTGAGTCCTGATGGTGTACTGGTGGAGACATTTTATTTTTGTGTGATAAAAGATTTTTATAGAAACCTGAAGTTATTGAAGTTGTGATGGTGCCCGAGTCACATTATCTTGTAAAGCTGTGTTCATAACTGGCGCATTACACGAATTAGGTCCTCACCACGATCGATGTGCCATGGTCCAAATTCACTTTGGACAGAGTTTCTAGCGCTCCGACAGGAGCATGTGCGGCCATTTTGACAATTGACAAAATTGCACGTATGCAATGCACTGGACATAATCTTGCATTTTGCACCATTACTTTGCCTTACAAAGACCTCATCTCAACAATTGTTTCAATAAAACTCTCAACCAAAAGCACTTTGCAGCGCGATTTCTTGGGTCCTACCGGTAGGACGGCATGCAAGCTATCATTATACTCAGGTGCGCTATACTCCGGCAAATGCGGTAACAAAATATAAGTGACAAAGCTTTTTTAAAAGTGTCACTCCCTATGTGGGAGCTTGTGTTTACTTTTCTGGTACATGTATCTGGAAAAATCGCAGAGAATTTGCTTAAGTTTTTGGTAAAGTTGCAAGTACATGTAGATTGACCAATTTACCGGTTTGCCAACCAGAAAACTGCTTTTTCATAGTCAAAAGAAAATTTACATCATGAAATATAGGGACTTCAGACCTCTAGTAACGTGCCTAAGAAGAGTTTTTTTGTCTGGAGTCTGTCCCTGCTAGAATTTGCGGAAAAATTCTCGAAAACGTGCGCAAGCAATTGCGGCAGAAAACAACAAGATATGCGGCGAAAAGTGCGGAACTTGCCAGGAATCCACGGAATTATTAGAAGAAAATTGCGGATTTGGGCCAAATCACGAAATTTGTTGCATCCATGGAATCTCTATTTGTGCGATAGATCTATTCGGGAGTAGTAAGAGTCGTAGTGTGCAAACAATCAACATAATCATGGAAAGCACTGCGTGAAACGTGCATAGAGATGTGAAAAAAGTACAGAAAACAAAACGCTGGAAATCGCGTGTTTTGCACAAAATCACGGGTTTGGGCTAAAAACACGAAATTTTTTGCATTCATGGAATCGCAATTTCCTGGAGGGACAACGGAGTGCGCTCACCTTCCCCTTTCTTACGTTATTTCAGAATCTAGAGGCTGTTGGTTTGCACCTCGAACACACACACACTGTATGGATGCAGGACCAATATCCTGCTTATAATCGTCGGTGTTGGACAAAACGGATAACTTGAAAACAAATGGTCCTCTGCATGAAGATGCGAGCATTTTGATATACATGTGTTGTAGGTACACAGCGGCTCGCCTCTCGCCAATAAAGCTCCTTATACCAATGAAAACTAATGGAAGCACACACCAGGCTTGTTGTTACTCTGTACTGGCTGTCGTGGAGCGATAGCAATATGTTAATTTCAGAACTCAAGAGTGAATTTGACATGCACTCTAAAACCTTTCCGGTTTGGAGCCACCTCTAATTTGACGCGAAAAATTGGGCAACTTGGAGACAATGGGCCAACACAAGGGAGTGGCTCAGTTCGATTCTCATGATGCCTGGCCAACCATAGGATTCGTCCTAGTTCATACTAATGGAAAGTTCGCCTTATCAGTGTTCGTCCCAACGCGGTTTGACTGTATTTGTATAATTAGAATGTCCGGATAACTCGGATATTGAGCCAATAAATATAATTAAAATAGAGGAAATCACATGGAAACGAGTTACGAAGCAACTATCCACGACTGTAACAAGGTTATAAGCAGTCAGAAACTGCGATAACAGGGCACAAAACTGACATGTTACTGAGACTTTCCGACTGCTTATTATCTTGTTAGTCGTGGATAGTTGCTTCATAACTCGTTTCCATGTGATTTCATCTGGATAATTAGAAGTTTTTCCCTAGAATTTTGGGGTTTGACTTATCAGGATTTCACCTGCACCCCCGAAATGGGTGTATTTTCTCTGGCGATCAAATGGGAAATTGGCTACTTATGCATAGGAACAACCTAGCAACATTCATTTTCGCCCAAATCAGGTGACATTTAGTACACAGCCGGCCTCTTATCCTTACCTTGAGTAGACGGCAGATGCACGCTTTGGCGAAAATACCCCTCTTCTTCACACTGGCTTTCGTCATTGCCGACAAGGACGGCAAGTACCAACACGTGTGGTCTTCCAGGGAGCTTGTGAATGAAATCCATAAGATGTTGTTGATGGGAGCTGGGATCATGCTGATCATGGTTAGGCCTTGCCGAAATCGGCTGGCATAATTTTTAGCAGAGAAAAGGAAGTTTTCCGAAAATAGCATAATCTGCTTTATTGCCACAAATTGGCGTACGTTGGAATAAATTAGCAGAAATTGGAAAATTGGCATCAACCAGGATGATTATGGAATTGGCTCAGCAACACAACATTTGAATGATTTGATAAACCCGCACCCTGGCACTCTTCCTTGCAATACAATAGCACTTGACAATGAAGAAAAAGAGCATAATCACACATAACCATAGTTGTCTTTTTAGCAGAATTCTGTTAAAAAATGGAAATGCTATAAGTATATTCTGCTTAAAAAATTGCCCATTTTGGCGCACGCACGCACACAAATACACAATTCGGACGTGCCTTGTGTCAAGGTATACATTACCCAATGTCAAAACACTGCAATACATACATTGAGTTTTACCCAATGCTGTGGGATTGTGAGATGTGTACATGTACGAGTATATGAATGTGTAGAATAACGCCACAGACAAAACGGCAGACATCAACAAAAAACAAAATGGCCATAGGTCTTCAAATTTAAAGCACATGCTATAGACGAAATGCCGGTGAGAAGTATTCTACTAAGACGATGGCGACACACCCTGCCAAATCCAGGTCCTGGAACCAATAGGAAGGCATCCAATACAAGCAAGCTTCTGGGGACATGGTATAAACAATGCCAATTGCAGCAGCTTTTTTGCGTTCGTCAGGCGAAATTACTGGTCAGTCGGCGACACGCATTTTTCACAAAAATTTGCGTTTCACCTGCTGGGAGAGTATGCGTGTACTCGAGTCTCATCCTGAGCACGTTTTTTTCTTCTTTTTTTCAGCTCCAGTATACTGTAAGACATGTTATTATAACGAGTCGCAATTTAACGATTGTCCAAAATTCATAGGTTAACGAGAAGATATGTTAACGATCTTCCAGTATTCTGCCATATCCACACACAGCATATATGAAGCAGTACGGCCTCAACGGATCTTATTATAACGAAGAAATGTCATCCGTTAAAACGTTAGATTTGCTTCCTCGTTATATATACATGTCTTACAGTAGCTGTATTTTTCATTGCAAAGCCGTCCTCGATTGTTGTGTTCGTTGTTCAAACGAAGTGGACATTCAATCATGAAGGCAGAAGACATAGGAGCCTGATTGGAGTTTCTCGTGGCATAGGACGGCCACACAGAGACACTTTGGGATTTTCTGAATATAAAATACCGTACGCACGATGCTGAGGTCAATTTGTGCGATATCAAATTGTTTGTGATCTACCACATCGAGCAGAACGGGATCCAAACACAAGCTTACCGACGGTTAGGCTGCCGACATGACTGGACAAATGATCCCTGGCTTCACCAAACACCAGAAGTCGGACACCATGTCCTTTGCCGCGACGTCCATCTCCAAAAAGAACTCCATCTTCGTCGTGAAAAGGCTTGAAATACTCAATATTCAACCGAGATTCGCGGTCTCACCCTTTCTCAGATCGAATCATTTTTTGTTGTAGCAGTTGCAGGGCAGATCCCCGCCACTACTTCAACAGGCGATGGCTCCAAAGCATGCCTGGAACAAGCCATATCGAGGTTGCAAGCCACTCCTCTCAGCAAAAAAATTCGAAGAAATTCGAAATATCAATGGTGGAAGATACACTATGAAGAGAATTTCAAAAAGTATGTTTCGCGGAGCGATCGCTCAACCTACGTCATTCAAACTTTGCAGGATGGTTCAGACATACATGCTAGGCATGGAACCACAGGCGATGATGCCATAGCTGACACACAGAGTAACACACACAGCAGATTCGTGTGCACAGATACTAAATTAGTGGACGTCGTCATCTTCTTCCCGCTGATCTCGAATGTACTATGACGTGCTATTTCGCCTGACGTTGTTTATCTCACCTCCCCATTGCCCACCCATATTGGTCACATTCCAACACTCTCAATAAATGTGACTGAAGAAAAGTTGTGATAGCACAAAAACCTCTTGAAGCAGGGGAGCTTTGAGGAACATGCTGTAATGTTCTACAGACTGAAAGTGAGAAGTGATCCACCCAGTAACTAACACAGTGGACACTGGCGGTGGCATCCACCAGCCAGAGCCAGGTTTCTGGAGCTAATAGATAGCAACCCACTATAAGCAAGCGTCCGGGAACATGGAATAAGCAATGCCAATTGCAGCCTTTTGCTGTTTGCTTATCTCATATCCACATAGCCCACCTATATTGATCACACTCCCACAAACTTGGGCAGCAGACTCAAGGAAATAAATGCACCCAATGACGTTATTGGAATAAAAACAACAATAATATTACATGTTCTGGCATTGTGGATCAGCATACATGTACAACACACATACAGACACACACGCACGTACACAAACACACACACACACACACACACACACACACACACACACACACACACACACATACAGACACACACACACATACACACGTACACACACACAAAGGTGAAAACTAAGGACTCGGCGGGAATATCTTATCAATGTTCCATATTTCCACAAGACCAAGACGGTCTTCCGCCGAAAACAATCCAACAGCTGTCGTAAGCATACATACCTCGGGCAGAGAGAGAAAGAGAGCAATCAGTCGGACGAAGACCAAGCCCATTACAGGATATGGAAAGGTCATGGAGGATTGACACCGAGAACGATACTTGTGCCGCCATCAGCTGTGCACTAGCTGCCTGGTGACCATCCTAGGCCGCAGAGTTAAAACTTCAAGCGCCAGTGCGCATGTGCACGCACGCACACACACGCATGCACACACACAATGACACAGATGACCAGGTCATGCTTCACTGCATAGTATACGCACGGCAGAAGGCAAAGAAGTTGATCCCTGGAACACTACATACCACTACCAGCTACCTACCTTCCCACAATCACGGTGATCTCCTCGCAAGCATGGCCGAGAGTGTGAGATTGCAGTTCTGCATTCTAAAATACCCTCCCATAACCAAGCAGTCATGGGAGGAAGCAAAGGAAACAGTGTAGGTGAGAGCAACAAATACACCGTTCTTCCTCCTCCTCCTCATCGAAAACCCATCATGGCCAGCGACAATTTTTGGAATTAATTTCTTTAGAGGTATCAAAAGTATGAATGCCGCAGACTGCAAAATTCAGATTAATGGAGTGCACTGCCTTCTTCTAGACAAGAATTTTAGTGGGGATAACATTAAATAAAATTTAATGTTAGTGGATAAGTCGTCAGTCATTACTCTTCTTGAAAGTTAGCAGTAGCGAGCTCACTGATAAGCACTCGGTGACCAACTTGCATCATAATTATTAGTTCAACTAGTTACAAGAGAGACATTGGAAGCTTCAACTGGTCATTAATTTATTCAACGTGGTATTTTGAGCTTTCAGGATTACAAGTCACTGAAGTAGTAATTATCACAACACTCATCATACTCGTATCGTGTACTGAACAGTAGTTTAGCAATCGGTTAGCCTTGGGGGGTACTTAGTAATCACCAAATGAAGAAAAGCAGTAAAAGGAAAGCATAAAATGATAGAGAAGCAAACATTTATATACTGGACATCAGGAGTTATGTGCAAACCACATGCATATCCCCCTGTTCGTCCCCTCCGTCGCCCCCGGCGTTTCCGGAACTGAGACAGTGCCAGGCTTTTGAAATCCATCGCCGCCCATCACCTATCAGGTATAAGAAGCTATTGGTAACATAGCTCACGTTCTGAGCCATATTACACACAATTTATACGCCCTTCAACCAATAATAGAACGGCAACAAACTGAAAACTTGGGCCACGGTTCCTAAACAGTACGTCGCGTTAAGTGCGTTCCCGGCTCAACATGGCCGCAGAGAGATGAAGAAGAAATGCAACTAGGCAAATAGAGTCCGGGAAGAATCTTCCAGCGTTGGATGTATTGCGCTCCAACGGCGATGACAGCCAGCCGTGACGATCATCGGATGAGACCATGAGACGACAGAGGGATATACTCGTACAGAGAGCACCGCTTGCATCTTCTCATAATGCAGCTTGTGCGTCATGATATTATGCTAATGCGGGCAGAGTTACATGATTGCATCACACAGCCTCGAAAGCCGCATCAACTGCTTTCGGTGCAACACGCTAAGTTCCCTACAATTTACAAAAGCACAGCGAACATATCCCCATCATAGGTAGTCTTGCAGATGTATAAAAGGAGGCGCCATCGCCTGTTTGTGTTGCGACAAAATTCAACAACAACAACCTCACGAGAGAATCCACAAACAACATGTTCCTAGGGTAGGTAGCCTGGGAGCTCGTAAGAGAAAAACAAACAGTACATTCATGTAGAACCATTATCATAAACTGATGGATAAGCATTCTATGCTCCGCAAGTGCTGGTCGACAACAGTACAACCATGACAACAGTACAACCATGACAACAGTACAACCATGACAACAGTACAACCATGACAACTACATGTACAATACATTGTAAAACCGTAATCACAACAAAGGCCGTCAACCATGGAGCTCACCTCGTGAAAAGAACAGGAAAAAGGAACGTACCGGTACTACATTGTAGTCCACCTGGTACACGCACCAGGGAGTCGTCTCCTTCTTTCCCGCCGTACTGCGCATGCGCAACTTCCAAGCTCCTTTACTTCGAAGAAATAAGGACAAGAAGAGAAATGTGACTCATTAGTACTCCAAAATGTAATCCCTCCGGTGAAGAAGATGCTATGCTTGAACCGTAGTAATATAAAGAGCGATACTCGAGAAAGTCAACAAATTCCTCCGACAGGGAATGCACAAACAAGGTGATGAAGATGGATAGCAATGTTTACCTTGCTTGCCGTGCTCATTTCGCTATGAAGCCTGCGCAGGAGTCACTGGACTATTCCAAAATCTGCCGCTCATCTGCATTCCATCGTTACTCAGCATAATTATAACTACATGCACTACCATCTGTTTTCTACGTTTAGGATTCTCCTGGAAGAAAGTAAAATAATGGAGAAGAAGGCCATAACGTGCTCCCTACCAGTTCAAACAACAACGACGAGTGAGAAGGCGATGAATTGCAAATGCATACCCTTGCGAACCGATGCAGCAGCTGCAAAGTGCAATGCTAGCGCTCTGGGAAAGGTGACAATGCCCTCTGCACCTTTCACGCCTCCGAACCCTCGACGCACAGGTAACCATGGTAACGCAGCGATTTCAACCACTGAACTACTTACTTGCAACCTCTCAACCCTCTCTTGTTGTCTGTTACCTGCCAGCAGACAGACAAACACTCGAACACTCCACAGCTGCTAGTGGTGCTAACTGCTGGGTCGGTCAAGCGTACCGGTACTGGTAAACATACTGCCCTGAACGTCGAGGGTTCCGGAGCTGTGAGAGGTTCACTCGGTTCTGAGGCAAAACACATTACGTAGATCTGCTAGACTGTCAGTCCAGGAAGATAGCTTATCACCCTGCCAGTTACGAGCTACAGTTCGTGTCGTCGCTGCGTTCCTTGTGCGCCGTATACAGGTTACTGGTATATGTCTAGTCTGCGACGTGTCTGGTGGCATATTGGCTTATTGCCTTGCTGCATGTAGTGCTTCAAGCCTTCGTGTAAAGTAATTAGTTGTGTGTGAACCAGGCACACTGCCACGGCACTGGTGTCTAATACCTGCCAGCAGATAGGCAGCAGATAGGCAAACTCTCGACCAAGCCATCGTTGTTGCTTCGTGTGCCAATGTACTAAAAAGTTAGCTCCGGTTACTAAATTCATAATTATTATGAATTAATTTAGTAACCGGAGCTAACTAACTTCTTGGCTCAGCCAATCAGAGTTCTTCGGGCTGTGCAAGGTCTGTGACTTCCCACCACTACCAGGGAGTCCTGAAAACCCATGACTCCTTGCTTCTCACCAACAACTCGTTCAAAAAGCAATGGAGGAGGCAAGTGAGAAAATAGTCTAGAAACCGTTCACCACAACTCTAATTTAAAAAAAGCAATGGTGGAGCGACGTGGAAAATAGTGGAGAAGCCGTGCCATGGATGATAAATTGATAAGGGGTACGTCATATTATTATTTGTCGTTTTTGTAAATCAGATGCATGTAACTAGTAGAACTGCTCTATATCTATAATATCTATACATTGTACTATAGCTTGCACTATACAACAACACAGGCAGGACAGAAACGGTTCAAAGTAGGCACTGTACTTTTAAAAAAAACACAAGCCAGCCGGTAAGGAAATCCATCAGTCAAGTGTCTGCCGACAGCAAACAATCCTCACCATCATCAACGTAAACAAAGCAGGATGACCTTTAACTTCAACGTACAGCATGTATCACAATAATATCATGTCACGCATTCTATACGGGCGATAGTTTTTTTGCACTATTGCATGCACATGCCGACCAATGCAGTTAAAAAAAAAAGGTGAAATTAGCATGGTTCGTTGAAAGAGATATATTGTTAGGTTCAAGTGTGTCCGGAGTAAATTGTTTATTGTGTTCAGTGTGGCGAGCAGCAGCTACCTTCGAGCTGTACAGTCAGGGTATGGTTGAGTGCAGGTATGGATAGGCACAGAACACCTTCATGGTAGCCTGCACTCGAAGGTTGATAGTGAACGGGTAGGCGTACACAACTTCTGGCCCTGGTGACAATAGAACACAGCAGTAGAAATGAAAACAGGTGAGGAAAAAAAGCATGGACTCTTCTACACCTTGCACACCCTCTGGGCTTCTCTTACAGGAAACGACAACAGATCAAGACTTGCACCAGGTCAGTCTTCAATTTGCATAGCTGATGAGGCCACGAGAGCTAGTATCGCCTTCACATAGCTGATGAGGCCATGAGAGCTAGCTTAGTATTGCATTCGCATAGCTGATGAGGCCATGGGAGCTAGTGCGGCCTCGGCAGCTACGAAGAACCAATATATACAAAAAATAACTTTAAAAATAAGCATAGCAAAAGTACACACGCACGCGCGAGCGCACACATACACACACACTTGATACCTGGCCCCCGAACACTACAGTTGACGACATGTGGTCAATTTGGCACTACAAACTCTTGGCGATCCTCGACAAGCATGCTCCTCTCCAGTGTTCTACTGCCAAGTGGAAGCAGCTACCACCCTGGTCGGACTGGCACCTCTTCCAGCTCACCCAGCGCAAGAATCGGCTGCATAGGCGGTGGCGGGGAGACAAGGTAAACGCTGCGCTCCACACTGCATTCAAGCGCGCCCGTGCGGAAGCTAGAAATGCATACCGACAGAAGCGAAACGCTTACTTCCAGGGACAATGTACAGCAAACGCAGGAAACACCAAGAAGCTTTGGCGTACCATTAACAAAGTCACCTGTAGAGACCGTCCCCATGTAGAACCCTCTTGTACGATCGAAGATGTCGCCTCAGCCTTCCACAAGGTGGTTACTGATGACTGTCGACCGCAAACGTTGTCTGCTCCCCTCGGGCCTCCACCCCGCACTTCCCTCCCCAAGTTCTCACATGTCAGTATCGGTGCTGTTGAACGGCTACTCCAGCAAGTTAATCCCGCGAAGGCAACAGGCAGCGATGGCGTACCAGGGGCAGTCCTCAAACTCTGCTCTGACGTCTTGGCGCCGTCTGTCACTAGCCTGTTCAATGCCTCGCTGTCGTGCGGACATGTGCCTTCGGCGTTCAAGCTAGCTAATGTCATCCCACTGCATAAATCTGGTGATCCATCGCTGCCAACTAACTTCCGCCCTGTATCCCTTCTACCCATACTCTCCAAGCTGCTAGAGAAGTTGGTTCAGAAGGAGCTCATCACCTTCCTGGACATAACAGCACCGTTACCAACAACCCAGTTTGCGTTCAGGCGTGGCCACTCTACCGAAGACGCATTAGTCCTTATGTCAAACCGCATCCTAACAGCCAAGGACCAGGGCCTGTTCACAGGTGTATGCCTGTTAGACATCTCCAAAGCCTTCGATAAAGTCCAACATGTCAAGCTATTGCAGGATCTCCACAGTGTTGGGGTGTCCGGTTCTGCCTTGGACTGGTTCGCCAGCTACCTATCCGGTCGCACTCAACGTGTCTGTCTGGGGTCGCGGACTAGCTCTATATCAGTTTGCACGAGTGGTGTCCCCCAAGGTTCGGTGCTGGGCCCCATTCTGTTCAGCCTTTACACCCGCGAGGTCCCCGCTATAGTTGGCCAGTCCGAGTCAGTTCAATTCGCTGACGACATTGCGCTCGCGTGCAGCCGGCGAACAGCACAGGAGGTATCCGATGTCGTATCTGCTTCGGTTTCAATCCTTGCAGACTGGCTGAAGGATCGAGGCCTGATCCTCAATGCTGGCAAGAGCCAAGTAGTGCCAATTCCTGCCGGCCGTCAGCACACAGCTGATCTACAGGTCGTCTGCCATGCCACTTCACTGCCTAGTGTGCTAAGTGCTCGTTATCTTGACGCCACAATCGATTCCGGCATGTCCTGGCACGCCCACATTGCCAAATGTTCTGCACGCGTGTCGCAGAAGATCGGAGCACTCTGGCGAATGCGCCGCTGCCTGAATCACCAGTCACGCATGACCTACTTTAGATCGCTGATCATGTCTGACCTGCTGTATGCTTCAAACGCGTACTCTAGCTCACTGCAAAGAAGGTACCTCGACCGTCTACAGGTCCTGCAGAACAGTGGGGCTCGTGCTATCTTTGGCCGCCCTCCGTGGTCGTCTGCCCGCGACCTGCTGGAGCGCATGGCAGTGTTCCGTGTGGCAGAAGTCTTCAATCAGAAGCTAGCATACCTGGTGTGGCGCTGTCGTTATGCACTGGCAAGTCCAGAGTTGCAAGCCCTGCTAACCCCCGCTGCACCCGGCCCTACTCGGCTCCAATCTGCCATGGGCATGTGCGTGCCAGTTTCCCATTCAGTTGCGGGGTGGGGGCGCTTTGCTTGCAAGGGTGCTGTATTATGGAATGCCCTCCCCAGCGACATCCGTGCAATCCATCACGCTCGGCAGTTTCGCACGCAGGTAATCCCCTATACCTGTGCCCTGTAGATGCTGAAGACAAGCGAAATCTTCTGTTTTTCTGTTTTCTTTCTGTTGTACCCGATCTCCCTCTGACTCTACGCTGAAGCATTTTTAAATTCTCATTCTCATTATAATTTTCATATTCGCTTTCATGTTATTGGGTTCTATGCCCGTTTAAATTTGCGAATCAAAATAAATACAAACAAACAAAACAACACACACACACACACACACACACACACACACACACACACACACACACACACACACACACACACACACACACACACACACACACACACACACACACACACACACACACACACACACACACACACACACACACACACACACACACACACACACACACACACACACACACACACACACACACACACACACACACACACACACACACACACAATGAAGAAATCAGCCAATATTGTTACCAACCTTAAAGTGAACTGGCGATGACTTGATCTGACTGTGAATGGACTGTCCACAGAAGTGACACACAGCTAAACATACAGAAAGCAAAAACAATAATTGCTCAAGACAACAAATCATACTACACTACATCACAAGAACTCAACCGTGTTCAGAGATAACACTTCAGATGTGATTCATTTCTACTTTGCTCCCTATAACTGTGCCACCCCTATACCCCACACTTCCCCCTCCACACATTTCCAGCACTCTCACGCAGACCGGGAAGTATCAACTTTCCATCCACTTCTGCTATCAGCACACACCACATTACAGTCCACGCTAGGAAACCAAAGGTGATGGCTTTCCCGTTTATCCCCTCCTTTTCCCTACTTGCGACCCCAACTACCCGAACACCAGCTACCTGAAGATCGGCCAGAGTGTGAAACTCGGAGCTGTAACTTAAATTTCCCTCTCTCCATACTGTGTGTAGTTCTCTGATAAGATTTCTGTGCATCATGCGAATTGCCCAAAGACGACAGGGACCAAAATCCTTCCTCCCTAAACGAACCAATATCTTCTCTAAATATAATATTAGGCCGCACCGAAAAAGTCCTTTGTTTCGGGTAACCCGGCCGACCGATGTTTTGAGCCCCAACCGATTTTTTTAATACATGCATAATACGGATGTACATGTACGTACGCGCAGTTCGCGATGTTCCAGGCCCAAAGCTCTTCCTTCCTGGCTCTGGCTAGACATGTCGGTCCTTTGTTTGGAGTTGACTCGATCGAGTCGGATTTGTTGCAGGGTGGTTGTAGTTGCCAAGTGTAACGTTTTCGACACTATATGTTTTAGTTTAGAAACTTTAGTGGCTGTGATTCTGCCCGCAGTTGACATGTACATAGCATTGTATGCCTGCTTTTATAATATCGACCACACATTTTGTATCTGGGCTGTGTGCTGTACAGATGTGCGTACCAGATCAGGCATCAGGGATCAGGCATGCATAAAATAATTATATCAGCAAAAAAAAAGAAAGCCGACCGACCGACCGACCGGTATTTTCTGCCCATGTTACCCGAAACAAGAGACTTGTTCAGTGCGGTCTTACATTGATATTTTTGGACGACCCCAATAAAGACAAAATGTTGAAACCCCTGGAGTTGTCTACTAACGAGGGTGGACCTGTACTTCTAAATGTGCTGTAGTGGTGGTGTGGAGTATTTATACTAGGGGCAGTATGCGTAGTCTGGTGCAAGTTCTTAGTTCTCACTTACTTCATGCGCATGGTGGGCACGGTTACTGATGGATGCCTTCAGCACTGAAGAGGTGCTCAGTGACTCAACAGAGAATTTGAGAATTTCTATGTCAGCTGAGACCTGGCTGGATCCAGTCTTGGTGAATTTCTTATCTCGATGACCTGGGGTTGAAACCTTGCTAGCTCCCCTGCGCAAACATAGCAGGAAACATGCAATGAACCAGGGCAAAGGAGCAGTTTGCTTCAGCGAGACGAAAGTACTTTTCAAAAGATCATCAGTCAACTACAGAAGGAGTATCACAAGCACTGCTGACGATGCTGAACACATAAGCACCATTAAATACAGGCTACAGACAGCATAGTATTCCAATTTGTGTACGATACGGTAGATGACTTATGAGGCGAACGATAATGCAATCAATGCATTGAGCTCACGATTTTGACTCGTCTTGGCTGAGCACTCTTTCTGGTTTGCATGAAAGCTACAGTAGCTAAGCTAATGGATGTGCCTTATTGCAAAGCTTGCTATACTTCTTTTATTGCAAAGCTTGCTTAGTTGCTATACTTCTCGAAGTTACCAGATACCAGGTACTCTGACTTTGACGCCTTGAGCCAATTTCAAAACAATTTGCTGTTCACTAGTCTTCATCACAATTGACTCTTTGGCCAGTCACTCTGACCTTTGCTGAAAGGACCTAACAAGGTCAATACAGCTAGCTGTCTGGGAATTGTGTGACCCGTTTTAAAAATACCGTGAAAGCAATTAAAAAAAAACAAGTTTCCTGTCTGCATTAACTTGAATAACCCTTATCCGAGTGGCCAGTCAAAAATCGATGGCTATCCGTCGATGACTTTAACAAGCTGGAACTCGCTCATTTTGATCGAATCTGCACTATTTTAGTGTCAAAAGAAGCAGGAAAGACCCACCATTCATTTGCAAAAAAAAACAGAGCGTGTTAGCATGTTCCAAAAAGAAGGTATAAGTCTCTGAAGGAGGTCTGTTTTCACACCGCGTACGAAAAACAAGTTTCCACACGGTGCAACTTTGGCAATGATTATCTTGCCCTCCTAAAACTTTGCCTGGAGGCTTCCCTGATGGCAAGTACATTAAAAATGAGTTGGCATGAAAGTACAAATTTAAGACTACAAATAGTCCACATGTCGATGAGGCGTACTTCTCTTCAAAAAATGGACTTGGAGATGGATTTTTGTTGCTCTTACAAATGAAGGCTAGAAACTGTTTCTAGAGAACTCCTCATGGCTCAAGCTTTCCAAAAAGCCTAAGAGTGCCAATTTCACCAAACTGAAACTAATGTTATCATCAAAATGGGTCGCGGCGTCTCGCTGGGACTGAGAATTTGTCCACTTTGTCTGTCGGATAAGAGTTAAAAAATATTAATGAGCACTACAAGAGCCAGGAGAAATGTAAGTGACCACTACAATAGCCGCACAATAGCCACCAGGAGAAATAGAACAAAGCTAGCGAAGCTAGGGCGTGCCTAATACTTGGTCCGGCTCATCGCAATTGTCGCTTATCTCCCACGCACCTTTTGACGGGTAAAACCCAGTCCGATCACGATATCTAACTTACTTTTGCTTGGGAGGTTGTGATGGCAAGATCAAAGGAGGCACCAAAGAAAAATGATCGCGACTAGCACTTTGAATCGCGATGTGTTCGACTTTTTGGGGAAGTGGGAATCTGGCCATTCACTGTCTGTGTTGCCAAAAGCCAAGCGCGCAGCGACCCGAAGACCGGAACTGTGGCAGGGGCAACTGACATCCTGGAGAGCGTGACAGGCACGCGTGCACGGCAGAGGAGTACGAGCCGCATGAGCGTCATGCTGAAGAAGAAAGGTGTTTTGATGCGATGCGCCCGGCCGACAGTTGTTGTTCCTTGCTTGGTGGACCTAGCAGCAGCGTTACAAGAGTCGTGGTCAGCGTATTCAGCGGAGCGTATGACAGCTGTCTGGAGAGGCCTGTAATGCTGTATGCCTCGAAGGCTTTGTTGAAACGCCCTGTGGAGACACACAGGTCACACTGCCCACGGTTCCTTCAAGCACCGAAGTGACAGCCACAGCTGTTCCTTTCCCATTGCTGCCATACGACAGCCTGAGTGAGAAAGCAAGAGATACTCCGTCTACGCCAGCAGCTAGACACCAGCAAATGTCAGCTCATGTTACATGTAACGGCGCGGCAGCTCGAGTGATGCAGAGTTGAATGAACTCTGGACCTGTAAGAGTGTGAGTGCAAGAACGCGCTCCTTCGCGGATTTATTTCGTGCATTTTGCTTACCTTGCTTCCTTTCTTCGACTCGCTTCACCTGATTCCATTGCTGAATTTTTTTCTTGTGGCGGAGAGTATTTGTGTATCATGCTTCCTCACTATGCCTAATGGAAATTTCACAGAGCGGTAAAAAAAACTCCTGTTCTTAGTGGCGATAGATAAGCGACAATTGCGATGAGCCGGACCAAGTACAATAGGAGACAGGTGAAGTAGGGCTGTAGTCAGTTTGAAGTGCGGGTAGATTGGGTACGCTCACACATCCGCATTACTCCACACACGGAGTACAGTATTACACCAGTAATTTTAGCCTATTGCCATTATTTACACAGTGCTAGCTGTTCTGGCCATCTAGGCCTCATCAGCACAGCCATTATTTCCTCAATTGTTGCTCAGGACCTGAACAGGTGCCTACTCTACAGTGGCAGAACAATGAAAAAGCTGCCATGCTAACATATGCCACTTTGTCTTCAGTCCTGGGTGAAGTAGGAATGTAATCAGGCCTCACACCTTGCATGGCTTTCTCTTTCAAATCCATGCAAATAATGTGAACCGGTGTGCACTCCTGGTGCTAGTTCTCCAAGCCAAAAACACTCTTAGGGGGTTATTGAACAGCCCAAAAGCTCACGTTTCAACGGCTGATCCGATGGTGGCATGTTTATACCGAGTGCCAGCGTCCTGTGGTGCGTCGATGGATGAGTAGCTTTCAGGAACAGCAGTAGTCACAGCATGCAGTGATGATGACAGTACACTACTTGCACTGGTGACAACTGACTTCATCATGTGGGCACCTTGTGGGAACTGTGGCAAACCCTGCACAATATTGTAGAATGCACGAGAAGAGCACAGACACAAACATGGGTGTTCAATGGCATACTGCGGTCCAAATATCCTATGCATAAACACACACATACGTACTGTACTGTACTGTACAGTACTTGCTCACTGCCATGACTGGTCACGCGAGTCTCCCCCGAAGAGGGGAGAGAGATTCGAAAGGAAGCTGGGAAAGATGGCTCAATTGGCTATTGAACAGCCCAACGGGTGACACCCCCTGAAATCCCCAAACTCTGGGTGGACTTGGAAATGATCCCACTTATGGGCTCACCACACCTCAGTACGTGGGCGAGGACAGGGTGCAGAAAAGGTATTGACGGCATCAAGGTATCCGTTCCGGGATCCAACTGCAGTTACCCCGGCCCCCAAGGAAGATACTATTTGCTACTAGTGTGGGTGACTAAATCTGACTGGATCTGATATAAGCTTCACTAGCACCACTGATTACACAAGAGTTAATCTAGCCAGAAGTAGTCCACGGTTAACAGGTATGTATACTTCAAATATAAAGTAAATTTCTATGCACACACACACACACACACACACACACACACACACACTCACACACACACACACACACACACACACACACACACACACACACACACACACACACACACACACACACACTTCCCATTTCTCCCTACTGATGTACAGCCGCGGCCAAAGAAATCCAACCCGCAAGTCAAAAGTAGTACCGCCGTTCCATTTCAATTACATCATACAGTACACGGTCCATAAACCAATCCGAGGGCCCCCATGAGCCTTGGCGTTACTTTCAGCGCACACTTTGGGCACGACTGTACTTGCAAAAAGTAGAGAGCACACATTCTATTGTATAGATACATGCACTGTGTTGATTACGGCAGCTACTGTCGCGAATTCGATCCAACGTAACATTCGCGAATGCTAAAATAACTCAGTTTGAATGTTTCACGTAACTTTTCTCCTTTTTTTGTCTATCGCCATATTTGCCATGGCGATGTGCAATGCTGGCAGTTTTGATGCGCATGCTTGATCCTTTGGCGATGATGTTTTTGGTGGGCTGACTGCACTCGAGGAGTTTCAGTTTTTTGTTCTAATGGTACGTCTGACGACGATGAAGCCCAATCCTTGTTGCTCTGTGTCCAATGTCAGTAACGATAGAGCTACAATTGTAGAGCTCTCTCGACTCAGCGAATAGAATAACTTCAGTCAAACAGTATTTCGTGAGTGGCAATCAGGCCGGGAAATTCAAACTGTATTTATGCCACCACAAACTGGTGCCGAAACCCGGGAACAAAGGAAGAACAACACCGTACAGTCTCTTCGTCTCTACATCGACGACAAAGGACTCATCCGAAGCCGTGGAAGACTTGAACATGCAAACCTTCTGCCTTGCTCTAAGTTCCCTATTTTCTTGCCTCATAACTCGGCGGTGACACGCCTGCTCGTCGAAGAGCATCACCGCATTCTCATGCATCCTGGAGTGTCGCATACTCTTGCTAGCATAAGGGAGAAGTACTGGATCCTTAAAGGCCGCAGTACAGTGAAGACTATCCTAAAGAAGTGCATCACATGCCGTCGAGCTGAAGGTGGTCCGTTTCACATGCCAGCAATGGCTCCATTACCACCGGAAAGAGTTAACGTAGCAGAAGCATTCCTGTACACCGGAGTCGACTACTTTGGTCCTCTCTTCGCGAAGACAGCTGAGGCATCGGTGAAGGTTTGGGTAGCCCTCTTCACACGCCTATCAACACGCGCAGCACGCGAGCTTGTTACGGATATGTCATCAGAGCAGTTTCTACTAGCCTTCCGCCGGTTCATATCACGTAGAGGTGTGCCCAGAGCGATGTGGTCAGACAACGCGCCACAGTTTAAAATGACAAAGACGACCCTCGACAAAGCTTGGAAGGAGGTGATCAGCGACCCAGCAGTAGCCGACACCATCACGGCACGCGGCACCGACTGGCACTTTAGTGTGCAGCACACCCCTTGGATGGGTGGAATTTACGAGCGAATGGTAGGGCTTGTGAAACGAGCTCTCCGCAAGACTGTCGGATCAGCCCACCTGACCCCAGACCAGTTGCGGACATTTGTTACAGAAGCGGAGGCCGCAGTTAACAGTCGGCCGCTCATCTACGTGGGGGGGGGGGGGGGAGATACACCTGTGGCTAGCACTGATGTGATCACACCTTCCCACTTTCTATCTTTAAAACCTAATTTAATGTTTCCTGAGTTAATTGATGAACAGAATATCTACCCAGACTTTTTGTGTCGCCTTTCTTCTGCCTCTTCTTTGTTACAGGGGTGGAAGAAAGGCCAAGCCCTCGTCAAGGACTTCTGGACAATTTGGCAACGGGACTACCTGCCAAGTCTCAGAGAGCGCACCAGTACTGGACGCCACAAGCGAGGCACAGGAACCTATGTACCCAGAGTCGGACAGCCGGTCCTCATGGGCGACAGCCAACCACGCGGCACGTGGAAGCTAGGCGTAGTCCAAACTATCCACAAGGGGAAGGACAACGTCACTAGGTCTGTGACACTCAGAACAACTACAGGCAAGTTGTTGCAGCGCCCAGTTAGTACCCCGTATCCACTAGAATGTGAGTTACATGTGAGTTACATGGATGTAACATGTGAGGATGCACATGCACCAACCCCAGTACCATCTCAAGATGTGCATACACCTGCTGTTCATGTAGCGTCCACCACTAATACCAGACCGCAGCACAGAACTGCAACACAGAGCCGGCGTCAAACGGTCGCTCTGAGAGACTCCAATCTTGTGTAACACCATTCGTTCGAGTCAGTTTACAATAACTCAAACACGGATGATTTCTTGCAATATGTCAAGCTGAGACCCAATCTCAGACAATCCATTTTCTTCAGCTCTCCCATGTATTCTTGCTATTTCAGTCATACTACTTTCAGCTCATGCTGCGTCAGTGTAGCTTCCGATCCCTTTTATATTATGGCTATTTCAGTCTAGGTCTTGGTCGGACTATTGTCAACTGTACTGCCTACAGTTTCAGCGGCTGTGTGTTCGCTCAAGTTCAGTTTCTTCTTCTTCCGTTCTTATTAACCCTTTCAGTGCCAAGGACGAGATAACTCGTCCTACAGACCCCCACGCGATTGGCCAAGGACGAGATATCTTGTCCTCGTAGTGCGCACTACTATATCTCACCGGCCATGCACTACAATCTAGCTTGGCCGATTGTGGCTTTTCGAGGGGAAACTAGGGGTTTTCCCCTACTGAATAAGACCTCACTCGCCATGTCTGAGTAAGTAAGGGCGCGGGAGCTTACATTCAGAGCTCTCGAGTGAAAAACATATTTCGATTCAGAAAAAATTAGATTGACGGAACGTACTTTAGGTCCCTCTAGCTGTCCGTCAGACACGGCGAGTCGCCGCATGTCGGCTGAAGAGGTGCTCCAGTCCATCATGGACTCGGACATTGATGACTGGAGCTGCGATAGTGAAGGCGATGACTCGGATGCGGACATAGCCGTCCGCGATCGTGACGGAACAAATTTCGCGGACTCGTCCGCCGTGGTCGATGTTGTACCTACTGCCGTGGTCGCCTTGGACGGCCCTGAGGATATCGGAGATGTCGATGTCGAGTTTGAGCAGGGCGCAGCAGCACAAGCTACGCCAGCGAGGGACAACAAGTGGGTTTGAATTGATGCGACTAATTTAAAAAATAAGATTTTTTATGAAAATGGCCCGGCCAACAGCGTACATCTGGCCTGGCACTGAAAGGGTTAATAACAATTCCGCTGCCTTCAAGCAGCTCAGCCTATTTCTCAGTTTTCAGGTTTACTTGTCTACACTTCAATAGGTAACTTCAGTTCCAAGTCACTTGTGGACTCAGTGTCAGTACTCGCAAAGTTTTCAGTCACAACCACTTTGCCTCAGCATAATTTAGAATTTCTTTCTTTCATTTTCTACCTTTGTTGCATTCACCACATTTTTTCTCTCTTGCTGTCTCGGGAGTGTCGCGAATTCGATCTTACGTAACATTCGCGAATGCTAAAATAACTCAGTTTGAATGTTTCACGTAACTTTTCTCCTTTTTTTGTCTATCGCCATATTTGCCATGGTGATGTGCAATGCTGGCAGTTTTGATGCGCATGCTTGATCCTTTGGCGATGATGTTTTTGGTGGGCTGACTGCACTCGAGGAGTTTCAGTTTTTTGTTCTAATGGTACGTCTGACGACGATGAAGTCCAATCCTTGTTGCTCTGTGTCCAATGTCAGTAACAATTAATTCAGTAACGATAGAGCTACAATTGTAGAGCTCTCTCGACTCAGCGAATAGAATAACTCCAGTCAAACAGTATTTTGTGAGTGGCAATCCGGTCGGGAAATTCAAACTGTATTTATGCCACCACAGCTACCCTAACCCTGGTAGATCACACAGATTGCACTCAAGTACAACAAAAAGAAGTATATACATGCCTGGCATAGAACTCACACAATGTTAAGCAGTATGCTTCAAATAACACAAGTTACAATGTTACACAAAACACACCTTGCCAGTAAACATCAGCTGCTGAGTACGTTTGCGCTGACTGCTAACTGACCCTCCCTTATGATCTGGTAGTGTGTACTGCCATTAACGGAACAGAGAAGAAAAATAAGGACACAACGCAGCCGTTACACAACACAGCCATGACACAACACAGTCGTGAGACAACGCAGCCATGAGAACTCACAATGTAGCCGTGACACAATATTAGCACAATATCCAGTCAAAGAATCTCATACAACGCTTGCTGGGGTGCTGGCGAAGGTGAGCTTTATCAAGCATTATATCCTCGCTCACCGCGTACTCTCATGCAACTACATCAACTACACGAGGAAAACAGAGCAAGACGTGCTGCCCTACCTCAACCTGCCAGAGCTGAGAGAATGTACCAACGTCACGTGGTTCAAATGTCACATGGATCTGCATAGCAATACAGAGCACACAATAAAGGACATTCTGATCCAAGAAACTCTGAGAAAAAAAAATTATTTCGAAGAACTACAAGACACAGCAGGCCAGGGAAAGTTTCAAAAAGTCATGTGACAGATCAACTCAACACCACAGGCTAGTAGCCAGTACCTCCCCCGTAGCCAGTACCTCCCCCGTAGCCAGTACCTCCCCCGTAGCCAGTACCTCCCCCGTAGCCATTACACCCCACAGTACTTGTAGCAGCACAGTGTTTGCTTCAGCACAGTGCTTGTAGTGCCTGTAGCAGCACAATGTGCCTAGTAATGTACTTACCTCCTTGTTCTGCAGTGGATCTAGTGCACCATAACGACCATCCACTACAAACGCTGCATACAGTGCCTGACTTTCAAACATGTCACTTCCAACCGGCTGTATGAAGTAACAAAACCATAACAGAGAATCATCATGTTAGAACAAACCAAATCAATTTCCAAATATTCACCCCATTTTACCGGACACGTCAGCCTTTTACGCAGCAAAGAGCAAATTCAAAAACCAGGGGTGGACATTCATACGGGAATTCGCCCGAGCCATCTGTAAGTTGTTGAGACTGCATTGTTCAGAAAATACTGCACTCACACTCACTGCTGTATGTGCCATCAAACAGTGAATGAGTCCCAACATGTCAAGGTGTGTGTGTGTGTGTGTGTGTGTGTGTGTGTGTGTGTGTGTGTGTGTGTGTGTGTGTGTGTGTGTGTGTGTGTGTGTGTGTGTGTGTGTGTGTGTGTGTGTGAGTGTGTGAGTGTGTGAGTGTGTGAGTGTGTGTGTGTGTGTGTGTGTGTGTGTGTGTGTGTGTGTGTGTGTGTGTGTGTGTGTGTGTGTGTGTGTGTGTGTGTGTGTGTGTGTGTGTGTGTGTGTGAATGTGTAGACTCATCGTGTAGCACAGGGCAGTAAACTTTGAAATAGATTGTGGAGGTTCAAAGAGCAAGAGTAGACTTTAAAAAGCCACGGTCGACATATAACCGACCAAATACGGCATACAGAACCAAAGTGTGACATGGCATTGATGACAGCTTAGCAAGCAAACGGCGGAGACAAGAGGTCAATATAACGCACAATATCTACTGACCAAGAACAACACCGACACATAGCCATAATATGTTACAAACTAGAAAATGTATGGACCGAAGTGTGTTCTTTTCGGGACATCCCTAGTTCCTCAGGGGACTCTCTTTCCAAGGTATTCCAGTGCCTTCGGAGAATCCTTGAAGTTAAAAAATGTCATGGTTTCCATGAGACTCAGTTAAACTGAGTTTCAGCACCCTCAGGAACGCCACCACACACCAGGATCAAGCCGCAGATGAAGCTCCTAAGCGGTGAGAGGTGAGTAGATCAGACCCACCACCAAGTGGTCGAAGACAGAACATCCCATTCCCTGTATTCATGTATCCCTCGTTCCAGGTCACGAGTTCCCAATTAATAGACCATCGCTAAAAATACCCGTATCACAGTAATATTGGAGCTGTAGACAAAACATTGTACGGCCTACTATACTACTGACCATCACATAGGCTGGTCTCAGAGACAAGACTTGCCACTTCATTACGGACGATGTCACATTGTTCAGAGAAACACCAGATTCTACAAGAGAAGAAAAAAAACACCGGGCACACAACCGCGCAGACAGGCAAACACAGACAAACGAATAACATGCGTGCACATGCGGATACATTCCAAAAAAAGGTTGGTACAGCCACCTTCATTCATATCACTGATCAAAAAAACGCTGGTGTTGGCTATGGAGCTGCATGGGTGGCATTGTATTACGGAAATGTGTTTGTCATGCCACTGAAACTGACAAAACAATATTCTGCCTTGATCTGCGCCGTTCCAAGTCTAGATCAGAAACACGTGTTCTACACGGTGAGAATGTTTCTGAACGTTTGTAACAGCGTAATGACCCAAGTGACCAACACAATTTTCTTCCTCCTGAGATCAGACTCGACAAGAGCGCTTATGGTTCTTGTTGCGCTGCCCTGTGTCGGTCCTAAACCAGAAATTCCAAATAGAAATTTGTGCTTGGCACAGCTAATCTGCTAATGCAAGTTGCATCACTGTGGTTCAGAATTGCTACACAAGCTGTCGATCGACTTGTGATTTAGGCCCCCCCCCCCCCTCTCCGAATGAACGAAGCTTGTTTCGGGGACGATAAAAAGTTTTCGCGATGGCTCCTAATAAGCCTACATTACAACGCTGTACTCCATATGTGGAGTGATGCACAATGGTAAAACCATGCACAAAAGTTCCCAATCGCCCCTCTTCAATTTGAAGCTGGCTACAGCTATGAAATGAATACACACACATACACATACAGAGAGTGTGTAAGTGTATGTGTGAGTGTGAGTGTGGGGGTGTGAGTGTGGGGGTGTGAGTGTGTATGTGTGCATGTGGGTGAGTGAGTGAGTGAGTGAGTGAGAGAGAGAGAGAGAGAGAGAGACAGACAGACAGCACGTGTGCAAGCGCGCGCGCAAGAGAGAGAGAGAGAGAGAGAGAGAGAGAGAGAGAGAGAGAGAGAGAGAGAGAGAGAGAGAGAGAGAGAGAGAGAGAGAGAGAGAGAGAGAGAGAGAGAGAGAGAGAGAGAGAGAGAGAGAGAGAGGGGGCAGACAGGCACAAGCTGGCGACCAGGCAACAAGCATCTCACCAGATGATTGTCCAATGGGAACCGGTGGGAAGGCAATAGTTCGAAGAGATGATGATGATGGTGCATTATGAACTGCACTACCACCATCATCCTGTGACAATAACGTTGAAGTAGGCTTATCGCGTAATTTCTTTCCCACAGTCGTCTTCAGTGTACCGGCGACTGCTGGTGTTGCTGTTGGTGCTGCCTGTGAATCTGGCAATGATGTAGATTTGTCTTGCTCAACAGAAGGAGAAAAGGGGTACTGGAGAGTGGATGCAACATTGATGATAACATCCTGGAAAATAAATCAGGAACAATGACGACGACAACCACAAGAGCAGCAAAGATGTATTGAACAGCGAAAAGCCACAGTGACAGATACATTTTAAATTTTAGGGCTGAAACGATCGTGGATTTTCACCTATCGATTACTCTTGAGCTTAACGATCGATTTATCGATTATAATCGTTAGCAAATAGTGTCAGAATTTTGTGCAAACATTGCTCTGTTTCCGAAATCTAAGCCATTATAATACCACAAATTTGCATTAAGCGGGATTCACAGAAGCTTTTTTGCGATGCGACACGCGATGCGACAGACGCGAAACCGGGAAAACCCCAAATCGCAGCCATGTCGCACCCCACGCAACTGCCGCAACTGGGCCATCGCAGGCCATCGCAGAAGTTGAGCGGGATTCACAGAAGCTTTTTTGCGATGCGACACGCGATGCGACGCGATCTGCGATGCATGCGTGCGATGCGAACTCGCGAAATACCATTCACAGAAGAAGTCAACGATGCGACAAAGTTTTGCTGATTTGGGTACGTCACCATGATATTCGCGCGGTTTGACACAACTTGTAAAAATTTATAGGCAACTCTTGCACCTTTGTACAACTTTGCTGTAGAAAAGGTCAAAATCGTACACCAAATCGCTTGTCGCATCGCATCGCATCGCAAAAGTTGAGCCAAGCTCAACTTCTGCGATGGCCTGCGATGGCCCAGTTGCGGCAGTTGCGTGGGGTGCGACATGGCTGCGATTTGGGGTTTTCCCGGTTTCGCGTCTGTCGCATCGCGTGTCGCATCGCAAAAAAGCTTCTGTGAATCCCGCTTTAGTGACAGGGTAGCTCAGAAACATGGTAATTATAAAGTAAATTTAACCTCAGAATATGCACCATGCCTCTGGCAACTACATACTCACAGTGTAAACTGATTCAAGCTTCACAAAACGAGGGTTTTCAGTACTTTTTGGACTCAAAACCCCTAACGAGTAATCTATAACGTAACGATTACTTGATTGATAAGGAATTATCGATCGATTACCGAGTAATTGGTATAATCGTTTCAGCCCGAATTTTAATACACTAGGGATGATTGTTTGACCCGACCGACCCGACCACGCAACACTTGCAACTACCAGCACACAACAGGCGCGTACGCAGGGGGGCGTTGCCCGGAAACCCCCCAAATGTTCCAAACGATTAACGTTTTTGAGCATATTTTGGTAGGGTGCACGATCGATCTGGCAAGAATGCAAAAATTCAACAGATCGGAACTCAGTCAAATCTCGCTCAAATCCAACGATCCAAATATCCAGGTCGAATAGAAAACTCTCAGCTGTCGGTTGAAACAATTTGCGACGCGCTGCAAGCAATGGCTCTTGAGATAAATCGTTCGTAAGTTGAGCCGCGATCTCGCAATTTCAAAAGCGCGCAGTGCGACTCGAGTATCGAGAATTTGAGACTTTTCGTCACGCTGACTTGCTCAAATTTGCAGGGGCTTCACTTGTGATATTTTCAAGAGTACACAGCAAAAATCGAAACTCTGCGATCAAGAAAAACGAAATCGCTGGAGCAGGACGCGTTTGGGCCTTTGGCCCAGTTTGGGGCATTTTTTCGCACCGTCGCTGCACTCTACCGCTATAGCATATAGCGCTGGATATGTACATGGCTGTACTGTGTCCTGGCTATCATGGTCGACCTCATTCTCTCCCTGGTACCTTTCCACTTCCAGGAAGCCTAAGATAATGAAGATTTAGTGAGTAGAACTGACGTTATGATCCAAAGAACACGAAAAATGCATCATTTTGAAAATTTCCTAGCGCTCTTTAGAAAGGGGTTTTAAAATGAGTCATTGTTTGCGATTCGGTTGGAAATCCCCCTAGAGGTGACCCTGCGAACGCGCCTGCGCAACGTCCACCACCAAACAGTCCACTGCAGAAAAAATACCTGACTAGGCGTGTTGATTTGTTCCAAAAGAAAATGGGAACTCACCAGAGGAAAATGATACAATTGAATGAGTATTGCCATCATACACATGAGATAATGTCACACATGAAAAGATAACACAAACTGAATGGCGGTAGTATCCACACACTACCAAACAAGACTAGTAGTGCAGTATTGACCATCAGAACTGCTGATCATGAGGAGAAAGAGAGGTGCAATAACAGGTTACCGCCGTAACTACAATCTCACACGTACACAGCAATGGTGTTGGGAGATGCATGTAATGGGATCGCACACAAGGATGCCAAAACAATGTAACCATAACAGTGCATCCATAACAACACAGCAGGTGGCTGATACCAGCATCCTTGCAGCAAATCTCATATACATATGGTGCGTAGTTTAGGCAGCAACCTACTGGTGTCTCTGTTCAGCTTGTGATTAGCTCTTCTGATGATAGTCTTGTCTGGTATAGCGTGTTTACAATACTGCCATCCTGCACTATTCGGTTTGTGATACTTTTTCTTCTTCTTCATGTTTGAGTTTATTCAGTGTACACTATTGTGTCATTATCTCATGTGTCTTCGGGGTGCTGAGTTGAATGGTCTTGGTCCGAGGAAGCTGAGACGCTCTTCCTCCTTTATTCCCAATTGAACTCGCCACTTCTACCGAAACTGGGTGACTGCGCCCTACTAGATGAGGATTTGTCTGCAAAATGTCACTTAAAGCGCCATTTCGTTCTTATAAAAGCACGGATGAACGCGATTGGCCTATATATTGTAGTCTTTTGGACGCTAAGTTGACTGGTTTTGGTCCGAAACGGCTGCGATGCAGCGTTCAGCCCTTATTCTCAATCGAACATGGTTGAATAAGCGGTCACGTGCACATGCGTACCCAGTCGCCTAGTCACCGTGCCTGCAGGCTACTTCCTCCGTTAAGCAAAACTTCGTTGCGTTTTTACGGTTCAGTCCATATCATTCTATGGCTACGAACATGCTTTGCAAAGTGGAAAACAAGGCAGCATATGAAAGATATTTATTTACAGAGGTCACACAGCTCGTTTCAAAGCAGTCCAGCTTCACTCTTCGTCTGAATCTGATGACGACTCACTCCCTGATGACATCGAGTCTGCATCATCGCTGACTGTCGCCACCGGCGCTGCCAGCTTTTGTTCCGCAGCATTTATAAGTTTCCAAGACACGATTATTTTGATCGTGGAGATCGCCAAGTTCTTCGCTCGAACTGTGAGCTTGACGACCTCCACAGTGGCACTGGTAGTTATAGCCACTCTCCGGAACGCCATGGAAGGAGTCATACAGACCCAAACAAACGCTCCCCATCTTCGCAGCGGTGTAGTCGTGCCAGCATGTTTCCACACCCTGCCGAAGCTCCTTTTTGGTTTCCTTCGCCACGAGTGACACGTCTGTCTACAGGCTGTGGAAGAACGCCAAGTCGTCGACGTTGAGATCAGGATTTTGCGCCGACTGAAAGACAACCTGAATGTCAAAAGCTTTTCATTTCCCCTGCGCTGCAAACACAAGTGCATTGATTTTGGTTGTGTGCGGATGCGCACCATCGACTCGTGCTAGTACAGCAGTGCCTGAGTGCTGGCCGGCTCCTGGACACTTCTTCGAGCCACGCGGCCTTTCAAACTGTTTCTCATTTTCGCACTTTTGTGTCATGCGCGCGCGCCTGGGGCTGTGTTCTGGTGACATCTTGTCGAGAAACGGTTCTGCTTCGCCGATTTTTTCAAAGGACTCCATGCTTTTCGGAGGTTCAAAAGCCTGTCAGAACAATGGACGACAACTCAGCTACCCTATGTAGGGGATAGATCACTGACATGTATGTCTAATGCCGACAGAAATATCATGACAAGAACACTAAAAACGCAACGAAGTTTTGCTTAGCGGAGGAAGTACAACTTTCACACCGAGGCTCAACTCAAAGGTTCAAAGGCTCAACTCGAGTGCCAGGAATGCGCTCAAACAGGCTGTAAGTTGCACCCTGCAGGCACGGTGACCAGCTGACTGATGTACGCATGAGCACGTGACCGCTTATTCAACCATGTTCGATTGGGAATGAGGGCTGAACGCTGCATCGCAGCCGTTTCGGACCAAAACCAGTCGACTCAGCGTCCAAAAGACTACAACATATGGGCCAATCACGTTCATCCATGCTTTTATAAGGACGAAATGGCGCTTTTAGTCACATTTTGCATACAAATCCCCATCTATAGTCTGTTTCAAAAAGATTAGCAATCAGGTTTTGGTCTTAAAAAGTATGAAGATCAGGGAAAATTGGACAACGAAGTACATAAAAGGGCTGGTTAGGGCACGGCAAATTGTTCTGTGAAGGTTTCGGAACAATTGGACCAGCCGTTAAGGAGTTAGAATTTCGGCCAGGTTTCCGGCCTTTTCCCATGGTTTACAATTTGCCCTGGAAGCCAGTATCGCTTTTTCTATCAAAACCCACGATTTATCTTTTCCTTTCTGACCCTGTGGTTATGGATGCTGTCTGCTGACCATGAAGTTGTGAGTTCAAATCCTAACCCATCTTCAACTCACACTTTTTTCATTGTTTTTTGGTGATCAAGCAGACTTGTTGTTGTTCACGGTTGTTGTTGTTGTTGGAGCTCCCGCTTCCTCCCGAACTGACTGACACTTGACTGGCTCACGCCATGTGAACACACCCACAACACTGAAACGGTGTGAGTGAATACGGAAGTCATTGCGCTGTAGCTACGTGTTGAATACACCGGCACATCGATCGATTTCTTTTTGAGAATTATTTTAGTATTTCAAGATCGCCAATTTATTTGAATTTAGAAGTCAACGCCGACTTCTACATTGTATCAGCTTCCACAGGCGTCTGCTTTTCTCAAAATGTTGTCGAAGTCATACGGATAGCTTCGCCAAGTCATGGCCTTGGGTATGAGTCTGTGTCGATGTCGTTTTCGTCACATGGTGAGAGTAAATTGCATCGCAGCTCAAAGAAACTATTTGGTCACAAAACATATTGGGACCCATGCCGCTCGTCAGCCTCGGCATTTACTACACTTTCGACATGTCCTCTCTGACTCCATAATCGATACGAGGAAGAACTCGTTTGTTGTGAACCAGACGTACACGACTGTACCGACATCGACCTGAGTGAGTTGTCATTTTTCATGCTTTCGCGCGGAATATTTCTTCGAGTTCACAGTGAGTTTTTCCAGGCAGCGCTCGATCGCTCATACGGTAAGACGGCAAACTCCCCGGGCGATCACCAGGATTGCTAATCTTTTTGAAACTGACTGTAGTAGGGCAGGGCGCAGTCACCCAGTTTCGGTAGAAGTGGCGAGTTCGATTGGGAATAAAGGGGGACGGGAGCGTCTCAGCTTCCTCGGACCAAGACCATTCGACTCAGCACCCCAAAGACTACAATTGTTGAAAGAACTTCCCCTTTAAATTGCATCATTCAACAACTGACTCTCCTCTGATAATTTCCAATTATCTGGAGGGCTCAACAAGTCTTGTTAACTGTTTTTGCCGGTGTCCGGAAGTGTAGTATGGTTTCTTTCGTCTTGCTGGTGCTTGCAATTGATGTCTGATGTGTTGGTGTCTGCGAATTTTTGTATAGTTTCATAATAATAAACTTTCATTGCATCTGGGAAGCATCTCTACGTACTATACTGAATGGACTGACCGAAAGAGGTTGGCGATAACCAAACTAGAAAAATCTCGGATCATATGATTACAAACAGTTCTCCTAAGCCGGAACACATTCATCTGTAGCACAGCATTACCTTCCTTGTCTGCCCGCACGTAAACGTTAGTGTAGTGCTTGGTGGATAGGAGATATCAGCTGACACTTTCAACGTCACAGACACAGCTAGGCTGCCCCTGGCCACACATAAACAAACAGCAGAAAACAAAACAACAAACCACTTGCATGCATGTAGGTATATAGGTACAGTACATGTATATGTATACTAACTTAGTACACACACACACACACACACACACACACACACACACACACACACACACACACACACACACACACGCACGCACACACGCATGCACACACACACGCGTGCGCGCGCACAAGTCAACTTACCGAGCCGGTACAATGCCATGGTCTGGTGATACACGTAGCAAATAACCAGGCCAGTGAACACCGAATCTACAAATAGAAATCACAACCAGCACATGCACCAGCCACACATGCACACACACACACGCACGCACACACACATGCACACGCACATACACACGCACCCCCCCCCTCCCCCCCCCCCCCCCCACACACACACACGCAAACGCGTGCACGCACACAAACGGGAAAAAATGAAAATGCAAGCACATGGCACAACAACAACAAAAGTAACAAGACAGAAATCAATAGTTTCTACAACAGAATGTGCCGGAGAAGCTCTGAACTGGTCCACTTAGTGAAACATAGCAAGGAACTACATGTACTAGCATTAATCCCAACCACAGCGATCACCAGAACAGCAACAGTGTTGATTTCAGGACTATTGGCAGTTTGCTGCTGCATAATAATTGACATCACCGTAACAAGAGTATATAAGCCTCCAAGAGTGTGCCACTCCTGATACCCTTTCTATGGGGTTTGCCGACGGCGAAAACACACATCACGTGGTGTAGTGTCCCAGTCGTACGTTTCCAGCCTGTTTTTAGCGCGCAGCGGAGTAACAATAAAAGCACTCCCTGGCAGAAACTCACTGCGGTTATGCAACTCGCCAACATAATCATGGCAGCATTTCGGATTGCGGGCACGCTATCCTTAGTTGTATGCAGTACAAAACGTACCTGAAACACGCGATGTGAGTTTTCGCCGTCGGAGACCCCATATGCAGAGTTGCACACTCTTGGGAGCTTATTTACTCTTGGTAATACATGTAGTGTGATACCAATCAAGCTACTTACTTGCATGGCTGGTTAGATAGGTTTTGAATCTTGATAGTACCTGCGTTCTCCCCTGTCACACCACACATGCATGCACGTGCGCACACACACACATACACACACACGCAGCAGTACAGCAGAGCAGGGGAGCAGTACATGATAGAACACAGCACAGCACATAGGGAAATGCAACATCAGGCATGTAGCTAGACTGTTAAGGGGGGGGGGGGGGTACATTTACAATCATATACCAGCTACATTATAAAATACGTCATGCAGACATGTACATGTCTAAACAAGAGTTTTTTCTCGATTTTTCAAGACTGTCGGTGGCTGCACCCTCCTAACATCCCCGCAGCCATATGCCTGCACATTACATGTATTACTAGTTGTAAAAGCAAAGAACATAACTCAGAAACACACTCAAATTCAAGCAACGTACTTGATCATGAAGTCAGCAGAGACACCATTCTAGATGTATAGAGATATACACATATACATACACATACCTACACACGTGACAAGCGGCAATGTAGCACCAAGTAACTAAAGTAAGGATATCCCGGAAAAGTGAGAGTAGCTGTAACTATCATAGCCTTACCATGCCCAACGGGTTTCAATGTGACTAAGGTCGGCGACAGCAACCAATCAGCATCAGTCATGTGTTTCGATGATGAACTTGATATTGCTACACACACACACACACACGCACACACACACACACACACACACACACACACACACACACACACACACACACACACACACCATACGTACATGCGGGAAATGCATACAGGCAATTCATGCAGGCATGCAGCGGTGTGTTGGTGATACACAAAGAAATCATGCAAAACGGTATAATTGCAGAGTATGCATAGCATAAAGCACAAAATACCTTGATCATATGCTGACTACTGATACATGACACAAGTCAGATCAAAAGTACTACTGCAGAACTGCAGCACATGTACATGTACTAGTATGTGCATGTACGGTGCTGGCGAGAGAAATCCAACCTCATGAATAAAGTAGCGCTGCGTTCGAGTGCACAGACCAGTGTGTGTAGTGCTAGGGCTGCGCAGTGCCCGGCGCTATTTTAGTTATGAAGTTGGATTTCTTTGGCCAATACTGTACTTTTGGAACTACTAGTGCTGCTTCATCAAACCATTATCAACCCAGTGTCTGCTCCAGCGCCGGGTGAGCCGGGTAATCCACCCGGTTGGGCGGCGCTTGGACCCGGTTGAAAATATAGTACCGGGTCGGGTCACCTGTGACCCGGTTGGTACTTTACACTTTCGAACTAGTTACTTTGAAAGGACTGACTACATGGCTTGTATCAAGAGTGCATAACCCCCCCCCCCCCCCCTCTTGCTTGTACAGTCAAATCTGCCGTTAGCGACCTCTGCTGTAGGCGACCATCTACCGTTAGCGACCGATTTTCCGTGCACCGACGGTTTCATATACAAACTGATCTGTCCAGAGCGACCATCTGCTGTGCGCGACCTGCGACCGCGATTTCATGCACGGTGGCTGCATTCAAATCTGCTGTAAGCGACCGCGACCCAGGTTCAGTAAGGTGCGAAACTGTACTTGCCAGTGCGCTGTCAACTGCAAAGTGTGAAAATGCGCTGTCTTGCAAGTGCGATCGACTGGCGCCTGGCCTGTAATGAGGCTGTGCTGTCAAGTCCAGGCAGTGTCGATCTACTGCCGTGTCGCATACGCGTACTATACGGGTATGGTCGTCGTTGAATATCCAATAAAATGATATTAAAAATCACATTATTCTCGTCGATTTGAGTACATGGAAGCATATACCTGGTATGCCGGATTTACCATACATCTGCCGTAAGAGACCATCTGCCGTAAGCAACCGCTTTTTCTTGCACCAAGGGGCGGTCGCTTACGACAGATGTGACTGTATGTGTCAGATACTTCTTCTTCTTTCGTAATTTTCTAATTCCTGTCCTCTCTTTTCTAAATGCGGCTTATCCATTCACCTTTATATCATTGGGCCTAGTTCCCGTTTATTGTCCGAATTAAAATAAACCAACCAACCAGTTAAAGCATGTGACTCGGCTGGTGAGACAGCGCCAGGTACATGTGTACCCGGCTCCGACCCGGTTGAAATGGTTGCGCCAGGTACACGTGTACCCGGCTGTCCTACAATCCTAGAGCAGACACTGCAACCCATCCGTGTGTGAGACTCTATTATCATGAGACCAGCAAAAATGATATAAACCAGATATGCTGTATACCACCCGGATACCGGACATCCACCAACACAACGTACCAGACCTGGTGTTCGGTACTTTCCCAGTTGTTGAGACTGTAGCTGTTGCTGTACTGACTGCTGCTGCTGCTACTGCTGTTGAGCTGTGTTGTGATGGAGGGAACTGTTGGAAATCAAACTCATGCTCCATGTCTGGCATGGCCCTCAAAGACTTTCCACCATTAGACTCTGCCACAGGCCTGTCCCTGCCTAGCTGCTGTAACAAGTCACCCATAGCTTGTGTATCGCCAGCAGTCGTTGTGATAGCTTTCTTCTTTCTTGACGCAGTGTTGCGGCCAGGAACACTAAGCGGTGGAGTGAGTGTTGCTACAATTTGTATAGTTTGTTGTTGAACACCAGACTCAAACAATTGCTGTTCCTCAACGAGGCTAGCAGACGCAGAATAGGCTGCAAATACACAATCACACACATACACAGACACACCCACACACATGCCATTGACCATTTGACCATTGGACGCCCATCGCCAGAGGCGATGATAGCGATGCTACAGCAGAAGCCATAGCAACTTGTGCTGGGATTGCACTATTCAACAGCTTGCAAGGCTGAATAATAGACCAACACTATTCAGCCACACAGCTATGAAGTGGCTTTTTTCTGGCCAGTGAATCCCTACTTTTTGGTCTTTTTTCATTTTTTTCCCCGAACACATCACACCACATACTCCGGCATGCACTGGCTGTTGGTAATCGAGAATGAAAGAAAAGTCAGGAGGAGTCTGAGAAAGAGACGAAAGACGTGTGTGACCATAATCGTCGGGAATCGAACCCGCAGCCTATCCATTGGAAATCGCTGCACATACCACTGCACCATACGGGACATACACATGCACACACACATACCGGTACTAGTAAACACACTTTCAGTCGACCCAGAATAGACAACAAAAATGGCAGTGCTGACATGAAGAACTGGATAATGCATGTGTCCACAGCTTACAGAAGTCTGCATGCTCTCCTCACCAGTTGCACACTAAAACAAGAATATCATCTATCAGTGACACATCAGTATATACATGTACACAACACAGCCAAGGCACTCACTCTGCAAATCACGAAGCTCAAGATTTTCACCGGCAACAGGACGATGCAGACCCGCTTTACTGAGTCCAGGACACACCGGTTGTGAACGATTACCACCACCACCATCATCATCAGCTGTTGCGCAAGAGGAGGTGTGGCCAGGAGAATTAGGAGTAGAGGAGACCTCACCGACTGTTCGACAGAGGCTAGTGAAAGAAATGTACATAACAAAGGTTCAAAAATTTATAGACAAGAAAAGGACCAAGGAACTACAAGTTACGCTATAAAATGTGTCTAATACCACCAGTTCCTTGGCAATCAGCTCATGCGATAACATTTCACGACACTGACCAATGGCACTGACGTTCTACAACTAACTGCCAATCAGCAGTCCTCCCCAGGGCAGTGTGGAGTACAATAGAAGAAAACTTTTATAGTCACAAGCATGGAATATAGCTGCCAGTTCACCCGTCATATCCCCATGCCTTCCTGCCTACCCTATCATCAGATACTACCCTCAAAATCAAAACTCTCCTCTCCTTACCGCCTCCATCGGCAACGAGCCAGCTCATCCCCACTGTGTAGACACAGCGCTGCCAGTGATGCGCTGTCATGACGACTACCCAGGACAGAGTGCTTGCCACAGGCAGCTGGCTCCACGATCACAAGGAATTGCTGTAGGAGCAATGACAGTAACACGCAAAATTCACAAGATCACCATCATACGAGTCAGTGTGATCCAAGAACAGCATGTCACAAGACATGCTTAGCAGTCGTGGAGAAATCACGTAGAGTGAAACCAAGCAGCCGGATTTTTATGTATAAAAAAAGTGCAGTCCCTACGTTATTTTCATACGTTATTACGTGAAATGAAACCTCCCTAACTTAAGCCACAGTCAATACGACTATTACCTTGGACTTTCCAGCAGGAATGATGGCATCAACGGGAGATACTGTCAGACATTCTGCCGGTACTAGCGTACTAAGTTTCTCATCTGGAATGAAGAATAATAAACATCATTTTTGAGTTTATATAGGCAAGATTGAGATGAAATGTGAAAAAGCATTTTCGTGAATCTCTCGAAAATAGCCCGCTATTATTAAACTTTCTTGCCTCATTTTCACTTTCGGACAACCTTGAGTTTCAGTGTTTAGGTACGAGAACAATTAACGCGGATCATTCATAAAACTGTAGGGCCAAGATTATTTCAAGAAATGCATTGCACATGTGAGCCTAATAACTTATTCGATCGTGACTTTGGTGTCCTGTGGCCAATTTTGGTGATCTTGTCTTTCTAGAAAACTCTTGGCAAGAGGAACCCAGTTATACTCCAGGAGTCCATTAGGAATGCCACAGGGCCACAGCCGCAGCACAATTGGCCGCTCCAAAGCCAGCATTGCGAGCGCCTAACTCAAATCCTCAGCCATTACAACAAAGTATATCGCAGATCGCTTTTGTTTTACATGAGAGCTGAGCAACTTGCCTTTGCGATGACGTGAGCTACGCGTGGATGTGCGGACAGCTAGTAATGGAACTGTAAGGCCAACACCCGAAAAGTGAGTTCAAAATGCACGGGCTCGAGTTGACTGTACTGAGCGAATTTGGTTTGAGTGACATGACTCCGCTCTGCAACCTCGGATCGCCTTCGGGGGTTTTCAGCCGGTAGCTGAGGAAATACTAATGTTGACAGACCTTTCGATCATCTGATTCAGTCAAGGAATGGCCGAGTTACGTCTGGGTGCACTGCACAGTAATTTTGGTAGGGTGATATCCGTACCACTGTGCAGTGTGGGCTTCAAAGGGGTAATTTGCCAATCTTATATGCATGGTAGGCAGAGAACACATCAGAAAAGGCACGAACAGAAGGACAATTACCTTCAAAACAGAGGATCTTGACAAAACCATCTCTTTCTCCACGGTTCTCCACAACTAGTTTACTGATTGATCGTTGCTTGCCAAGCTAGTGCCAGATCAACAACATAGCAAGAAACGCAAATAGCATAGCTCCCAATAGAACGGTGGACAAAGGTTGCCCCGTTATGTAAGAGCACGTTCAGCATGCTGGCTGCATCCACCGCAACATAACTTACATGTACTGCAATCCACAAGCAGAATGAACACGTCTACTTTCCAATTACAACCAGTACAACTTTTAAAAACTAGTACTAGTACTTATTCACTTGTTGAGGGAATGGAAAAGGGAAAATTTTGAAGAAGAAAAATTGACGTCACCACCAGGAGTCAAACCCGGGACCTTCGCTTGAGGCCAGCGATGCTCGAATCACTGAGCTATGGTGTAGCTGTCATGCGAGCAGAGACCGTTCAACATTTTTTTCAGACTTCGAAACACACGCTTCCTGTGACACTACACAGGCTGGACGGACATAGCCCTCACTGTACCCACACACTTCATGCACAAACTAGTATGTGGGCAGCCCCAAAGTATCAAATATTCACAAGTTCAGTGAACGGAACTTACAGCAATGTTATTAGTAATAATGACACAGGCACAACAAAGGTTAAAGTCGTCCACAGACACAATCAACCTAGCAGTGGTGGCGATAACAAGAGGGAGACAACACTAACGATTGACCCGTTGGAGCACTTAAAAAAACTGTAAAAGTGACACATACCTGTCCCAACTTTATCCTTGTCAGAGGTTTGTTATGTAGACTACCCAATGCCTGAATGTCACAATGCCCGCCATATGCAAACAGAGGAATCTGCAAACAGCAGAGAAAAACACAGAATGATAATCTTATTCCTTTGGGCTTTCGCCAAGACTTCGTTCTACCTCCTCGGATGAGGAATTGAAATTTTTCCTTTGGTCGTTTACATCAGTTTTTGCTACCTGTCTGGAATTGAAAATAGCTTTCTGAAATCCTACGAACACGTGAATTGTGTGGTACTTGTTCCGTTAAACCCACAATTCAACTGGTCCATTACTGCAGTATTACAATTTACTAGTTTGCACCTATGTACATGCACCGTGCATTGCACGGTGCTATCAAAATTAACGACAAGCCTCAGGTTTTCTGCGACAGATTCCTGAAGTCACTTTGCATCCCAGAAGAATTGCATAGCAAACTGGGGTGCTATACCAGTTGTATTATTTGCACCACCAGGAAAGACAATTTAACAAAGACTCACGCCATTAAAAGTTTGAGACTAAGCACTTTCAATTCACACCCTCGAAGAAGCAACAAACCTACTTTGAAGTACAGTCAAACCTACATTCAGCAACCATCCTACCAGTGGCACTCGATACAAGACAGGCATCACATGCAAAAGTGCTACCACACCATACTAACCTGAAATTTCATGGCATGCTTCAAGTCGCGGATGAGACAAAATGACTTGATAGCAGCTTGTTGGCGAGCTGTAAACTTCAATGTCACTCTAATGCTCTCCTAGCAGGAAAAAGTTGGGGAAGGCAGATGAAATTGCACATGGTATTGGAAGTCATGTTGGCATACAGCCATCATTATCACCAACATAACACACTGTGGCTGCACATACACTATCGTCATCACTGACATAACACACTGTGGCTGCTGTGCATACGACACGGTAATCACTCATACACATGTAATAGTAGTTAGTACTGTACCTGGGGCCCAAGCTTAGTCACTGGCTGATCTTGGCTGCTCTTGCCAAGAGACGTTGCATGTGTTTCAGTATGTACTGGTGTTGGCTTGTACACTGGTAACAACACCTGACAGTGGAAGATGCCAAGCACACAGTCAAAGAAACTACTTGACTTTTAAAGGAATGGAGAGAGAATGCATTATTCATAACAACAATAACAATACACAGTGTTTCGTATCTCCGCTGAGCCTGTCACACAGACATCTGCCAACAATGCCAAGTCAAGTCGATCTGTACTTTGCAGCCCGGAGAGCTTTCTCCACAGAGATGCTACCTGCTGCCTTCAGATCACAATCGTGGAGAACCGCGTTCATGAGAATTCATGATCGTGGATAATGATTCATATCATGTACTACACACTAACACACATTACATACATTCCACACGTACACACATGCAAGTAACAAGGAAGTACTTGTGTGGCAGCAGCCTCAAACAATCAAAACTCTAGCTATAAGTAGTGATCACAAATCTAGCTATACAGCTGTTTCTTGCATAGCGGTGTTGCAAACATGTTATCCATTGTGATATCTTTCAACAACACAGTGCAACACAGTGAACTGTCAAATCATTCAGTGGCAAGTACACAACTAAAAGTTACCCTACAACACTACTACACCAGTGCACCAATACACTGCAATGTTATACTATGGTATCACATGTACACTTGTACACCAGTGCACTACTACACCAGTACACTACTACACCAGTACACCAGTACACTGCAATGTTATACTATGGTATCACATGTACACTTGTACACCAGTGCACTTTATAGTGTGCTAGTACACTAGCAAGCTAGCAATAGTTTACCTGCAACACATCACTATGGTCCGGAACAGATATCTCCAGCACTACATCTTCTGTGTAGGATGTATTACACAGAGTAAGGACTTCCTCACTGGAAAAACACACACACACAATCACACAAACACACACACACAATCACACAAACACACACACACACGCACAGGCCACTTACATGACATGTACAGTGGTGGCCATGGGACTAGGCCACACAGGCCAAACCTCAAGAATACATACATCCAACCAAAATTTCTGGACAAAATCTCTTCCTAAAGACATGATCTCTAAAACAAGGCGATTTGACAGCAAAAAAAATCGAAAGTGCATGCGCTAAGTACGGGCCATGGCGTTGGAAAGAGAGAAGGGAGCCTCCAGCACGCTCACAACAATACCGGTGGCTGAGCACGGATTCTGCTTCGACGTCAAGTCAGACTTCCATGACCACGTGCGCATGCGATATTGTTGGCCACTGGAGTCTGGACAACCTGCCGGCTTCTTGCCCATGTGGAGCACGCTACTCGGTGGATCATGCACAGATTTGTAAACTCTCCGGCTTCATCCATATGCGTCACAACGATCCTACCGACTTTATCGCCTCATGCATGAAGGAGGTGCATTGTGACGTTGAGGTGGAGCCGAAGCTCCAACCTCTCACCGGTGAGGTCCTCCAGCGACGCACCGCCAACACCGATCCGGATGCCCGCGCTGACCTGAGAGTGAGGGGGTTCTGAACGGATAGCAGAAACGCATTCTTTGATACAAGGGTGTTCTATCCCCATGCGTCAAGCTACCGCTCCAGATCCCTCTCCTCTCTGTACCGAAGCTTTGAAGGGGAGTAGAAGCGTGCGTATGGGGAGAGAATTCTCCACGTCGAGCATGGTTCCTTCACCCCTCTGGTCTTCTCTTCCTGTGGGGGGATGGGCCACGAAGCTGCCATCATGGTAAAGAGGCTGGCAAGTGCTTTAGCCGTGAAGAGGCATGCGCCGTACAGCCAAATGGTGTGTTCGCTCAGATGCATGCTAAGCTTTTCGCTGTGTCCGTGGATCACGCTCAATTCGCCGCCGTCACTTTGACCATGCCCCTGTCGACCTGGTCCGAGCAGAGGCACAGCTAGTGGTCAGCTAGACAGTTGTCATCATGTCTAGTTTCTGAGAAGTTCTCAGTCTCTCATTTTCATGCCAGGCGTGAGTCAGCCCCTGGCTTAACAAAATGGGTGCTCCTTTTTAGTTTACTTTTTCTTCTTTTTAGTTTAGTTTTTCTTCTCTTCTTCTTTTTATTTTGCTTTGCCCGTACAAGAGGCTACATGTTGGGAAAAAAACTAAGTATGTGCATACACATTCAGTACGGTACACATTCAGTACGGTACACATGGCATAATGCTGTGGCCACGTGACAGTCAAGTTGAACCATGATTGCCGTCACGCGTGCACCGCACGGTTACCATGGACGACCAAAATGGCACCGGGAAACTTCAAATATCTATTTGACAAGTCGCAGCCAGAACTGCACGTGGAAATTGTTTCAATTTCACTCACCATGGGACGAAAGGCAGACATTAGTGTTGGGAAGAGAGAGGCCATTGTGGCAATGAGTAGGGATGGATCATCATCCTCAAAAATCGCTGCTGTGCTGGGTGTGTCGGCGCAAACTGCCCGGAGGATCGTTCAGGAGGCGACAAGAAAGGGCTCTGTTGCTCGAACCAAACGCCCTGGCCCCCCCAAAAAAGACTGAGGATCGATTTGATCATCACTTGAAGCTGCTGTCAATGGCTGATCGCTTCAAAACAGCACCGAAACTGCTGAAAGAAGTCGCTGGAGATGGCGTGGCACCTGTGTCAGCGCGCACGGTGCGCAGACGTCTGCAACAATTTGATTTGCATGGCAAAATAGCAGCAAAGAAGCCCTTTATCAGCGAGAAAAATAGAAAAAGGCGATTGCAGTTCGCCAAGCAGCACAAGGATTGGACACCTGACCAGTGGGCGAATGTTTTATGGAGTGACGAGTCCAAGTTTAACATGGTGGACTCGGATGGTATTCAGTACGTCCGCAGACGACGAGGAGAGCGGCTGAACCCACTCTGCACCCGCGGCACAGTAAAGCACGGTGGCGGTGGGATAATCATATGGGGGTGCATGAGTGCGGGTGGTGTTGGCCGGCTCTATCGTGTTGACGGGCGGAAGGAACACCAGTAGTACATCGGGATACTGCAAAACTGCATGGTACCCAGCATAACGGACTTGTTTGGTGGCCAAACTGCTGTGTTCCAGCAGGACAATGATCCAAAACACTCCGCACGAGCAACCAAGCGATGGCTCGATGAGCAGCCGTTCGAAGTAATGGAGTGGCCCGCACAAAGCCCAGACCTCAACCCCATCGAAAACCTTTGGGAAATCTTGTCCCGGCACCGGGACAACAGCAGGAAGTGCAAAACGAGGCTGAGCTGTGGGAGGAATGCAAGGCGGCCTGGAGTCGCATCGATGCCGACCTGTGCCGCCGGATCGTCGCGACGATGCCGAAGAGGATGAAGGCCGTGATAAAGAACAAAGGTCATGCCGTAGATTGGTAGTGTAAGCTAGGGTTCGTCTTTGACGAAGTTTTAGACAGATTTAGAACAATCTAGTTTCGCTTTCGAGTACTTTAGGTAGGTTTTTCTATATTTGCCGTTTTCGGTCACGGCATTAGACCGCCACGATAGCCCGATAAGTTGACCTTGTGACAGAAGTATGCCCTGTGTTATGACAAAACACCGATAAATTGCAATAGACTCTTCATATTATTAGTTTTAGCCTTTTAGATAGCCTTTTCAGCCATTAGTTCTTCATATTCATCCAAATTTGGCAGCCGGCCTAATTCCATGACCACCACTGTACATGGCTAACATACAATATTTGCTGAGCACAGTATTTAGTGACTTGATCACTCAGGTTGCAGACAAATGTTGAAGCAGGTGCACACCAGGAATGTAAAGGAAAGATGGGCATGCAGTGTGATGCAAATTTAGAATACCCTTCCATTCCAACAAGAGTCTAGGACCCACTAGTATTGAACTGTGATCACGGGCCAGAGAATGGCATGCTCCCTTCATCATTGTGCTTATCTGCATCATGCCCATGCCTTTCACTGACAACAAAGTTGATATACCGGTAGTCACTTTCATTGCAGTGGCAATTTTCCGTTGACAGTAACAAAATTTAACATCATAATTATGGCTTTCCTGCAGCGTGAATAGCCTATATAAAGGCCAAAACAAAACTTTTCTCGACAATTTTTTCGTGTGGACGTCTAGTGGATGCATGCACGATGTACGTGAGCAGTTCCGCCAGCTACCTACGGGCGAAAGCATGCACCTATTGTACACATACGTGGACCAAGAAAAAGAGTTGCAGGGTTTAAGGGCCGACCCAAAACAAGGTTATTTTTGTTTGGGCCTACTTAGACACACAAATTTCCATCTGAAGACTGCAAGGTACCATAAGAATCCCATTTTCAAACCACAGGCAATCCTTCGTAGTGTGCAGATGAACATGCGATGTAAGGATGACAGCGCTGCGTAGCCGGCCCATAGTATTCCATACTCGAGTACACTCGTGAGTTGTGGGCTCATCATATCAAGAGTAAATAAGCTCCCAATGGTGTGCAACTCTGCATACGGGGTCTCCGATGGCGAAAACTCACATCACGTGTTCAAAGTACGATTTGTACTACACGTACAATGAAGGTTAGCGTGCGCGCAGTCCGAATATCTACCATGCTCATGCTGATGACTCGCACAAGCTGAGTGGGTTTCTGTTATGGAGTGCTATTTTAATTACTCCACTGCTTGCTAAAAACAAGCTGGGGATGTACAACGTGAACATTGCAGCAAATGTTGTGAGTTTTTGCCGTCGGCCAACCCCATAGAACGGGTATCCAGAGCTGCACACTCTTGGGAGCTTATGTACTCTTGATCATATGTATGGGATTTGGGCAAGCAAACTGACTATCACCATCTCAGTTGTGCGTTTGGGTGCACTTGTCAAAAACAGGCTACATTGTACTAGCCAAAACAGACATTCATACAAGACTCAAAATACATGGGAATACCAAAAATTTCCGCTGCAAAATTGGGAAAAAAAGAAATCACTGTTTCCACCCGGGATCGAACCGGGGACCTTTCGCGTGTTAGGCGAACGTGATAACCGCTACACTATGGAAACTGAGGCTGGAAGTAGCAAATACAAGTCCAGTCCTTTTACCAGGGCTGCACTGATGGTTGCTCTGTACAGGAACTACTGCACATGCACTTGGATGCCATGCGGCCAGCCCTTAGGCCATCATTTTTTATAGCTATGTTTCGCGTCGTCCGCACGCATACGTTTTGATTTTTTTTGGAAAAAAATAAAAAAATGAACATGCACAGTGAATGTACGATCGTGCGAGTCATAAGTGTGGACTGGTTGCATAGGGCGAAGCTGGGATTCAGAAATGGCCTCTAGGCCAGCATTGGTAAATTCGTTTGTTCGGCATGTGGGAGCAATATTCTATGAGCCGTTACACCTGAGACCGCATTGATCGCCTCAAGCTGAGAGGATGTGTCGTTCCGGAGCTCTTTGCACCGCTGCTGAAGTCTGAGTACAATAATCCAGCGAAGCATAGGCACCAACGGTTGCCTCCTCCGTCCAAAGTAAATATTTTACTCATGCTGATAACCCAGATGTTGTGCTTCGATGTACGATTTTTCTTTCAAATGTACACCATGCACGAGCTTTTGTGCTATGTACAGTGCATACACCTCTGATGAGCCTTTTTTATTATTTTGCAACTTTTTATTTTTTTCCACCTCTCGCATATGATTCTGGAAGTTGACCTGGCGCGAAACATAGATATAAAAAATGATGGCCTTATACTAGAGTCGTGGACATGGAAATCCGGTCGCACGTCTAGCGGCCCCAGGGCGCTGGCCATGCAGCCGTGGGTAAGCAGTACACACATGCTGCAGCGCGCTGGTCGCATCGGATCAAGCGCTGGTGTGTACGTGCTGAGCGCGCCGGGCCCGGTCAATCGACTGGATTTCCATGTCCACGACAGTACATAACAGTGGTGGTGGGGTGGCGCGGGGTGGGGATATCTGATGTAAGCAGACTCACCGGCTTTCTCGCAGAGCAACACCAGCAAATGTCACTTGATTGCGATTGCAAGATAGCAAAGACTTGGACCTGCAACCAACACAGAACACAGTGTGAAAGATAAATTCAACATAAATGTATGAACAAAATACGCTTGGATGCTTCTTGCAGCTTCATTCTAAAACGAGTATGTCTTGGGCTAACCGCCACAACTCAAATTGCGCTGCAATTCACATCAAATTCTTATTCAGAGTTTCGGACCATCAATAGGCATGATGAAGTGGTGTTCAAGCTGGCTGGGTATTTACTATTTACACCTGTCAGAAACAACACCTTGTTTCATGCTGTCAATCTAATAATTGCGTGAACTACAACAAGATTTATCTAATACTGGTTTACCAGTGTTGGATTATATCATAAACAACACATGTACATTGTGTTCCTATTTGGCAAGAATACAAACAGTAATCCACAGTGTGTAATTGAGATACGAGTAAGGCAAAGTGTAAAACACCATTCACGACATTTTTTCAAATCAATGCACAGTACATACTGATGTCAAGAGAGGTACTCATGCAGAGCAGCTATGCAGTCATGGATCGCGGCTTCCCTTCCATGACTCATCAAAGTCGACATTAAAACTATGAATTCTGCCACCCTGAAATTATACTGAGTTTCACCCTTTAGTTGATGTACTCCTGCTATCGCGTATGGCAGGAATCTACAGCACCAGCCGTAGTCCAGTGTTTGTTATACGTGCCCTAGCGCGTAGTCCAGTGTTTGTTATACGTGCTCTACCCCAAAAAGACTGATATAATATATTGATACCTATGACCTGCACTCACACGGCTAGGTCTGGTGCAGGCAGTGCTGCTGCATGACCGTTAGTGTGTAAATAGTCGGAGGTTGTTCCACGTAGCAATAGTTCATACTGGTTCCCATTCTCTTTGACTGTCATTACTAGATAGCTGTACGGGACACAACAATAGAACAAGACAAAACAAAAACAAGGTATTGAGCACAGGGAATTCGACTTCACAACATGGATTCTACTTGTCTTCAAATAGTACAAGAACATACCGGTAAGAAAGTAAAGGGCAGTATTTTCCTATGGTGCAAGACAAGAAAAAAAATCGAAGACATCTCAAGGCATGAAGAGAGTGTATTCATGGTGAGATGTGTATACAGCCAGCCACACAGTTGGATGCAAGCAAGTTAGCTAACCTTCCAGCAGAATGTTGGGCAATAGAACATAAGAACGTGACACGGACTTCCACCTCCTAACAAGGTAAACAACAACAAAGAAAAGCAGAAGTACACATCACACGGATCCGGTGCCTGACGATCGCAAAAGCGGGTAACTTCCTTCAACACATGCAACTACTGCATCTGTAGACCATAGACCTACCGGCGTACGGACGGTTAGTCGTCACTAACGTATTATAGAACATGTGAACTCTTCTCGGCTATGGTCCATATCAATAGCATATGAAGCAATGAGTGCACATCACATCACGTCACATCACTGCACGTGTGAGTACTCATAGGTATACAGTGCACTAGTGTGGTGACTGGGGTATGCATCACTGCGGGACCGCGGTCACTGGGGTATGCATCACTGCGGGACCGCGGTCAATTGGGAATAAGGGCCGGACGCTGCATTGCAGCCTCCCCGGACCAAGGCCATTCAATTTAGCGTCCAGAAGACTACAGGTCCTGAGAGTTTCATCTGCACTCGTACTTCTACAAGTATGAAGTGACACTTTAATAACAAATTCCACACAAATCCCTTCCTGGTAGGGCACATTCATCCAATTTTGAAAGAAGTGAGGGAGGTCGATTGGGAAAAGGGAGTGTCGGGAGTGTCTCAGTTTTGAACCAGCCTCAGATAGACAATACATGGGCATAAACCGCTTAACAGATTAGACTTACCTGTTGGGGTACTGCTGTAAATGATGTCGGATGGACAGTAAACAGTGCACTAGGAGGGCTAATGCCCAGCTCCACATTACAAGGCACATTGCCAACATTGCGCAAGGGAACAGTGCGATGTGCTGGCTTGTCAGGAGAAGCTGCAAATGTCAGAGCCTGCAATACATATACACACAAGTGACAGGAAAGCAAACCAAACACGGGGGTTTACCAACGTGCTTGCTGAAGAAACAAGTTACACCGTATCCACTTGATCAAATAGCACCCACCAGTACAGCATCACCAGACATATAAGCGTATGTACTATCAGGGAATTATTCGCCTACAGCTGCATCAAGTCTAGAGCAGTGAAGTGAAAATCCAGTTTCACCACACGTCAACAGAAACTACGCGGGACGCGGGGAAGAAAGGCTGAAAAGCAGAAGACAATCTAACCGGAGAATAATGCAAAAAGCTATTCTGTGCAAATGTTGTTAGACACAAACTTCCACAGTGGTAGAGCGAGTGTACAACCAAAGACCCAAGAAACAGCTTAACACCATCCATGTAAAGCAAAAAAGAGATGTTGCATATTACCTGCATTGAGCGAGGTGCATGCAGTCTTGCCCAACCGACACACGATGTGAAATGTACAGAAGCAAGAGGGAAATCTGCACAGTAAAAACAAAGACACGAGAAAGCCTTGTTCGAAAATCCACGCAAGAGCAATTCATATACACCTTCTCTAACCTCGTTTCGAAAAGCCCTAATCAATTAAACCTAACTTCCGGCCTCCCAACGACCATTCAGATTTTTTAATAAACATGACAAAACCAGGCCTCACCACAACCATTCAGATTTCAAATTACGCAAACCAGGCCACCATTTTGAAACACGGTGACACCACAGAGGCGGACATTAATACAGCCCTAGCAGCTGTACACTGTGTTCATGCTGATTAGTGTGTAGCGATGGTCAGTGCACTCTACAGAGAGTGCAGTTTTCAGTGCGTTGACGTAGCTCTGCGGAAGACTAGTGGAACGTGTTGTTTGGTGCTGGGAAAGACAAGCGGAGAAGGTTCATCTCCAAGCCAGTTGGGCCGCGCTACGAGCAAGGTTTGTTTGTGACTGATTGGTCAAGCCAAAATGACCATTGGGCAAGCACACAGCACCAGAAGAAGTTTATATACAGTAGCTAGTACCACACAAGAGGTACACAAAGGAAAGCGGGGCTCTATTTCCCTATTTCCCTATTTTCCTGTGTGTACCTCTTGTGTAAAACTAGCTCTGCGGCCATCATAGGGACTGAGCACTCTAGCACTGGTTAAAAGGCGCACTGCCTCTATGTAGAGCTAGCATTCTAGAAACACTGCCTCTGTGTAGAGCTAGCATTATAGAAATAGAACTCACCAGCAACAACATCCAGCTCCACTTGTACAGTACAAGAGTAATCACTGAGAGTAGACGCAGCGGCGGACACATCTGCAAGCAACAATACCCGACAAACAAAACACACAGAGTTAATGAGACACGGTACAAGGTCAGGCGCTGTCACAGACAATACCAGAAGCAGTCAAATGAAAAGAAACCAAAACAAAAGTTGTCTGGTTACATGCAGCAGCATAATACATGTAATTACTATCCATGTCCACAACTGAACACTATAATTTGTGCGTGTGTGTGTGTGTGTGTGTGTCCTAACCCTGTGAAAAAAACATGCACACAAATCAATGATCATGATTGTGTGTGGAAGTGGGGTGTGGTGTGTGCTAATGCGTAAAAGAAGGCATGCCGGGCTGCCTTCAAATCAATCCAGAACCATCAGTTGACAGGAGGCTACTTGACAGCTACAAGGCTGGATGGGATAGTACAAGAAGACATGTCCTACCTGATGAATCCTGGGAAGGCGCCTTGAAACATATCCATGCCACGCAGTACTCATTGGTCTATAGAGAAGAAATAACACACCCAGGCATGCACACATGTACACACACAGACACACACAGACACACACAAACACACACATGCAAAACATGCATACACACACACATGCACACGTGCACACACACACACACACACACTCACACGTGCGCACATATTTCAACTTTCCTAAAACTGATCAGCAACAGCATGCCACTGTTATCAATACCTAATGCACGATGCTGGGCATGTCACCCCAACTCCACTTCAGCTGCATGCCCCCCCCCCCCCCCCCCCCACCACCACACACACACACCTCTAACGGCCCCTAATTTTGTCTTATGTTAAAAATGGTACATGCACCGGCATGGCTAGATGACACTGAAGGCAGCAAACAAACCAGACTTAACAAGTGACCATTGAAGCCTACGGATTAACATGTGATTGAGTTGGGAATACTATGAACACTACTTACCTGACATGGTGGAATAGATGTACAGGCAACAGTTGATAGGGAAGTTAGTGGTGATGGCGGTAACAGAGTTAGTGTGCTATTTAATTGACTGCACTGATATGGCAACGAGTCCGGTGAAGAAACAAATGAGAACGTGTTGACTGACGATGACTTGTCCTACAGAAAAATAGGAAATGGCAGAGCAAAGGCAGGAAAAGTACATTAAAAAAACTGCTAGTGACGCCAACCATTGTACCTCATTTCATCCATACAAAGCACAAAGCCAACAAACGTCTGACCTGTTCTACCCACATACAGCCTGAGAAGATGTGTGATCATTAACAGCATTTTCATTGTTTTAAAAATCCATCTTGCTGGTATTTCAATTAACGTTAGTGGGGCCACAGTCAAGTGCGGCTGAAAACAGTTGAAGGCTAGTCTTCCCCTGAAGATTTTAATTAAACATCGTAAAGAAACAAATCAATAAAGGCAAGGGTCAATGTGGCACCACCCCCTATGAGGATCCCAGGCACGGAGTTAGATGCTTTGCAGGATGATGGTGGTGCACTTTCATCACAATCATCCCCTCAGCTCATCATAGACACAAACGGATAAAATGTTGAAGTCAATGCTAGCATATTTATGTATTTATTTACATAAACTTGGACACAGACGGATGGTAGGGCGTTAGGGAGAATTCTATGTTCATTTCACCCCAGCAATGACACAATCACCCACAATGACACATAAAATGTACACTCACAGAGCAGATGAGCAGTCGAACAGGAAGGCTGATGTTGCTTAGATTCCGTAAGCAAACTGGATGATAACGAGTCGTCCCAGCTAGAGTTTGACCAAGATCAATGTCAGCCTTGGTCAACGCAGATAGACTAGTCTGCACTTCTGGCAGACCTGGTATGGCTGCAGGTGGTCGTACAACCTGTAGTAGGTACATAAAAACAATGAGATGGTGGTCAGTTAGCAAATCTCAGCTGACTGACATCTGCTGTAAGAAAGAAGGGTACTGAATAAGAAAAACACTGTGACAACATGTATATGGTCTACTTTCTTCCGAAGACCATAGGGAAACGATAGGTTCAAGGAATAAACACGACCGGATAAATTACTGGCAATTTAACACCAATACTTTGTCACTGCAGCATGTAATAATGTCCTGCAAACTATCCAGTAGACACCAGCATCAAAGCCAAAGACTGCCATACTTCAATCTAAGTTTAGTAACCTTACTTACATGAAGACGAGCTTCAATAGCATTCACACTAAGAACACAACGACTGATAACGGAACTCTCCTGTCCAATAGCTGAGCTATCTTCAATGACAGGGCTTGATGTCATGACCAGTTCAACTGAGAAAGAACCTGCTGCATGAGGTAGGCAAGTGATCTAAAGAGAGCACAAAAGAAAAACAAAAACAATGCAATTAGAGAAGGAGAGGGAGGGAGAGGGAGAGAGAGTGTGTGTGTGTGTGTGTGTGCGTGTGTGTGTGTGTGTGTGTGTGTGTGTGTGTGTGTGTGCGTGTGTGTGTGTGCGCGTGCGCGTGCGTGTGTGTGTGTGGTGTAAGAGAGAGAGAGAGAGAGAGAGAGAGAGGGAATGAAAAATTTTAAAAAATTAAATAGGGATCATTGGCTAGAAAAAGCCACTTCAACCAGCTGTGTGGTGTAGACCAGACTAAAATTAGTGGCGGTCAATTCATCAGCCTTGCAAGCTGTTGAATGGTGTCTAACATAGCTTGTTCGTTATCAATAATCGCTTCAGCGATGGGCAAGAGTACGAGTATGTGAGAGCGGGCAGAGGAAGGAAGGACTGAAAAACAGATGGCTACTTTCAAGCGAGTTTACATACACTGTCAAGCGGATCACTGAACCTGTTGACCTGGCCCTGAAGCAGGGTATCTACTGAACCTGTTGACCTGGCCCTGAAGCAGGGCATCTTATTATGGCAGGCAGGTGCAAGCACGGTTAGGCTGCGAAACGATAGCAATGAGCCAATTCAAAGAGCCAACAACGGCTCCTGCCAAACACACCTGAATATCATCTGTCTTCAAGGGTCCTAAAGTCATACGAGGCGACACTTGAAATAAAGACATTTCCTCAGGGAGCTGAAGCGGAAACACATGCACACACGTACGCACACACGCGCGCGTGCAAGTGCACGCACACACACACAGAGCGGGAAAACACCATTAACAATCGCAACCCTTTGCAATCAAGTAAACAAGCATGATACCAAGAATACACAAGCGCCCAAGAGTGTACAACTCAGGATACCCTTTCTTGGGGGTACACCGATGGTGAAACTCACATCCTGCGGTGCAGAACTCACGTTGTTCCCACCCCATCTTTAGCGAGCAGTGGAGTAGTAAAAAAATAGCACTCCCGACAGAAACCCACTCAGCGTTATGCCAGCCATCAGCCTGAACATGGTAGATATTGGTAGGGTGGTAGACTGCGTGCACGCTGGCCTTCGTTGCACATCGTACGAAACGTACTGGGACCACGTGATGCGAGTTTTCGCCGTCGAAGACCTCATATGCAAAGTTGAACACTCTCTTACAAGTCTTATTTGCTCTTGATGATACATACAAACAAAAATCCCAGGTCTAATTCCCAACATTACACACATCAGCCCTACCATCAAAAACAAGTTAGAAAAATAATCAAGCCACTGGCAGTGTTATCCCTGCGCACAAACACACAGCACACTGGCAGGTAAACTAGGTGAAATGACCCCCAAACAGATTGTACTTACCGTGCTTCCATCAACTGTTCTGAGTTCAATAGCAGATTTAAGCCATTTCGTGCCGGAATTCCGTACTGGCAGTAGAAGAGCCACCGGAACTCCCACACATTGTATACCACGCACAGCATAAGTAGCGGGCATTACAACCGGCCCAATACTATGACTACCCTGGGATGATCGGGGTGATTGGCTCAGGCCAGCTGTAGTGGATGGAGGTACGGGAGGACGCGACCTGTTCTTCTCGTATTCGTGAACGACCGGCGTTGAGAAAGAAGTCTCGCTGGGCACCACAACAGATTGGGATGACTCGAGAGAAGAGTCGATTTGAGACCACGATTGTGTTGAATGACTGTGCAGCTGGGTGGTCGCTGCTGTAGCTCTTAGTGGCGACTGCTGACCGAGCACTCTGCCTTCATTGCGTCCATGTGTAGCAGACACATGTGACGAAACTGCGATATCAGCAGCAGTCGCAATAGGTTGCCTGTTGATTGTTGATAGGCCAGTGGTGGTGGGTGTATTCTGAGAAGACAGTATCGGATCAGTGTTATACTGCTGTCTAGCAAGCTGCGGTGGAGAGTGACCAGCAGATAGTATAGGTGTCTCTGCAGCGCTGTCCAGCAGCTCTGCACCATCCCTCCGAAAACTGTCAGAAAGATTGCGTGCAAGTGTGGACATCGAAGAATCCAGTGATTCCTGATAGCTATCTGACTTCTGGCCAGGAGAAATGTAATCCGGCTGGAGAACTTTCCTTTTTGCTGTCTCTAGTTGCATCACAGCTTCTTTGCTTCTAGGTGATTTCCCAGGAGAATTGCCAGGAGAATTGCGAGGTGATGAGCCTGGAGAATGTTGGAGCAGCTCAGACAGCCATTTCTCAATGTTTTTCGGTTGGACAACGCGCTGCAGTGGTGATGGAAGAGGGCTAGATTTAGCAGGGGATTTTGATGGAGCCACCTGGGTAGGAGATCGCTGAGACGATGCCGGTGATACAGTTACTTTCACCGGAGTATGCGATGCTGCTGCTGTTGCTGAAGAAGAATGATAGGCTGAAGACGGTGGTTGATTCAGACTTCTACTGGTCGTCACACTGGTATTCGGTCCAGTAGCAGAAGTAGCAGAAGTAGCAGAAGCGGCTGGTGCGGCAGTAGCAGAGGACATGGCAGTTCTATCATCAGTCCGATACTTTGGTGATTGATGACCAGCGAGCTTGGTGGGTGACGCAGCTATACTAGAATCGAGCTGTACAGAGACTTTGACAGTCACTTCCATACCATCGGACTGCAAATCACTAGCTGCCACATCGTGCTGCACATTGGAACTGCTAGCAGAGCCCGAGCGGGGACTAGCACTTTTGCTCAGCTGTGAGTCCTCAGCACGAGAAACTGAGTGGCCATGTGTACTGTCATTCTTCCCAACACTAGATTGAGTAGCAACAGTAAGTAAACTGCTTGTGACAAAGCTGTGCTGTAATCTATCAGTTTCAACTGGTCCAGAAGAAACCGATTGCAGACTGGTATGAGTAAACATTCTTACAGGAGTGACGTCTTCCTCACCCGGTGCTAGACTAAGAGTTTTCTCCTCGTTGTCATCACTTCCTTCTTCATCTTCACCATGGATGAGAGTATTGACATACTGATGAGCAGCATGAGCAGTAGGAGCAGCAGGAGCACTGTCACCATCCGTAGTCATAGACAACTTGCTAGGACTATCGCCATCACGAGTGTTGTACATAGAACTGCTACTGGAGAAGGTAGTACTGAATGCAGAGGAAGCTACTGAGTCACGACCCATGGATACATCTCCATCCAAGTAGGCTGCTGGGAATGAGTTGGCACCAGGCGTAACCATATTAGATGGTCGTACAGGAGACTGTGCTGCATCTAGAAGACGTTGCGGCTCAAGGCTATGTGATTGCAAGTGCTGCGGGTGCTGTTCACCGGTACGAACAGTGAGAGCACTACTGCTGCTATACTCAGTCATAGTCATATCTGCCAAGACAGAATCGTTCGGAACATTCATGGTCTCCACAAACTCTCCCAGTGTGTAACTTGGTCTCAAAACACGACTGGGCGAGAGAAATATGTCCGACGCATTTGATGGATGTGGTGCAGTATGGGTATATGCTTCATCAGTCACGTCACCTCTTGCCAGCGGAGGTGCATCACTAGCAGCATAGGAACTGGTAGTCACAGGCGGATGCACACTACGATGAATGCTGTCTAGAGTACTGCTAGTAGGTACTTGGTCAGGATGAGCGTGTGTGCCAGAAAACTGCCTGTGCGCAGCTACCATGTGGCTCGATGTTGCCTCGGCAACTGTTCGAATTTCATTCAACAACGTGCTGACGTCATCAGACGACACTACACCAGCTGAAGGAGCAACAGAAGTAGCAGCAGTAAAGGAAGGGGTAGCAGTTGTAGTCTCAACATAACCGTCACTGTGCAAGCCTGACTTGTGAGGTGATGACTGTAGTAATTGACGTACATTAGGTGGAGTAGCCATATGAAGTGCACCCTGCACATGCTTCTGAACCGCGCTGTCATCCAACCCAACTAGCGACGGTGGCAGGTGGGAGCCGGAGTAGGACGTAAATGTTGACCGCTTGCCGCCACTGCTGTGAGTGTCGGGCTTGTGGTACTGCGTCAGCTTTGAAGGGCTACACACGGCATCCCCATTAGACGCAGAAGAAGGCTTGCTGAACATGACACTGTCAGAGAGAGTAGATGCGTTCCCAGAGGATGCTGCGCCAGCTCCAGGTGGGCTGAATAGAGGATGACTCATGTCAAAATGTGGCTGTCAACAAAAGATAATCAAACACACGACACCCAAAAAGGAGTTAGATATCTTCCTAATTCCAGCAAAACGGTATATTGGATCACGGATGACGCATACTAACAAGTTGTCTATGACTATGGATGGTAACATGACTCGCATCCATGTCTTACTGGTTCTTTCTACTGCATTTTATAGACGGCATGTTCGATTCTTATGAAAGTGCACTTTGGGCAAAAAGGATTACAACCAATCACCAAGAAGCTGAACTACAGCAGCAGTAAAGTGATGTAGCAAATACAATATGCAACATAACAGATACATAGACAAACTACAGATATAAAAAGAGAAGAAACACATGAGAACGAGTCATGCAGCAACTATCCACGACTGTAACAAGATGATAAACGGTCAGAAAGTGCGATAATAGGGCACAAAACTGACAGGCTACTGAGACATTCAGCGACCCGAAACCTAGCTCTAACACATCTCCAGTGCGCAAACCAACAGCCTTCCAACTCCAATGTCAGTGTTGTGCCCTATTATCGCACTTTCTGACTGTTTATCATCTTGTTAGTCGTGGATAGTTGCTGCATAACTCGTTCTCATGTGTTTCTTCTCTTTTTTTTAACATTTATTACGGCTCAGTATCAGAGTTAAAACTATAGATAACTAATTAATCAACTTACACGTTGAGCAGAGTTGAGGACTGATAGGTCATCCAAGCCTCCAAGTACACTGCTGCGGGCGGCAAAATATGCACCCGGCGACGGCTCCGATTGAAAGATGTCAGCACTGCTGGAGTCATTGGAGAGCTTGCTGAATGGACCAGTGCTCCTGGGTAAGTGGGACAGATGATGAGCAGACAGGCCTGAAACAGCTTTACTTGGTGTGACCACATCAGTTGTGAAATCCCTGACGACATGTGCTTGAACGGAAGCAGTAGACAGGTTTTGATCAGCAGATGACGTGCAAATTGGAACGACTGCTGCTGCTGCTGTTGCCGTAGTGACTAGCAAATCCTGACTAGTACCACGAGTACTATGTGTAGCGCTGCTACTAGGCAATGTTGACTTGTCAGTGGTCAATACTGGACCTGCGCTACTGGACAATGTTGACTTGTCAGTGGTCAATACTGGACCTGCGCTACTAGGCAATGTTGACTTGTCAGCGGTGAATACTGGTCCAGAAGAGAAATCTAGTTGATCAGAACCAGCAGACATGCTATTGATGAAGGCAGGATCAAACTGGTACTCACGTGCATTCTCCTGCTGATCAGCATCAAGTAACTCACTGACACCAGCACCAGTGGGGACAAAGTCTTCACCATCCAGTTGTTGATAGCCATCACCAGCAAATTCTATATCACCGTACAGGCTGCCATCCTGTTGGGGCATGTCGGCAAAGCAGTCAGGATCACGTAGATCCATCTCAAACGCTGCTGCAGCGTTGGAATCTACTGGAGCAGCGCCATCTTCCAGTCGTGACCATGATGTATAACATTCAGCAGCACCATAATGCTGAGAACTTTCCAGACTGGATGATGAGTGAGCTGGCTGATCGAATCGTGCTGCTAGCGATACCACTGACCTTGGACTTTTGGATGCTTGTACTGGACTGCTATCAGTTAGAGCAGACTTAGCTGTGGCACTACTACGTATGCTGGGTCCAGTGCTGCTTAGTATGGCTTGATACGCCGTGGCTGTGCTTGGTGCTTGAGACTGATAATCCAAAGTTGCATGAGCTTCAATGTCAGCTAAAGACATTGGAGTCAATGCAGTAGAGGACACCGGTATTGGTGCCGCTACTGAAGATCCAGAGACATTGACTTCGCCAAGAACATCCGGCCGATCATAAGGTTGACCACTGGGACCTTGGCGTAATGAAGCAAGCCAGGGGGGTTGTTCAATAGTCATTGACACAGCACCCGCAATTGACGATGGTTCGGATACTACTGCATCTGTCTCTGATCCAGGAGCCAATACCAAGCTTGCACTGTCAGCCGAGCTTGCTAAATCACCTTGAGAAAGACCAACACCGACACCCTGAGTGCGAGGAATCGAGTATGGGTTGTTAGACGGCAGGCCATGGCTAGATAAATCTGACACGCTACCAAGGGAGTGTGATGGAGAAAGGCCGTGTACAGGAGTACCACTAATAGATGGACTCATTCCCAGTACGTTAGACGATCCGGTAAGAGATGATCCAAGTGGGGATGAAAGTGGTCGTCGACAACCTCGTGGAGCACCCATAGAAGCATCTGGACTACCGCTGTCTGCAGAGAAGCTATGGTCACTTTGGCTAGCATAGTCACCAGTATTATCATCGCCCAGTGTATGCTGCTGCTGACTGGCTATGTACTGTGCAAGAAGTACACCAGCATCACTGGGGTTCAAGTAGTTGCGAAACAGGCTAGCTTGATCACCACCACTATCTTGACCCTCACCCAGAGGACGTGCTGATGCTGAAACATTAGATGCACTGCCAGTCGGAGAATGCTCTTGGCCGGGCAATGGGAATCTCCCCAGGCTCTCACTGGCTGTTGCTATCATGCTAGTAGATGCAACTGAAGGCAATAGACCATCAACATCCACCTCCTGACCCGGCACCATGCGTACCTGTTCATAGTCTCTACTTGCAGTATGCTGTTGGTCACCACTACTTATTGTCCCGTCATAATGCTGAATAGCACCAGAAGGGTAGTGTGCATCACTATCAGCCAGGCTGGAGCTAAAATTTCCACTGCTTTGGGCTGACGTTGAACTCATAGAGTTGGTGTTGTGAGGGGAAACCGTTGAATATGTAGATGCATGCATGGCTTGATCATAAGCTGCAGTAGTGGGTGAAGCAGTGGCACTTTGATCAATCCCGGACATATGGCTGGCAGATTTGAAATTATCCAAGCCAGTTAGAGATGATGCAATGCGCTGAACATCTCTGGACCAGTCTTCCGGTTGTGTTGCCTCGTGAACACTGGATGAGAGGCGGTGTGCTGAACTGTCAGTGAATACCTCGGTCTGCTGTTGGGACAGTGCTGTTATAAGAGATGCAACAGATGGCTCCAGTGATCCAATACTTTGATTGCTCAAGGCACGAGCTACGGCATTCGCATCGCTAACAATAGCTGAGTGGGTCAAAGCCGAAGGTACAGAGGAGTCACCGTCACTGTTTAGTTCACAAATGTCATCTACGCCAAGTGAGACCAGTGCACTAGTTGATGACATTCCTGAGGTGGCTGGCCGAGAAGTGTTCACCATCTCTTGGGCCAAGCGATTTAGTGTTGTATCAGCATCTCCAGCATTGCCAGCAAAAAGCTGAGTTGTATCTATAGACAGGGACACAATCATATACACATACATAGGCAGTTTGATGAGTGCGCCATGTACACAAATATACCATAAGAACCATTCACCGAGTCCAGTCAAATCAACGTACTCTACTCAATTCACTACGGACAGCAACAGTACACACTGAAACAAAAATTGCCTAATACGAGTACAGTTACTGCGGAAATGGCCGCCCGACATTGGTAAAACGGCCATGAAGAAAACACCCGCATATACAGTACATGTACACTGAGCCATTCATCTCTATAAAGAAAAGATGCTACCAGAAGTGTACTCACCAGGGACAAGGTTGTTCACATCCAGGAGACCATAAGATGACTCATCACCTGAGAGGACACAAAGCAAAATTTAGCATGAAAAGTCGAAAATGATAATGATTCAGTCTGATTTACATCATTCAGAAGGCAGTAAGAACAAGAACAGTTGTACGCTGTACAGGTGTACTTCAATACAGTGTGGTGGTAACAACACCGAATTCCAAACTATTGCACGCCAAGAAAACGTGTATATCTTCAGCACCGACACAACAGCCATATACACACCATGTGCTGGAAAAGAAAGCTACAGGGTATAGAAGTCTACCAAGTCCCTTGCAGCCCACTTGTTGAAAGCATGTGTGACATCATCTCATTGCAGTGTACTCCAACACTGCCCGTCACTGCTAGAAAAATACTTGCCCAGATAAAGACATGAATATTTTGACATTCCTACACATCTCCTGAAAAGAACGAGAGCATTGTAAATCAGACTAAGGAATAGCACAAGCTCCAGGCTCTTTACAATCATTTCAAAGTTTTCGCGTGCACTTTCATTGCCTTCTCTTCAGTGGGTGCAGGCAGAAGAAGAAACTGACCAGCACAATAGCATTTAAAAGCAATGTATACGTGATAAAGGCAGCAGTAGGTGGATTAGTGAGAACAAACACAAGAGGGAGTAATGTGTTGATTCTCACGCACATACAGAAAAGCAGAGGAAATCGTAAAGTTATGCACCAGTAGTAGTGCATAGTGGACCTGAATGTCGTGATGTTTATTGAGATAGTTCGGTAGTTGTTTGTCAATTTTGTCACGTTAGTGTGGTGCCAAATTGCTGAATGTTTCGGAGGCTGCCCACATTCAAATAATAAGTTAAAACAAAACATATGCAAGCAGAAACAGACAGATCACATTCACGCTCAGGCTGTTAGGTAGTAGGGGTAAAACGAATGTTAGACCGTTCGACTAGGTTCACTCCAAATGGGAGTTGAAGAGAATTCGATTCGCTACTTCAAGGTGTCGAACGTTCGTCGATGCATGCGTAGGTACATGCAGTCCCATGCTTGTACTGCAAATAAAAATGTACAGTCATGTATAACTATTGTGCAGAGCTCAGCCAGCCACCCTCGGCCCCAGGTCCCCATTACAGGTAACAGCAGCTATTCAAAAAGAAATTGATTCTTGGTTGTTTTTACGAATGTGATAGAGTGCTTGTGTGGACATTTGTGGGGGCTATATTTGTTAAGAATAGTTCGTGAGTTCGTCAACGAGGCGTACAGTTCATTAGAATGCTTCGTTCGCCTCTTTTGGGGTTCGTTTCAGCCCTATTAGGTAGGCCATTGACATATCGTTAGTTCGGTTCCTTTTTAATCACAGTGCATATCACACTGATCACACCTCTTCACATGTATACCACTAGTGCATAACTGTAAGATGTGCTATGCTTTTACGTGCGTGCTGCATGAGAATAACACTTTACTCCCTGTTTTGTGTGTTGTTCTCACTAATCTACAGTTGTGGACAAAGAAATCCGACCCGTGAGCCGAAAGCAACGCCAAGCTCATGCGGACCCTGAAGCCCTCGGATGGGCTTTGTAACGTGCATGATGTAAACGCGGCGCTGTTTTCCCTGTATCCACCCGAAGAGAAGGCAATGAAAGAGTGCAAGTGGGAACTTTGGAATGTTGATGGTAAAAAGCCTGAAGCTTGTGCCATTTCTTAGTCTGATTACATTTTTGTCTCCAAGAGAGCTAAGCACTGTAAATGTACACAATAAACATTTACTGGAGCAAGACTTTTACACATCAACATATGTAGCCATGTACCAATATACGAGTATAGGTACAAACAAGGAATCAACTGTGCCCATATATACTAGCAGTGCTACTATAATTATGTAGTACGGACATCTGCACTGCAACATACACTAAATAGTAAATACATTGTGAACTGTATTGAGCTGTAAACTGTCAGCCTGAGAACCCTGACAGGTTTTTATGGCTCCCTGCCATAGAGTGTGCACCATAGCAAAGCACACTCACCCGGCCGCGGTGGAGAAAAAAGATGCAGCTGTGATACAGGGTGATCAATAGGAGAGATTTGCCTGGATGCCAAGTAGCCGGTAAAGTCGCCGGATCATGATGCATGTAAGTAAACACATAACACAGCGCAGACAAACACAATACTAATATACCACACAAAGACACAACGGCATACATGCACGGCTCATTCCTTGCAGACCCCTGCACTTGTTGCAAGTTATTGCCTCGCTCACGGCAATTTATAAGGGATATGATGAAATTCGAATGTGATCTTGACTGACAAGAAAAACTACAAATTTCTCTTTACGGCCATCATCACGACTCGAGAAATTTCACAAACCACTTTCTCGTCAAGTGGAGTGCAATTTGTAGTATTTTTGCCATTGCAAGCTTCCTGTCCTGTTTCCTGCCTCCAAAAAGCGATTTCTATCAGTGCAAAATTACCATAAACTGACTAGGGTGCCCCTAACCTCACTGCCCAAGTGATGCACAAAGGGGAGGGGGGGGGGGGGACTTTATCACCACATAATACAACAGCAGTGAAATGCTAACAAAGTGAATCAATGAAGATTGGGGAAAGGATTGCACTCGCACCAGGAAAAAAGACGCCTTGGGAGCCTACAATATCATGCCTTGAATTACGGAAAGAATCCATGCAGATGAAAGAACTTTCCGAGAAAATTGGTGTAACTGAATGAGTTTCAAAAATCAAAATCAAGTCTGAGAACACGTCTATTTACCGTAGGGCAGTCCACTCTTCAGGATTAGGAACGGGTCTTTGAGCAGTTGACATTGCAGCTGGTATATCAGTGCGTTCCATTATGCCTGTTACATTGATTTCTCTATGTCCAAAAGAGAAATTCAATTACCAGCCAATGGCTTGACCAGGTACTTCTTTCTCTCACATTTCCCATTCAATTTTGTACGCTCGACACTATTCGTGATTGAACTATTTTGGCTTTCACACCATGTAGTCAGCCACTGCACCTGCTTCAATACCACTTCAAAATTTCGATCTCGAAGTCAAAAAGCAGCTGCAACAGGCTGGATTATTGGCTGCTTCGGTACCTTGGAGCCGACGTCGTCCAGGCACAATTATCAAAGCGCGCCAAAATATAAAAATTCATGCATAAATTTTTGTGTGAGCCCAAAGTAAGAAACCCGGCGATTTTTGAATGTTCGCGCAGGAATTCAGTGAGTTTACTGAAAGTCTGCCAGGTTTCCTATGTCTCCAGCTCAAAGTCGAGTCAATCCTCGAGCAGTGCACGTGATCTGGTGACTATTGGTCATGTGATAATATTGTATGACGTAAGCCTAGTAGGAGTGACGTAAAATGAATGTATTATGTATGTGATTCTCTGTCTGTGAATGACTGAATGTTGTGAGTGACTCACTCCACTTTTGTTTTGTTTGCTGATCATTCTTCTCTCAAGACATACTTTTGACAATCTGAATGAACGAAAGGTCAAAAGTTCTTGAAGGAAATCAGTTGGCAAATTTTGATTTATGAGGGCACTGTTACTGGCTTGGAGTTACAGAGAACGTGTCTGGAATATCTTCTTGTAGTTGTTGTTGCTTCGTTCCGTAGATTTCACGAGATCTCCTTTTCTACAATTTGCAATAATTGTAGCACGAGAATTTGACTTTTCCATTGGACAACATTGATTTGGTTCTCACTTGTTGATACGGAAGCAAACCATGGCTTCCAGGAAGAAAATCCTTCTGAAAGTTATAATTCTTGGAGACAGTGGGTATGGATTGAGCGTCGCGACCGATTCACGGACCTTGACGGCGCCGTGTCTACAATTATGTTGAGACTTGCATGGATTTTGTCCATTCTATCCTCTTCGTGTTTCTTGCAGTGTTGGCAAGACGTCGTTGATGAACCAATATGTCAACAAAAAGTTCACTAACCAGTACAAGGCAACGATTGGAGCAGATTTCCTCACAAAGGAAGTTATGGTTGATGACCGTCTTGTTACTCTGCAGGTTAGCGTCTTTATTATTATTTTAAATTTTAAATAGGCCTTCACTACATGTTTTGTACTTCTTTTAGGCACTTTGCTGCTGCTGCTGCTGCGATTCCGGCAGCACTGTGATAGTCTGGGTCCCTCTCTCCCTCCCCACTCTTCCTCTCTTGTGTGTTCTCTTGTACCCTGTTTAATAGTGGGGAAAGAGAGGCATCGACGAGGCTGGCCCATTTCTATTGCATGGCAGAGTCTGTCATAAATGACCACTGCTAAAATATACGGCACATTTTCAGAGGCGGGTCACTTAGAGGCCCATTTAATTCATTGCCAGGCATTACTGTTTGCCAGCAAACTTGTATATCTAAGGTGAAAGGAATTGTTATCAGCATCAGTTTTCACTTTCCTATGAGAAGCCACTTGCACACTGCTCTCCAATTCCTATTGCATGCTAATGCAGGATGATCTTTCTTGTCCGAACCCTCTCTTAACGGGGCGCCTGCAGTGTCTATCTGTGTCGAACACACACAGTGCATGTACAATGGTCTGCCAAACTCGCATGCGTGAAGTCGTCTGGTTACTGCAAAGTCTAAATGAACAACATGCGCACTGCGAATGAAAGCTCATGTCTTATGTTATGAGCAAATGACCATGGCCAGTGTGAGCATCTGACCATGGCCAGTGTGAGCATCTGACCCCCAGCAGACTGTTACATAAAGTACACTCTAATGACAATTATTGGTAGTGCAGGGAGTTGAGTTTTCGTGGTAGTTTCTTCATCAGAGTATCGGAGTTATCACTACATGCCAGATTCCCCATAGGTAGGGTCCCTCATCAACTATGATCATGTATTTTGGGGTTACGTGCACTCTTCTGTCCCAGTTTGCAACGTGTCGGGACAGGGCAAGATCTACTTTAGAGCATTGATGTAGGCTAGGAGTATGCACGGTCAGAAGTTTTGCCTGTGACTTGGGAATGTGCACTGCATGTGGAGCTGCACTAATGGCCGGGAGCAGACAACTGGTGCTTGTTGGGCAACGGTCTTTTTCCAGCCGCGTGAGCAATGCCTACGCATGCACCAGTAGCCGTAGAAAATTGTCTGTGCGTACCACCCAGCTATGCTATTGCTGCACTGTCTTTATCCTGACTGTGTAGATTTGGGATACAGCTGGCCAAGAAAGATTTCAATCCCTTGGAGTGGCATTCTACCGTGGAGCAGACTGCTGTGTGTTAGTGTATGATGTTACAATGCCCAATACCTTCAAGAATCTAGACAGTTGGCGAGATGAGTTCCTAGTCCAAGCAAGTCCCAGAGATCCAAACAACTTTCCCTTTGTTGTCCTTGGTAACAAGGTTGATTTGGACTCGCGAGCGGTAAGTGGCTGAATATAAGTATTCCAGTCACCGGACTCATCTACGTACCAGAGTGTGATGCTAGTTGTCAGTATGTTGCTGCTGCTGCTGCTGCTGCTGCTGTTTCTTGGCTGAGGTAATAATTATTATATCAGTCGTCAGGTATGGTATAGTTATTCTGTAGTGTGACAGGCCCGGCTTGAAGTAGGCTTACTTCATGTATTTGGTTTGCTTGCTTCTGATGCTCAGGTGTCCACAAAGCGTGCACAGAACTGGTGTCATACGTTCAATGACATTCCATACTATGAGACTAGTGCAAAGGAGTCAATCAATGTGGAGCAAGCTTTCCAGGCTATTGCCAAGAATGCCCTTGAACAGGTGAGCACATGCTCTTCAAAAAAGGACAATGATCTGTAATGTATATTGTCTGTCTTTCTTCGGGACGTACAGCTCGCATTGCTAGAATGAAGACGTGATGATGGCTGTCTTGTGTCATTATGGTATGCACCATTGTATGTACAGTGCTGGCAACTGAAATCCGACCCCCTTGCCGGCAAGGGGGTCGGATTTCAGTTGCCAGCACTGTACATGTATCATCTTTTTATTTCTATGTGCCATTACGATGAATTTTACTTACTAGTACTGTATCCAAACTTAGAAGTTGCGACTTCGGCGGTAATAGTCATGAAGTTGGTTGTTTCAACTAGGAACACACACTTCTTGTCAGTCAAGTGTCAAGTTCGGCAAGAAGCGTGTGTTCCTAGTTGGAACAACCAACTTCATGACTAGTACTGCCAAGAATGATTCTATTTGTTAGGTAGCTGAAAAGCACGATGTGGTTTATCTGCTTGTGTTGTGCATCTCTGTGTTTGTAGGAAGCTGAATTGGGAACAGGCCTGTATACCGACCTTCCTGACCAGATCCAACTGAGCAATATTGATAATGAGCAAGGTTCTAGCGGTTGTTCTTGTTAGTGGTTCCATCTCGCCTGCTTCCTGTTGTGCTGCATGGCAATGAGATCAGGACTGGTGTTCTATGCACACTGCTTCGCATATGAATATCTGGAGGGTGGACTGATACGTTGGTACGCAGGTAGATCTACTAGCTGTGCAACTTGTCTGCAACCATCCTAACCAAGCACAAGGAATGATGGGTTGTAGAAAAACTACTGAGTATTGCCCCGCTGCTTGTGATAGTTCTGCCATGTCCATCTTGAATGGGCTAGCTATGTACTTTTAGTCACTTGATCCTATACAGTATTACCTGTATAAAGTGTATATGTGCTGAGTTACTGCTGCTGCTCATACTGCAGTTGCCTGCTCTTTCTCTACGTTGGGGAATGGTGTCCCGTACATACCGCACTGGAACATCCATGTCCTGTACTTATGCTGGAACCAGGATGATCCTAGCTAACTCTTAGTTGACTACTACAAGCTAAGCTTTGCTATCCATTTTACAGTTCTAGTGCATTCCCTCTTCATCTTCAACCTTGCCTCCGGTGACATGAGTGTGGATGCTGCTATGAACTGATTCTAGTTTCTGACTATCTTGAGTACACTGACCATGGCAGTCGCGATGGCAACACTACGACAGTAATTATTAAACTTGTACGATGTGTCGGCACTGATATACAGCATAGTTCATGGTACAATCATACGCAGAAGTACAGTTACTGACTCTAGCCTCGGGCTTGTGTACCACCTCTTCTCTTGTGGGCATTTCGTTCTATCCGCTTTTTACATCTCCAATGGCCCTGTGCTATACAGCTTCCATCATGTTACCTGCTTCAGATCGCCCATTTTTCATGTAATACCCCCCTCCAGAATCTCCACTTATTTTCAGGCATGATTGAAACTCTCCTTTATGTGGAAAATTTATAGTTTTCAATCTCTCTTTTCAAACATCATCCGACATCTGTGATTACTTTTAAAATGGCTCGCTGTTTCATTAAGTTGACAGATGTGGCTCCTGTGGACTACCGCATTTTACCAGTTTTATGTCAGTCCCGGTTATAAGTCAACCCCTGTGCCAAGGGCATTGGTTTCCCAGTGCAACCCAAGTCAACCGCACCTTTTTTTTAGAAGTTGGCTGCTCCCCGCTCTTGGAGCTCGTGCTTTTCTCGCTGACTTGACACTTGACTGACTCACGGCTGTCATCCAGAGCACACCGAAAGTCCATCGACCCTTCCACTCGGCTAAACCTGCAAGAAAGCACCTGCTCAATACATAATGTTTCGGGGAATTTACCCCTCCTCAGCTTGAGTTGGCCGAGGAAGATTCTGGGGTAACAGCGTTGCGAATGACCGGGGGTCGTCAACGTCTGTTCTACCTGCCGTAGTGACGAGCGTATAAGAGCATGTGCCTATACCCGGGCATAAGCGCACCCTCACAAATAAGCGCAAGGGCTTATAAGTGAACCTATATGCAGTCCATCCCGCGACAAACAGACACCACAAAAACACCATATTCACAGAGTTCAATGCGCATTGCGGTATTGCACTATTTGCATAATTATGCATGGTACCACAGTACACTAGCAACTCAAGCCCATGCGCCTATGTGTGAGACAAAACGACCCGCAAAATATCAAATAACGCAAAAACTCATAAGCGCATGGGCCTTTATGTGCGTCACTACGGTATCAATGAGCGACACTGACTCGTGCTGTTATCTGGTGTTCACGAAGTGTTTGTTGCGCTGGGAACGGAGCGTCTCTGTACGTTTGTATCCCTGGTGACCATGGTGATGGTTTGGCCTGGAGAGCACTATAAAAGTGGTTCTCTTCAATCACAATCTTCCTCAGTGTAGTCAAGCTCGACTGATGAGAGTGAATTCCCCGAAACCTGCGCATTGAGTAGGGAGTGGTGCTTCCTTGCAGGTTTGCCGAGTGGAAGGTTCAATGGAGGCACCTTTACTTTTAGGAGAACACCTTGCACATACCGTAGAAGTAGACAGCAAAAACATTTATAACATCCAGGAACATTCATAAACCTGAAAATCACAGGATGATTCTTGACAGCAGGTCAAACCTGAAAACCTGAAAATCCGTATTCAGATGTGTGAATCATTGAATGGAATGTATATGAAGGTTGAGACCATGATTTTATGAAACAGAAAAGAGAGAAGACAGATACTGAAACACAGCATCAAGAAGTATGTCATCGGATTATTCCTATTCACTGTCATAAATTTGACTAAGTTTGATTTTGAAATAAGGATGCAATATAATTATATCTATACACATACCAGTAAAACAATAGACATGTGAGTGTGATTGTGACCAGCACAACACATCAGAAGTACGCCACAAATTGCCTTCACTCAGAAGCTACTTTGAAGCATGCACAAATATAATATATATATGTATACGTGTATCTTGGAAAGAAGCACACGTGAGGGCATCAAGTTTTTTATGCGAAGTGGACTCAGGCAAGAACACAACATCAGCTAAGAGCGAACAAAGATAAAAACCCATATAGATTATAAGCAAGGGTACGGAGCGCATTACCTAGACATTGTTATGTCTGTCTTCCTATCTGTGGAAACGGCTTCAACAATTGAGCATCTCATCAACAGGGAAGAGAAAGAGAAAACATGCCTAGCGAGGTACTGAGCTACTGGGCACGGTTAGACGCTCTAGTAAAGTGCTTTTTGTATGTGTGTGTGTGTGTGTGTGTGTGTGTGTGTGTGTGCGCGTGTACGTGCACCTTGCGGTACCAGTGGAGGAGCAGGTAGTATGAACAGGGGCACTCACATCTGTGGAGCACTGCGGTCATTAGTAACGGCCTTCTTCAAACCACCTTTAGAGAAGCCTGAGATTGAAGACAGCAGTGCACCACGTCCTTCACCGGATGCCGGCGGTTCAGCAGCTACAGCCGGTGCAGCCGGTGCAGGCGGCGGAGGTGCTGGTGCTGGAGGTGGTGCTGGTGCACTGGGTGCCGCTGGGGCTGGTGAGGCTGACTTCTGAGCTGGACGAGCTTCAAACAAAACATTAAATGACAAAGAAGAAAATACATGTATATGGGTTCATGTAGGTACATGATCATCACCAGTTCTAGGGTGAGTTGCAGGCTTGCCCACAGCCACCCACAAACCGCCACAATTCCACCAAACATCACACCGCAGAAAAAACTCACCTGCCGTAAGGACCTACTTAGATGATAAAATCGTAAAGATTAATGGTGCTTAGAAAAGATAAACGGCAAAGAAATATTAATATTATCAAAAAGTATTCTTTCTAGACCAAAGAGTGGTATATTTGATAACATTTAATAACGATAGAAATTTTTACGATACTTCTCCAGACGTTTCGTTGTTCTGAACAACATCGTCAGTGGATAAAGAATGGAGGGCTAAAAGAGGTGGAGGGCTAAAAGCCCTCCATTCTTTATCCACTGACGATGTTGTTCAGAACAACGAAACGTCTGGAGAAGTATCGTAAAAATTTCTATCGTTATTAAATGTTATCAAATATACCACTCTTTGGTCTAGAAAGAATACTTTTTGATATTACAATGAGAGTGAATAATCAACGGCTTGTCCACCAACTCTTTTTTAATATTAATATTGTCGAGAATCTAGACTGGCAGCTGTGCACTTTTAGACCAAATATCCATGTCCAGTCAATGAAAAGAAGACAAGCGGCTCAGGACATGTTGCACACTTACCACTGGCTGTACTGGAGCTAGTAGCTGTTACTGATGATGAACTAGTGGCGGTTACAAGTGACTTCTGTAGATCAACATGCACGCACGCACGAACAAACACATGAATTAGAATACCGGTAGTCTTAGAGACGAATCAGCGTGATACATAACCTTGCCTACAGCAACAGGGGCAGATCCAGGGTGCATGAAAGGTCAGTTTTCAAGACATCCATTCAATATCACAGCATTGCACAATAGTAACACAGTTGACACAGCATTACACAATGAACAAGAGACATCTCAACACAACAGAATAACAGTACCTTCTTGGCCTTGGCTCGCCGACGACGCTCTTCTTCAGATATAGCTTTCTCCTTCTCTTTCGCTGTGTTGATCCGTCGTAACTGACTAACCTATGATTACCAACACATATCAAAACCAATCCCAACAATCACCATTGACTCTGAAAGAGGTGGCAGAGCCAATCTGTCCTAAGAAACATCTCCCAGCAACATGCTCGACAAAATCTCTCTTTCAGAAGTAAGTAATTCAAATAATCACATGTACCGGTAAGTACGCAAGAGGTACCGGTAAGTACATTTGTCTCAGACACAATAAGACCAAACTTCGACACAATTTCAGTCCACAACTACCGGTACAGCGTTACTGTGTAGCTCTCAAAACAATACGTTCAGTTGATCATAATCTAGCAGCCATACATCGAAAGAAGTGAGCGTGACAAGGAGGGCAACATTAACTTGAAATAGCTTGCGGTTACCAAGCTCAATGAGTGGTGTACTTTTTTTTTCACGTAGAATTCGACAGGTAGCAGGTCATATGACACATTCCACGATGTACGAGTACAATACCTTTTTCTGCTCATCTGACAGTTGACCTTCTGCTGATTCTTTAGCGGTACGGAGCGACTCCTTTAACTTGCTACCCAGCTAAAAGAACAAACGAGAACAGGCCATGCCAATTGCATGATGGTCAGGCAGGTAGGCAGGCGACATACACGCACATACATGTGCACAGTTGTACACAGTGTTGCAGTCGCATTCCCCCCGATAGGTTTCAGGTTTTGGTACTTTTATTGCTATAAACCACCACTTAAAATTAATTTCCACCTCTATTCTACACAACTGCTGCAAAAAAGATTATCACGGAGGCACCAAAAATATATAAGTTCACAGTACACAAGATCATCAGACAACAGTTGATATTTTGTAGTGCTGAATGCGAAACAGGTGACAATGGTCACAAATAATTGCACATGCCATGATATCACCGGCGCTCATGCCACTCTCCGAAGTACTGTATAATACCTTGAATTGCGGCTTAGCGTCCATCAAAGCAGTTGGCAGTTCTGGAAATACCCTGCAGGAAATTACATACACGTAAAAACAGCATGTATCCACAGCATCACAGACAACGTTTTAACGTTCCACCTGTGTTTTCAGACTGGAACACAACATGTCATGTCACAAGATGTACATGACGCATTCTGCAGCCAGTATCAGTACCGTACTTCTGCACATATAAGCGCATGTCCTTATGTCCGAATATAAGCGCACCCCTCAATTATAAGCGCGTGTGCTTATATGTGAACACTATTGGTGAAAAGGCGGGAGCGAAATATACCACTAAGTAGTGTGATGACACCATTGTTTAGGACACAGACAAACCTGTATTGCGCATATAAGCGCATGGGCTTTTACCCGAACATGTTTACACAGCCAAAGATCTTTTTTGCAGCAAATTTTCGCTTATAAGCGCATGCGCTTATATGTGGGGAAGTACGGTATAAAGAGACATGCAGTGACACGCAGTAACATGCAGTACTGTAGAAGTGAATACTACTCACGGGCTAGCAAGGAGTGAGGAGAGCGATGGCATTCCGGACTTTACACCTGACGATGTCAGCAATGACTCAAGGACAGGTTCTAAAAATGAACAAATACACATAAATACAGTCAACTTCGCTAATAACGACTGCGGATATAACGACAATTCGCGAATAAGGACAGAATTTCCATGCCCAGAGCAAAGTCACATCCAACTGTAATACATATAATGGGACTTCGGGTATAACGACACTTCGCGAATAAGGACACTTTTCTGATGCCCCGCCGAGTGTCGTTATACGCGAAGTTGACTGTAGCAGAGATACAGGCGATTATGAAGTGGGATACTCTCACTTGGCAGACTTTCTCGCAAATGACTTGCACAACAATTCACATTTCCAAACGTGAGACAATATGTTTACAGAATGAAATATTGCCCAGATTCCTCTGACAGTTAACTAGAATGTTATGGTACAATAAATAAATGCTGGCTTAGAAAATCAATTTTCATTGCTACAAAGTTCAGCCTCATTCATGTCTGCTGTGTTCATGAGCCACAAAAGAAAGAGAGAAAAAGTACTGTTTGCTGACTACGTAATACTGCAATATACCAGTGTACAAACATACTTAGCTCAGGATGGCACGTTGCTGGGATCTGCTCAACGCAAGGAACCTTCAGGATTTGCCCAAACGTCAGCTCATACAGCAGGTGACCAAATGTGTACACTGCCTCAGCCTCTTTGGTCTACAGCCACAGAATACAATCAGACATACATTTAGAGGTGTAATGTAAGTGAAAACCATGGCAATAAGGCTTGACACAAGCATGCCAACTCATACACACACACGCGCACGTGCACACACATACTGTTACACACACATACACACACACACACACACACACACACACACACACACACACACACACACGTGTCTACATGCACGTACTCACACAGTTGCCAAAGGGAGTGGAATCATCAGCTCTACACTCATTACCCTGATTCTCACAATGTACTTGTATATACACCTGGTGGCCATGGACTAAGTACACAATGTGAATGCATGGGCTCTACTTGTACCAGTGTCAGGACCCTCCATGATGAAGACAACGTGCACTCGACACAACAAGTGGTCCATACCTGGATCTTCTTCAGTGTGACAATGTAATGCCGATAGGGTGATGGGAGACCAAGGGCAGCCACCTCAATGCCACTCAGCCTAGGAGGAAAAAAGCAAGCAAAATAGAAGCCACTCTAAAAATGGTTCAAAGTTCTAACAGACACTGACCGGATGTAGCTCACAGGGGCACAGTATTATTGCATGACATAAATCAACAGCAAGTGGTCGTACAATCAGTTGGACTTGGACTCATGCGCACACAGATGTGACTATTAATATTACTAAGCATAAGAACAAGCGAAGAAGTGGACCTATCAGTCGACTTCAATGCGAAAATGCACATAATAATAAATAAGAAGAAGAAAAGGCAGTACTCACTTGACATTGCCAGCATCAATGAAGATGTTGCCAGCATGGAAACAGGCTGCATACACAGTGGATATAGCAACAGAGTCGCAAGCACACCATGGTCATTACTACCCACGGCCCTAGTCTTCTGGTCTATGAATGTCACCACGAGTAAATAAGTTACCAAGAGTGTGCCATTCTGGATACCCTTTCGACGGGGTTCGCGGATGGCGAAAACTCACATCACGCGGTGCAGTGTTCACGTTGTACATATCCAGCTTGTTTTTAGCCAGCAGCGGAGTAATAAAAATAGCACTCCATAACAGAAACCCACTAAGCTTATGCGAGTCATCAGCATGAGCATGGTAGATAATTACTTGGATTGCACGCAGGCTAGCTTAAGTATTCACACTATGAAATGTGCCTGGAACACGTGATGCGAGTTTTGCACACTCTTGGGAACTTATTGACTCTTCATGTCACCATTATTATTATGTTAGGAAGAGAAGGAAGCCTGGTATATTGAGTAACAAAAGGGAACTTTCAAAGCTGTACAAACCTAAAGCAAATGGTAAACATACGTCACAAACACAACACCAATACCTGGAAACAATGCACATGAAAGACACCGCACAAGTGCCACCGCACATAAAAGGCAGGTGTCATGCTATACTATGGTGACATAAGACTACCATATAGAGGACGACAGTAACTCAAATGCCACTGCAGGTGCAAAAGAAACAGCTACAGTGCTGAACAGTATCCTACACAAGCAACACACAACTAAGTGTACTTACTAAAAGGAACTTGCTTGTCATGCAAGTACTTGACAGCCTACAGTCATGAACATAGACCAAACACAAGAAGGATAAATGGGCCTGGACAACTTGCGAAGCTATCGCACAATATAGTAAATCATTGCACACAGCAACAAGGTCACAAGCACACAGATAATATGGAAAATGGTCAATAAACAAGGCAGGCAGCCCTACAACAAGAAGAATGACTAGAGTCAGATGCTCCCACTTCACAATATCGAAGACTGTATGACCTAGTGCACTTACGTCCAATACTTGCCGGCAGTATTTACGAATTTCCATCAGAGACAACCCATTGCCACCTAGTGCATATTTCTTCATGTATGGCTGGCGAAGCTTTGTCTGCCAAGAAAATAGGAGAAACGGGGATGATTTGCTACTGACAGTTAGGATCATACATGAAACCAAAAAGCATGAGTACATTCAACAGTGACAACTGCAACAGAAAGCTTTTCATAAAGCTGAAACTGGAGAAGAAGGGAATTCAGGAAAGACATCTGCAACAGTATAAACGAAACAAGCATGGAATAATGATGCCTTCAGTGGTGAAAACAGAAATGTCAACGCACCTTCGGATTCATGCAATCACGCAGACTACCATGCTCCACAAAGGGCTGAATCAGAAGAGCAGCCGAGTTGTTCCAAGTTGAGAACTGAACAGGAAGGATGTTGGGGTGCTAAACAGTAACACACACACACAGAACAAGACCAAAGTACATGTATGTTCACATGAACACTGCACATTGGCTTGAGCGAGAGGTTCAGTGTACGTGAACACTACACAGGCCTCACACGACGATAGCAAGCAAATTCCTTTGCTCATTAACGAGAGGAGAGATAACAACCATGCTACTTAATACAGCGAGAGCGCAGACAATGAGATTCATGCATGTGGAGAGAGAAAACTCACAATCAGGTTCTGAAGAACCTTGAAGAAGGAAACTAGATCTTTCTCTGACAGGAACAACTGTGGCCCAGGTGGTAGCTGCACAAATACAAAAGAAAAATGTTTATAAAAGTACATACAGCAAAAGAACATCACATTATCATACACAGGGAAATGCTCCATACTCCAAAGCACTCAACAATGAAGGATGGACAGGGAACAGTGCTTTCCAGTTGAAGTCTCGTCAGGTCAATCACTAATTATTACAGGCAATTGCACTCCTTAGCTAAGGTCAACACATCAACACTGACAACTGACTAGGATACACACAATACATCACAACACGTGGCAGAGCATGGGATGGGATTTTCTCACCGGCAAATAGAATCAAACAAGAACAGATTCTAATGTATTCAACACACGCACACACACACACACGCACATACAGGGACATGCACGCACACACCCGCACACATGTACACAAAAGCGCGCACCCCCCCCCCCCCCTCACACACACACACACACACACATCATGTACCGTGTACACTGTACACCCGTCGCAAGAGAAGCACGCACATCTGCAAATGCACTGGATGTACACCCACGGATTTTCTCTTATAGCGGACAAGATTCGAATGAAACAGATCAAGACTAAATATGACGGGGTAATCAGCAGCATTCGGCATTCAGCGCAGTTATGGTGTGGCGGTTGATGACAGATCAAGACTATCGCCAGATATCGGCCTAATCCACATAACTGGCGAAGCCATGTGAATCGACCCCCAATGCACGCCTGGTCTATGCCACACGAAGTGCATCAGAACAGGACGGCCAAAACAGAAACCTTGCACACCATACACTTGCTGGGGTAACCAGTATAGACAACATGCTGCTTTTATTAAAGCAGACACTAGATGTACCTTGAAGTGAAGTTGGAGTTGCTCTACCAACCAGCCTCGGCAACGGAGTACTGGGAATCCAGAGCCAATAGACATATTAACAACCGCAGCCATGAAAGCCACAGTATACTATATTATAGTAACGACACACTAGATCGTGGAGCCGAAAACTAGTCCAACTTCCTAATGCTTTGGCAAGAAGGCAGCCTCGCACGCACGCGTGCGCGCACACACACCATGTAAGGACTTACAAGAGTTAACATATGTTTGACGGCCTTGGGCGAATCCCGCGGCCGCACCACGTAGTAGTGCCTTCGTATTCTCCAGCCAATGTTTGGCAAGCGCTCCACAACTTCCCAAGTGGGTTCATTGCGAAAGAACATGGACACTTGCCGAAGTGCTTCCTCTGAAATCGTTCACATGACATACACAGTGGCTATGGTTACACAGAGGTCAGGAAAGGGCTCACAGAACTCAGAAGACAACTCCACTGGAAAAATACTCCTGTGCATACATGGGACTTCCAATTGAATAATTGATTCCAATCATAACCCAGTCAGAGAGTACATACTGATAGCAGTACTTATCAGTTGAATACACATACTGACAGCATGGGCAAAAGACACCCAGGAATGTCATGGCCACTCACCATCTACAGCAACATCATAGTTGGTTGGATCTAGAAATCTCTTCATGCAAAGTTGACACGCTAGGATGGGCTCTCTCAACACACACTCCAAGTACACCTGTAAAACAAGATACAGCAGAGCAAATACACAATACAGTGTAAGCAACATACATGGCCATGCAAATGAGAAAGGTAATACAGGAGAAGCACGTAGCCATGATGGTGGAAAGATGACATCATGAATGATGATTTTGGTTTTGGTCAGTGTTGGTCAGCAGGAGCATACATAGTACCTGTAGTGCAGCTTTCCTCTCAGCTATGAACATGCGATCCATGTTGCCAAAGACTTTCTTCGGAGGGAGAGGAAGCTCAACACCTGAATTCTACACATATCACATAAGCAGCAAAACACACACACGCACAAACACGCACGCACGCGTGCACACACACACACACCACACATACACATACAGTTGACGTCATCATGCTAACACATATGTACAGTGAGTATCGTTTATAAAGTGACCGGGTGTAACGATATACCGGCTATAATGATCGAACTCGCCAAAATCAAAATCAAATCACAAAAAAATACAGCTAAAATATCACTATACACACTATTATCGGCTATACCGATATATCGCTTATTGTGATGGGCTTCAGGAAGCAAACCATATCAAATGCACAGGAAAATATCGTATATACTGATCAAGAGTGATGATCACAAAACAATTGTTCTTCAAATTTAGTTTATTTCTTCCAAAACTGATCCAGTGTTGCCTGGATGCATCTGGCAGCAGACGTGATTGAGAGAAAATTCTTCTCTGTATGCTGTAAGCAGCCACATGTACACGTGGCTGCTTTTCATGCTTTTTCCAGCATGTACGCATCATTTCATGCACAGTCATGTGCCATTAGTCAGTCATACATGGAAATCGGATATAGTGATGCACCGGATATAGTGATAAATTATCGAAAATCAAAGGGGCACGTTATATCCACTATTTACTGTACATGACTGTGCACTGTTCGGTAACTGTTGAATGCTAAGCAGCATGCGCATGAAAGCAGCCAGACAGCCACAAACGTTACACCTGCTACTACAGGCGTATTCAGAATCTACTAGCACTAGTTTGCTCCATGTGCAAACTGCAGATGTGCAGAGCTACTTGTAGTATGTAATGCATATACAGTAAAACCTGCAATGGCGACCACTCGGATATGGCGACCACTCGACCATGGCGACCACTTTTCCTTGTCACGACGCATTCACATTCAAAACAGCTTGGGTAAGGCGACCACTCGCTCAACGCAACCGACGACCACCCACCCGCGACCGCGATGCACCGTGCTAGTACATGTAAATGTACGCATTGCATGGTGCACCATGCATGGTAGATCTACACATCAGTGCAGGAAGTGTAGATGTACATGGTGCATGCACGACACTTGACAGGACTGAGGACCCTAGGCACAGGAGCCGTGCTAGAGTAGCATAAATGTGTGCACTGTGATACACTGATCAAAATGATGTATCACATGTGGACATGGTCACGTGACGCACTGAACCTGGATAAGAAGACCACCTGGCCACGGCGACCACTTTTTCTCGTCCCTTGAGTGGTCGCCTTAGACAGGTTTCACTGTACATGATTTGTACTGTGTGAGAGCCTGAGCGGGGCTCAAACTCACAAATTTCCTCCCACCAGCGGTATGATTATACCACCCTCTAGCACTGTTTAATGCTACACGTTGCTCATACACTTCAAATCACACTCACCGAAAGATCTGAGTGAAGTCGAACGAAATCGCTGTACCGTCGACTGATCTAAGAATTTCAAACAGCACCACAAGACTTTGCTGTCTTAAAGAACATCAGAGCACTGGCATAGGGTACCCTGTAAAAAGACTCACAGTCTGTGGGGATTGCCCTAGTAAAATAATAAAATTAATAATAATAATATGGCACAATGGATTGTGTGTATGTTGCCGAGAAATATAGTCATGTATACTGTCATGTACATACTTGCTTTATAGAAGAGTTCTGTTAAATTGAGTAAAAAAAATTGATGGACCCACATTGATATTGATCATGTCAAAAGTAGAAAATATATGAAGAACTACCAGCTACAGATATAAGGGAAGCACACTCGTATGTATTGGTGCTCCTAGACCTCAGGAATGGACATTGCAGAGCGAAAAAGCAATACAATTATCAATTAATTTACCTATTGACAGTTTTTTGTGTTTCAGTTTCAAAAAATAATTGTGTGATTCGTACAGTCCAAAGTACTTACACCCCAGGAATCATCTTTACTCCATCCACGTTGAACTCGAATAAGATAAGTCTACAACACCATCAACAGAAGAATACCTCTCGTTTACGACCAGAGACAATAGCTCATGGCAATACGATAACTATCGAAACATACAACGTGAGAACCTTCCACTTGGGGTTCATCAAATGTGCAGCTGAGAGGAATAGTATCATCAAGCTGAGTTCCTCGGCGTTCTTCGAATACAGCTGCAGACGCCATTGCGCAAAGTATCAATAACAATGAGCTGCTAAACAAACAAGAACGGGTGTGCCATCGACTATCGTTTTCCAAACCACTTTCGACACACCCTTCCAAACACACACTGTTTTCATAAAAACAGCACTACCAAAGACAAAAACTGTTTATGCGCTCTGCAGATCTGGTACGAAGTCGTACATGGTATCTATGCTGTCCACGATTAATTTTTGTGCGATGTGTGTGCATCGAATCCATGTACATGTACATGTAATCTACGTCTTTCTACGACCATGCATGCATCAGTCTCAGATCAGATGACTGTACAATGACGTAGATGTATGACTAGCGTAACTGTTGCAGCCACAGGTTTCGTCAAAACCAGGGAGTAGTACAATACTCCCTGGTCAAAACCAGTGAACAAGCAAAGAACCAAACTCCAAAGAACCAAAGAAATAAAAAGTAGTTTTGAACGTTTTGATTTACTAGTATATAAATTATAATAATGTTGTGGTATGTTGTATGACGCTGAAAATTGATGAGTGGATGACCGAATTGAGCAGTACCATACTGGTAATCGCTTCAAGCTAGTAGTCAGAAGGAGTAGTTGAGAGCTGTGATTTGGATTATGGAGCAGTTCCTTGCTCTTGCTAAGAATGCTCGCGGTGTTTCTGCTGCAGCTCTAGTTCAAGAGATTATCAGCCATCCCAATGTATTTGTATTCGAAGAATTATTACACACATCTGCAATTGCAGAGGTGAGCTTTGTGCAACATCTGGCCAGGATGATATGCCATTGTTTTTAGTGTATGAAAAGAAAATGCACTTATGCACGAGTTTTTAGAATGAAATTTTGAAGGTTATAATGGTGAGGCATGAGGTGGGCAATTACAACCAGATTCTGAGAAAGAAATAGAACCTACCATGTTTGTAGTCACTGATTATGTGCATGTACCATTAACTACCGTATTGACTGATCGAGAAAAAGCCAAGTGGTTGATACTGAGATGGTGGCGTGCACCCAAATTTGCGCAACTGTGGACCAGGACTATTTATCACCAGTTGACTAGTCCGTTCTTCATGCACTTAAAAATCTTCAGGTGACTGATACGTTGTGAGTAGTCCCTGTCCGCTGCGGCACCAATTCATGTACGATGATAATAAATTCTATTAGCAGCTGTTCAAAATCTTTCATTGATTTGAGTGACTTGCGCAAGATTTATTGGAAGATGGGGAGATTTCAAGCCATGCTTTCAGGTTGGGTTGGATATTGCTACCCTCCTTTCTGGTCACAGCCAGGAACAAACAGTAGCTCTGGCATGTATAATAGCAAGGTTCTTTCCAGCCAACTCCATTCCTATGTGACCCAGGTGTGTCCTGTCAGTCTCCAGTTTCCACTGCCTGCCACCCATTCCACGTGTTTGTAGAGAGGCTGCACTAGTCTACATGGGGTAGTTGAGTGTTGTTCCAGCCATGACCAACAACAAATTCCCTGCAGGAGGACTACGAGCAGAGTGAACACTTGGCTGAATAGCACTTGCGGATTCTACTGGGAGGATTGGGAGAACAACATAACTACAGTGTTCCACAGAGGTTTGAGTAGAGACAAGTTTGTTTAGATATGCTTCATTATAGTAGGCTGTACTATGAAAGCGGCATGCCGCTTAGCCTTACGAGTTGGTGAGTGGTGTTCCAGCTGCTGAAATGAAACTGGTACAGTATGTCCTGCAATTCAAATGGTTTCACAGTGAACTGGCATGTAGGAAATGCAGAGGGCTCCTAAGTCACTGGGCACGGAGATTTTAAGAGTCAGCACAATTTTGTGTTTTTTTCTCACTATTGCCCCAACTTTCTCAACCCACCATGAATATTGCTCTTTAAAGGGGAAGTTAAGGCAAAAATTAAAATTTCACCAGTTGTAGTCTTCGGGGTGCTGAGTCGAATGGTCGTGGTCCGAGGAAGCTGAGACGCTCCCTTCCTACTTGAATCCCAATCGAACTCGCGCACTTCCACCGAAACTGGGCGACTGCGCCCTACTAGATGGGGATTTGTATGCAAAATGTCACTAAAAGCGCCATTTCGTTCTTATAAAAGCACGGATGACCGCGATTGGCCCATATGTTGTAGTCTTTTGGACGCTGAGTCGACTGGTTTTGGTCCGAAAAGGCTGCGATCCAGCGTTCCTCCTTTATTCCCAATCGAACATGATTGAACAAGCGGTCACGTGCTCCTGCGTACGCCAGTCACCTGGTCACCGTGCCTGCAGGGTACAACTTACTAGCCTGTTTGACCTTTTTTGGGTGCAGTCCTGTCACTCGAGTTGAACTCGAGTTGAACCTTGGTGTGAAAGTTGTCGCCTGCTGGCGTGGTGACTAGGTGATTTGGGCACCCAGGAGCACGTGACCGCTTGTTCAACCATGTTCGATTGGGAATTAAGGAGGAACGCTGCATCGCAGCCTTTTCGGACCAAAACCAGTCGACTCAGCGTCCAAAAGACTACAACATATGGGCCAATCGCGGTCATCCGTGCTTTTATCAGAACGAAATGGCGCGTTTAGTGACATTTTGCATACAAATCCCCATCTAGTAGGGCGCAGTCACCCAGTTTCGGTGGAAGTGCGCGAGTTCGATTGGGATTCAAGTAGGAAGGGAGCGTCTCAGCTTTCTCGGACCAAGACCATTCGACTCAGCACCCCGAAGACTACAACTGGTGAAATTTTAATTTTTGCCTTAACTTCCCCTTTAATACTGCTTACTTTATCACCTTTTGTACATTGTATAATAACTTAGTGATTGTACTGGTTAGTTTCTTTCCTGCCTGTATCCACCGGAAGAGAAGGCATTGAAAGTGCTGGTGGAGATATTTGAAATGTTGCTTATGAGCAGCCGGAAGATAGCTCTGTTCTTTACTTTAACTTCATTTTTGTCCCATTGTATTGTGGACAAATTTCACCAGTCCATTAAGATTTGTCCTAAAGACGTTTGACTGTACTGTGCTACCAGTGTACCAGTGTTCGTATATTAGCTGATTGGTGTGATTTTATGTGTTGTATCGTGTTGCAGCTTGCGGGGACCGAGCACTCACCATATTTTGATCTTTTGACCGTCTTTGCTTATGGTACCTATACTACGTATAAAGGTATGACAAGCCCCATGAAGATTGTTCTTGGGCTTTCTTCAGGTTTACGTGTGTTTCATGTTGAAAGCGGTTTGAGTACTTCAAGTGCATTTTTTTTCCAGAGGATGCACCCGTAGTCCTTCTCTGAACCATCTAAGACTTTAACACATTGTACAACCATTTTTAGATTGATGCTGTGCGAGGGGAAATTATGTAACGTTGTGTTATTGGTGGATTCTGGATGAGGCTTGGCTTGAGTATCATGGTTCAAGCATGTATGTCCACCTTTCTTCCATTGTTTTCGTGTCCGATTTTGCATGTGCAGCCATTCATACAGTCATAAGCATGTGACTGTATGCATGCGAGGGTAGAACAGGACACACATTAGTGTACTTGTACAGTTGAAGTTGTACTCTTGTTAAAATACTCGTTGTTTGTTATTGTTGCTGTTGATATTGGTGTTGCTGCTGCTGTTGTTCTTGTTCTTGTTGTCGCTGTCGCTTGTGGTGGTGGTGGTGGTGATATTGCTGGTGGTGTTGCTGTGGCTGCTGCTGTGGCTGTTGCTGTGACTGTTACTGCTGCTGTTGCTGTGGCTGTGACTATTACTGCTGCTGTTGCTGTGGCTGTGACTGTTACTGCTGCTGTTGCTATTGTTCTAGAGCGGCAAGCATGCTTACCAGCTTTGACACCAGAGCAACTTCGAAAACTTCGTTTTCTGACCATCGCCTCACTAGCAACAGGTTGTAAAGTAAGTCTGCAGAGAAACCTTTGGGTCATTTTTTGTTCTGGTGGCTGGTCTAGAATATGTTAACGTATAGGCGTATTGTTTTACTCTCACGTATTCATATGCTCCCTTTTTCTTTGTCTCTCTTTGTCTCTCTCTTTGTCTCTATCTCTCTATCTCTATCTTATACACACGCGCGCGCACACACGCGCTCCTCTTGTTTTGATTATCAGAAAATCAAGTATGCAGATCTCCAGCAGGAGCTGGGAATCACTAGTGTCCGTGAGTTGGAGGTAAGGACGAGGTTTCATCCACAACACACTGCTTGCACTCACTACTGTGGGCACATATGTTGTTTCTACTTGTTCTTCTTTGTATACTGTGGTTAGCGGCACTTACCCCTTTGCCGACTTGCTTGATGTGTGCACCCCTATCCACCCTGCAGAAAGCTCAGTGGGGAGTTGCACAGTAAGATTTTATTCAAATTGAAACACTTTGACTGACCTGAGCCGAAAAAGTCAGGTTCCCGGCTTGTGTCACCTGACTTTTTCCGGCCCAAGCCAGTCGAAGTGTTTCAATACGTATCCATATGTAGTCACTAAGCTTTCCTGTACAATGATGCTCAATGACATCTCGTCGTCACAAGTCAGCTAGATCTTGGTGCTGGGTAACTCTACACCTACACAAACTGGTCTGTGCATTGGTGCAAGATGATAGCATATCTGAGCATGGGTTTCATTAACCAGAACTGTACATGCATTTGTGCATTTGTATGGCTGTTTGCGTGCTTGTAGGATCTGATCATCCTGGCAGTGTATTCAGGTGTTGTGAGAGGGAAGCTTGATCAAGTCCATTCTGAGGTGAGTTGATCTTCGCAGTTCGAACACGCTCCTTGACTAATCAGTCGATACGCCAAGTCGCTGATGAGGCCGATTTTATTTGCAACCGCGGGGAAAAATGAGGTGAAAACGCCGCCGCCGAGGCAATTGTTTTTCTTGGTATTTTGTGAACCTTCATGGACTATAATTATCAGCTTTTCGTGGATGTAGTAGCTGTTGTAAACTAGTTTACTGGCACGTGCCCACTCTCTTCTTAGACCTTCCCCTGAGACTAGCTGTGTTGATTTGGGATCCATCAGGAGAGGTTTCCTCGACGTCGTCCTTTTTCGTATTTCGTGCACGCTCAACTTCTCGGGCGTGCAGAGGTGGACATCGGTCACGGACACCAGTTTCTATGATTGTAAGTTGTTGGTTATTCTCTTGGGTTCTAGCAGTGTGAAATTGGATGTGATCGGACTGTGCAACAAGGTGTAGCCCGAAATTCCATACAGCAGTACTGTACAATCTGAAAAAAAAAGTAACTTTAGTTGTGCTTGCATCGAGGTGAACGTTTAGAGCTTTCTCGTTTTCCTCCTTGTGCGTATGTATGAACCCCAGGGCTATCGTGTCACGGCAGATTTGGGACTAAGCCTAACTATTACTAGCACCAAAAATGAAGCTCCTTGGTATATTTTGTCAACCAGCATGTCGATATTTTTGGCAATCTATTGATCTCTGCATTAATACATACATGAACACACCAACCACAAAGTCTCATGAAAAGTTGGTTAAAGCTGGTTATAAAATATTAGTGACACTTACAGGCATTCCATAGTTGCACAGAGCCATGACGATCATGGCTCCATATGCTCTTCTTCAACTTCTGCAGGAGTGGTGGTGTCAACGAGCGCGGGTTGGTGTGTGTGCTCATCCAGTGATTTGCCATGCTGCACGGTACCATCATTGGCGCCTTCATCAGCATCGTCATCTGAGTCTTCATCAGCATCACTGCCACTCTCCTCAGACTCGGGTTGGAGTGGTGAATATTGCCGTCCTCACTGACGACATTGCTGACAACATTCTTGCAGCCAATACATTTGCAACCAGGACCACAGCGACCAGACCTGTAGCGCTTGCAGCGCCTGGTGACACAGCCAGACTTACAGCTGCACCCGTGAGTCAGCAGCATCACTCTTGGCCTAACTGCAGCCATGTGCTCTTCTGTGTCCCAGACGACACTGATAGCATTGCCGTCTGTCCTCCAACCATACTTATTGGGATCCAGAACATTGACTTGCTCCTGGTTGGCCTGCGCCCACATGTTCGCCACCCAGCACACTCTCTGCCATTGCAGACGCAGGGCGCTCCAAGATGGCTCCACTCTGCTCCATACCACCAGGATGGCACAGCTGCATGCTTCATGCAGGACAGTATGAATAGGCAACGGACGCGCTTGACGTGTTGGTAGGGGGATTCGGCTGGGCAGTTTTGCTTGCCGCCTTCCTCATTACCATAAACCATCAGCCACACATTTCGCCAAAGACCGGGGTTTACTTCAGTGATCACTGCTTCTAGCTTAATTTCCGATAGGGAGGTGGGATAAGCACAAGTGACAAGGCCATGTCGCAACCAGTTCGGTACAGCAGTGTGCCCTGCTTCCACCCTCCAAATGACCCGTGCTGCAGATGCATGCCTAGCTTTGCTTGTAGGCTGGATAGCAGCCACCGATTGTTCATCTCAGCCTCACCATCAGTTAGGGCTGGGTGATGATCAGCAGCTGTGGCGAGCATAAGGGCCCTATTCTCAAACAATGTCTGCCCGGCAAATACGGCTGTTGAGATCGAGCTGCTTCACACCTCGATGCAGATGGTGTCTCCTTTCGCAGAGATTGTAGGAGCACCTGGAGCTGGTGGTCTGTGCTCCGACTCTCTCCATCAGCATCTACCAGCTCCAGCTGTACCTTGTAGCATGTGAGGCACAGGGTGCTGTCGCCGCTGATACTGATGCCATGCGCAACATTCAGCTGGCGCTGGAGAGCACCTACATTGGGGCATTTGCGTTTCGTGCCCACGAATCACGATGCGTGTGCTGCACATGGCACATGTGGGGCGGGCCATATCATGCAGCTGCATGTTGTGCTTGTTACATAGGCACAGAGATGACATGTCTGTTATGTGTTCTTTTAGCGCAGCCCGTCGTTCAGCAGCTGCCATCGACACTGCTGCATGCCGTGGCAAGTCGCAGCCGGCAACTGAACATACTTGCACCGCATTTCCCTTTCCATGCTGATCTGGTGTGGGTGATGACTGTAACTCCGTGGCTTCCGTGCTTGCATTTCTGCTGGCTCTGTAGATCTTGACGCTGCTGCTGCTGCTGCTTCTGTAGTGGTTGTTGCTTGTGGCTGTTGATGTTGCTGTGCAGCCTGTGCCTTCAAACGCTTTATGCATTTCTTGCATATACATGCATCTGGTTTAATAGCTGGATACTTGGTGTTATCTCAGTTTTCAATTGAGGCTGGGTGGGTATATCTGGCATCGCGTGGTGTCTCCTGGCACACAGAGCAGGGTCCACACTCTCTACCAGGGTGCAATTGCGTACCCAAATTTTGCCGGCCCAGATTTTGGCATGGGGTGGTCGGACACCTGCCAGCGTTTCAGACGCTGTGAGTACCTCCTTTGGGACTCTATATGTGTGGATGCTTTCTCTCTCCGCTCTTGCAACAAGCAGCGGCCCGAAATAATCTGCGACGTACCTACGAAGTTCGTATTTGAAAGAGAAAAAAACGGAACAAAAATGTCGAAGGAAAATGATCAGATGTTTGGAGACCTATTCAAAAATCTGCTTGATTGGCTCTCCACTCACCCTCGAAGCACTGGAACTGCGCAAAAGCAATCGATATCTCAGTGTTTGTCCACAATAGAGAGGTTCCGGGGGTACGATTTTCCGTGCCAAAATCCGTATGGGCTCTACGGATTTTTTCGAGGCATGCTCCATACGATTTTTCGGCATGGAGAATCCGTGTGGACTGGCTTTCATACGAACCATGTTTCGTATGGAGATTTTGCGTCATCGGGTGCAGAAAGATTTTTCGCGTACAAATTTGGTACGAGAAACATCGATTTTCGGCGGGAAGTTTTGATTTCGGTACAAATTAAAATATAAAGGCATAGCGCGGGAATGTGACGTGTTTGCGATCGTAACTTAGGCAATGACGGCAAACACAGAAGTTCCGTACTCCGGAACATTTCACTGCTCGAAAACGACGTATAAAAAATCCGTAGCGCCTCTACGGATTTTGGCACGAAAAATCGTACTCCGGAACCTCTTTTAAATGTCTCCACAACCAGTTGTCTAAATCCTTGAGCGAAATTGAGAACACCACCAAAATGCCCTTCAAATTTCCCACGGTTGCAAATAAAAAGAGGACCCTTTCTGCAGCTTTTTCATACTTGGCGCATCGACTGTAATGACTCATGTCACGTTGCTTAGTTTTTTTTAGGTGTTTCTTGCCAGATTTGCTGTGTCTGTTTGATGGTTCTGGTTATGAACATGAATTCTGGTGGTCAGTATAGATAAGCCAGTTCTTTATTCCCGTAGCTATGCAAAAGACGTTACTTCAGAGGGTCCACACAGCTTTAATTTGGTATTTGTTTTTGCCGTCGGCATGCCTGGCGCTATCCCGTACCTGTCCCGTACCGTACCGCACCATCAAAGACAGCTGGCCACAATATTCAAATAGGGCTTTCAAATGCAAGATCATAACGTGAAGCAACTTGGAAGAATGTGTATGTATGCGAAGTGTGTCGGGGGAATGCATGCAGGGCGATAGTGCGAGTTCGAATCCTAGGTTATGTCTTGAAAAAATAGAAGAAATGAAATATTTATAACATTCCTATGGGTTTTTTGCCTAGGTCATCAAGGTGGTAGATGGTGTCGTATTACCCTCGAATGCAAAGAGAACGTTTATTTATTTCGCTCAGGGCCCTACGCTATGCTTTTTTTGCCTAGCTCATCATGCATGTTATTCGAACAGATGGAAACTTTTTTGCAATACAATGATGTAGCCGATCAGTTCGTTGTAGTATGGTTGGGCATTGTAGCCGTCATGGTCGACGTAAAACACTATAGCCAACCAATGGAAAAAACATGTCCATCAGTTCTCATAACATGTATGATGAGCAAGGCAAAAAAGCATAGCGTAGGGCCCTGAGCTTCCAAGCTCTCTTGTTGGAACTATTCTGTGCTTTCTCTTTATTCCGAAGAAGAGATATTTCAATAAAACTGTCCTCACTATGGTGGTAATGTAGAGCAGAGATGGGTGGTACATGTACTTTGAAGTAAATCATTTACGGTATGACCAAGTCTGTCCCGCTTTCCTCTTCTTTTGTACGATATTGCCTGAAGTTGCTATGTGGCTCTTCACTGATTTCTACTTTAGTATACGCAGAGGCAATTGGCTTAGGTTCTGCGAATGTGCTCAATACCTGATTCAGGCAGAACGGCGTACACAAAGGCACACAATGAAAACCTTGGCAAATTCCGTTGTGACTCAGAGTTTCATGGTTGAACCGATCATTAGACAATTGCCATTGTGTACTCTAGTATACATAGTGTGAGTGTGGCTATCCTGGCTCTCACTCCTGGCTTTATGTTCTTTTCCTGGACTTTTTCCCTGTGGGTGAACGCTGCACAAGAATCTAGGGATCTCACTGTAAAGACCATCTAGCTATAATGTCCCCCATTGTTAATGTGACGTTCTTTCTCTTTGTCTCTTCCTCTCACTCTCTTATCACTCTCTCTTTCTTTCTTTCTCTCTCCCTGTCTCTCCCTCGCTCTCCCTTTCTTTCTCCATCCATGCTATAGTTTGATGTGGAATTTGCCATTGGCCGGGACATTCAACCTGGCAGCCTTGACACCATGGCTGTAACTCTATCCAAATGGTAAGTTGTCGTATTGCCGCAGCACATACCAATATGCTCATATCTGTCAATGTTTTCATGCTGTGCGGTTCAGGCATTTCAGTAGTGTCCTTGTGATAGGAGTATACCACCAACACAGTATGCGGGAAGTACGTTTTACCTGAGTCTGCCGTAACAGTACACATGCGCATGCACTCTCATAGACGTAGAATCAGTGCTATGAAGTGTGTACACTCAAACGTCTCTTATCCGGACGCCTCAGATACGGGCACGTCTCTCTACCGGGCACCTTCTGCTTGAGTTCCTAGGGCAAAAATGCTCCGAATTTGGGAGGTTTGAACTTTTTTGGTATGCACAAGTGCTTATTTGTCACTGCCAAGCTGTGTAATCCACACATTTTTTTATCAGTGGATTCTTTTCGTATCCTGAACATGTGCAATATGTGCCAAATAAACTTCTTCAAAAATGATGATACGTGGTAGATAAGTTATCCTGAGATACGGGCAAATCTGAGATGCGGGCAGTGCCCGGTCCCAAGGTGCCCGGATAAGAGACGTCCGAGTGTACTTCTTTTTTTGAAGTTCTGAAATTTCACAAATTTTCGGTGTACTTTTATTTTCGGTACTTTCGGTGCGTCTCACGGTCTGTTTCATCCCTAAAATTTCAATACACCGAACAAACACTAACACACGTACAAGTAATCTAATAGGGAACTGCTTCTCTGTACCGAACATTTCTGTTCACCTAACCTGGCCTGTTGCCCTCATACCGAAAATATTGAGCACCGAAATTTTCTGAAATTAAGAGTGCTTCGAAGTACGCCATAGCTAGGTGTATATTTTTTCAGACTTTTCCACTTCATTCCCCCAAACTGATGAATATTTGTGTCTTATCTCAGTCCATACTAAGTGATTTTCACCTTGTCTGTTCGCTGTTCTTGCGTTGGCTATGTCTCCAATATCCTCACTATGCATCCACCCACCGTAAGCATGAAGATGTTGAATAAGACGCCTGCCCCAAGTCATTTGCCAATTTTCCTGGCATTGACTGCATGTTCATTGAAGGCATACCGCAAGATAAAATGTGTGTGTGTGCACATTTGCTTGCGTGTGTGTGCGTGTGTGTGTGCGTTTGTGGCCAGAAAAAGTCACTTCAAACAGCTGTGTGGTGGATACCAGGCTAAAAATAGTGGCGGTCAATTCATCAGCCTTGCAAGCTGTTGAATGGTGTAATCCCAGCCCAAGTTGCTATGTCTAAAAACATAGCTGTTCGCTATCATCGCTCCCGCGATGGGCATGTCTGAGGTCTGAGGTCTGAGGTGTGTGTGCGCGCACTATTTTGCGTATGTAAGTGTATGTGTGTGTGTGTGTATATGTGTGTGTGTGTGTGTGTGTGTGTGTGTGTGTGTGTGTGTGTGTGTGTGTGTGTGTGTGCACGTTGGCATGTGTGTATACACGCGTGTGCGTATACACGTGTGTGCACTATTCTGTATTTCTTTGTGTAATAATCTCCCTAGGAGCTCTCAGTGTCAGCAAGCATTGGAAAGTATTGAGAGCTGCATTGGTCAAGCTAATGCAAGTCGTGCGAAACATCGGTCAGAAGAGAAAGCACATGAGCGTGCAGTAAGTACACTGATATTATCTACTAATGCCAGATATGACTCACACTCCTATTGTTTCATTGCTTTTTTTCTTCTTCTTCAGACGATATCATTGGTGGATGTCGAATGATATCATTGGTGGATGTCCAATGATATCATTGGTGGATGTCCAATGATGCTGTATTACTAACTCTAGCTAGTCACCTATTCCGTTGACGTATTCCGTCGACGTAGATGTCAAGAATAGTGACGTATTCCGTCGACGTAGATGTCAAGAATAGTGACGTATTCCGTCGACGTAGATGTCAAGAATAGTGATGTATTCCGTCGACGTAGTTGTCAAGAATAGTGACGTATTCCGTCGACGTAGATGTCAAGAATAGTGACGTATTCCGTCGACGTAGATGTCAAGAATAGTGACGTATTCCGTCGACGTAGATGTCAAGAATAGTGACGTATTCCGTCGACGTAGATGTCAAGAATAGTGACGTATTCCGTCGACGTAGATGTCAAGAATAGTGACATATTCCGTCGACGTTGATGTCAAGAATAGTGACGTATTCCGTCGACGTTGATGTCAAGAATAGTGACGTATTCCGTGGACGTAGATGTCAAGAATAGTGACGTATTCCGTTGACGTAGATGACAAGAATAGTGACGTATTCCGTTGACGTTGATGTCAAGAATAGTGACGTATTCCGTCGACGTTGATGTCAAGAATAGTGACGTATTCCGTCGACGTTGATGTCAAGAATAGTGACGTATTCCGTCGACGTTGATGTCAAGAATAGTGACGTATTCCGTCGACGTAGATGTCAAGAATAGTGACGTATACCGTCGACGTAGATGTCAAGAATAGTGATGTATTCCGTCGACGTTGATGTCAAGAATAGTGACGTATTCCGTGGACGTAGTTGTCAAGAATAGTGACGTATTCCGTTGACGTAGATGACAAGAATAGTGACGTATTCCGTTGACGTTGATGTCAAGAATAGTGACGTATTCCGTCGACGTAGATGTCAAGAATAGTGACGTATTCCGTCGACGTAGATGTCAAGAATAGTGACGTATTCCGTCGACGTAGATGTCAAGAATAGTGACGTATTCCGTCGACGTAGATGTCAAGAATAGTGACGTATTCCGTCGACGTAGATGTCAAGAATAGTGACACAGTCGTGTGGCACTGTACACAATGTTAGTGGATAATGAAATGCTTTGTCCGTATGTGTATCTTTGCATCCCACAAGTTATGGGGCATGACTGTGTTTTCTTTGCCTGACTTCTTTCTTATCATCATCATCTTTTGCAGGTGGAGATTGCTTTGCAACAGGTGTTACCAGTTCAAGTGAGTGGAAATCAAATGGATAGTGAATACTCCTCCAGTCCTTCATCCAGTGCCTTGGAATCTTTCAATAATGTGCAGCCTACCGCTAAGAGGTACTTACTACTTATAGTGTGTGTGTGTGTGTGTGTGTGTGTGTGTGTGTGTGTGTGTGTGTGTGTGTGTGTGTGTGTGTATGTGTGTGCATCCGTGCATTCTTGTGTGTGCATACGCACGCAAGTGTGTGTGCATGTGTGCAGCATCCGTTTGATTCTGTGAATGTAAAAAAGGATATTACAATCGGGATAGGTTTCCTAGCCATAAGGCCACACCAAGTTAATTAACTTAATTCTATGTTTCGCGTCGGAAATATTCTGGAAAAGGCATGCGGGCGGGCGGAAAAAAAAACAGAAGAAAAAAAACTTCTTTCTATGTGTACTGAGCCATGTTTCACACAGAATAGCACTGCTGTACACTCAGTCTGTAAGCTGTCACTTCTCAAAAACAACAAAAAGTCGGCACAGTACAACTGGCAGACTGCACTGGAGCGATACCGCAACAGATTTCATGGATGGCACCTTCTGCACTTTGACATGAGTCGAGTGGAATTCCTCTCCATCACGACGATTCTGGAAAATCTCGGAGTCCTTGAAACCTGGAATCTCCGCTCGCTTGGTGAGCAGGCCCTCCCGGCCGGCTTGGAAAGAATTTTCATCGCTCGCAATTTCTACGTACCATCGCCCGGAATGAAAGAGTATTGAGAAGCTGATCTGCCATACTGGCTAGAGAATGTTCGCTAGAACAGCAATCGATGGACTCGTCTGGGTGCTTTTTTTTCTTGTCAACGATTCGATAAGGTACGCGCGCGGTGACACGAAACATAGAAATAACTTGGTGTGGCCTAAGATGTATGCTGGTCACTTCTGGAGGTCAATTTGGGCTTCTTTAATTTAAAAAAATCTTATCGCACATGTGAAAAGGGGTTATTTGGCTGGTACACAAGCAGCTTGTCGTTTGTTGTAGCATTTGCGTGCATTTCCATTTATGGGTTTCTGTTTTTGTTTCTTTCCTCAAGGCAAAAGATGAAAGGGACATCATCAGTGCAACGCAAAGTAGTATAATGTCGCTTCTTCTCCTACGTCTCTAGCACACTTAGCCAGTTTTGAAAGTTTAACTCTTTTCAATACAGTAGCAATCATCATAAAACAGCAGATTACGACGAGCATTGGCATACTCTTATTGATAATCTGCCATCAAGAAACACACATCCGAATTGTAGACGATATGAAAATATCACATGTTCAGCTATTTTATGCTCGGCATACTTCTTCTTCCTTACTTCAGCTACATGCATGCTAGCTGCTGATCCAGGTGCTGGCACATTTGAAATATGTACATAGTTGGTACTCAATCTCCGATATGTAAAGCGGCTGCAATGTTCTTTCCTTTATACAAATGTACATATTTTTTAAGTTTACATGCACCTATTGTGTTTAAATTTCAGTTTCCTTGCACATCTTCTTCACCACTACTGTTGCTAGAAAACAAGTCCACAATGTAAATTTGTGTTTAACGTATGATCAACAATACAAGATTATCCTTCAAATACTAGTACAGAAGTATGGGTTAGTGAAATAGTCAGGACACAGGTGAAAGCAAGTACTGAGTAGTTAGGAAAACAGAGTATTAGCACTCACTGCTCAATACTATGAACAGCACTCTTTAGTTGTGCAATGCTGTAGGGGAAACATGCATGGCAGTATTTGCACTATCTCAGTATATCTCCTGATCCTGGCTGTTGCATGCATGTACTGGTGCTCCATGTCACTTCACTTGTGGGTTCATACAAGTTGCTTGACTCCTCTATCCTGGTATCCGGGCATGTGACTCTCTCTCTTTATCAGTGTTATCCATCGGTCTCACTATTCGCCTGGCAGTTGTCCATGTCTGCTCGTTCCAAGCCCTCCGCTGGTGGTTCTTCTGTTTTTGGTGTGCTGAAGCAGTGCTGTGCTGGCTGTGGATTGAGCTTGCTGAAGCGCTGCAGTTCCTGGTGTATTTCTAACAAGTGATCATACAGGACTGGACTCAGCACTGGCGATGGCAAGCGCAAGTACTGACACTGTGACACGATTGCCTGGTGAGACACGAAGCAGCCATATCAGAACTAGCCACAATCAGTCCCAAACAATCATCCTCTGACAGTCATACGTGTCAAATGAGTTTTCAATACTTTGCACGCGTTCTGTAAGCATAATTATGTCATGCTCAGAACACTTTACGCCACGTCCTGACAAACCCTCAATCAGGGTAGCAAGCAGCATTGTTGGTTTGTCGGTCGCAGCAAGTGTCCTCTCCTGTACAGTACATGTATAATCACCTGCTAGAAGAGCTGCATGATCTACATGTCCCCATGCAGCAGTATACCTTACTGCTGCATGATCTACATGTCCCCATGCAGCAGTATACCTTACTGCTGCATGATCTACATGTCCCCATGCAGCAGTATACCTTACTGCAGCATGTATACAGTACTGTCGGGCGCCGAAGAACTGAGAGATCAGGGTTCTAGCCTAGCCCGTTTTTACTTTTAGCGAACACAGCAGTTTCGTTCTTATTCGATGGTACAGTCTTACATGTACATTTATGCAGAGTTATACGTCTGGGTGTACATTATAGTGTATGTTACGGTTTCCGTTCTTATCCGCGAAAAAATCCAGCCCGCACCGTTCTTAAAAAATGGTGAAATTCTAGCCTAGCCGTTCTTCGGCGGTCCGTTCCTCGGCGGTTTGTTCTTCGGCGCCCGACAGTCTGTATAGGGCTTGATATGATGACATTACAAGTCAACAAAAAAATCAAGAACTTCTGATTCCCTGTGACCATAGTGAAGTACAAAGTACAGTACAACGTACAGTATTTGGTGAGTAGGTCCCTTGTGTTGCATGCAGATGTGACTTCTTCTGGACCATAGATGGGTCCCCGGCCGGAAAGGCTCGGTCCAGTCACTACCTGCGGATGTGCCACCCTCCTGTGAAGGGAAACCCTCCAAACGATTCATAGAATCACTGGGTTCAGGTGGATCTAAAAGTCAATGTGCCCGTGACACGGTACTTTCTACCCCTACTGCACTATCAAAAAAGTATTCTTTCTAGACCAAAGAGTGGTATATTTGATAACATTTAATATGTTATCAAATATACCACTCTTTGGTCTAGAAAGAATACTTTTTTGATATTACAATGAGAGTGAAAAATCAACGGCTTGTCCACCAACTCTCCTACTGCACTGTACCCCTTCCACGCAAGAAAGGAAAATGCAAATCTTGTACTTACGACGTCTAGCAGCAATTCACTTTGTGTTTCCAGACCAGTGAATGAAAACATCACGCCGCCTTTCTCTAAATAGATAGTCAGAAAAGCAAGCCAATAGATATCACTGGAACAGACTCAGGCTACTATGGTAAACCTGAACAAACTCTGTGTGTAGTACATGTGTAGAACAGCCACAGTACACCATTCTGCTATCCACCATGCAAGAAACACTGTGTAGATCATTGTATTGCACATCACAAGGGTGTTGCAACGGGAGCAACCAACAAGCCGATGCGCGCTTTTTTTTTTCTCGTCATATTACCCAAGTCGGTCAGTGGACTGCGTTCAGAGTAATTGTTTGGTGCGGAAGCTACGGGACGTATAAACACTTCTGGGTCAGAGCAACGTGAACTGTGCCTCACCAACCCTTCTGGAGCTTCTCCTTTCATACTCCGCAATGCTGCAGCGAAAGCAGTGCAACAGCCGAGCTTCAAGTGCCACAACATCCCCAAGCACCACCCCTTCTAGAGTTTCTCCGTTGTGTCGCCGCTGCAGCATCCCTGACCACCTCTTGTTCTCTTGTGTATCATCTAGTCCTTTAGTCATCTAGTCCTCTAGTCCCCTAGTCATCTAGTCCTCTAGTCCCCTAGTCATCTAGTCCTCTAGTCATCTAGTCCTTTAGTCATCTAGTCCTCTAGTCCCCTAGTCATCTAGTCCTCTAGTCATCTAGTTCTCATGGTCTCCTTACCTCCTAGTTCTTGCAGCTGACATAGCAGGTGACTGACTGTCGGTGAAAACGATAGACTTGGTGGCCAGAGTATTGTGTTGCTAGCTTGATGCTTCCATTGCTGAACCTTTTGCCATGTACTCAGCTTCTTGCCCCCTTCTTTGCATGCTTCAGTCTCCGCTAATGTCGTATCAGCATTGGTCGCCTGCTGTTTCAAGATGCATTGTGTGCCGTGGTCACTTGTCGTGTCAGGGGCCAGTATGTCACTCCCTATCAGGACACACTGCTGTCCAACCTTCTGTTGTAAGTTCTGCCAATCCTCGTAACCCTACCAAAATTATGGACAATGCAAACACAGAAATGACATAATATAACAGTAGAGAGGTTGCACAAGACGAAAATCCGTTTTGTGGCATCAATGAAAACAGCGAAAGACTAACAAAAACAGTTGCTTGTGAAGTACATGTAACTCTATTGCACGGAGCGAAGAGCAATAACCAAAGAGGTTATCATAGAAAGGAGAGTGCTTGGAGTTCAAGGCAACTTCTAACAGCAACAGGTTTCAGGAAAGTGTAAGTTCCGCAGCCAGAGCAAGCTACGGTCGCGCCGTGAGGAAGTTTCAAAAGAACTTCCGTCACTCGACCCAATACCATCAAGATCTTACACATTTTCGCTCTGTGCAACCTCGCTAGCGAGTGTAAGGAGATGAGTTCCACTCGGTTTATCTACTGGAGTCAGTTGTGATGTTACCTGCAGCTTTGCCGGACAGCTTTTGACTTCTAGCTTTTCCGTTGTCTTTTCTGGCTCTCCGGTTACCTGGGTCTGGAGCAACTACCTTGACACTTACGACTATACAATTCTTTCATCCCATAGCCGGTACAGACAACACTCAGCATTCTCTCTGCACCGTACTAAAAAGGAAAATGTGCCGCGGAAACAGCAGGGTTAGAGTGTGCAGTGTATTCAAAATGGTTAGCCATGCTATTGGTGCTGCTGCATTCAGTCTTACCCCTTTGTGCAATGGGTCAATCAACATCTTCACGGCTGGCCAGTTGCCTAGAAAAGTAGCTAACTGCTCCACTGTATCAGCGGGTGACTTCTGCTGACCCGGCCATAGCTCATACTTGTTCTTGACCTGAACATAACCACAGCCAACAACACCAAGGTCAGGCTCATCAACAGTACGAAGTACATAAACCAGAATGATGTGTAACTCTGGTCCACAAAAGGAATTATTTTGTCGACGTCAACATTTGCATCACGCATGCTGTACAAAGCATGGGCAGATTAGTAGGCATGAAACCCGGCCCAGTCAGACCCAGCCGGCCACAGACGTGTAGTGCATGCCGTGTATGGTATATCCCCGGTATGGCTAATGATCTCCAGGAAAGTTCATTATAAACAAGAAATTTCGCCATGGGCCAACACCAAGCGGAGTTCCACACTCTGGTTCATGTACCATAGTAGGCTCGTGCATTATCTTGTTTGTCTATGATACTGTGATCAGTAAGCGGTCACTGAGATAGCTGCGACAGGATGCACATGTAGGTCACATTACCACTGCTGGATGATTGGGTTGATGGCACTGTTTGGAACAATGGACAGTATTAGTACATCAACTGCATTGGTCAGTGGTTTAAAAAAAGAACACAATACTCATCAGTCATGATCACATAGATACCTACTAAGATTTACATACCGAATCATACATGTTGCCTCCTGCAACAGTGACACACACGTCAAAGTCACTGCCCAGTTCCAAACCAGCATCAGTAGCTGACGTTTGCAATAACTCCATTGCTTGTTCAGGCTTGTCCAGACTCGGCAGGAATGTACCCAGCCCTGGCAACTGACCGGTAGCACTTGCCTAGCATTGACATGTACGTAAAAGAGACGGACAATATGCTGTCACTCTAATACCTCATCTATCTACAAAATCAGTGTATACATGTATATCGTAAGTCTGCCATGCGGCATCAATTTACCTGTGAGTGCATGACCATTTTGAGTTTCGACACAGCAAAAACTGTCCCATATTTCACTGGTCCTGTGAGCATTCCTGCTGTACAGTAATCTGTAAACTGGGACCTGGAGAGTACACAGGGAGGTGTTGAATACTTGATAAACATACGGTGCATATTCTAGAACACTTCTAACTCCATGCTCGTCGGAGTCACCCTGCATTGAATTGACCACAGAAAGAAACAATGGGTATCTTACTCCACTTTTCTCTGCCAGAGCTGTTCTGATGCACTGATGTACAGCTTGGATGTTCTCAACAACCTGCAGATAGAACCAATAGCGGCAGTACAATGCACACTCAGTCTTAGTAAAAGATACTGTCACAGTGAAAGTCACAGCATATTTATATGTACAGTACTCAGGGGCGTCGGACACGCTACGGTCACTACGGTATTGACCGTACCACTCTGAGCCCCAGCTACCCCGTGAATCAATGAAAATCACTGATTTGGGCTCTAAAATTTCGAAATTTTTCAGAGAAGCCACCCCAACCCCACGAGTAATTTGTAGTTCAGGTGGATGACCGTACCACCCTAAAATGCCTTCCAACGTTGCCCCTGCTACTTGAAATTCACAGGCATATGTGCATTGGAAAGTCAGCTAGTGGAAATTCAAGCTAAAAACCCCAACCCCCATTTCATGATATGCAGAGAATACTGTTTCATCATAATTTAGTGCCGGGACTGGCTGGCACAGCACAAAAAAAAAGCAAGACTGAACCGTCCTGGTAGCCATGAGATATGAAAGTGATCCCCAAAGCCTACCACATTTATATCAGATCCACGCATGCAAGGCAAGACTGCTCAAACTGAACCAGCGAATGTTCACATATCACCATTTTAAATTGTAAAATTCCTAACGACAGCCTTATTCAAGCATGAGAGTACAGAGGTCCTGGTCCTGGTCGATTCAGAAATGTTATACTAGCATTGAATTTTAGATACGTGCAGAGGCGCATGCTGTCATGCAGCTCGTTGCAGTACCTGTCCAATGGAATGGCTTGTGTTTGGAACTAGCGAAAATTCTTGCCACTTCAACTTGCCACTAGATATACCAGGTCCGCAGGATAGCATGGGTATCACTAGAAATGGCATAGTATACATGCTAGCCTGCACATGCCAATCATACACACATACACACACACACACACACACACACACACACACACACACACACACACACACACACACACACACACACATGCACACACACATACACACACACACACACACACACACACACACACACACACACACACAAAACACACAAAAACACACACACAAAAACACACACACACACACAAAACACATAAACATACACACAGTAGAACACCTATAGGATGTTTTCTAAGGCATGCCCATCGTTATTCCCGTTATCTTGCTTCTTCGTTCTCGTTCTTTCCTTCACCATTTCCACACATTGCTCTTTCACTCAAAAAGTCACGAAAGAATGATGACGAAATATTTGGTCCAATTGCCACCAGATCGCAAAGATAACCTGTGGCCATCTTCTCCAGTCATTGCTCACAGTTCCAGTTGTACAGATTATTCCAACATTCATTCAAACAGGGCTGGTCCCTATGTGGTTGCTGGGGAGTGACATGTGATCGATTGTGTTATGCCGTGCTCACTTTCTTGCACTAGTGTACACTGTACAATCATAGTGATAGCAGGATTTTTAAGAGCTGTGCATGATGAGACTCACCTTGATTTCCTTCACTTGTTCAATGAAGCACACAACAGATGGTCGCTTTCGCGTGAACGTTGATGCTGAGAGTAGTGCAAGGGATGTAGCCATAGTACTGGCAAAGGGTAGGTCACTTGAGAATGGAGTGTTCTGTCGAAGAACATCAACCGAGTACTTGATGTCCTGTGATATTGGCCCATTCCTATGAGTAGAGCACATGCACATTGCAGTTTGTGGCTGTTGCGGTTGACTGGCAGGATTGGGACTGTAGGCCGATATAATGTGACGGCACTGTTAGCTGTCTGCTTGAATGTGTAGTTGAATTACTGTTGATACATCCTGGCCCGAGTTCTTCTTTACGATATTTTCATTATTGTTAATCTCAGATGTTCAAGCTCTGTCTCATAGTTCAGTTATAGCCACGCACCAAATTGTATTAACACATGTTGCTTCACAGCACAAGTAAGGGTAAATGTAGTCCTCGAGTTTTAATGATAGCTTGCATACCGTCCTACCGGTAGGACCCAAGAAATCGAGCTGCAAAAGTGCTTTCGGTTGAGAAATATCTTGAAACAATTGTTGAGATGAGATCTTTGTCAGGCAAAGTAATGGCGCAAAATGCAAGGCTATGTCCAGTGCATTGCGTATGCGCAATTTTATCGATTGTCAAAATGGCCTCACATAATCCTGTTGGTGCGCTAACAACTCAGTCCAAAGTGAATTTTGACCATGGCACATCAATTGTGGTGAGGTCCTAATGTTTTTATTAGCTTGCCAAGGCAGTGGAATGCATAATACCATACTCTGTGTCCATGGTTACCATGGGTTGTCACCATGGAATTTCGTAGTATGCCTTGTGCGATCACGTCTAAAATTTGTGGACTCCTTCATTAGCCCCTTTGCAACAAGTTTTAGGTCAATGTTAGAACAGAGGCCATGCAGCATGTCTGTGTTGTAGGCCTAATCTACTGTATTAGTAAGGCCTCTGACTGGCACTGGACTCATCAGACACTGGACTCATAGAACACTTGCAAGGGAGCCCGGAACGGCATCCGAATGAATTAGCTTTCAGAATCAGAATGCGAAACCAAAACTGGAAGTGAACTGAATCTGAGTCAGAACCCGAATGAAAATGCTTAGACCAATCTCGTGGTTATCAGGCTGATTGAAGACTCTGGGGGGTCTTCAACCAGCCAACCAGAGCATCTAGATTATAGTATATAGTAGTTAAGAATCTTGGGGTGCTGGAGTCTGGGAGGGGGTGTCTAAAGCTCCATATACATGTAGAAGATGTGTACAATATTTATGGTAATACTATAATCTACAACATAAAAGCTTACAGGATCACCATACCAAGCGTATACAAACATAAACTTATCCTGTCAAGCAAGAGTACAATCATAGTACATAGCTCCATGTGCTCTTGTGCCAAAGCACATGGTCTTATGCCTTTAAAAGGAAGAGGGTATTTATGCCTTAAAGGGAAGAGAGTATTTACACCTAAAAGGGAAAAGGGTGTTATGCCTAAAAAGGGAAAAGAGTATCTATGCCTTAAAAGGGAAAAGGGTGTTATGCCTAAAGGGAAAAGGGTATCTATGCCTTAAAAGGGAAAGGGGTAATTATGCCTAAAAAGGGTATTATTCTTAAAAGGGCTTAATACAACTTGCTACATAACTCCCCTCCTTCTTCAGTCATGTCCTCATGACTTAAAAACAAAAACAACAATGATCTTTTAAAGACTTATGTTTTCCTACTTAAAACAAGATAAAAGGAGCTTTTCTGACACAACAGGATTTTCATGCAGATTCCATTATTCAACCCATGTGAACACCATGTGCACTGCCGTACATTATTACCAGTGTGGGACATTTGGGCTATTACATTTCCATTAATTATCGAGCATATTCATTCAACCAAAGGGGAGGGCGGCGATTGCGCGGAGCACGAGCTGCTGGTGCTGGAACTGCCGCTGCTGGAGCTGGAGCTGCTGGAACTGCTGCTGCTGGAGCTGCTGCTGCTGGAACTGCTGGGCCTTCGTCGTCAGGGAATGCGATGAAAGGAGAGTGTGACAAGGGAGGTGCACTCTGTGCCAATGGCTGCACAGCGGGCTGTTGATCTTCTGTGGGCAAAGCGGGACCAGTTAAGAAGCACTTCTTCAATCGATTAAAGTGTACACGCGTAGAGGAACCAGTGTGATCAACTCGGACGAGGTCGTACACAGGGTGGCGGTTGCGAATTACTCGATACGGGCCTTTCCAGGGACGATGTAACTTCTTCTGGCCAGAACCACTCGGAATCACGGAGTCGAGCAGCCAAACAATATCATCAGTGGTAAAGTGAGTCCCAGCCGCCTTGGTATCAAAATAATCTTTCTGCACCGCGTGAATGGCATCATCACTAACACGTGCACGGGCATGAATCGAGCGAAGACTATTCTGGAGAGTAAGGACATGTGCAGGCGCCGACTCACACGATTGTTGGTGCGGAGGTAGACCAAAGACCACATCGGCAGGTAAGCGAAGTTCCTGACCAAAAAGCATCATGGCTGGTGTGAAACCAGTGGAACGATGAAGAGAGCTTCGATAGGAAAGCAGCACATGAGGGAGCAAATTGTCCCAGGTTGTTACGTTTCCCTGAACAATCGCTCTTAGTGCAGAGACAATGCTACGATTTACACGCTCGGTTTGCCCGTTTCCCTGAGGATGGTACGGTGTGGTTTGTGTTCTGTGGATGGAAAGAACACGGCACATTTCTTTGAAGACTGAAGATGTGAATTGTGCGCCTTGATCCGAATGAAGACTGACCGGAGCACCAAAGCGACACACCCACTCGTTAAAGGGGAAGTTAAGGCAAAAATCAAAATTTCACCAGTTGTAGTCTTCGGGGTGCTGAGTCGAATGGTCGTGGTCCGAGGAAGCTGAGACGCTCCCTTCCTACTTGAATCCCAATCGAACTCGCGCACTTCCACCGAAACTGGGTGACTGCGCCCTACTAGATGGGGATTTGTATGCAAAATGTCACTAAAAGCGCCATTTCGTTCTTATAAAAGCATGGATGACCGCGATTGGCCCATATGTTGTAGTCATTTGGACGCTGAGTCGATTGGTTTTGGTCCGAAAAGGCTGCGATGCAGCGTTCCTCCTTTATTCCCAATCGAACATGGTTGAACAAGCGGTCACGTGCTCCTGCGGACGCCAGTCAGCTGGTCACCGTGCCTGCAGGGTACAACTTACTAGCCTGTTTGACCTTTTTTGGGTGCAATCCTGTCACTCGAGTTGAACCTTGGTGTGAAAGTTCTCGCCTGCTGGCGTGGTGACCAGGTGATTTGGGCACCCAGGAGCACGTGACCGCTTCTTCAACCATGTTCGATTGGGAATAAAGGAGGAACGCTGCATCGCAGCCTTTTCGGACCAAAACCAGTCGACTCAGCGTCCAAAAGACTACAACATATGGGCCAATCGCGGTCATCCGTGCTTTTATAAGAACGAAATGGCGCTTTTAGTGACATTTTGCATACAAATCCCCATCTAGTAGGGCGCAGTCACCCAGTTTCGGTGGAAGTACGCGAGTTCGATTGGGATTCAAGTAGGAAGGGAGCGTCTCAGCTTCCTCGGACCACGACCATTCGACTCAGCACCCCGAAGACTACAACTGGTGAAATTTTGATTTTTGCCTTAACTTCCCCTTTAACAATTGCGTTAGCTACAGTCTTTGCAGACATATCTGGTAGTGCATATGCCTCCACCCAGCGGCTGAAGCCGTCGATTACGACCAAGATATAGCGGTTGCCTCGTTCCGACACTACAAAGGGACCTACTAAATCAATTCCGACGCGCTCAAAGCAGTAGCCAGCTTGCAGCGAGCCTAAAACTGCACGGCCTGATGTGGTTTTGTTAGAGGCTTGTTGACAATCCGTACAACATTGGATATATGTACGTACAGACGCAGTCATCCCAAACCAAAAGAAGCGTTGCTTACACTTGGCAATGGTTTTGTCGACTCCGCCGTGGCTTCCCCCAGGAAGGTCGTGTAGAGAAGATATGGCTGTGTTTACTAAGTCACCGGGCACAACTAGAAGTAGGTGATCTACGCCGTCGACGTCCTTCTTCCGCCATAGAAGTCCATCGGAGACCTGGAAGGTGTGTAGTTCAGCAGCAAATCGGCGGGTGGCTTTGGAAACAGCTACTAGTTGGTTCTCTGGTGGCCGGACAAGAGATCCAGTCCCATTGTCGTACCAAGACAACACTTTCTGAATCTCAGGATCAGCGGACTGGGCGGTCCGTACATCAAACTCGGTAAGAGCGGCAAAATCGGGCTGAACAGTGATCTGTGGTAAGATCGCAGAGACCAAATCGATGTCATCATGTGTGACTACCTCAACCTCATCAGTCGCAATGTCAGTTTCGACAGGATAGCGGGATAATGCATCTGCATTGGCATGTTGCAACCCAGCACGATGAAGGATCGTGAAGTCATACTCGGACAGCTTCTCTAACCATCGTGCTCTACGACCTCGAGGTTCCGGCGTTTTCATCAATTCTTTCAAGGCTGCGTGGTCTGTACGGATTTGAAAACGCTTTCCTAGCAAGTAGTGGCGATACTGATCAATGAACGTAACACAGGCCAAGAGTTCACGATCGTAAGTGCTGTAATTCCTCTGCGCCTTGTTGAACACTTTGCTGGCATAAGCAATAACCGCGACCTGATCGCCCTGCTGCTGGCTAAGAACTGCTCCCATACCGCAACTACTTGCATCTGTATCAAGAATGAAATCTTGTGCAGTTGGAGACAGATCAGGATATGCAAGGATCGGAGCTGATGTCAAACGTTCCTTGAGCATGCGAAAAGCCACAACACATGGCTTTGTCCACTCGAACTTTCTTCCTTTCTCTGTCAAGGCATGCAATGGTGCCGCAATCTTTGCAAAGTTCTTGATGAACCGGCGGTAATAGCCAACTAGCCCAAGAAATGCTTGCACGTCACCTTTGTCGGTTGGGGTTCGCCAGTTGAGAACCTTCGCTACGTTCTCATTCCCTGTTGCGACGCCTTGCGAGCTTATCTTGTGCCCAAGAAATGCAACTTCGACCTGGAGGAACCGACACTTCGCAAGTTTCAGCTTAAGGTTGGCGCCTCGAAGACGGCTGAAGACATCTCGCAACATAAGGTAGTGCCCATCTAGTGTCGAGCTCGCCACATTCACGTCGTCGAAGAAGACTCGACACACCTCCGACGAATGAGTCAATAACAGGTCTCCAAGGATTTTCTCCATCGCTCGCTGAAAGGTTGCTGGCCCGTTGCTTACTCCCATCGGTAAGACATTGAATTCGTAAAGGCCGACAGGCGTTGCAAAAGCGCTCTTGTGGCGGTCCGCTTCCTCGAGCTCTAGTTGCCAATACCCATTTGCTAAATCCATCGTGGAAAAGAATCTACAGCCACACAATGAATCGAGCGTGTCATCAATTCGTGGTAGGGGGTACGCATCTCGAACAGTGACCGCATTCAGTTTCCTGTAGTCCACGCATAATCTCAACGTCCCATCCTTCTTCTTCACTAAGACTATCGGGGAAGCCCAAGGACTGTCGGATTCGCTAATAATACCCTTCTCAAGTAGGTTTACGATCAGTGCCTTCAGTTCAGCTCTCTTGTGGAAAGGCAGTCTCCTAGCAGCCTGTTTAATGGGTGCTGCGTCACCAGTCTTAATACGATGCGTGCATGAGGTGCACAGCCCAAGCGAATCTCCCGACAGTACAAAGATGTCTCGAAACTCCAGCAGTAACTCGAGTAACTGCTGATGCTGTTCGGCATTGAGGTGACTTTGCGTACGTAACCATTCTCGCAACTCTTGTTCACCACCTGTGTCACCAGTAGCACTATCGCAGTCTACGGTGCACGCACAAGACTCTGCTGCGGATTCCTCTGCAATGTCAATCTCCTCGAACACTTCCGCTACAGCAACATTTGTACCACAGTACAAAGTTTCATCACATGTTGCTCTGTTTGTCACCGGGATGCAAAATTCAGACATTTGAGCCCCAGATAGGAGTACCTCTCCAATCTCTAACAGTGGATGCTTCTCCTGAAATGCTGCTAGACCCTCTAGGAGATACAACTCGTCTTGGCTACTATTGTCACATGTTACTTGCACCATACACACATGTTCTGCTGGTATGACGGTCTTGTCTGCTACCCGGATGCGCATTGACTCTGCTGGAACTGCTTTCCTTTGCTCAAATGTCCAGCCATCATTTGAAAACTCGATCTTGGCACCAGACTTGTGTAAATAGTCTGTGCCTAAGATAATCTCTGGATTGATGTTCCGTGCCACAAGAAATTTCTGCACTATTTTCTCATGCCGATCAATTTCAACAGTGCAAAAAACAGTACCCATAATTGAAAGAGAGCTCTCAGTAACCGAATGAACTCGTGCGTTGTCGGGGCTTGGCACAGCACCCGGACAAATTTCCATTAATTTGTTGCAACTGATTAACGACACGCTGGAGCCAGTGTCCACCAAAACATTAGTAACAACTACATCATTAAGCTGACAATTAATTACACATCGACGTGACCTGATACTGGCGACGCTTGATGAAATATCTACGGTAACATCATGACTGACTGACTCTTGCTCCTCAGAGCCAGTCACTGACCGTTTCCCTGACGACGCGGATGGGGGCAATGCCGGGAAAAGTGGCCGATTTCTCCACAGTTGTAGCAGGCTCTGGGCCGTGAGTTTTGTGGCCTGGTGTGCTGTCTACTTTCTTGCGTGCCTTGAGCCATCCGGTCTAACTTTCGGTCGATGCTCTTTAGAAGTGAGATCAGGTCACCCACTCCTACATCATTTGCAGTAGCTGTTGCTGCCGCGACCTGAAAATGCTCCGAAGGTGAAGGCAATGCCGTACGGCTTGGAGCACGCATTGCCTCCATTTGATATGCCGTGGTGATTGTGATTGCTCTTTGTTACTTTGTACAGCTTCATCTAACGTGTTCGGCCTGTTTGACGCTAGCTGCAGGCGTACCTCTGATGTGTTCTGCCCGTCTATGAATTGTTGCAGGACAATTCTTTCGACAATATTTCCACCCTGGCCCGGGAAAGCGCGTGATGCAAGGGAACGTAAAGCCGCAGCAAAAGCTGGTTGTGTTTCGTTTGACAGTTTTACCCTGGCCCTGAGTTCCACCTCCCGCAGCTGTTGCTGTTGCACGGGCTCAAAGTGGGCTGTTAGATTCGTGGATAAAACTGGATACGTGTCATTTGGGTTTGCCGCCCGCACGGTATTGAAAATTTGATGTGCGATTCCCTCCAGTCTAGCTCCCATGAACACAATTCTATCCTCATCGCCATAACCATTGGCAACACATGCAGCATTGAACGAGGATAGCCAACTTTGCCAATCCTCATCGCCCTTCCCCAGGTACGGATTCGGAACTATCACCGGTCGTGCCAATGCTCGCTGTTGTACTGCCTGTTGTGGTTGCTGTGCATTCCCACCCCGTTGTGCCATTATGCTCCAAGATTAAAATTAAATTTTATGCAAGGAAAACTATGTTAACAATCTAGTGTAATGTATTAAACAAAGCACTTAAAAGTTCCAATTCCTTGAATCTCCACAAGTCCACAAGTCGTGCTCTTCTATCTTGACAGCACTATCCACATTGACCAATTGCAATACAGTACTTCAATTAAATACCAGAACACGGCAGCAGTGATACGGTAGAGGGTTTTATTCATTCAGCAGGACATAAATCACGGTACACAGCAGCACTGACTTAGCCTGTGACTACAACTGTAGTTCCTTCATCAACATCTTGTAGACTTAATCATAGTTGATAGCGACTTGCCGCAGAGTAGTCATCATTAGTTAGCGACTTGCACTAGTAGTCATCATTAGGTAGCGACTTGCACTAGTAGTCACCGCTGTTGTATAATTATCATCATCTGGTAGCGACTTGCACGAGTGGCCACCGCTGCCACCACTGTTGTAACTCCCTTTCTATGCCTGCTCCCAGTCCCGTGCCATCTCCACACTTGTACAAATGGACGACGATAACTACATTTAGAGGACTGTTTATTGACACGACGAAGAAACACAACTAGACATGACGAACTCAAGACGAAGACATGATAAACTCAAGACGAAGACATCATGACTCAAGACGAAGACAGCATTTCACACCACAGCAACACGCGCATGCACCAACATGACGTACACACGACGTACACAAAATAACGTACTACAACATCTGTGTATGATGGTCCTACCGGTAGGACCGAGGTCTATGCAAGCTATCATTAATAAATAACCCAACCCATCAACTCCTAGGTGCTGAAATCCACAACGAATAAGGTAGGGACAAATAACAGCATGCCATTCCTACATAGCCCTGGCCTATGTAGCTGTTTGCCAATTCTAACATTGGAAAAGCCCGTTTTTTCAGTACACCACTGAAGGTTCCAACTTGGACCCGGTGATTATGCTTTCCCTCTGCACTTACATTAGCTTATGGCATGGCAGTGAGATGTGCCACACTCTATCTCCTCCAAGGAGAGATGTAATCTTCTCGCTTTGTTCTTGTGGGGTGAGATCATGGCGGCCGCCTCTAGAAGTGTCTAATGATGTGCTGCTGGCGTCATTGTCTGTTTTGCTGGAAATTGATGCCTGTTATTACGACCGATACCACAGCATAGAATACCTTGAATCACGCGGCTTTGCCATGTGCCATGTTAGCCATATGGGTGTGTCGTCACTTGAAGTATAAAGTTTCAAATACAAGTACATATATCAAGATCCTTTCTCGTCGCAGGCAATGCGGGCAACTCAGGCACAAAGCCAGAAGTAAGTTCCAGAATTGGCATAGCCTTTGCTCACCTGTGAAGAAGTTGCCTTCTTCCGACCGTTTTGCTTGCCCTGTGTGGGTGCTTCATGCACTTTGCTGTTGGCTTCACGGAGTGATACTGAATCTTGTGTCCGCACAGCAGCACTCACAGCGAGTCTCTATATCCAGCAAATTAAATATAGAAGATCAGAACACGCTCCATCTCCGGACAGCTAGCTGTTTTGTCCATGTTAGGCCTCATCAGTCAGAGCATGTCCCAGTAATAATCATGTGCCCTTGATTCACTATGATACAATTATCCTTGTCTTGAAAAGCATATTTCACTTGTCCTCCCTTGGTCCTGTCTGGTGTAACCTTAAGAGCCCTGCAGTGGAGCTCTACCAATAATATTACTTGAAGTATCAACCAGTGTCCTCACCAAATAGGCAGGTTAGGGGCCGGTCACACTGAGGGAAATTTTGAAAAAATCTGTGGTTACCATGGATATTTGCCGCTGTGCGGGAGATTTGAGAGATTTAATCCACTCGATGAAAATCAGCTCGAGGCCTCGCTTTTCCGCCGAAGATTATAATCATCCGCGGCTTCCACATTTCTTTCAGTTTCCTTGATTTTTTTATTGCGTTATGAAGTGGAGCTATACTCTAGAGGCTGTTCTGATGCAGCTCTGGCCCAGGAGCGGAGCTGACAGACTGCCAGAAGCGAATGGTGACAAAAAATAGCTTGTGTGGGTGAGATTTTTTCATTGTGCGTATCCAGTGTGGCCGCAATGAAAAGTATAAAAAAGTATTCCCGGTTTATAATCTGAGGATTGTTCCCTCAATGTGACCGGTCCCTAAAGAAGTCATCTACATGTATGTGTTAGCGATGGCTCCATCAGTAACTTGGGAACCACGTTGTTGGAGTAGATTACAGTAGTACACACTCGGTACCATGATTATGCACTTACTCTTGGTACGCCATTTAGAATGCCATAGAGCTCTGCTACTACACCTGGCGTGGCATTCACCGACCATCCAGATCTAATGACACACTGAAACACACACGAGTGCAGTAACAAGTGCCAAAAAACACTAAATGAGTACATGTACTTGAGATAGCCAGTTTCAGCACTTGATTGACCATTAGTGCTGAATAACCCACAAGAGAACATACCGTAGACGTACTATTACTCTGATTCTACTTTCTCAACCGTCTCCACCTGTACTATACACATGTAGGTATGTATGCGGCTCCATAACATATTCCATGCCGAGTGAGAACCAACTGATAATTGCAAAACCTGGCTCTCATTGAAATATTAACTTCAGTGCTGTACCTATCCAACCAGCTCGTGATGATAAAGCCTGTGTAATTGAACACATTGTGTACACACCGTCAGTGCCGATAGCATTATGGATCTCTTTACAGTCACTAGAACAGTACATTGTAGTAGTAGCCGTAGTAGAGCCGTGTCTGACCTGTAACAGTTTAAAAAAAGCCTGGACTCTATCAGCATATCGTTTGAATGTAAACATGTTGAAGTAAATTTATCCAACACATGCAATGTACACAGTACAGCCGTATTCAATGTGTAGAAGCGCTGTCGATTCTGCCCACTAAATAAGCTTACTTTGGTGACGGTGGGCGCGTGGGCTCTTCTGGAGAAGAACTCGGTCTGCATGGAGCACAAACAAGACAAAACGATGTTGCAACGTGTTAAGCTATGTACAATGAGACCTCACCTAATTCCACACCTTTGTACAGTAAAACCTGTAATGCCGACCACTCGGATATGGCGCCCACTCGGATATGGCGCCCACTCGACCATGGCGACGACTTCTCCTTGTCACGGACGCATTCACGCTCAAACTGCTCGGATAAGGCGACCACTCGCTCAACGCGACCAACGACCACCCCCCCCCCCCCCCCGCGACCGCGTTGCACCCTACTAGTCATGTACAGGCACGCATTGCACTGTGCACCACATAACATGGTAGATCTACACATCAGCGCAAGAAGTATACTCAATCAGCGCAAGAAGTATACTCAATCAGCGCAAGAAGTATACTCAATCAGCGCAGCAGGGAGTGTAGAATCTGATGTAGGTCTACATGGTGCATGCACGACACTTGACAGGTATGAGGCCCCCAGGCACATGATCAAATATGAGTTGTAGCATAGGTGTGTGCAATGTGATGCACTGATCAAAGTGATATATCACATGTATATGTATAGTGAGTATGTTCACGTGACCCACTGAACCTGGATAAGAAGACCACCTGGCCAAGGTGACCACTTCTTCTCGTCCCTTGAGTGGTCGCCTTAGCCAGGTTTCACTGTAGTTCATGAATAAATGATCCAGTGGATTGGCAACGTGCACGGCCGGGGCAGACCTGCAAGACCAGTGGGCACTCCTAGTCAGGCTACTGTAACTGTAACTGTAACTACAAATACAATGATTATGATTATGATTATGTAGTTGTAGATCCTGCGCCTTGCCCTTGCACCGCGGCTTGGTACCGGTACTAGTAGTACCAAGAGTAGATCTACATCATGTAGTACTACTTCTACCAAGAGTACATAACCCCTGCCGGCCTGGGGGTTATGTACTCTTGCTTCTACCAAGAGTACATGAAAACCAGAGTGTGCAGCTCGGATGGGTGGCTGTCACGGCGGAATTCCGTGATTACATCATTTTAGTGATGTAGTGCGTACAAGCAGGATTCAAGCAGGTCTCTTTCTGCACAACTGCAGCTCAGTTGTACGCACTACGCCATTTCAATCTGCGCCAAATATGATGTAATCACGGAATTCCGCCGTGACAGACACCTATCAGAAAAGGCCCCAAGGCTGCACACTCTGGTTTTCATGTACAGTAGATATTGGTTATAACGTGCCCTTCTGATTTTTCACATTTTATCACTATAACCGGTATATCACTACAGGCGATTTTCAACTGCGCTCGTCATACATACACATTATACACGTGTGGGTACTCGATCGCGCTAATGTAGCATACTGATACATGATGCATGCTGCTGCACCTTCCCCAGTCTAGAGTGAAGAACTTCTTGGCCCAAAGGCATCATCCAGGAAGCATCAGACCAGAATACACTATGGAAACACACATGTGGCTCCGAGTTGAGACATCAATACCTCACACTCGTGTGTTGCTATCACTATAGACGATAATTTTTCTGCACAAAGAGGTGATTGGAATGGTGATTCTGTATCCTTATAGCCGATTTATCGCTATATCCGATATATTGGTTATAATGATAATTTGACTGGCTTTTTCTGGTTTTGCTTTTGATATCTTCATTTTGTATCAATATAGCCGGTTTATCACTATGTCCGATGACTTTATAACCGATATCCACTGTACTCATGCTTCTACCGACTACCTGATACCTAACCGCCGTAACCGGTCTACTCTCAGCTACCTGATCTATGCAGTAATATAACTACTAAGAAAGTAGTTACTTAGTAAGACTACGGCGCGCGCGGGTCTGACTTTAGAGAGGTTAAGTTACACGTTTTTTGCCCTTTTTTCAAAACGCGGTGCAAATCTCACGTTACGTGTAATTTTTAGAGGTTAAGTTATACGTGCGACGTGACGTGAAATTTTGCCTTGCAGGATTCGGGTTTAGTTCGCACAAATATCAAATCTTCCAACAAACTCGATAAATTTCCATAAAATTCCGGAAACTCACACAAATTCGGTCGGGATAACCAAGCGAAACGTCCAAAAACTCACGTCATGAACTAACTTACGCGCGGGACAGTCAACTCACGTAAAACACGTCAAATTTTACGTGAGTTTTTTCACTTTTTGACGTAAAAGTTCACGGACGTAAGACTTTTACGTGAAACTTAACCTCTCTTTTATAAGCTGGATTTCCCGCCGGAACTGCCTGTCGCATGGCACCACCTGCACCACTAGCACTGTACTGCTGTGCTGCATGCTGCACTGCACGCAAAATGCACAGCTAGCTAGCTAGCTAGCTAAGCTAGCTATCTAGACGAGTGCCACGTGGCGATTTCACTCGTAGATCTACTGAAACAAAGAAGTACCGGTACTCGTACTACATGTACATCGCGATAAGCAAAGGATACTCGATGAGAAATTTTATCTGACATTAATTTTTGTTGTGAAGGAGAGAAAGGCGAGAGAAAGCTCAGTCCTGCCCGGGCTTCGGGAGCAGCTTTTGTAATTCGTCGTGGCGGTGGAGATCAATAGGAGTGAAATGGTTGGTGGACTGACTGGACTTCGTTTCATAGCCATAGCTCTGTGCAATGACGACGCTGTTCTCTTGAAATGACCAGCATGGTGCTGTGTGGACTGTGGATTTGGGAACATCACCTGACACTATAGAAATGTATCGTCAATGTTATCGCCTGGCTTCAGCGCCACTGTTCAGTTCCGCCTTTAGACGGCCGCAGAGAGGCGTTCTCAATGGAGTCCCGCGCGTGAGGGCAGCACCATTCTCTGTCTCTGCACCTACGGATGGCTCCGCAACTTTATTTCAGGATCTTGGAGCTGAAGTAGATGGTCCTAATCTGCGAGTTGGCAGTCCTGGTCCATCAGAGCTGGCGAAATGTGCAGATATGCTGAGACAAGCAGCTGCGTGGAAGATGTCACAGGAGGATGTTGATAGCTTATTTCACTATGGTCCACAAAAAGGCGATCCAGGTTTTCGTCGTGCCCTGGCTACCTTCCTGAGTTCTCGATATGGAGATGAAGTACTGGCTGACGAGTTGATACCGACTGCAGGTGCTACGCAAGGATTGGCTATGCTGACATCATTTTACTTTTCTACTGGCGATGTTGTCTTTGTTGAGGATTTGACGTTCTTTATCGCTCTGGAATTCTTCCGCAAAGAGTTAAATCTTAAAGTTATCAGCATTCGTTCAGATAGCGAGGGCATAATTCCCAGTGAATTGAAGCGACGCGTAGATGAGTATTCTTCTGAGCTGCGTACACCAGGTGACGAGCGTCCATTCCGTGCAATGCTGTACTGCATACCAACATATCACAATCCGACTGGACGCTGTTTGTCACCCGAACGCCGTTCTGAGCTGGTCCGTGTTGCGCGCGAATGTGAGTTGTTAGTAGCGTGCGATGATGTGTATAACCTTCTACCAATCAGTCCCAGCGACGATCAGCCGGTAAAGGTGTCACAGCGACTCTTGGCCTATGATGACATCGCTCCAGGTGACAAGACGAGTGGCAACGTGGTGTCCAACGGAACTTTCAGTAAAATCTTTGGACCTGGTGTTCGTCTTGGCTGGTTGGAAGGGCCTGATCGTATTCTTGAGCCACTGCGTACGAGTCATTTTATACGAGGTGGTGGTGCTGTGCAGCATGTTGTAGCTGGATTGGCTGAAGGTCTCATTGTTCTTGGGCTGCTTGGTAGACATGTTGATCACTGTCAGTCAGTATTCCAAACACGGGCCAGAGTGTTGGATGCAGCGCTTCGTAAACATTTACCTGCTGGTTGCTCTTGGGTATTCCCTGAGGGTGGCTTTTTTATATGGCTGAGGCTACCGGAAAATGTTGATGGCGGTGAGCTGGAGACGTCTGTGTTGCAAGACAACGTTCTGATCTTCTCCGGTCGTAACTTTTCCCCTGATGGTAAGTTCAACAACTATGTCAGGTTGTGTTTCACCTATTCGGAAGAGGAGCAGTTGAGTCAAGGCGCAGAGATTATCGGCAAGCATGTACGAGTGCTAGCCGAATCGAACTAACTGCTTGTTTTATTGTGTGTCATTTCCGGCAGCACCAGTCCCGCATGAAGCATAGATGTCGACATGCATGCTAGTAGTATACCTGCAGATGACCATCGTACTATGAGTTCCCATACCTTGATAAAGACCTGTACTTGATTTGGTGTTGTGGGATTGACAAACATAGTATCTATTAAACAGCCATAGGCACATGACATACAGCTATATTTCATTTCACACATGCTACCTGTGTATCCCAAATCTTCTCTTCCTAACACGTTGCGTGTATGCTATTTCCATGTTGAATCCCACGGCATAATTATCTTTTAGCATTATAGTTCTTTGCTTTGCTTTGTTAGACGAGTTCTTGCTCCACAGTTTTCATATTTTTGTCTCTTTTGTAGGCCAGCAGTTTTCTCTTTGTTTTGTTGATACTATGATATTTGAAGGACACAACAAGTTTTACCATTTGAAGGGTAATATCTTACCCAGAACAAACGTTTCTGACTGACTAACACTGACTCTTCTGCGGTTCAAGCCTTCTGCAAGTATACCCGTCTATATGTCTTGGTTGCCAACGGTGCATGTTGAAGTGTGTGATGTGCCCATGTTGCTGCTGATGGGTGCTGGTAGTCTTTTTGTTCTGGGTGTTGTCTACATGTTGCCGGGCACGTGTAGTGCATGCACTGTCTTTCTTTTTCTTTTCATTTTATCAGCACTCATGTTTGGTGGGGCAAGTCCTGTGTACACATGGATATTATGTAGGTTAGTGGGCAAATGTCCACTGTCTTCGTCTGTGTCGTTGGCTCTCTATCGTTTCCATTGGCTTGTATCCCTACACTGTCTTTTAATCTTGGTGAAGTGGCATCGTTCGGGTTTTTGTCCAGTACATGTTTCGTTTGGTTGGGGATATAATGCATCCATGCGGTACGTGTAGAATGCTGATTATCCTAATGTGAACTATCCGAGAAATCAATTATCTCAAAGAAGTACCTTGTTGCATCACATTGAAATGCTGATTTTCCTTACCCACATCATTATAGTCCAGGGTGCATGACTGCACGGTGATGCCAAGACTTATCATTACTGCAGTGGATAATTTCGAGGACCTGGAATGCTTTGCATCCCTGTGTTACTACCAAAGAAAAGGAGAAATGATGGAAATTTGCAGGGGATGTGTGTTAAGAATGGACATGGTGCTTGTCGTGAATATCACGAATCCACGTTACACTCTTTATTATATCATTATTTTGTTCATGTGTAAGTCATGCTGATGTCGTTGCACGCATCGCGAGCGCAGTGTTGCAGTTCTCAGGCCAGAGCATGGGCAGTGGAGCCAGTGGCTCCTTTTTCACTACCTTTTTTTCCTTTTGGTCTCACTTGTCTCAACTAATGGTGTTTGGTGACATTGATTTCAAGTCACCTTTCAAGTAAAAAAGTGCAATATCATTCCGAGAACCGGAACACTTCCAAATTTGAGTGAGCAATACTTATTCGTGCTTGGCTACGAGCTCCCCAACTCCACACTACGGTACAAAGTTGCGCACAGTGCTCGCTCCCTTATTTGGATATAACCATTACAGAAGTTCTACCATGCCACTACTACTCCCAGCAGTGAATGGGTACCGGGTCCTAGTCTCAATTACACTGAAAACATATTGTAAAATCATCGACGGATCTCTGATAAGCACCACACATCGAGCATGCCCACAGGCAAACCGCTCAGGCCCCGTCCAGGTTACATCAGAATCCGGCATTATTGTCGGCTCCTAAACTATCGTAGCCCTGGACAGGGGTGAGAAACAGAAACACCCGTCCTGTGGACTGTAGCTCGCTACTAACTAGGGGTGAAAGTTGGCACTGAGATCCCGAGTTCGAGTACTCTGATTTTCTCCGATCGAATATTCGAGTATTCTTGATATCCTAAAAATCGCACACCAACCGCCTCAAAAATCACATGATACAACCCTGGTTGAACCGATAGGTAGTAAACGAGTATTCGAATATTCGGTATAATTGTTTCACCCCTACTACTAACTAAAACTGCAGCACCAAGACTGGAAGATCAAAAGATTGAAACTCAAGAATGTACAATACTGGGTAACTAACTTGTTACGGCATGCGGGTAAACGTAGCAGTAGACAATGCATTGGCGATGTACAAGACAGTAGACCATATGTATTGATTAACAGAACCAACTGAGTCTGAATTGACATTTCGCAGCGGCTTTACTGTACACGTATACGGAAGAATGTGATGTGATGGACAAAGAGGAAAATATGACTACAATAAGGCAGAAATAATTGGTGGTCCCTCAAAAACAAGTCGTTAATAATTAAAGTTGAATTTGTTATCTGCAAAAATGATAACCGCAATCAATAAGACAAGCTGAATCGACATTTGTGTATAAGGGGCCGTCCATAAATATCGATGTTTTTTTAGAGACGATATTGGTGCTTCTCTCCCTTGACCCCCCTCCCTCCCCCCAGAAGACGCACATGTACATCTAGATCATGGAATCAATATTTTTGGATGCTCATGAAGTGCCCAGGATGTTGAGGGTCCGGTGTAGGCGTGAAAATCCCGCCGCACTCACGCAATAGCTGCATCGCCTGGGGGGAGCGAACCGGGTTGGCGCTGCAGTGCTCACAGCCATCGTGTACTGGTACCATGGTGTAGCCAAAGCGGCTACGCTCGGGCTTGAATTTTTTCAAATCCTTGTTCAGACAGTGAAGACTGGAAACTCTTGTGGAGTTCGTCCGTGTTTGTTCGCACTGCCTCTACGTCTTGAAAAAGGTCTCCTGCAGGCATCGTTCGGCCGATTTCCACAATCAATAGCTCATTCTTTTGCTCTTGAAATTCGCCATGGGCGTACAGCTTCCAATTTTTGATTTTGTTCTTGTGTCGCGAGTTTTAGCTCCGCGAACGGAAGCTGGTTTCACATTTCTTGTATAGCCATTTAGACGTCCGCGTGCAGGGATCGGCGAAACTTCAGATATTTACATCGATATTTTTCTGATGCTCGAAAAGACGCACATGGCTCAAACCCCCTCCCCCCCAGACGCACCAATATCGTCTCTAAAAAAACATCGATATTTACGGACGGCCCCTAAACACCGCCTAAGAAAAACTACATTAGGCCAAACTAAAGAAGGTGTGTGGTTCGACTCACCCGACCGACCGTACAATTTCAGCCCGACCGTAACTTTTTTTCGGCGGGCTGTCGTGTGACTGACGTACGTGGACTGAACACGTCCACGTCTACGTGCTGTGCGGCGTGAGTCTGCGGACGCAGGCGGCTCCTTTTGGACTTGACTTGTAGTTGTACTGCAGTGCAGTGCAGTGAGTGGTACGACTGCTGCCTTGTGCTGGTAGTAGAGTCTACTCGATACGCGTATACAGTGTATTTACATGTACTAAAAAATATATTAAAAAAAAAAATCCGCCCGCCCGCCCGTAAAAAAAATGTCCATGTTAGTCGAACCACACACCTTCTTTAGTTTGGCCTTAGGCCCTTATTTAAGGGCGACACTACGGTAATGAAAACGTGCTTTCAGCGTAAGACTCAGAATATCTATCTGAGGCTGGGTGTAGCTCGATTTAAAATATTTAAACAAATGGCGAGGAGACAATAATTTGATAACCGCAATCAATAAGACAAGCTGTCGTGAGAATAAAAGAATTCAAGCTGAATCAATATTAATTTTGTGTATAAACACCGACACTACGGTGATGAAAACGTGCTTTCAGCGTAAGATTCAGAATATCTACCTGAGGCTGGGTGCATCTCGATTTATAGCACGTTTTCATTACCGTAGTGCCGCTTGTCTTATTGATTGCGGTATCAAATTATTGTCTCCTCACCGTTTGCAAAAATGATGTACATATTTACAATTTGTATGAGCAACGGGTAATGTTAATGTCATTCCTCTTGTCGGAATGTTACCGCTGTTCGCCTTTCCCATTCTTCTGCCCACACATGTACTTAGTGTTGACCTTTCGTCCTACTTCTCTCTGCTCTGTGTATCCCCTGGCCATAGTCGTTAGCATACAGATTCTCACCCTATAAAAGCTGCTGCATTCTTAGTTTCGTGCAGATTAGTTTCCAGAAGATAAGTTCCCTGCAACCTTTTTCTCTTGCTCTACCGACTGCTCTTCTCTACAAATGTGTGACTCACAGTTAACATGTGCTACCACCTTTGTACCATGGCCGGTAGCTTGGCTTACTTAACTAAAGCTCGTAGCTGTACTGATGCAGCTGTTGTAGTACGTTATTTTGTGTACATCGTGCCGGTGTACGTCGTGTTGGTGCATGCACGTGTTGCTGTGGTGTGAGAAGCAGTCTTCGTCTTGAGTTCGTCATGTCTAGCTGTGTTTCCATAGTCGTCTTGCAATAAACAGTCTTTCAAATGTAGTTATCGTCGTCCCTTTGTAGAAGTGTGGAGATGGCACGGGACTGGGAGTAGGTGGAGAAAAGGCAGTTACAACACAGCCTATATGGCCAGCTTGAATAGCTTGCTGTCTACAGCATTGGGTAATTAGTACGTACAGTTGTGTTCTGGTTTTGACAGCCAGAATATGTAAGCATTTTACATTGCTAACCAACAAGAATCCGGAGACCGTTAACTTTAAATGGGGTTAACAAATGTGGCCTTGCAGCACTAGTCTTCAGTCATACCCACCAGGACCATAGCACTCGGACTTCAGGTGGTCCGGCCAATTCAGTGGAAGCATTAGTGACAAAAAAACAAAACATTTTGTACGAGTTGAGTGGGTCAACTTAATAAAATGTCCCGCCATGGCCAGACCGGGTGCTACAGCCCTGCCCACTAATGAACACGGCAAGAAAATTGTGTGCGCGCTCATTTTATGTAAATAATCGACGTGGAGACAGCAAATTGCAATTCTGGAATATAATTGTACTTTAAGCCTGCATCCGGTGTTATCACAGGTGATTACTACGCTAATGTCTGCACCCCTTACATGTACATGTATACAGTCAGACCTCGCTTATCCAGTTCTCTATTTTCCGGATCCCTCGCCATCCGGAAGAAAATCGTTGGTTACCGATTTACAGCATTTGCCGTGCATACATACAGTACGTGTGTGTTCGATTATCTGGTTCCCTCGCCTATCCGGATATTTTTTGTGGAAAACTGATGTGTGCGGTTATGAGGTCTGACTGAGGCATAGCGTACTCCACAGAACAAGACACAAAGGCTAGTTTGTTGCTGCCTGATGATTGCATAGCATCAGAGAGTCCGGCCTACCCAAACTTGGTCTGTTTACGACTCCCTGCGTAGCATGAAAGTCAGACGGTTGCAACAAATTAGCCGTGTGCCAGGTGCCTTGAAGGCACTGAGGCTTGTTGTTGGGTGTAATAATTGTATCCTATTACTCCAAGTATAAACCCATGCTGCGGCGAACCAGACAGTGGCATACAGCGGGTCACTGTGTATCACTATAATAAGGATGCCAAACAAACGGCAGACAGTCCTAATCATGGCTATAGCACCGGGAGTCCGCGTGGTCCCGTCAAATGGGATACTACTACATACTGGTACATGCATTTGACCGGAAGTGAACATTATTGACGAAAACCCCTTTTGCACGTATTGGGTGGATCAACGCTTTCGAAATACGGTCCGACACCGTCATGACCCGACCGGTCATGACCTGACCGGCCAGACCGGGTGCTACGACCCTGCTAACCTAGTACAGTCTTGGACATAGAAATCCAGTCGATTGAGTGGGGCCGGCGCCCTCAGCGCTTACAGAACGTTGCATGCAGTGCACATGTTGACCCAATGCGACCAGCACGCTGCAGCGCATAATTAATCGGCCATGCATGTGTGTACTGCTTACCCACGGCTGCATGGCCAGCGCTCTGGCTGTGTCTGGGGCCGCTAGACGTGCGACCGGATTTCCATGTCCACGACAGTAGTTCATCTACATGTACATAGTCATTGTACATAAGCCATTGGCATTGTATAGTAACTGACTCACCGCATATCCGTTGACATCTTTCGGCTTTTCCAAGTACAGCTTGTTCACCAGCTCCTGGGAATCGCCTTCAATACGAATGCTATCAAAATACTCCCTTACTTTCTTCCTTTTCTTGTCCGAGGTCTCCTCATACTTCTCAAAGTCTCTCAGCGACATAGCCTCACCTGACAGCAAGTTACGTCGTAACCGTTACTGATCACCCCGGTATTTAATCGCCAGGAGCTCAATTCACGCGGCATAGGGGATCAGTCAAGACTCAAGTCAAGAGAACTAGATTCATCCGTAACAGAAAGGGTTTGCTCCCCACACTGTATATATGTACCGTAACAGACTATTATTATTGGCCATTCAATGATAACATTACCACCATACGGCCCACAGACTATCGACTGAGTGACGAGTCTCGTCCTTGCTGCATGCTTGCCAGTGCTGCTAGACTAGAGCTAGCTGCTACTGCAAGTGCAAGTGCTACACATCAAGCAACGGTTATGTCTGTCAGTTGTCAGTCAGAGACTCAGCCCAGGCATTTACCATGGATACAGTCAGTTGCTTGAACACCACGGGCGCGGCACCAGGGAGTCGTCAAATACCGACTCCCTGACATGTAAAAAAAAAAAAAAAATAGAAGCACGACTCGTACGTCGATCGTGATCGCATCGATCGTGCACGCGTGAGGGATTGTTCCCTGGACAACGCGGGGTGAAGCGCTGATTTTTTCTTCTCCACATGATTCAAAATAAAACTAAAGCCCAGTTCGAACAGGTGAAGCATGCATGGTCCTGGTATGGAGCTTCTTGGCAATCTTGCTTCACATGACTTGATCAGCGTTCGAGTAATTATCTAAGTGGCTCCGACAGAGGAGGATAGTTTGTTCAGCTGCGCTGCGTGTCGTCCTTGCGCCCGATTGTAAATAGCCTTCTGAGGTAAACATGCAGCAGAAAATGTCATCAGTGGAATACATGTAACGCTGCTGCAACTACGACTTTACTTGTAAAGGTTCCAGCATAGCAGAACAATGTTTAATCGATTCAATAGACGGCGGAAAGAATCACAGGTAAGCTCATTTTAGAACGAATAATTTGATTGGAAGCATCTCCAATTCTTCAATGCAGTACATGCATCTGCACACCAGTCCAAATGAACACTAGGGAATTTGAGAACCGAACGTTTTCGTTTCCTTCTCTTCATGGTCTCTTACAGGGAATAAAGCATGTACATGTACTACATTGAAGAAGCTCATTTTAGTTGGATATTCCTTTTAATTTTTGTGTGTTTGTTTTGCTCTTCACTTTTATTTTGTTCACAATGGCAATCTACAATCCTGGACTTTGGCTGGTCGTCATTATTTGTAATATTTTTTATTATTATTGACAGAAAAGGGGTTTATCAACTGGCAACCGCTCTATTCAGTTGCTATTCACGATCTGCGCTGAATTGAATTCTTGAAGTGCGCTGACATGACATGACAGGTTGCGGATGTCCTTCACAACGTGGCGACATCAAGAAAGTACATGTACAGTAAAACCTGGTGTAAGCGACCTCTGGTTTTAGCGACCTCTGGTTTTAGCGACCTCTGGTTTTAGCGACCACCTGCTTTGAACGGCCGTTTTTCCATGCACGGACAGTTCTACACAGAAACTGCACCGGATACAGCGACCACCTGCCTTGCGCGACCGACTTTTAGTGTACCAAGTGCCATATTGGACCTGCACACAGCAACCAAAACTAACCAAAAGTGCCATCTTGGCTGGCAGGGTTGACTGCAACAAGGTTGAAGTGCACTCTGAAGCAAGTGCGTGCAGTCAACAGAAGTGACAGAGGAGGAGGCGCTACATACCCTTGAGTGGGGTGTGCTTTGCCCCCCCCCCCCCCCCCCCCCCCCCGCGAGAGTATTCTATGCACCACACCTGTCAATATGAGTACATGGAAGTACGATCATGCACATGTACCTATACATGTATGTACACAATCCGATATGCCACGAATGTATGGGACCTAGAGTACATGAAAACCAGAGTGTGCAGCTTGGGGCATTTTCTACTATGGGTGTCTGTCACGGCGGAATTCCGTGATTACATCATATTTGGCGCAGATTTGAGGCGGGAAGTGGCGTAGTGCGTACAACTGAGCTGCAGTTGTGCAGAAAGAGACCTGCTTGAATCCTGCTTGTACGCACTACATCACTAGAATGATGTAATCACGGAATTCCGCCGTGACAGCAACCCATCCGAGCTGCACACTCTTGTTTTCATGTACTCTTGATGGGACCTGGTTCTAAAGACCACCTGGCTTTCACGACCGCTTTTGCTTGCACTGTGGGGTGGTCGCTTAAACCAGGTTTTACTGTATGTTGGAATGCTATGAAACTCAGAAAGTGTCATGTGCCATTCAAATGGCTACAATTGATGAAGTTATTTACAGTGCATAGGTGAAAAGAAAGAGAGAGAGAGAGAGGGGAAAGCGACAGGCAGACAGTGAAACATGAGTCCAGTGAGCACTACATACCATTAGGATGTCCGATCTCTCTATGAAGATGTCCATTTCAACTTCCTAAGATGTTCAGCCGATGCTCATTGGCGGCAGCGAAATCATCACCACATTGTTGCAAGCTGAGCAAATCTGCTTTGTCCTTGTGGACATACAGTAGGAGCAATGGGCCATTGTGGTTCGGAGGTAGGTTTCAAGTCGGTGAAGAGCTGAAAATGACCTCTTGCTGGTGGCATGGCGGCTGGTGTATTTGACTGGCTTTGCCACCTTCAATATTTTTCTGTCAATGAATGGCTGTTTTTGTTTGTGTCTTTTGCTGTAGTTGACTGTGGATGACAGTGCTACTTCAATCGATGAAGAAAATGTTGCTGCAGCGAGTACCAGTCACAATGCTGTGAGTAAACTAAACAACTGTTAAACTGGAAAGTCTAACGAGTCACAAAGTCGAACGTTTTAACGACCAATTATTTTTCGTTATTTGAAAAAAAAAACGTTATTGCTAGATGTCTGTGTAAAGATGCGCATACAGATGGGTGACCACGTTGCCATCGTTAAACTTTCTGCACGTAATCATGCCAAAATTACAAAAAGCGTTAACTTTTTGGTCGTTAGACTTTCCGGTTTTACAGTAGTGAACCACAATTTCTTGTTGGCGATATGGACATAACGTTAGCAGTAGCATGGGTAGTGCTAGTGCGGTTTACAAAAAGGCTACTGTTGTGCATGTGCAGTGTTGCTCAATGAAATCCAGTCACTTGAATCGAGTTTGTGCCCTGCACCAGTGCTTACAGGCCTAGGGCTGCACAGCGCCCGACGTGACATTAGTTCGCATGGTCGGATATCACTGAGCAGCACTTTAGACAACTTGTTGTTCATCTCGACTGTCTCACTTTAAAGAATAGCTTACACGAGTTGGCAATGGTAATAAGGACGTTCAGGTTCTTACTCTGAGTTTCATGGCACTATGCCAATATCTGTTTTCTGTTTGGAATGTTGTGCAGGGATTTATTTGTCCAGATTGCTTGCAGTCGTTCATCACCGCAGAAGGTCTCCAGGGCCACTTTGAGGAAGCTCATTTAGCCCCGCCGGTAAGGACCAACTAAGTAGAATGACTTTTCATTTCCTTCATGATGTGTGTTGTGTGTTTCTGGCCATACCAGTGTGTGTGACATAACGTTTGCAGTGTCACCCAATCAGTTTCATTTTTGTTGTTCTCCGTTTGCCGCTACACTGTATACATGTATGTTATGCTCTCTGTCCTGTGCATGGTCCTTAGGCTCCTGCATCTCCACCTCCTGCGCTTGAGCAACACCAATCAACTGCTGATTCATTGCCACCGGAAGTCCTTGCATTGGTATGCAGTATGCACCTATTTTTTCTTCCTTTCTGATGTCTAGTACCGGTCTATGCTTCACACGCAGGTGCATGTGTATACTAGCACCTCTCAGGATCTCACCTACACACACTCATTACATTGCATAGGCTGCTCAGCTGATAGAGCAAGCTATTGTTAACCACCAGGTGCGCAGCCGGCATGGATACCATGCTGTCAGGTATCCATAAGGGGTTGGCCAGCACATAGAGATCCATGTGTATGTTTGGCGTAACTAGTGCACGTGTACATGTGCATTTGGTAACATTTTAGAAGCCCTATGCTACCAATCGCTTCTCTCTCCGCTGGTGTACTCGTCTTGTAGTGAAAAGAGTGCAGGAAAGCTGGGGCCACACTGAACATGTTAATGCACAGCATTTGGACATCTTTCTACCTTTTGAGTGTTCTGTATTTTGTTGTTTTTGTCTGTCTATCTGTCTGTCTGTCTGTCTGTCTGTCGGTCTGTCTGTCTGTCTGTCTGTCTGTCTGTCTGTCTGTCTGTCTGTCTGTCTGTCTGTCTGTCTGTCTGTCTGTCTGTCTGTCTGTCTCTGTGTGTTTGCCTGTGTGTGTGTGTGTGTGTGTGTGTGTGTGTGTGTGTGTGTGTGTGTGTGTGTGTGTGTGTGTGTGCGTGTGTGTGTTGGCTTTGTATGTACTTTGTATGTATTGCATGGCACACTGCTATGGGAATTGCCAATGATGCTGTCACTGTTTCGGTTGAACACCATAGGATATGTAAGTTGCAGTTTGGAATAGTCATGGACGCTTTCTGTTTCAAATCTTTATTCTCACGACTGTTGTTGCTGTCGTTGTTGTTGCTGTTGCTGCTGGTGCTGTTGCTGGTGCTGTTGAATCTACTGGATTGTACTGTAGTACTATGTTATATGTACATGTATAAGGGAGTCACAAGTGAAGTTCCCACCTGGAATAAGTGCAGTACTCCAAGTCCGATCTACCGGTAAATGGTAGCACTCTTAAGCTCTGTGTGTACAGCGAGCCGGGTCGAGTTGCAGTGGTGGGTTTTACTCGCCACAATGAGAGTTACCTTGCAAAGGTCATTTGCTGTCATCTATTGAGTATTGATCATCACTGGCGGGTAAATCATACTCCTTCAAGACCACCTGTGCAGAGTATAGCTGGGAAGTAAAGTGGTCAAGGTTGACCTGTCTTATTGTTTTCTATTATCATGTGTCTCCCCCCCCCCCCCCCCCCCCATGCAGAAATGGAGCAACGCAAGATCAGCTGAAGTCTAGCTTTTCTCTACTGCAGTCGGCACTGAAGGTATGGTATACATGTACATGTTAACTCTTTCCAGAGGATGATGTTGATGTCAGGTTTGTGCGATATGCTTCTACTAGTGTTTGAATTAGTGATTTAAAAAATGGGAGCTATATCATGATTCGAAAGCCCAAAGCCAAAGTCCCCCAGGTTTTGGCATGGAAATGTACAAGAAAGCAGTACCTCTATCGTGCTCTCAGTGATGTTTATGTCTATTGCTTAACAGATCGTATTGTGCCTCTCGCTGTGCATCCCCAGAGCAGGCTGTGAGTGAGCTGTGTCCGGCTGCAGGCGCTGACTTATTCATGATACCGTATTTCATTTAGCACGACTCTAGATGCCTGCTCACTCACCTCCCACCGCTTTAGGAGCTGCAGCTGCGCCTTGATCCTTGAAGGGTGGCGGCGTTCCTACGGATGCGGAAAACTCGGCCTCTAGCCGAGTCTGACGCGACTTGCGAAATTTTTTTTAGATGCCTGTCATTGGAATGGCATCATGTGCTTGACGGAGGCAACACCACTGCTTTCTCCATTACCTTCATTTTTTGTTTCAGGAGGAGCAGTTGTTATGTGCGTCACTGAGACAACAGGCGGACGAGAAGTCATCTCTAGCAAGGCGTTTAGAGATGAATCAAGAGGTAACATATGTGCAACCATTTACCTTTAGTCGGCATTAGTTTGATGTGGTAAATAGTTCATGGGCTATCGGTGCATAATGTCAGTGTGCTGGCAAGTTGTGATCCTTTGCTTGCCATAGCCTCCGTAAGTTGGTTCGCCCACATCAGGTGTTGTATTGTGCTAGTGTTGGGTAGAGTGAGTAGTGGATGCGTTTTCATTCGTGTCTTGTGCTTCTCTTTCTGCGTTTGAGCTGTGAGTGTCTTTTACTCTGTGTACTTGTGTAGGAGCTACGCGCCTTGAGGCAAATGTTTGAAAGCGCCGAAGAATCTCGACAGCATGGTAAAACATGTAGTATTTTGTCACTGATTTAGGCTTTTAGCACAGACGCATACACATTCCTGTAGGGATGCACCGTCTTCTAAAATAGTAACCACATTGGTGATCAATAGACAAAAAGCCTATCTCGGAAGACCTGTACTTGTACCTGTACCTGTACTTGTATCATGAATTGCTCTAGCACACAGTGATGCTGGCTGTTTCCTTGTGTTTCTGTTCCTGCGTTATTTTTCTACTTCTCTTGATATTGTGATTATAATCCTATCTTTCCCATCTCTTTGCTCAGCTACGGCAGAAGTTGTTCGCTTGAAGGAAGCCTTGCTGTTGATTGAAGATTCTGACTCGGATCCCAACAAGATTGCATCAAGAGCTGCCCAGATGGTGAGAGTGCTTGGCAGTGAACACTGAACCACATCGAATAGTTTATTTGGAATGCTGGATACAATGAAAGTTATGATGGCGGCTAATTTGTGGACTATGCATTGTGACGTTTGAATAGAAGTAGAAATTTTGTTAGAGGAAGGCAAATTCGCACACGTAGCATAGAAGCCATTTGAACCGATGTGGTCTTTCACACCGTTATTCATAGTTGGTACATTGGTGATATGGTCTGATAAGCAAGTGTGTATTGATGATATGGTCTGATAAGCAAGTCTGTAGTTGGTACATTGGTGATAATGGTCTGATAAGCAAGTCTGTAGTTGGTACATTGGTGATATGGTCTGATAAGCAAGTCTGTATTGATGATATGGTCTGATAAGCAAGTCTGTAGTTGGTATATTGGTGATATGGTCTGATAAGCAAGTCTGTAGTTGGTACATTGGTGATATGGTCTGATAAGCAAGTCTGTAGTTGGTACATTGGTGATATGGTCTGATAAGCAAGTCTGTAGTTGGTACATTGGTGATATGGTCTGATAAGCAAGTCTCACTTTATACCTAGTGCCACCCATGCTCTCTAAGGTGGCAATCTCTCACTGCTTTGGCAGTCTAGCAAGCTAGATAGAGGACTTGCTTGGTTACCTCCCCAAGTCACTAATGCACCGATTGTGGTAGATCATCTTGCTGGATGGTGTTTCGGAAGCGGATTGTTGTTTTTTTTCCATCAGATTGTCTTGGTCAAGCTTTTAGCATTGTTCTCCTTATACTTGTACTTCCCTTTTTTTTCATAGGCTGTGGAGACAGCCAATCTTCGCCAGCAAGTTGACTTTGTTCTAGCAAGAAACAAGACACTGCAAGACCAAGTGGAGAAAATGGAAGTAAGTCCAGATAACAAACAGGCATCTAATATCGTGTATTGCTTGATTAGTAACACTGGCTTACTGCACGTACCGGTACATGTTGTCATCTGTTGCGTATCAGAGTTGTGTTGTGTTGTTGTATCAGAGTTGTGTTGTGTTGTTGTATCAGAGTTGTGTTGTGTTGTTGTATCAGAGTTGTGTTGTGTTGTTGTATCAGAGTTGTGTTGTGTTGTTGTATCAGAGTTGTGTTGTGTTGTTGTATCAGAGTTCTGTTTTGTTGTACAGGTAGACTCCCTCTAATTCGAATACGGTATAATTCGAACATTCCGTGTAATTCGAACTTTTTCGTCGTACCGATCTTCTGCAAGTCACTTCAAGTCAAAATCGAATGCATAATTCGAAGTACGAAAAGTGCGCCGGTTGGATAATTCGAACCCAGTCTTCGTACAGAAGAGCTGTTTACAGTACATTGGCGATGTCCTTTGAACGCTTATTTCGAAGTGAGATTGAGTTGCTATCCTTGTAATTCGAAGTTCATTCTTTTCTCCTTCTCTAGCCAAGAGTAGCTCAAAAATCGATCGATGGTCCGCTGCAGGATCGACTATAGCGTTCAAGAAACCCACCTTCTCTCGAAATTTGATTGAAGCCCGTGCAAGGCAAATTGCAAAGGTTTGATTGAAGACGACTTCTTCCAGGTGGCTGACTCTCTTCGCGGATCTCAATGGCCTTTCTTACCGCGCCAGCTCGTGCGCGGAGATGCTGGCGCACAACACTATTGTCGTAAATATTGTCTATGCCTTTGCTCCACTTCCGTTCTTCAGAACGACGTGCTGCTGTCCAACGGCCTTTCATGACGCGGATTAGGCAGCGCAGTTCTTTTCCGTTGAAATTGTTTCAGGAAAGCTGCAGTGACTGACAACTTCTTCACTAGAAGATGAAGATAATGTCAAAATGATTTTGTGTCGATCCAGTGTTTTGATGATCCGTTGTACATGACCCGTACCTATGTTTCGTTGATGCAAATAAAAATGTGCAAAAAAATATTCAGCATGCGATTTCAAGCATTTTGACATACATATCAGTGCATATGGCTGCATTTGGATAATTAGAAGTTCTGGATAATTCGAAGTTAGGGCCTGGCAATTTGAGGTTCGAATTAAAGGGAGTCTACCTGTATCAGAGTTCTGTTTTGTTGTTGTATCAGAGTTCTGTTTTGTTGTATCAGAGTTCTGTTTTGTTATTGTATCAGAGTTCTGTTTTGTTCTGTTCAGCTACAGCAGATCACACCATGACTAGTGCACTCTTGCCACAAAACACACACTGTTTCAAAGGGGCAGCTACAAATTCTTTGCTTTCTCTGCGAAGCTACCGCTGGACTATTGTGCTAACCCAGGCCAATGTGGGCATTCATTGTGTGTTTGCATGTATTCCTCAAGGCTGATCGCAAGCAACTCTCTGCTGAGAAGGTTTCTTCAGCTTCGCCATCACTGTAAGTAAAGCTAAAATAAAGACCACTATCACAATGGCATCCTACACTTTAAAATTCTAGCTATACTATGGTGTACGGCATTGGTAGTTATAGAGAGCTGAGCAAGAGAAAACATGCTAGGTCATACTGATACCATAGTCCACAGTTGGTCATACTACATTGACTGACAGCCTTGGGACGTTTAGCAGCCACGTGCTGATAAGGTGGTTGGACAGTGAATCTGCTGAGTTCTCGGAACCTGAGACTAGCGATGGGGCGGTGCTGAAAATAAGAGACTAGGGTAGTGCCATATTTCACTCTCTCCATTGTATTGTTGAGGAACATCTTATCAAACAGGAGGTTCTGGACTTTGGCAGATCGTCCTTTTTTAGTCAAAGGAGTTTTTTAAATTGTCTTCCACTAGCTACTGGTGCTGCAGTCTAGACAGCGATGCATTTGTTTGTCTAGGATGACCAGGTTCTCTGGATTACTTATTTCCCGCTCAGAACCGCTCGAGCCCCTGAGAAAAACTGTCAACTCCGCTTCTGACTTTCCACCAGCCATGAGAGATCACAATCTGGTGCATAGTCTTGTGCCACTGACCTCCTCAGCAAGCATGCAAACCGGTTTGAGCAGGTGATGTGGTTGTTAGCTATATTTTGGTTACTTGGAAGAAGACAATAGATCATTGCTCTCTCTCTCTCTCTCTCTCTCTCTCTCTCTCTCTCTCTCTCTCTCTCTCTCTCTCTCTCTCTCTCTCTCTCTCTCTCTCTCTCTCTCTCTCTCTCTCTCTCTCTCTCTCTCTCTCTCTCTCTCTCTCTCTCCCTGTCCCAGGGCTGCAAGTACAACAAGTGAAGAGGCACTTCAAACCAACCTATCTGATGCGTGGAAGAAATTAGAAGATGCAGAGAGCAAGCATCAGCTTCAGCTCAACTCTCTTCAACGACAACTAACAGCCACACAAGCTGACTTAGAGAGGTAAAAATAATAATTATTACTATTGTTGTTAGTAATGAAGTGGGTGGCTCGCAACATTCGAGCTCACGCTTTTCCAGCCGACTGAACTTGACACTTTGCTGAGTCACGACTGCCATCCAGAAGACACGAGGAGCTGTGATTGCTTTCGACCATCTAAATATGTGTATTGTACTAACAATATCCTGGACAAGGGCCTACGGAGCGCAGACAGCATGCATATCGATTGAGTGGCTTGAAGATATCATCAGTCTGCGGTGCCTTTTTTTTGGAAAAAGTGGCGAATGATCTTTTTGGTTTCCTAGGGCAGAAGAGGGAAAGCGAGCACGTTTGTAATTATAGACTCTTAAGGCGGATCATGCATTAACCAGGGGATTACCTGGTGAAATCACCATCATGGCCTGGAATGCATGTGCTTTGTGGCAGCATTAGCAAATGCACATTAGGCATTGAATGAGTATGGCACACTCATGAGAGTAGATCTACTGCTATGGTGGGAAAATGGTACTTCAAGTATGAGCGTAATCTAGGCGTGCGATGCAAACTTTCACAAATGAAAAGGCGACTGAATGTGAAGGAGGGTGATCATTAGTGGTGAAACGAATATCAAAACCCAGTAGCCGAATATTCTTTGGCTTAACGAACGAACGAACGAACGAATATTCTTTCGTTAACACGGATGACATCACACGCCCTCCTCTCAGTCATTTTATTGGATATTGTCACTATTATTGGGCATGACAAACGAAGGCACATATTTCTCCACCATTTCTTTCGTTAACACGGATGACATCACACGCCCTCCTCTCAGTCATTTTATTGGATATTGTCACTATTATTGGGCATGACAAACAAAGGCACATATTTCTCCACCATTTCTAGGTCAATTTTCACAAAATCCCCAGCTGAAGTGCATTTTACACGCTCAAAAAACAGCTCAAGACGTGATTTTTCGTTCGACCGCCATAACTCCATTCCAGGACCACGGATTGCGTCTGGGTTGCTTCGAGACGACAGCTGAGAGTTTTCTAATACCGATGGAACTTTCGATGAAGCGGTTCGGTCAAGTATTCGCGAAGTTACGAAGTTTGAAGTCGCCGGGTAAACTCTGCATACCCAGTTAGCGAATATTCGCCATGAGAAATATTCGTTCGAATGTGACAAACCGAACGAACATTCGAATATTCGGTATATTCGTTTCACCACTAGTGATCATCCTCCCTAAAGCAGAGGGGTTGGACTCAGTGACGGACTTGGCACTGAAACCATTCCAAAATGCAAACTGTGAGTTGTGGTTTACTAGTTACACAGAACTGTCCACCAGTTTGTTGACTGCGATACTGCACAGTCAGAATGTGCGACACTTGGGCATAATAGTGACAATCTTATTAACTTCCCAACTAGCACCAAATATCTTGTCCCACTTGTAGAGAATTCAGTAGTGAATGCCAAATGCCGCTGTCTGATGATCGCTGAAATGCGTGAAACTTGAAGTTTAATACAGCTACACAGCCTTTCGCCTCCGGTGTATGTGTAGTGACAATCTTTATTCACTTTAACAACCGGCTAACACATTATTTAGCTCCATCTTGCTTTGAATGCGCTACCTAACAGCCTTCCAACTTAGTATGGGCGTGGTGGAGCTAAATGTCAGGTCATTGAATGTACTGTCAGTATAGTGCCATTTTTCACACCTTCTGAATTCGCAGTATCTTGGTTAACAAATTGGTGGATAGCTCCTCATTCTGGGTGAACCATAGATCCTTTTCGCAATGACATTCCTTGGCTCTTCATCTGAGCTGATATGTTGCAACTGTGGCGGTACTGATAGTAGAAGAAGTTGGCTGTACCTAACATTGGAGCGTGCACTTCCTGCTGACTAACTGACGCACGGCTGCCATCTGGAGCACACAAGAAGAATGTCGAATCAACCACTCGGCAAACCTGCCAAAAAGCACCATTCTCTGCTCAATGCACTGTGTTTTGGATAATTCACCACTCATCAGTTGAGCTTGAGTAGGCTAATGAAACTTGTGCTGTGAGGGTACTGCGTTATGTAATGCTCTCCCAGCCGAAGCATACCAACGTACTTTGACATGTTTCCAGTGTGGCAAACACCTCGTGTCCACCAAGCAGCGGCGTGAGTCAGGGTGTTCGAATAAATAAATAAATAATTCTAATTTCGCATGTGTTGTCTGTACATTCCTTAAAACAACAGGAGCTGCAGCCAAGTTTCCCAACTGGAGTCTGTTCAAGTGTCATCAGCATCGGATATTCAAAGGTACTGTAGTAGGTGTACGGCATGCTTTGCTGCGGATTTATGATTTCTTTGTATGCAATCTCGTTGTTGCTGAATGATGAATTCGAGCTTAGAATCCTAAAAAATACTCATGTTGTCATCAGTACCAAGCCCGTAATAGCAAAACAACAGAACTGAAGCCCGTTCGTACAATTTGCACTCCGCTTTTTTTTTGAAAAGACTTAGCCAGGCTGTAGCGCAGTCAAAGCGTTCTTTCCTGGCTTGTATAGCTGTGCGCATGTACCACCGACTGGTTAAAGTCTGTACGCAAAAGGCATCCAATGATTTGAAAAAAAGATTTTAAGTCTTGACCTATTTTAGTCGAAGTTCGACAGGGTGGAGTTTCCGTCAAAACTTCTGAAATTGAAAAAATAATGTTTGTATGTATGTATGTGTTGCCACTGTAGGCTTGAACTTCGCTGCCATGATTTGCAAGCTGGTTTGGACAAAGCACCTAGCCAGGAGGAATTCACAAGGTACTTGACTAAGTAAAATGGCCATTGACGTTACCACATTATCATGGTGTTGTGGTCACTATAAGGCATGACTTTGTACAAGATTGCCATGTTCACTTTTGTGTAAGCGCTGCCTGAGTATTTGCCACTGTCATTTTTGAGTGGGAGAAGTCCTCTGCTCACACTACTTGTTGGGTGTGTGTGTGAACCATTGGTATGTGAGTGCTTATAGAACAGCAGTGAGTACAGCACCACTTTGCCTTCATGACAACCAATACTCTTCTACATGACGTCATGTATTGTAATGTGTGGTATTCACATCTCCCTGCGCACCATGCACCCACGAATACCATTAGTCATGTATGGTGGCGGTGTCCGAATTAATCAAGATACCCGGTACTTCTGCCTGTTTTCATTTTCATTTCTTCCTCTTGTGCTTAGGAAAACAGAAGAAGTCAAGAAGCTCGAGCTACAGCTTGCTGTTACTCCTGGACGTAGTCAGATAGAAAAGTATGTACTCTTTAAGGGAAGTCTTCTAGATGTGGTCAGGACATACCCTGTGCAAAAAGGAATGACGGAACATGCTGGAAATACATAGCCTGGAAATATCACGTGCATATTGGTGACACAGGGCACGGCACAATGCATGGTATTTGGACTGAGTGTGCCTCTCCGGCAGAGCCAGTTTTGTGCAGTAATACATGTACTTGCAGGGAGAGCAAGGTTTGACTTGATGAAAGCATGGATGGAAAGCAGACTGTGATGTGTATGATGCGATAGATCCGCAAGAAGTATTATAATTATAATGCGTATATGTATATGGAAGATGTCCCATGGCTCTTAGTTCATGTACCGTAATGGTTTGACTGTGACTTGACCTCCGTATGTAAAATAGTTTTATAGTGTGATTGCTGGGGTGTTTTCGGCTGTAGATCTGACGCTCTGGTATATAGCCTAGCAACGGGCAGAAGCATAACAATGAATGCAAACCTCAAGTGGATACTTCGAGTACTAGTATTCACTCATTTGAATTTTTCAAACGATTCTTAGAGTGAGAGAAGTTGGTGTGACCTGTCCAATTACTTGAGTTGGGATTGGGAAGGTTACGGTAGTGTGGCCTGTCCATCAAGTCAAGATTCCAGCGGAGGAGTAGTGCAAGCTCCAGTGTTGAGCAAGCCAACTACCTGTGTATTACTGGAGTACATTTAAATGTCATTGTTGTGATGATACTCATGATCTGCTGTACTATACTCGTGATCTGCTGTACTACTTGCTGTAGATATGAACAACGCTGTGCTCAACTGGAAGCCGATCTTTCCAAAGCTCCGAGTCAAACAGAGTTTGACAGGTTAGTATGTGTGTGCACGACGCTATGTCTTGTAGAATTATCTGTGCTATTGAAAGGGATCTAGGACTTATGTGGCAAGGTGCTCAGTTCATTTGCTTCCTCAGTCTGGAGTCACACTCCATCACTGTAGCTATCATTCCGCATTCCTGAAAAACACATTCGCGACTAATGTATGTGATAAGTTCTTGATCTGCCGATTACGTTAGAAAGGCAGGCCTGAAGCAGCATGATCATGTTCAGAATTATTTCGTTCAATGCTGTGAAGTAGTCAGTACCGCCACCCAATCCACTAACTGTTGGTTGGGGAAACTACTGTTGGTTAACTCTGAATTCCAGCGTGTAATATGCAGTGCAGATTCTGCTCAGGTACATGTAGCACACTGATTTACTGCACACTGTATTCATGATCACTTGTGCAACGTCTTGTTACTAATACTCTGCTTACAAGCCGTTTGACTTGCAGGTTTGCTGGCAGTGGCACACCTACTTCCTCCGCGTCATTAAAATTGTCGCTTCCCAGAGCGATTTTTCGAATTTATTTTGTCCACTCGAAGGGCAAAGAAATCAGCTAGAAATTGAGGCAGAGCATTGTCGACAGACCAAGCTTTAGTTTGTGGCCTCCCGCTTCGCTGCACTTGCAGCTAAGGTCGACGTCTTCATCAGAGTTTGAGGCAGACCCTTCAGCACTCAACAATACGCTGAAGAAGACGCGCGTTCAAATAATTAAGGTCAAGAAACTTCGCTTTCAAGCGATCCATGCCTCCAGGTGGCAGGCGATGAACGCAAACTAGCATTTTCAAGTACACTGTAACGACCTTCCAGCGGGACAGGGTAAGCAGTTCCGCACCTTCTTTCCTTGGCAAGCGCTTCGCTGATTTTGTCGGTGCTTTCAGACCTGCTACCTTCGCAGCAACATGCGCCGCAAGTAGCGCATTTTAGGAATTTGAGACCACTTTGTTCTTGCCATCGTCAGCTTCAGCATTTCGTATTCAGGAGAGATACCAGGATTCTTATACCCGAGCTTGCGGTCTTGATAAATGCCCACTCGAACGATGTGGGACGGCACGAACTCCAGAAAACGAAATGCGCTCTGGGGTGGAATAGTGCGGAGCGCGATGAATTTGCTTGGTGCGGAAGAGAGCTCCGACAAAGTCCGAGACCACCACGGCTTCAGTAACAAGTAGACATTGCACAGGAAGGGTCGCACCAGTGTTCGAACACAGAAAACAGCGATTCCGACAGTCTGACTAAAGTGAGCCAAGTCACAAATATTGCGATGTGCGAAGCGACAATTTTAATGACGCGGAGGAAGTAGTGGGGCATTATTGTGCTATGTGCTGACACTGTTCTCTCTCTCTCTTTCTCTCTCTCCCTCTGTCTCTGTCTCTCTCTCTCTCTCTCTCTCTCTCTCTCTCTCTCTCTCTCTCTCTCTCTCTCTCTCTCTCTCTCTCTCTCTCTCTCTCTCTCTCTCTCTCTCTCTCTCTCTCTCTCTCTCTCTCTCTCTCTCTCTCTCTCTCTCTCTCTCTCTCTCTCTCTCTCTCTCTCTCTCTCTCTCTCTCTCTCTCTCTCTCTCTCTCTCTCTCTCTCTCTCTCTCTCTCTCTTTCTCTCTTTCTCTCTTTCTCTGTATTTGTCTGTTGGTTTCCATAGGCAAGTTGAACGAATATCCTCACTCGAGGCACAGCTCGCTGAAGCACCCCGTCAACATGAGCTTTCAAAGTATGTGGCAGGAGTGTTTGCTCCCTGGTTATCAGTGTTACATGTTCATCTTTTTTACGTTGTGATTTTTTCTATTTGCTTTCTTATATTTTTTACCCTTCATTGCCGTGTGTGCATATGTGCATCCTGGGCTTTGGTACTTCTGGTGAATGTGTGTGCATGTATGCGTGCGGATGAGCATGTGTGCACATGTGTATATGTACGTGTTTGTGCGTGTGTGTGTGGTGTGTGTGGTGTGTGTGTTTGTGTGTGCATGCACATGCATATGTGTCCAGAGCACAGCAAGATCTACAGGAGGTACAGTCATTGCTTGCTGCAAGACCCACGGAGGAAACACTTGCAAGGTAGGCTGTACTATTGTGTTAATCTCTGTATCAAGGGACCTCATCTCCACATCTCTCTGACGAGAGAGCTAGCTTGGGACCCGTCGCTATGCTTATCATCATCATGATCATTTTAGTGAGCTAGCTGAGCTGGTGCTCAGTCACCTGGCATAGGTGAACGCCTGTGCGCGTAGCACGCCACCGGCCCTCTGCGCCCTTTCACGTGGTTCGTGTCGGCCCGACCACACACACACAAAGATACACAATACCGTGTTGTGGACCGTGTCTAGCGCCATACGCTACTATTCATAACGTTTTCTGCATAATACTAGTAATGTAAACAGGTCGCATATTGCCCGCATAAGCAAATCATGCGGGGGTCATGCATCTGTCAGTGATCGTTAACCAGAGTTGCTTGTTAGTGGCGAGATTGAGACATTCCTGAATCGGCACATTCAGGGGCTTGAGGCATAGCTATATCCTTTCTCAGAACTCTGTTAGAAGTGGCTTTCTCAGATCTGCACACAACTACAGTTTCCTTCTACTATGCTTGCTCTCTCTCTCTCTCTCTCTCTCTCTCTCTCTCTCTCTCTCTCTCTCTCTCTCTCTCTCTCTCTCTCTCTCTCTCTCTCTCTCTCTCTCTCTCTCTCTCTCTCTCTCTCTCTCTCTCTCTCTCTCTCTCTCTCTCTCTCTCTCTCTCTCTCTCTCTCTCTCTCTCTCTCTCTCTCTCTCTCTCTCTCTCTCTCTCTCTCTCTCTCTCTCTCTCTCTCTCTCTCTCTCTCTCTCTCTCTCTCTCTCTCTCTCTCTCTCTCTCTCTCTCTCTCTCTCTCTCTCTCTCTTTCTTTCTTTCTCCCTCTCCCCACATACCTGTACGGTTGTTATTCCAGTCGTGATTCTCAAATCCAACAACTTGAGTTCCGCTTGGCAGCTGCTCCGGCTAGTACAGATGTCATGAGGTATGTCCATCATACTCGTACTGTAATTGACTGTTGTGCCCAATTATCATCTTTGGATGATTGTTATAGCAAACAAACAGTGAAGCCTTGTCTGGTAATTTCTTTGTCATTTACTTTATGGTGGTTTTGTCTGCGTGTTCTGACTGTTCTCCCAGTCCACTGTGTGTTTGTTGGTTAAAAGGAATTGCCGATATACTGCATGATGTGCTTGCTCTTCTTAAGCATGAATGACTGTGCAAATGCCATACCATGCTTTCCCAGTGGATTGTTCTATGGCAGTATGCATTATATACACAGCTAAGTTTACGCTACTTGTACTGTGTATTTATTGCACATGCATTTATTCTGGCTGGCTATGGTAGAAAGACTTTTCTCTGATGTGTAATCTGGTGCGCAGCTCTCGAGTACTAAAAAAGTAGACGGGCTAGTAGCGAATTTTTGAGATGCAGGTAACAGACGGCCTTATAGTGAGATACGGGTAACAGACTGCCTCATAGGGCATGTATTCAGCCAATCTTCTGCAAAGACTCGTTATGGCATTCAGTGAAAACTTTCAAAATGTTCAAGAGCCTGAAGTGTTCTACTTCTCAGTATTATGGCATTCATCATAATAGTTATGATATTATCATGGCCTGTTTGAAATGTGTGCTTCTTGATCTTTACGGTGCTTGTTCTTCTTTTATGTGCAGACTGGAATCACAAGTGCATTCACTGAAAGAAGAGCTTGCAGCAGCGCCCAAGCAAGAACAGTTACAGAAGTAAGGCCTGTTTTGCAGCTGTGTCATCTTTACTCTGGTCTGTCAGATCTTGATTAGAATAGTCAACCTTACAAGTGAAGACCATTGTTAGTTAGGTGTCCACAGATATTTACTTGCAAAGTACATGTAGATCAGATTTTGTTGTCAGAGTTTAGGGTGTGCTGTATGGCTCAATACTAGTAATCACGCAGCCTATCATGAGCGACGGTGCAGTGGCTAGTTTGAGTAACTCCACTGCTGTTCATTATGTTACATGTTGTCAATGCAGTATGCAAACATCACTCACCGAGGCATTGCAGCTTGGTCGCCAGCTGCAGCAGCAGTTACTGGAGAAGGAAAGCAAGAACCTGCAACTTCAACAGTCTCTCCAGCAGGTATGCTTCTTTTTGTAATTAAGTCTTGAGGCTGTTGACATTAGTAGTGTGTGTGTTTGAGCTAGACCTAATGCTGATAATGATCTACCCAGTGGCACACAGTCCCCGTCATGTAAATCATCTTCAATACTGTTACTGCAGTTGTGGCTAGTGACGTACCAAGCTATGTACACTTTCAGAGCCGCGAGCTGAGTTTGATAACCTCATGTATATGTACTGAATAGGGTGCCTGGGGTGTCGAAGCATACCGGTAGTATCCTTTGCAGCTGTAAGTGCACATCAGTCTGGATTCTACTTGACACAAGTGTAGCATGTATATTATACCCACCAGGGAGTTACAGCATTGAGGGAGATAGCACTGGCGACTGAAACGTGAAATCATGTGGGGTGTTGCTCCCAGGCTGCCCGTTCCAGGTGCCCTTGGGGCAAGGCCGATTTACACATGCTCACGTATGGCATCGCTGGTCTGGTGAGCATTTTAGGGTCAGCAGGTCAAGGTAGTGAGCTACCTGCATGGACCACACACATCATGTACTTCAAGTAGACCTTTGAAATCCGGGGACGAAATGCGCATTATTTCGGTTGCTGTGGCCCCGTGCCTCCCTAGATACAGGATTTCTCTCACACCAACTAAAACTGCTTTCACTGCCAAAGAGAATGAAAACATGATGTATGTGTACTTGTTTGTGTTTACTGTATTCAGATGACCACCGCCAATGATGAACAGAAGCTAACCATTGGGCAGTTAAAGGAGAGCGTGGATACAGCCAACACGCATGTTCGTTCTGAGGTATGTGATTGTGTTGCATTGTTGTGGTTAGACGGTACCCACCTCCCAATGCCATTGTGTTTGCAACCCTGTGGTGCTGTGTTCGATAAGTGTCACCTCTTGAAGGGACAATTCGCCTAAAAATTGGATAGGTCCATCAATGGCCGGAATGCAACAGGATTTTGATCTGCATCTAGTGAAATCTGCATGTTCACGGTGTGTTCCCATCTAAAATAGCCTTTTGATGACATCACTATTGCAATTTCTATATATCGGTTGTGGAGAAAGTGTCTGCTCCAAACGTCGGAGCTCGCGCTTCCTGCCGACTGACTTGACACTTGACTGACTCACGATTGTGTCTGGAGCACACGAGAACCCCGTCGCCGTGCTTTCTTGCAGGTTTGCCGATTGGAAGATTCAACGGGCTTCTCGTGTGCTCCAGACGCAATCGCGAGTTAGTCAAGTGTCGAGTCAGTCGGCAGGAATCGCGAGCTCCGATGTTAGGAGCAGACACTTTCTTCATCAATTCCCGCCGGTGTCGAAACATCTCAGTTCATAAGTTGTGGAGTACGAACAAGAACCTAGTTTTTAGCACCCCAGAACCTTTTTTTTTAGAACAAGCACTTCGCCTGTTTTGGACTGCACTGAGCAGCCGCCGCTTGCGGTTAACATTCAGCATGATTGGCTATCACCATAGATTTTCTCATGCGATCGGTCAGAAGTACAGAAAAGCCGCGAATGTGATTGGTTTTGTCCGCTGGGTGCATGTCATAAACGCAATCAAAACTTCCGTACCCAGGACTCGACCAGCAAATGCATGCCCTCCGAGCTTCGCTCTCTGGGCATGTATTCACTAGTCATGCTTTCGTATTCATGATGGATTTCATACATATTTTTGTGATTGTCAAGATGATTGTGTTGTCAAGATGTTGCCTGATGATTGCAAGATGTTACCTCATGATTGCAAGATGCTGCCTGATGATTGCAAGATGCTGCCTGATGAGTGCAAGATGCTGCCTGATGAGTGCATCATGAGCATAAAACTCAGAGTTATGAAGTTGGTTGTTCCAACGAGGAACACACCCTTCCTGCCGAACTTGGCACCTGACTGACTCACGACTGCCATCCGGAGCACACCGAGTGTTGCAACTACATACTTCAGGAACTGTTGTACTTGTCATGATATTTGATCTCTTTTTGAATAACCACATGCAGCCAGGAGATGTTTGACAGTTGTTGATCAGTTGGTTGTGTGCTCGCGTTGTTCACCTGCTCCAGGCAAGTGCTAAAGGAGCTAGTGAAGAAGAAAGTCGTCGTCTGACCTCACTGCTTGCTGCAGAATCTGAAAAACTTCAATCCCGGTGAGTCGTTAATGCCATCATCATCATGCTGATATTTTGACGGACCGGTACCATCTCAGGCGAAAGTTGTTAAATGAAAAATGAAAGGCGGTGGAAGATAAATGATACTGGATCCGATGTCTTTAGCTTAGTGTTAGTGTGTCACACCATTAGTCTATGTTGTCTGGGTTAGATGTGGTAAGGACTTCCATTGTGCTGGACAGGAGGTCACTCAGTGGTTTAGCGCGTTGCTGGAGTCACGGCGGTGGGTGTAACTGTAAATGCAACGCCTGCATCGACACAGGCCAAGGTTGAAAAAGCGACATGTGTTGTTACAGGGACTGATGGCGCTGGCTGTAGTTGTTGGGCGGTCGTCTCGTCCGCGGTCAGAATTGAACGGTATGCTGTGGAGTGAAACATGGCAGGGTTCCGGTCGGTATGGACCATGTCACACAGCATGGAGGGATGTTGCCCGGGTATGGAACAATGGATGTGCGTACACTTGCCTGTTATGTTTTACAGTGACCAGCAACTTCAGGATGCAAATACCCAGCTCAATCAACTCAAAGAGAACTTGGAACATCTTGATGATGAGCGGAAGAATCTTATCCAACAGGTAACATTGCTAGCATTGTTATGCATGCTACTGCTGTTGCTGCCACTGTCGCTGCCATTGCTGCTGCTGCTGCTGCTCTTGCTGCTGTTCCTGCTCCACTGCTGCTGCTGCTGCTGCTGCTACTGCAGTGCCGGCGGCTGCGGCGTTGCTACATGTACGGTGTCATGATGGAGAGTACATTCTTTACAGACAGTATTGTACTGGGCATGCTAGTGTAGGTTGGTAAAAAGGGACTTACAAACTATGAGTGTTTGAGTATGTATGACATTTAGATAGTCATGGTATCTAGACAATCTTTGTGATCATTGACCCTGTCAAGATACTTGTTGTCATTCTCCACATACTCGTTCATTGCCACCTTTACATAACTTTTGGTATTGACTCTACTAATGAGGTACAGGGTTTTCAGTGTATCAACCCATGTTCTGCTGCTGTGTATGCTGTTGCTGCACGTGTAGATTGAGGCTGGTGAAGGAGTGACCACTGCTATCCAACAGCTTACCCAAGACAAGGTACAGGCAAAAAGAAGTCCGGTAGAACGCTCTTCCATGATATTCACGTGAAAAGTCTTTGCAGAGTGACTGATAAGCCATTTTCCGCCATGAGGAAGCGAAATGACCGAGAATAATACAGTCATGTACTAACTTTCGTACAAACATGGTATGTGTGGGCAGGCATGAGCTTGTCGGACACAACCGTAGTAAGTGCTTTGTGTTGTTGAACATCTTTGGCCAATCACTGTTTGGACATGTCATGTGACGGTGGCTGCTCCTGTGCACATGGCACTGGTCAACTTTCAGGTTCTCCTTCCTTTCTGTGGTGTGCACCATACCGTAAAATTCCGTAAATAAGCCCACCCTAAATAACGCCCATGTCCGATAATAAGCCCAGTTTTAGGCGGTGTACACTTCAAGTCCGTTTTAGCGCCCATGCCCGAAATAAGCCCAGGGCGTAAAGTGGACTCAAAATGACCAACGCGTTCGCGTGCGTTCGCGTACAAACTGTAGAACAGTTGTAGATCGAGTGCGTGCCATCCAACTGCACGCAGCACAGTGCAGAACTCAACACTGTCACGGCGCGCGAGGACAGCGATGTTCTGTTGGAATGTAGCAAACTGCCAAAAAATGTAGCAAAACATGTCGCGCTTACCTGTACGTAGTGGCTCGTAGTGGCGCGTGAGGAGAAATGGGTGTTCACTGAAACTAGTGGGTTGCTGATAGTTTGATCTTCTGCAGATTGTGTCCGAAATAACGCCCATGCCCTAAAATAAGCCCATGCCCAAATATACGCCCGGTTTTTGACGCTCTGCAAAGTATACGCCCGGGGCTTATTAACGGAATTTTGCGGTATGTCCAGAGTCAATGTCTCGCACCGCCTCTTGGATCCAAACTGCCATGTTCCAGTCCCATTATGATCTTTTTGTGTAGAACTTTTCTCGCTTTTGGTGATGGCATCTCTTGATACAAGGATTTGATTCACAGAGTTCACGAAAGAACAACCTTGTTCTTACTTCAAGAAGTATTTTAGCTACTATATTGCAGTGAAGTACTTCATTGACGGAAGTTTGTCCTTACTGCTTGTGTTATGTGTAGGAGAGCCTGCAGCAGCTGACTTCATCTCTTGAAGCGTCCATACAGACTCGAGCATCGGAGCACACTACTAAGCTAGAAGAGATGTCTGAGCAGAAGTCTGCAGTAAGTCCTATTTATAGTACATGCATGTAGCTAGTCGTTGCCACTCGTTGATGAGCTAGTAAAAATGTAAAACGAAGGGTACAGGACAACATAAGAGCCTGCCGGTAACTGGGATGGGCTGTAAATCTTGCACAATTCACACTGTGCACAGGGCAGTAGTTGCGATGATGTCTAACGTTGATTGGTGTGCTGCAGAAGGCAAGGTCTGTGACAGGCTAACTGTGGGCAGTAATTTTAAAATATTTTTCGGGGCTTCAGGGCTTCTCTTCTATTATTTCTCCTCAAACAGCCAGAAAGTATACTCAAGCCACCAGCTTATAAAGCCGAAAATAGCAAACGACTTTGTGCCATGCTAATTCAAGGCACACACGGAAAAAAAGTATACTAGTATTGGTTTGTCTGGCAGCCCTGGGCCATCCAATTTTAAAGCAAATCATGTGAAATCCCAGCTGTCCAAAATTTTAGCTCAGTCAAGTGAACCATTCGGAAAGTTATCGTTGGAAGCATAGCATTGGAAGTGCTCTTATTATGGCAAGTTGCTGTTGCCTGCAACACCCTGTAGAAGTATGCCTGTTCACAATGGGAATGCAGGCGTTTTGTACACATTTGCCCCCACATACTTCATGAAACTTGAAGAAATCCAGTACCTCTGTCACATCCCTACTTGTGCAGTAGTACGGCTGCATTCCCATTCTTGTTGTTCACAAGTGAGCCACCATGAACGCCCCCTCGACTCCCGTCACTCCTTACGACATGTTACGCGTTCACTAAATGTTCTACATAACTAGTCTTCGTTGGTTTGAGGAAACGGTGCAATGGTAAACTAGTCTTTGCTTGTTTGTGTTGGGCTTCACTGATTCAGCCCTTGCATAATGACTAAGCTTGTGTTTGCATGCCCTTATGCTCATCCGACTAGTTTGTCTTTCAGACTCTCCAGGATCTCAATAAACACTGGAGTAGGAGTTACTTTTAAAACCCTTTCAGTGCCAAGGACGAGATAACTCGTCCTACAGACCCCCACGCGATTGGCCAAGGACGAGATATCTCGTCCTCGTAGTGTGCACGTTATATTGCAGTGCATAGACCAGTGTACAAACTATCGTAACTCTGTGAAACATAAACGCATCGCGACAATCAGTACACCGTTGGAAAGGTCTTGAGCTCATCTTTCCGCGGATATAACGTTTGTTGCGATAAAGAATCACTGAGCGGCGACAGGATGAACACCAAGGGCGCGTTTGGTTGGTACGAACTAGAACAGGATTCACCAGAACAGCGCGTTTGGTTGGGACTGCACCTGTTCTGGGTCGGCCAGAACATGTTCTGCTTGCTCCGGCCTCCAGGCCGGAGCAGACCGAGCAGTTTCACTTTTTCACAGTGAAACCTGGCGGGAACATCGATTTTGTTCCCAAATGATCACGTGCATACGCTTTTGGGTTGGACTCGTCGTACCGTACAAAGTGACCATGGTGATCCATACACATTTTGAAGAATGCACCAAGTTTGGCACATTTTTCCACAAAATGTGCTCTGTTTCTGGAGTAGCGTTTGGTTGGCATGAGGCTGCTCCATGTGCACCAGCTGTTCGATCCTGTTCTAGATCGTACCAACCAAACGCACCCCAAAATCACGGGCCGGAGCGAACACGAATATTTTTGTTCATGACGTCGCAGTTTTTTGGAGCGTGCTAGGGGATTTCCCTTTGGCACGACGCATGCGTGATGGACATCAAATGAAGCGCTTGGATCTCAGCTTTGCAGCGCAGTTCGAATCGTGAAAATCGGTTGAATTTGGGCAAGATGCCGAACAAGAACGTGAGATTGAGTTGTTGTGCCATTCCGGGGCACGGTGGAGTAGTTCGGAGAGGAGGTGGAAGTGGCCCTGGTGTGCCTATGTTGCTGAGATCTACCATGATGGATTTGCTTGGTCCTGATCTTTCCAACAAGCCCAGGATGATGAAAATCCATCATGGTGGAGTGAAATGAGAATAAATTCCATTCAGAGCTGTGCGCGCAAACTACACCAAGAGAGTCAGTGCACTGGACAGCCGGCCGATTGGAGAAAAGGGGCCCGGCATGGAAAGGGTTAAAATATAAAACGTTCCTTATCCCTGCTTTATGCTTTACTGCCCAGCATCAATCAGTAGCATGAAGAATTATACTTGAAGTATATTTTACCATTGTTATGCTGCGTCGAATGTGGCTGGGTTTGAAAACTCCAAAGAAAGGGGAGTACCATGGTCGTCAAAATCGTAGGGCTACCAATCGGCTTGTAGAGGTACACCTTGGCTGCAACTTGCTGCTGCTGCACTGTGAGGCTTGGGAGGTACGATCACAACTGGTGAACTTTACAGCCCGGTGCTGAACTTGCTCCAGCCGGGCAAGGGTAGACTTGGCCGCACCAAGTCCTGAGAATGGCCAGTCCAAAGCTGGACGAAAGAAGGATGTTTATGAGGTGCATGATGGATAGAGAGAAGAACCACCAATAAGTACAAGTAGATATTTGTACTCGCTGTCCTCTGTTCACTGCAAATATTCTTGGAGGGTTGGGGGCTTCAATCCAAAGTATGAGGATGTCTCATTTGCGTACAGGCAGGTGTGGCAGTTGGTCAGGAGTACAGCCACACGGTAGAAAGTCCCAATAGAGCCATGAAGAAGTCTCTGGGCCTTCTTCAGGTCTACATAGGCGAACTTGGCTGCAACTTCAGCAAACGTCCATTCAATGGCAATACGGCATTCACTCATTTGGCTGTTGTACTGCCGTTGTGCTGGTGTTAGGTTTGCACCAGCAAAAGGAGCCTGCCGGTGCTGACGCAGAGGGTATGCTGAGTCCCCATACAGTGTAAAAACATTTCCCGCGTCAGGTCCTCTGGCCGGCAAATGGGCTTCAATCTCATCAAGCAACCCACTCATACGTAGCATAGCTGCATCATGCCGTGACCCTTCCACGGGACCAAAGAGATGCACAACGATGCCAAACGGCGTGGTGACACCCTGGAATCTCTGCAGGTGCATTCGCTTGTGTCCACTGTACCAAGTTCGTTGGTCGCGGGTAGGCGGTGCAATCGGCCTACCTCTGCTGTCAATAAATCCCCAGCAACTCGGGATAGGACGTTTCTCATGGACTGCTGCGCCTGCTTCAAGAAGCCGGTCCCTCGAAAGCCACTTGCCAGAACCCACGTTCTCCACCAGGTTAGACAGCAGTCCTGACCGACGATTGTGCAGAGAGGAGAGCATACAGTTAACGATAACTGTGATGGATGACTTCCCTTTGCAAAACATCTCCGCCAGATCATACATTCAATCAGGAATAGCTCAGCTACCCGGAAACAATGCGCAGGGCTTCTACGCCAGACCAACTCAGACGAATCGGTGAGGTCATCTCCTCAGGTATGCCATGAGCCTTGCACGGTCCAGGTTTGTCCTTTCTCGTGGAAGCGAAATCTCTTCTTAAAAATCATGCTTGGGCAATTCTTCAAAATTGAAAGTTCGCTGGCGGTGAAATGCAGCTGAAGCAATTTCAGCCCCCCCCCCCCCCCTTCCTGCCCTGATACACCAGAAGCAGCACATTCACTCAAGGTCTGAATCTTCATACTCCATCACCAAGTTTTCCAGATTATGTACATGTAGATCGTAATCAACCATGATAAACTAATTTACTTTGAGGACAAATCGAGCAAAAGGCAGGGAAGTGAAGATGAAACAAGATTTTCGAATTTCCCGCACTTGCTCCCGCGAACACTCATATCGCCATGGTTGTGAAGAGGACTTGTTGGGAAAGACTAAACCCCGACACAACAAAGCACCTGATTCATTTTCAACATTTATTTTTTACATGACCGTATGCCCCACACTGTGCCACACACTGTGCTAAAGGAAAATTAGCTTACATTGCCCCTAGTACAAGGATTACGTTTGTGTAATATAATATGTCGTGTTTATTTTAGCTGAGGACATCTAGTGCATTGTTATGCTCCGTGTATTCACTTGTCTCTGTGTATTCACTTGTCTCTGTGTATTCACTTGTCTCTGTGTATTCACTTGTCTCTGTGTATTCACTTGTCTCTGTGTATTCACTTGTCTTTGTGTGGATGTTTGTCTGTACCTGTACTATTCATGGTTGTGTGTGCGTGTTCTCTAGTTACGAGATGAATTGGCAGAGAACAAAGCCAAGCGATCAGCCGCAGAGCAGCTTGTGACGGAATTGGAGACAAAACTATCTCTTCTGCAGACTCAGATTGCTCAGACAAAGGAACAACTGGATAGCAAAGTGAGCTATGTGTTTAGTCGGCACTATTAGGCTGTATACACTGTATGTGAAATATACCCTGTATAATGCTGTGCATTATTTACTCTGTATTCACTGTATACCGATACATGTACTCTGTAGTGGCTTGAAGTGTTACTTTCCAAACCTGCGTGGAGACAAACTGCATGCCGGTTACTGTATTGGGCTATACTGCATTGCACTGTGCAGACCAAGCAACCCTATATACATGTACATGTAGCCCCTCATTTCATGGTGTTCCATGACAGGCAGTGTGCGGCAGTTGCTTTTAGTGGGAGTGCCTTTCATTGAGCAACAGCGCTGGTGCATGTGTGTGTGCGTGCGTCTATGTGTGTGTGTGGGGGGGGGGGGGGGGGGTATGTGTGCGTGTGTCTGTGCATATGTGTGTGCATGTGTGCCCACCCTATCTCGTGTGCTTGCAGACTGCTGAGTTGTCAGCTGAGCAGTTGCAAAGAGCCGAAACGCAGGCAACACTACGTGTTCTTCAACAGCAATCAGAACAACAAGAGAAGAACTATGAGCGGTCTCAACAGCAATGGAATGATTTACAAGTGTCATGGAATGCAGAGAGGAGTGAAAAGAGTGCAAGTTTGGAAGCCTTACAGCAGCAGCTAAATACGAAGACATCTGAGTTCCAAAACAAGGTTAGAATATTCCAATAGCGTGATGAAAGTTGTCAACGATTGGGAATCGTTACTGAGTGGCACTTGTCAGTAACCATGGCGGGCGCAAGCTTAGTGAAGAACCGACCGCTGACGCTAGTGACATCACATAATACCACATTTCAAAAGCCTGCATGCTTTCTTCTTCTCTCCTTGTCAGTGCCCATGCCTCTGAGCTGTAATTGGCAACGGAGAATGCGGTTGCCTGCAGCAGTCGTAACTTTACGTCTTTTGATAATTTCTTGCAGTTCCGGGAACGCACGCACCGTGGAGCTCAAAAGCAGCATAGAGTGGGTCAGGTTCTAGGTAATAAAAAAACAGTTCACTGCACCATGCGATAAACATAATAGAGTTTATTCTATTATTTCTCTTGAAGGAGAAGTAATTTCTGTCTTGACTGAAAGACAACAAAGGAAAGAACAACCAAGAACGGAAGCAGCATGCTCGATAATCGATATGTATGTGATCATGCGTGCATCTATAATACCAATGCATGATGTAAGCGGTGTACAGATAAGCTGGATGCACGTGGGTGGATGCGTATAAATTATGGGATGAGTACAACATCAACTTCTCCCAGGAGAGATTTGAGCGCCTTTGTTACTGTGAGACATTTACGATAGCTCGTGGTGAGCAGCCAAGCCAACCAAAGGACGTAGCAAAAGGCGAAAGGCAGGAAGACAGCTGCGCTGAAATAAAGTTTTCCCGCAAGTGCCTTTGCCTTCACTCTCGCACTTGCGTTTTTGTATGCAGTGTACTTCAAAGAGGTCGCGCTGTCGATCGAACTTTGATCGCCGCTGCATGATACATGGGTCGATTTGGACGGGGTTTGCTTCTACAGAAGCTGTTTAACCCTGACTCTCCTAGATCCTATGGACAGAGCGAATTTGCTCCAAAGACGTATTGCAAAAAACGCACTGTTTCAAGTCAATTCCAAACATGACAGCCGGAAATCAGCTGATGCACTTCAAGTGCGTTTTTCTCAAAATTACGTGCGGCTGGATAATGTCCCTTTTCGCGTTGTCTGGCTCACTTGTTGTTAAGCTTGTCATGTTGTTGCTTATCTTAATCTCTTTTTGCTTATGTTCCAGCTGCAAGCTCTTGAGTCATCTCTGAGTGAGAACAAAATCTTGCTCATGTCCAGCGAGCAGGTAAGGTAACAATTTGTGTGGGTGGATGGGTGAGTGGGTGGGTATTGGGTGTGCGTGTGTCCTTCTTTCCTTGCAATGCACTTTACCCTGCCACACAAGCGACACGACAGTCAGATGCAGGAGCAGTCTCAGACAAACACGAGTGTTCGAATACTATTTGCAAATATTCATGGCTGATTGCACAGCTTCTCACGGAAACAAAGTAACTTGCGGGGGGGGGGGGGGGAGGGAGGGAGGGAGGGAGGGAGGGAGGGAGGGAGGGAGAGAGAGAGAGAGAGAGAGAGAGAGAGAGAGAGAGAGAGAGAGATATCTACCTCTCCCGAGACACTATTCCAACTATTCCAAACTTGGCCTTCATGACCCTTGTGAAACAAACCGAGTATGCAAACTTCAGACAACCCTGTGTCTATATGGTTACTACTGTTGCAGACATTAAAATTCATTGAGAAGTCAAACAGCCTTGGGGCGCTGGCCTTGCAGCCGTGAGCACTGCTGGTCTAATTTTACAGTGCAGTATTGTACACGCTAAAAGCAGTAAGAGCCCCGGCCCTGGTCATCCCATCGGATCTCAATGTCCATGACATTAGTATCATCTGTTGATTCAGGTTAGGTTAGCCTAAAACTGTCTTTGCAATGTTTTCTGTAGGCTAAAAAGCAAGCCCAGGAGAAGGTTGTGGAGACAACAGCCATGGTAGCTTCTGTCCAAGATCAGGTACGGACCTTGTTGATAATTGATAATGGTCACTTACTTTTGTCTTGTCTTCACGTTTGTGTTATCCAAAGATCTGTGTTGTGCATGATTCTACTGTGTGGTGGTGTGGAAGTGTCACTGAAGAATGAGCGTCAATGAGTATCTTCTTCTACCGGGTTTTCTTTTTTCAACACCTGGAGACAACTTGTCTATGTGCACAATCATGCTCTAACCCCCCCAGATCTATCCAGCCAGCAGACAGTACAGACTGCTCCATCCTTTTGTGGGACTTATCCGAGCTCTAAATCTAGACTCTAGACTACTGACACATTTCCTTTGTCGTACAGCAGGTAGACCGTAATTTCGCACCCAAATTTACTGTCACAATTTCCTGAATGCCGTGTGTGTGTGTGTTTGTGTGCATGCATGCATGCACGTACGTGTGTGGGTGGGTCTGTCTGTCTGTCTGTGTCTGTCTGTGTATGTGCATGCATGTGTACATGTGTGTCTGGCTGTGTCTTTGTGTGCATGTGTACTCTTGTATGTGCATTGACTATGCACAGGCTAAGAATGAGAAATGTCTTCTAGAAGAAACTATAGTGGTGAGTTTGTTAACACTGCATTACCAACACTACAGAACCAAGCATAACCAAGAGTGTGCAACTTACTAGACTTGAACTGCGAATTTGCAGTGGATTCTTTATTGCATCCTTTTTTGGTTTAAATATGATCAAGTGCATAGACCTTTCAGCGCTTGTCATGAATGGCACGGTGTCAGCTCATCAGGTTCAGGATGAATATAATTATCTACTGCCCGTTGCTTTTATCTGTGTTACCTACCGAAGCTGTGACTTCTAAGTTAGTTCCCTGCACTCTTTGATAATATTTGGCTGGTTGTAACTTAATTTGCACAAGCTTGGAGGCCATAGCCAGACCATCACAACTGCTGGGCAAGTCCTTAAGAGAAAAGCGAAAAGATGAATTTTTGGTGTTCACGTTTGCCTTTTCTGTGTCAGCAATGGCTACTATCAGATGTGGACATCTTGTTCTGCATGCCTGACCAAACATTGAGCGTTGCTTTTTGTCCATTTACATGAATGTTTGCAATAATATTCTGTGTATGTTTGATGTTTCCTTGACCACCTTTCAGGCTGGTAAAAAACGCATTGAACAGTTGGAAGCATCCTCATCAGATCTATCTTCACAGCTCAAGCGTAAACAAGACCAGGTTAGTTTCTGATTTACGCACTGACAGGACAACTTTGAGATTTCATGTCGGTTCTGTTCTGTGATTAATCACTGGTTATGCTGCTCATCTGTTTACAAGGTTGTTGCTTCTTCAATGATTGTACCTGACTCTGTGTCTCTTCTGACTCGTCGTAGAGCGGTGGCAGTATGGAGGGTGCCCACCGCCCCCTCTCCTTGCTTTTCTTTCATTGAATGTGTACTCATAGTATATGTGTGTGTGTGTGTGTGTGTGTGTGTGTGTGTGTGTGTGTGTGTGTGTGTGTGTGCCTGTATGTGTCTGTGTGTGCATGTGTGTGTGTGCACGCGCGCGTGCGTGTGTGTGTGTGTGCACGCGCGCGTGCGTGTGTGTGTGTGTGCTTCACTGTGTCCTTTAGCATGACAGTGTTGTTGTGCAACTGAATGAAGTCAAAACACAGCTTGCTGTAAGTATTGTCATTCCTTGTATGCCACACATTAGTGCTACAATGGTCATGTAGTGCTGGTGCTAACACCCCTGCTTGTGTGGAATGTCACAGTTTTCAGGCAGTTTGGCATGCTAAGTGATGTGTTGTTTTTTTAGTTGAGGTTTTTTATACATTCCTGTTCCTGGGATTGGCACTATAGCCCTGTTTTGCTATTGATATACAAGTACTCTCGCTGCTCACGCCTGATAGTGCTAGGATGCAAACATCATTGTGTGGATGTGTTGGCACTCTTCTTTCTCGATTCTACATTAGAGTTTGGCATGAAACATATGCACACACGTTGTAGTGTTATCTCCAGCACTTGTTCTTCTTTCTCTCATCTATGTTGTCTCATATCTTGCCTTTGTCTTTCGTCCAGTCATTACTAAGTCGTGTTGCCTTGTCTAGTCAGGAGTAGGAAGGCTTGGTATTTAGCCTATTGCTGTAAAAATCATTGCTAATTGGGTGTTCACACTCACGGGAAAACCTGAGGGACAAGGTAAAAGTTCAGACCGTCGGGCAACCGAGTGTGGCCATTCACACCCCTGGTCAATTTGGCCTTGGCCACATGTTTGGACATAAATTTGTGGCAATCTGTACTGCTTTTTTTAGTACATGTTATACTATACTTTGCATTCGCAATGCGCGATTGTCCGCATGGGCACTGTCTGAAAATGCACGCTGCGATGCACTCGTACAACTAGGGTTCAGAGCTCTCGTCAAACCGCACAAGATCTATGCACAATCGTTGTATAGCCGTGGTATTTTCCCTTGACAAACGCCCTGAGGCCTGTGGCCACGGCTTTGCCAACTTTTTTTTCCAAAGAGGTTCTTCCTTTCCCCCAGCACGGTAGCTTCCATAGCAACTTTCCCTAAACCGTGGTTTTACCCGTGTGTGTGTGTGTGTGTGTGTGTGTTTGTGTGTTTGTGTGTGTGTGTGTGTGTGTGTGTGTGTGTGTGTGTGTGTGTGTGTGTGTGTGTGTGTGTGTGTGTGTGTGTGTGTGTGTGTGTGTGTGTGTGAATCCCCTATAAAATGGGTTCACTAAGACATGTAGTTGTGCCAAGTACTACTTGCCTGTCAGTTCTTGTTGCGCAAGTTCTTGGCCACCAAGAGAGAGAGAGAGCATTCTAGGTTGTTACTTTACATTCCTATCTCTTTACCGGCAATTGCTATCATGTATGGACATCATTCATACTATTTCATAGGCATTGGTCTGTATGTCTATAGATGCATTCAGAGTCTATGTAGTGCTGGTGTTGTTGAGTACAGTATGTTGCATGATGTGTGCCGCTGGCATGGAATTCATTATTGATATCATTGACTGTACCACTTACATGTTGTGGGCAGTGCTTGTATCATCTGTTCTCAGCGGTGGTATTTGAACGTGTGTTCATTGTGTGCTCTCTCTCTCTCTCTCTCTCTCTCTCTCTCTCTCTCTCTCTCTCTCTCTCTCTCTCTCTCTCTCTCTCTCTCTCTCTCTCTCTCTCTCTCTCTCTCTCTCTCTTCCTTCTCTCTCTCCTTCTCTCTCTCCTTCTCTCTCTCCTTCTTTCTCTGTTGGCTATGCCAGGCTGAAACACAGAAGTGCATCTCATTTCAAGCAACCGTGTCTGAAAAGGGCAAAGACATGGAGAACATGGTAAGTTGCTATGGCAACCAGCACTGCCGCCATATTAGTTACTGCCACCATTGCTGTCATTCTGAAATGTCAAGAATTTTGCATCGTGGCTGATGTTGGTTCTTTACACAGCTTTGTTCTTCCTTGTATGTGTTATTGATCAGTTCATTACTGCAGTACTATTGTATTGTTTCCAGTCTCCCGAGACACTGTTGTTCTTTATGCAATGTGTTTTCTTCGCAACACATGTGGTATTAGACGCGTAATTGGAGCGAGAAGGAACGTGGCTTCAATGATCAGCTGAAAATTTTCCAGGACGAGCTTGTCAACCTGACAGTCAACATAGAGGTACGTACATGGCTTTGTGACACACAGTACTATTTCTATATTTTGTACAGCATGTCATTGCTCTTACTTCTACTGATCATCTCTCATGTTTGCTTAGCCTGACATACCAGGTAAATTGAAGAGGCTACTTGACATATTGAACAAGAAATGTGCACAGGCACACAGACTCATGGGCCGATAGTCAGACAGGCATCCACACACACACATACGCACGGGCGCACGCGTGCGTGCACACACACACACCCCTTGACGTTGACCTTGACATACAGCTGCCGTTAAACGGCTAAGCTGCCCTCACGAGGAGGGGAACAGAGGGGTAGCATCACAGCTTCGTGGCAGAACATCCGGTCTCATGCCGCTGCAGATCTTGCTGCCTGCGATATCTCTCACCACACGCACAGAAGAACTTGACCTGGAGACTCTCCCTCGCTGTTGGTCGCTTGCCGTGCTTGCAAATGTGCCATTGAATTCCACCAGCAGATCGACACACACACACACACACCTTGACCTTGACATACAACTGCCGTTAAACGGCTAAGCTGCCCTTACGAGGAGGGAAACAAAGGGCTCGCATCACGGCTTTGCGGCAGAACATCCGGTCTCATGCCGCTGCAGATCCTGCTGCCTGCGATATCTCTCACCACACACGCACACACGCACACACACACACACACACACACACACACACACACACACACACACACACACACACACACACACACGTGGAAGGAGGAACCTTGCTGTCCAGGCCAGAAGACTTGTCAGTAGTCCAGAGCAAGCTCGAGTACACCAGCACTGCCTGCATACACTGTCTCGCTGATAGCGTGATAGATCAGCTGCTACGCATAAGTAAGAGAGCACTTAGATGCATATTTGATCATGATATATTCACGCGCATAATATGATACACACGTATACACTTTTGAACCTTTGGAAAGCCCATAGCTGAGTGCGATAATAGCTGTTAGGCGACGCATTTTCCTGTGTGGAGACAAGTCATTCTGACAACGGAAGTCACAACCGCAGACACAGACGGATACTCCTGCCATATTGTCTGTGGGTACCGCTGGTCGTCAGTTGCATGGTTGGTAGGAGCAAGAACCGCAGTGACAGAACGTGGGGCCCATACGTGAATTTATGTGGAGAAAGCAGGGTCCACTGGTCAGACATCAGGGTTCCAGGGTGTTGATAATGGCACCAAGTCCACGGCGGTGGCCAAACTGATGAGGCGAGAGTAGCTGGTGCTGCTCCAGATGGTTAATTATGCTATTGTTAACAATCTTCTCCAGAACATTAATATAATGCCGAGCAAGGAGACAGGTCTATAGAGTTTTACATTGGCGTGTGACTGCCTCTTGTGGACTGGCGCCGCATTTGCTGTTTTCCATGAACCTGGTTGTATCCCATGGCAGTATATGTTATGTAACTGTAGTACAAATCTGATGCCATGTCACAATGCGTACAATCCTGTTAGTATGGTGGTCTTGACATGTTTTGCCCTTGTCGGCTTTACCGCTTTTGTTGAATATGTGTAGAAAGCAAAGGTTGAGCTTTCTCAAGCGCTTGAGGAAAGAGATGCTTTTCGCCAGGAAGCTACCAGTGCCAATGAATTACTTCAGGTCGGTGTGAAGCAGTATGATCTCTGATTAATGATGGTCTCTGATTAATGATGGTCTCTGATTATGATTTTTAAAACCTGTTATACATTGTACATGTAACCTACCGTACATCAGTAGTGGTCCATTGCAACCAAGTTGTCTATTTGTCTACCTGGTATGTAGCCCACCACTGCATGTACAACAATGCTGCATTCACTTTTTCTGTCCGCCTGCCTATACTGAATTAGGGTTTGTCCTTGTGGCGTGGGTGACTATTCTCACGGAATTAGGGTTTGTCCTTGTGGCGTGGGTGACTATTCTCACGGAATTAGGGTTTGTCCTTGTGGCGTGGGTGACTATTCTCACGGAATGTTCATGCAGCCGTGTCTTCTACTTTGTTGTTACATCAACGTCTTCGGCAACTTGCACTTGCTGTCTGTGCCCATCTTTCTCTGTCTGTCTGTCTGTCTGTTCATGCGTTCATGCGTTCATGTATCCGTGCATACATGTGTGACTGCTCACTGTGTGTTCATGCATATACGTGGCTGCACATGTGTCTACTGTTGCAGGTGGCACAGAGTAAATCGACTAGTCTCAATGCAGAGCTCCAAGCACAGCAATCCTCCTTTGCGGTATGTTATGCAGCAGTGTGACAATGGCGTCACCATATCCCTATTGTTACTCGTGTTTTGCAATGGAATCACTAGTCCTCGATTAGACGTAAACAATGGAATCACTAGTCCTCGATTAGACATAAACAAGCCTCTTGTACAGGTGAAAACTAACAATGGAATCACCAGTGATGATTTGATACGAGTATGCTGTTGTGTGCAGAATGTCACTAAAACTGTTTATGTAAACGTTACTGAGTTGCAACTGTGCAAATCTTCTGTGTGTATGTGCGCGCGCGTGTATGTCTGTGTCTGTGAGTGTATGTGTGTGTGTGTGTGTGTTTGTGTTTGTGGGGTTGTGTGTGTGTGTGTGTGTGTGTGTGTGTGTGTGTGTGTGTGTGTGTGTGTGTGTGTGTGTGTGTGTGTGTGTGTGTGTGTGTGTATGTCTGTGTGTTTCTGGGGTTGTGTGTGTGTGTGTGCAGGAGGTGAGTCAAAAACACCAGGCCACCGCTATTGAACTGGAGCAGATACGCACATCAGCTAAAGAAAGTGAAGATATGCTCAACCAGACAGTCACACAACTCAATGAGGTATCCATTCACTGTGTGTTGATTGTGTTCTTGTGCATGCTGTCTGTACATACATTGTTATACTGTGCTGATCCGGGTGCTACTCTCTCATCCTCTCAACCCTTGTGCATGGTAACTATGTGTGACTGTAACGTTATCTAGCACGTCTCTATGTATTGGTTTATTATCTCTACATATGGTTTATGGTGTGTTTGTTTGGCCTTTCTTAGACTAAAGACTCCCTTACCAAAAAGGTACTTCAACTTGATGATCAGTTGTCAGAAACCAAGGCAACATTGGCATCTACATCAGCAAAACTGGTAAGCCCAGTGATGTGAAACATGCATGCGGTTGTCTGTCATCTAATGGTGCAGGCGCATGCAAGTATGCATCTGTCACAGTGTGTGTTGTTGCGTGACAGAGGAACCTGCTGAGCAGACTGACAAGACAGTACGGGGATGGGCATTTGGCAGTCACGAGTAGTGCCTCATGTCCCTCCCCAACCTGATCATTGCTGCGGTGCGACAAAAATATCGCAGCATACGTGGCTATAAAGCTGATAAGGTGAATTTCCTGTGCCGAATTCGGGCAGTTTTCTGCAAGGAGTCCTACACCTGCTCCGGTACGCAGCACCTCGTGTTTTATTTTTGCTATCTACCATGCAAGGCGATTTTCAACACATCTTGGATGAGGCATCCTATCTTGAGACAAGCACTGCTCGTTGCATGAAAGAAACTGCAGCATTGCTGTACCGACTACATTGCAGCAAAATGAGCAACTGCAATCTAATGGGTGCTCCATTGCCACAAAACATGAACACACCAGGAGACTCTGCCGACTCTCGTTTTTTTCATGATTGCTGTACATGGAAGGTGCCTTTACTTACTGTGTGCTGCTGCTGCTGCCACCACTGCTGCTGCTGCTGCTGCTACTGCTGCTGCTGCTGTTGCTGCTGTTGCTGCTGCTGCTGCTGCTGCTGCTGCTGCTGCTGCTGCTGCTGCTGCTGCTGCTGCTGCTGCTACTGCTGCTGCTGCTGCTGCTATTGTTGTTGCTACTGCTGTTGCTGCTGCTGCTATTGATGTTGCTGCTGCTGTTGCTGCTGCTGCTACGGCTATTGATGTTGCTACTGTGTTTCAGCTGGATGTATCATCTGCATTGTCCAGTGCAAGTGCTAACCTGACTTCTTCAGAAGAGAAAAGGTAAGGCAGTGCAATAGGCAATGCAATAGGCAGTGCAATAGGCAATGCAATACAGCACACTGTGCACTGCAAGTCACACACTGCACTACTACGCTGTGAATTGTAACACACTGCATACCACACATTGCATGCACTTGTACTACAGTAGGATATGTAGTACAGTATTGCAGTTTGTGTATAGTTCATGTACATTGTATACTGCGGGTCTTCTCACTCGGTATGTTGTCCTACACACCTTGGCTGTTGTCCGTAATCTCCAACAGGACACACTGTAGAGTACTTTTGGGCATCATTGTATAGCAAGGTGGATTGGATGTACTTGAAGTAGAAAGAAAATACTCAATCTTTGGGCAGCTAGCTGTTTCGACCTTGTTAGGCCTCCTCAGCAGAGCTCATAGTCACTGCTACCAACCGATCGCAGTCAAGCCCAGTGAACAACGAAGCAATTTTTTAAATTGCCTCAAAGCATCAAAGTCAGAGTGATCTAACTGCGAGAAACACAGCGAGCTTTGCACGAGCAAGAAAATAAACTGACATTCTCCTATGTCACTTTGCACAGTAACACGTCTCGCATACCTTGGTCAGAACACGCTCTTGAAAAATCTTTGAAATGGGTACTGCCTGGATCCTCCGCCTGGCTGGACAGTATTGCAAAGCAAATTTTCCTATCAAAAATGTTTTTCCTAGCAACGGTGAAATGACTACAGTGCTCTTGTGCAAATTGAACCTTGTCTTTTGAATGTTTTGAATGTTTCCTATTGTCAGAGAATCATTGGAGACTCACTGTGTGCAGCTGCAAGCTAATCTGAACAGTACAGAAGAAGAGAGGAACAAGGTATGTGCTGTTTTGACAAGGTACAAGACAGCTCAATGAAATCCGATCGAGTCACTCAAGTATGCGCCGGGCGTTGTGCAGCCCTAGAACTGCGAACACTGGGCTGCGAAATGGTGCAAGGCGCAAACTTGACTATCAGATTTCATTGAACAGCACTGTACTGTATAAGCAGAAATATTCGTCTGGAATTTAATTTCGTCTTTTTCGTCCAAGGAGCTTTTGGACTAAATTAAATGTAGGACGAATATCGATTTGTCCAGCGTTTCTATACACTCTTATGACCCATGGACGAAATTTTCAACCGGACGAACTCCTTTTCTTTGGAGTTGGACGAAATTATTGACCGACGAAATTTTCTGCCTCTACAGTATGTGTTGTTTTGGATTACCAGTAGTGGCAGTACAACAAGAACAGGATACACACACCTTAGATTGTAGGCCGTAGATGACTATCACTCAATGCAATGATAGCAAAGTATGCCATGATGCATACATGTGTACACATACATACATGTGCACGTGCACACACACACACACACATACACACACACACACGCACGCACACACACACGCACACACACACACACGCACACACACACGCACACACACACACACACACACACACACACACACACACACACACACACACAACCACAGGATGACTGTGTAAGAAGTCAACTAAAGATGACTAGTAGCTGTATTGATCTGCTCGTTGTACTTGCACAGCTTTCTACAGATTTGTCTGAAGCAAGGACATCGTTTGAGGTAAAGAACTCGAGTAACAAAGCAACAATTGAACAGCTTGGTTTGGAAGCTGACAAGGTATGTGAGCATGTGTAATAGTATTGCAATGCCACTCATGCTGCTGTCGTATTTACAGCTCCTTTGTAGATGTCCTGCAACTGAGTCTCTCGACTACTGACCTTGACTGCAGACCATTTGTATCACAACTTCGAATATACAAAAATATATTGGCTACACGAAGGTGAAAGAACGGAGAACACACGAACAACGATCGCCAACATTGCTGTCATCAGCAAAGCGTGCACATACGTACATGCGTTCGGCTTGCACCGTACACACCAAATCAGCGTGTACCACATCAGTGCATGGCCAAAAATGAAATGCAGCGCAGTACGGAAAGCTGTGAAATGCATGGCAATAATGCACAAAATACCAGGATTGTAAGCGATCTAACTTGTCCTTCTGAACAGTAGACATCACACCTTGACAACACCTGCTTTATAGCTGATATCAACTTGAGTTTGGGTTGTGCAATACATTTAAATCTGTGTATCCCTTGCAATCGCAGGTTTTCCAGCACCTACGCACCTGATGTTGATGCAACACTAACCATGTTCTGTGTGTGTGTGTGTGTGTGTGTGTGTGTGTGTGTGTGTGTGTGTGTGTGTGTGTGTGTGTGTGTGTGTGTGTGTGTGTGTGTGTGTGTGTGTGTGTGTGTGTGTGTGTATCTGTGTGTGTCTGTGTGTGTCTGTGTGTGTGTTTGTGTGGTGATGTGGGTGTGGGTGTATGCCTGTGTGACTGTATGTGTGTGCACATGTGTACACATGATTGTGTGTTTGGATGTGTTGGTGCGCCTTCACTTGCTAATCTAGCTGCAAGCCATGTGTACTCAACTGGAGCAAGACAGCGAGAAGGAGCAGGCACGGCTCAGGGTGCAGATCACTAACCTCCAGTCAAACATTGTATGTAGACCATCTACATTACATTGCATTGCATTGTGCTGTAACCTCTGTCGGTGTGTGTGTGTGTGTGTGTGTGTGTGTGTGTGTGTGTGTGTGTGTGTGTGTGTGTGTGTGTGTGTGTGTGTGTGTGTGTGTGTGCATGTGTGTGCATGTGTGTGCATGTGTGTGTGCATGTGTGCATGTGGGCGTGGTGTCCATGTGTGTGTGGGTGTGCGTGCGTGCATGCATACATGTGCAAATATTGATCCCATTTCCTGATATTGGGCGAAGTGTGTATGAGTGCTAGGGAGAGTCCAGAACCAAGAGTAAACGACTATGTTTATCGGTCAATGCGCAGCATACAGCCGTCATTACGCAACTTGTACCCTGTACTTGTGTGTGCGTACTCATGCACTCAACCCCCCAACCTCTTGTACCAGTACAGCTCTGCTTTCTTGGTTTGGTTTGAGTATCGATGTGATCTCTAAATTTGGGAGCATGAACCTCTGTTCCGCACAAAAGTTGGTTTCAAACCACAGGGAAGTGTGGTGTTTGATTTTCCGCAGTGCGCGGGTGTAGGTACATGAGATGTAATGAAAGTACCATGCCATTCGGCTGGCCAATAGGAAAGAAATCACAGTTATATGTTCATAGTTTTGCCTGTGGAGTTCTGTGCATCTTTAGAGCTTGGATCAGAATAATTTTAGTTCATGGCTCTTAGCAAAATTGCGAAAATTAGTGAGATGCACTCATGATGATCAACAAATAGATATCCCCCAGGCCGGCCACATCATTTTCCTCCCGACTTAAAAGTTAGTAAGGGCCCATTACTCAACACATACAAGTCCTCCGCACCGTGTTCATTCGGTATATTGTGTGTGGTGTCTGTCTGTCTGTTTGTCTGGCTGGCTGTTTGTACATTTGCTTCTGATCCAGGGCCAGTGTAAGGTATTGGAAGCACAACTCAAAGACCAGCTGCATGAGAGTGAGGACAGACGAGAACGCGATGTTAGTGCTCTTGGCGAGAATTTAACACGACTACGTATAGAAGGTGAACAGAAACGTATGGCACTGGAATCCTTGGAAGAAGCGAATAGCAAGCTGAAAACTACCATGTCTGGTGAGTGGAAACTTGTGGAAACCTGACAAGAGACTAGGGGTGAAACGGTTCGGGTAAGGAACCGGTTTTGGAACCGCCAGCTGAAAAGAATCGGGTACCCGTTCCGTCAAATTTTGAACCGGAACTCGAAAAACCTCGTTCTCGTACATATACATGTACGTGTCGTGCACATTTACATGCACATGTACACGTTAATCTATACTACTGTAACCCTCTCTGAAAGGCTACAGAGTATCTCAACACACAAAGACACAAAGAATCGGAACCCAGGAAATTACTCTCGCCATGACGAGTAAAACCAAAACTCTCTCTCCTGCCTTCAGCAAGAAGCGCGGGAAGACCAAAGGAAAAGGGTGTCACGTGTGGGGCTAGGTTCCCGCCACGGCAGCGATATCACGAGACAGCATACGTCACTACTTGTACAAGGGTCTACACCTCCCCCTCCTTTGAAAGGCCATGACCTCATGGCCGGAGGTGGAAAAAAAAGTATACTTATAAACAGCAAGGCCTCGAAAAGTGACTTAGGGTATGTGAAGAAAACGATGAGAAAAGTTGCATGCGGCAATGGGGTATACATGTAAGCTCATTCAAACACGGAACACGGTCCGAAAACATGGAGAGATTAAAAAAAAAGGTAAGTATTGAAGTGGGGCGGGCGCTGCCGCCTCAGAAACTACCGCTGCGTAATACTGGGGTGGGCTACGGTGATCGGCACATGTTACGTGCAAAAACATGAGTAGAAAATCAAGGCATGCAAAAGGAAAGATTCGCAAAGCAGAACAGCAGGTAGGAATGACAAGTGCAGTCATCGAGTCAGAGTACCTGTCCTCCCGTCTACGTGATCAGACGGTCAGTTGAGTACCACACACGGTGCGACTGTGGCGGGGGTAGGCGAACATCACCAGCTGTGAACTGGACGCCTGGTGTGTACTGGGGACAGGGACCAGCGTTGACAGTTGGCACCGGAGCAGGGTTGGGTCCCGGAACAGGAACGGTCGGTTGAGGTTGAGGGCCGTGGAACGGCTTCAGGCGATCGACATGGACTATGTGTGACTTCTGGTCGGAGCACCCCTGAATTTCCAAGACCACGTCATCCAGGAGACGGGCAACACGGTACGGGCCTTTCCACGGCCGGTGGAACTTGCTGCACTGACCAACTTTCACAGCCGGGTTGTGGAGGAGAACCAGATCGTCCGGCTTGAACGGGTTGGCACGACTACGAACATCATAGGCTGTCTTCTGGCGTTTCTGAGCCTTGGCACCGCACTCACGAGCAAGTTCATAGGCATGTTGGAGGGACTGTTGCAGTTGGCTGACGTACTCGGGTACGGACACTGATGGTCTGGTAGGCGTAGAATACATCAGATCCATCGGGAGTCGGATCTCTCTGCCGAATATCAGGTAGGTCGGTGTATGCTGAGTCGATGAGTGGCAACTGGTACGATAGGCTAGCAGACACCGCTGCAGGTACAGATCCCAGGTGTCATGGTGACCTGCAACGTGCTTGCTGATCATGGCGGCTAGGGTCCGGTTCATCCGCTCCACTAAGCCGTCACTTTGCGAGTCTGTTTGCAGGATCGTCTGCATGTGTAGCGCCCGCTGGAGAGCGTCGTCCAGGGTGGCCGGGTTGACCGTACGAACTTGGACGCGCAGGTCGCGGCTGTCCAGGCGGCGATGAGCTGATCCTTCCCAAGAGTGTCCTGGACGGCGGGTTGGAGGGTTGGGTACGAGTACCGAGCCAACCGGCGGATGGCTTCGCAGTAATCGCTTAACGGCTCCCCAGGGCGTTGGCGACGACCCTGCAGCTCAGCCCGATACATGTCGGCTTGCTGGGGCGCATTGAACCGCTGCTCCATGAGCTGCAGCAACAGCGGAAGGGGGCCCTGGCGCACATTGGCATCCAGTGTGGTAGTAGGAGAGAGCAGCTCCAGACAGATACAGACCAAGGTATGCGACCTGGTGTTGGGGCGTCCAATTGTTCACTTGGGACACAGTCTCGAATTGGAGGAGCCATGATGGCCAGTCACTGTCACGCGCCCCTGTGAACTTGTCCGGCGTGGCCCAGGCACGGACTGGCGCAACTGGCGGAGCTGGTTGCTGGGCACCCGGTGCAGGAACAGGTTGTGCAGCCTGAGGAGCTGGTTGGACCTGCACACCCGGAGCTGCTGGCTGGAGAGCAGGAGGAGCGGCTACGGCCACAGCAGCAGCAGGCTGTGGGGCGGGCTGGGCTTGAGGCTGTGGAGCCGCAGCTTGAGCAGCAGCACCTCTCAGTTGGCGTTGAGCCATGGTAGCAAGGAAAAAAATCAAAACGGGACCGTGGGAACAGTTGAAATAAATTGCAAATCAGGCCGGCGAGCGGAACGGCACGTCAAACAAACTGAAACCGGCGGTGGGGAAAAGACACCGCTGCCACCAGTTGTAACCCTCTCTGAAAGGCTACAGAGTATCTCAACACACAAAGACACAAAGAATCGGAACCCAGGAAATTACTCTCGCCATGACGAGTAAAACCAAAACTCTCTCTCCTGCCTTCAGCAAGAAGCGCGGGAAGACCAAAGGAAAAGGGTGTCACGTGTGGGGCTAGGTTCCCGCCACGGCAGCGATATCACGAGACAGCATACGTCACTACTTGTACAAGGGTCTACACTACTACAGTACTGCTGCTGCTGCTGCTGCATGATGGTTATTGCAATGACATCATTTGTTCCTGCTTTGTATTTTGCAGTGGCAAATAAGTGCTTGTCATGTCGCTCCATACAAGGCACCCAGTAATAATGAGAACCTCTGTGCTAGACGATCATTCCTTAGGAATTGTTAGTTCCTACTAGCCGGGTGGGAACTGAGAATTGTTACCTCACCGAGAAGCTGAGCAAAGTGTAATAGGGCCAGTTTGAACTTGACATTTGGGTGTCTGGCTACATTCTCGTGTTTCTGTATTTCCCCGATGTAAGAGACACCTTTTTGCAACAAACTCCAAGGTGGAGAAGGGGTGCTACTTACAATCAAGTATGAGTTATTATTCAAGTAAACACACTGGAACTATACGACAGAGACATGGAAATAGGGATGTGACTTATATGTCCTACTTGAGTATAACATTCAGGGAAATATAGGTACAGGCAACTTCGCTAATAACGACTGCGGATATGAATTCGCGAACAACGACAGAATTTCCATGCCCAGGGCAAAGTCCCATCTAACTGTATACATATGAGATTTCGGGTATAAGGACACTTCGCAAATAAGGACACCTTTCTGATGCCCCGCCGAGTGTCGTTGTACGCGAAGTTGACCGTACTACATACCGTTTTATCATACCAGCCAAGGTGCAGATTTTCCGATGTTCTGTCTCCTCTGAATTCTGTGTGGCTAGTCGCAGGACAGTGGCGTAACATGCAGACGTATGGGCAACCCGTTCCAGTTTCTGGCACTTTAATTTGCCAGTGCTGTCATTCGGACTGGATTCTATGATACTCGTTCTCATGGTCCCGGTTGTACACTATTAACCTGAAATCGTGTACAGGAAGTTGCCTGTCAAGTTTGTTTTGAATACGAAATACCAACAACTAATCAATGTTCTGGTTCATTGCCGTGAAGTTTCTTTTTCGTACATTGGGTTCTTTTATCCATTTTCTTGGAGTGGATTGTGGATGAGATTTTGGGTTATACAAACCTGGTATAACCACATTCATGTTCAAAAGAATTTCTTGGATAAAGAAGCCCAGAAGCTGAGTAATAAAATGGAAACTCCAGGGCAACGAACCAGAGAACAAGAATGAACTGTTTTTGTCAATGTTTGCCACCTCCATGTGTCACTACTTGCTACAGAGAATCGCCAACAAGCACAGGATGAGCAAAGAGTGTTGTTAGAACGGTATGTGTACTCGTATGCTATACCTGTGTATGCGTGCGTGAGTGCGTGCATGCGTGTGTGTGTGTGAGAGAGAGTTAGTGTGTCGGTAAGTGAATGAGAGGATGTTGTGACGATGACGAGCATGTCCAGACCCCCTCTATCATGATTGCGTCCAATTGGCGGGTTGCCATCTTTTCTTAGTGATCATGTACATGTTCTGCAAAACGGGTGATTTCAGCAGGGAAGTCTTGAAAGCGACTCCCACTCCAGCCCAATATTTGTGAGAATGATTCTTTCGCTAAATGTGACTATCACTAAAATTGCCCGTTTTACAGTGTCTGCTATCATCATACATGTGTCTTATAATTGTGCATGCAGTACTTACTCAACATCTTGACAAAGCCACTACCGTACATTTGGGAGACAGTTGTCTTCAGATACCGTATTTTCCGGAGTATACCTCGCACCCAGTTTTTTTGTCATGAAATACAGACACCTACCTTGTTTATCACCGTTAATTAGACCATCATAGTATTAGCCGCAACGACACTTTCGGGTGAATTACTGGTGTTTAGAGTGCGGCTTATACTCCGGAAAATACGGTACTGTCTCTTTGTATGGGTGTCCTGTTTTGGCATGGTGGTGAGGCTGCATCATCTGTTATCTTTCTGCATTTGTGTTTATGTAGGTGTGTAGGGAGTGAAGAGGAGGGTAGCAAGTTACAGCAGAAGCTTCAGTCAGTGGAGAAAACGTTACAAGAAACACAGGCAGCTCTGCGAGAGCTCGGCCAGCAGAATCAAACATTGCAGGTCAGTTGCAGCTCTTGTTTTCACATCATCATTGTGTTCAATGTGTTGTCTGCTGCTGATTTGTAGATCCATGCCATGCTCCTGAGTCCTGTACTCCAACACCACCACTGTACTGTTTCCTGGGCTTACAAACAATTTTCTTTTCAGACTAAAACTACCTCTGGCCCGTCCAGAATAAGGCACAAGACACAGGATGTACGAACATGCATAACCATGTAACCACTGTGGCACTGCATGTACTTTTGTATCATCTTGCTAATCGTACTGGAATCCTTTTTCATACTGCTCAGGTGCACAAAACCTTGCAAGGAGAGAGACACTGGGAATCTGATGAGAAGGCTACGAATTGCCGGGATTGCTCAGTGAAATTCAGCGTTGCAGTTCGCAAGGTAAGGTGTGTGTGTGCATGTGCGTGTGTGTGCGTGTGTGCGTGTGGTGTGTGCGCGTGTGTGTGCGCGTGTGTGTGTGTGTGTGTGTGTGTGTGTGTGTGTGTGTGTGTGTGTGTGTGTGTGTGCAGCTCCTCTCGTGTGAGTGAGCGGGGAGCAAGAGCGAGAGTGGGGGAGAGAATGAGAGAAAAGTACAGTTTCGTAGAGACAAAGCGTTGAGTCTTGTTGCTGTACTGATCCCACCTCATCCTTGTGTTCTCCCTTTTTTTTTGCAGCACCACTGTCGAAGTTGCGGGTAAGCTGTTTTTGTTATAATTTGTTAGTATGCAATGGTCAGATAACACAGTGATTAAAGTTAGCGCATTGTGCCAATGCAGGTCTGGAGCTGCACAGTGCCTAGCTCAAGCTGACTTGTATACTACCTGGATTTCATCGTTCACACGGCCAAACTTCCTGTGCTGATCAACTGTTTGTAGTACAGGAAGACTCGACAGAAGTACGGCAGTCTACCGAAGCACTAGAGTATGCTGCACCCTTCTGCCCTTATTTGGTGAAGACATGTAGGCATATCTACTGTCGTGGACATGGAAATCCTGCCGCACGTCTAGCGGCCCCAGGGCGCTTGCCATGCAGCCGTGGGTAAGCAGTACACACATGAAGCTGCAGCTCGCTGGTCGCATGACTGTGCACTGACTGTTCTGTATGCGCTGAGGGCGCCAGCCCCGGTCAATCCACTGGATTTCCATGTCCACGACAGTAGTACTGTAACATCAGTACTGTGGCATGCCCTCCTTACACATGCCCTCCTTACACATGCCCTCCTTACACATGCCCTCCTTACACATGCCCTCCTTACACATGCCCTCCTTACACATGCCCTCCTTACACATGCCCTCCTTACACATGCCCTCCTTACACATGCCCTCCTTACACATGCCCTCCTTACACATGCCCTCCTTACACATGCCCTCCTTACACATGCCCTCCTTACACATGCCCTCCTTACACATGCCCTCCTTACACATGCCCTCCTTACACATGCCCTCCTTACACATGCCCTCCTTACACATGCCCTCCTTACACATGCCCTCCTTACACATGCCCTCCTTACACATGCCCTCCTTACACATGCCCTCCTTACACATGCCCTCCTTACACATGCCCTCCTTACACATGCCCTCCTTACACATGCCCTCCTTACACATGCCCTCCTTACACATGCCCTCCTTACACATGCCCTCCTTACACATGCCCTCCTTACACATGCCCTCCTTACACATGCCCTCCTTACACATGCCCTCCTTACACATGCCCTCCTTACACATGCCCTCCTTACACATGCCCTCCTTACACATGCCCTCCTTACACATGCCCTCCTTACACATGCCCTCCTTACACATGCCCTCCTTACACATGCCCGAAGAAAGGAAGAAAAGAACGTCAAACAAAACATTTTAGTAAAGATGGGCGATTATTAAAGACTTAGATCGAGATACAACCCGTCTCAGATAGGTATTCTTTACCATTAAGGGATCAATTTATCCGGGTTAGCATCGCAGTTTGAGAATCAAACTTCACTGGTTGCGATTCGCTTTTCGTTTTTTATCGCCCAAAACTGCGTTGCATTGGCCATGCAAAAAAAGACAAAGACCGTTCTGTGCTGATTGTGTGCAGTGTACATGCGACTGTTGTACACACTGCTGACTAGGGAGTAGTATTTTACTACTCCAACCAACTGGCCTGTCCTGCTCAGACCGCGGGCAGGTCGCGGATTGCGCTCTTTATGATTTTGGACACTGCATTAGCATTGGTTGTACATGACTGGAGTCTTTTGAAGTAACAGTTAGTTTTGTACACGGCGGCGACTTTCCCTGAAGTTCTCCTTTCTTCTTTCACTGTCAACCTCAGTTTGTTTCTGTTCGACAAGACACAGTTGAAGTAGATGGTTCTTGGTCTCCTGAATCGTCCAGAAGTGGGAAAAAGAACTGGACGCGCCAGGAGTGTCGACTCGTTCCGATGAAGAAATGGAGAAAAGCGAAAGTTCTGTGCGCTTTGCACGAAGTGTCACGAGTGCTTGAGCGCTTTCCTGAGCTTTCTTTGTCGAAGGAATCCGTGGAACTGCCCTGTTGAAGGACATTGTGTTGTGAAGTACTCGAAGTCGGATAGACGCTGAACATGTAACAAACCCAAGAGAAACCCCTAACGTAAATACATTCAGGTCAACCGTTCGCTTGGAAAAGCAAATAGCAACTGCAGCTATTTTCCTCTTCTGTACAAAATCCTGCTACTGTACAGATATAATACACGTAAACTTTTAATGAAGAAAAACTGCTAATCAATACTGCGAGTTGCTAGTCAATTGTAAAACTGTGTAGCAGTGACTGCTAAAAAAATTCGACGGGTTCGCGTACTGGGCAGGTCAAGAATAAGGAGTCGTACAACTCCCTGATCAAGACCCACCTTTCCACTTTCGTGGGACGCCACCACCCCATGATCAGGCGTCAGATGCGGCTCCTAAACGGTGGGGGAGGATAGATCAGATCCACCAACCAGAGGCCAAAGGCCTAAATCACATTTGCCACATCCATGTTTTACTCCTGCCAGGCCACGAGTTCCCAATTAACTGTGGGTCGCAGCACGGTTAGAAAAATCCTTCCGCTTCCAAGCAGGACTTGAACCTGCTATGCGAAACAAATCAAAGTAAATCGATCCCTGCCATGTGCTCAAGTCACGGTTGCATTGTTGTAGCGTCGCGTTAAATGTAGTGTTCCTTTTAATAAAATAACAACAAATCAAAGTCGAAAGCTACAAGAATGATTGCTTCTGTGGTCTGCACTGGCTCGTGTCAATGAAAGCATGTGTAATTTTCACAGTTATAGTATATTATTACAGTAGAGCAAGCAGACATTTTGAATCAAGAATCTAACTAATTACTTACATGTATCAACTGGAGTAGTACCGTGGTGTGACATCCATCATCTAGGAAAATTTTCCCTTTTCCTCAGCCAATCATTCACTGGCTGCTGTGACTTCTCACCTGTAGGTGGGAGGTCACAGCAGCCAGTGAAAGACTCTGATTGTCTGAGGCTGCTTGACCAATCAGTGCAGACGTGCAATCCAGTCTATAAAATAATTGGAGGGTGGTGGTTAGGGTTCGGGATAATGGCTGTTTCCGTTCAATTCAATAGGGGTGGTGGTTGGGGTTCAGGATGATGGCTGTTTCTGTTTAATTCATTTCAGTTGTGAAGTTCAGAGCCAGAATAGGGTATAATTGAAGATAATCATTCTAGGAGGGGATGGTGGGTTTGGGATGGCTTCATACATCATCGTAAGCTCAGAATAAGTCCTCTCTTTCATCCTTAGGTGTTGTGTTGTCGTTATTGTGCAGGTGCATATTTTGCGACAAATGTACATCAAAGTCAGCTAAACTACCATCAGGAAAGAAGCCAGTCAGAGTGTGTGGAAGGTGTTATGGTGATTTGACAAGCTGAGGCTGGATCCTCAGATTTTGTGTTTGCATCTACCAATAATATTGTGCTGGTGCTGTTATTTTTATCGTATATTTTTTTAAGCAAAATTGTTACTTGTGGTGATATGAAAGATCTTTTCGCTATTTCCTTTTGCAGCAGGCTGTGATTGTAGCATGTTTGTACCCCCTCCCTCCCTCCCCTCCCCTCCCTGTCCTCTTTATGTAGCCACACTGGATATTTTTACTCTAGGTTTGTCGCTTTTCTTCATGCATCACTTCCAGACATTAGAAATGATTCATTTTATGGTGTAGTCTAGTTGTGATTTTACTTCTCCTTGTTGGACTTGGAGAATGCTTCTTGCTGTTATCTCTATGTAAGAGTGTCCTAAAATGGCAATGGTGGTGTTACCTCTCGGTGCGGGGCATAGCAAGTCGAGATGCACAGCTCACCGAGTACAGCAGTGCAAGTGCGATGAGATCTGCAGCCATGCTACTGCTCTGGTGTTCAAACATTGTCTTCTGGATCCCCAGGAGTGTCTATAAATGGAAGGGAAGTATCACATCGGTTCAGGCCCAAGTAATGTCAAAATGCCTGGGCTGCGTAAACACCAGTCACCAGCCTAGTACTTGGATCAGAATTCAGAACTTGAAGCTTGAGCCAGGCCAAAGTACTGGTATGTGTTCCCCGTACACGTGTTCATGTCACCAACAACAAACATCCCAATGCTATAAGTACCAAAGTTATGTGGATATGGGAAAGCAGTATCTTGAAGCTGTATACAACTAACTCACAGTGTACCGGCTGGGATGACAAGAGTCGAGCAGCATCCAATGGACGATGTGACTATGACTGTCATAGAACCACTTCTTGCAGACACAGCAACAATTTGCCTGGCTGATTCCAATCACCTGCAATGCATGATGGCGTCGTCCATGTTGACACCCTGCGAGAGCTGAAGTTTTCCCGCAATGCAACTTGCCCAGCTGGTATTCAAGCTATATACATCACAGCAAAGGAAAAGGAGGAAACCTTCGGCAAAAAATGCTCTATGACTAACAAGCATTATCATACTGAAGTACATTTTTTTCCGCGGACTCTAGCGCAGCCCACTTACACATGTATGACACCTCGCTCCACTACTCCAATACTGGTTTCTTCACTGCGAATAAATCAATGTTCCACCAAATTTTCGGCTGGCCCATCATCGGGGCAAAACGTTGTTCAGTTTCATCCTGATGATGGGCAAGGCCCGAAAATGTGGTGAAGCATTGATTTATTCACAGTAAAGAGACCATTATTGGAGCGTTGGAATGGGGTTTCATAGAAGTAGACTATCCTAAAACAAAAAAAAGAAAATCACTTACATGCATCATCGTCACCATCATCTTGACAATGGAGGAAATGTGAAACGTACACTCACCGGCTTCCAAAGATACCGGTACGCAGATATGCGTTGCCATGTAGCCATCCAACCAACTTATCAACACCCATCACTGGCATCAGTTTGACACTTGGCTGAAGTAGATCAGGGTGCCCCTAGTCTGTTCGCCTCAGATGCCTGTGCCTTCAAAAAAATAGAACAAAGAAAGTTGGAATCCAGAGCACGGTGATACGCATTCTGCAATTGCCAGCCACTGGCTATGGAACATGGAGGTTTTAAGAAGGAGCCAGTGAGGCAGCATTATCCCGGCATATTCTTCAGAAGGAGCCAGCGAGGCAGCATTATCCCGGCATATTCTTCAAAATGCATACTTGTACCTCCACCCAAAGTGACTAAGAACGAGGACCAACATGTTATGAGTTAACAGTCCGCCACGGTAACGAGATAATAATACAGTCGGACAGTGCAACAAGGCACACAACTGATATGGGTACTGAGACATTAAACGACCTGATCCCTAACTCCAACACATCCGACTCATATCATTATTACTATCTCGCTACCGTGGTAAACTGTTTTAAAGGGGAAGTTAAGGCAAAACTTAAAATTTCACCAGTTGTAGTCTTCGGGGTGCTGAGTCGAATGGTCTTGGTCCGAGAAAGCTGAGACGCTCCCTTCCTACTTGAATCCCAATCGAACTCGCGCACTTCCACCGAAACTGGGTGACTGCGCCCTACTAGATGGGGATTTGTATGCAAAATGTCACTAAAAGCGCCATTTCGTTCTTATAAAAGCACGGATGACCGCGATTGGCCCATATGTTGTAGTCTTTTGGACGCTGAGTCGACTGGTTTTGGTCCGAAAAGGCTGCAATGCAGCGTTCCTCCTTTATTCCCAATCGAACATGGTTGAACACGCGGTCACGTGCTCCTGGGTGCCCAAATCACCTGGTCACCACGCCAGCAGGCGACAACTTTCACACCAAGGTTCAACTCGAGTTCAACTCGAGTGACAGGACTGCACCCAAAAAAGGTCAAAGTATGCTAACATGTATGTGTACATGGAGCAATTCATGAATAGGCATGAATATATTTGGGTATTGTGTACATAAATCAGTGAAATCCAGCCATATATGCACATAAACAATTATATCAGTTATCCAACATATCCAGTTATCCAACATGCCTGATTCCCGAAGTGGTCGGATAAGTGACATTCGACTGTATCTGCAAAGTGCACGATTCTAAGTTGAAGTGCTGTTTCAGGTACGGAAGAAACACAGCATGATAGTGCCTTCATAACTTGCCTTAGTACGGTATGCTCTGTGGCCAAGAAGAAGATCTAGATTCTATCGTTGTATCAGAGGCCGCCACTGCCAATTCCTGATGTCCTTCCGCACCACAGTGTGCGAGTGTAGATCACTGTGCTTGGGAATCTGCAGTACAATCGTGTACAAGTCGCTTCAATGATGGGATCACAGCATGCTCTGAATTTCTTCCACCCGACAAGTCTCGGCTGCTAGAACAGGAATGACAAGATCATGAACATGAATCAACAGTTTTCACAGCACTATATGTACACGGCATCGACATATCGGATCCATGCTGTGCATCGGAGGACTGGACTCTCTCCGTCCACGGAACTATACAACACCATCAGTAATGTATGATGCTTTCAAAGGACTACAGGAACGGCACCAATATTACTCTTACTTCCGACGATTCGACGGCGGAGGAACGAATGCTCCCGACAAGTGGCAAGCTGGTACTTAGTACCAGTAAACAATAGTCGCGGCTACGGAAGACTATGATAGTCATCCACAGAAAAGAGGTCGCGATGACAAATATAGATGGAGAAGCAACAATGAGCTTACCCAGTGATGCTCAGAAACTCCGTAGTCTCCTGGATCTACATGTACTTGGAAACCATGCATAATGGTTAACTTGAGTTGCATGGTTGCTCGGGTCATCGTGGCTCATGATGGTTGCTGTATCCCTCTGAATTCCGGGCCCGCAACGCCTGTACACAAGACATGGCAGGAAGCAAAGTGAACAGCATTGACCAATATGAAAAAGACATGACAGACAGAAAGAGTGCACCCCATAACAATATAATTATTATTTAACCACGAAAGGTCAATACACATTATAGATAGAACCGTCAAGGTACACAGGGGCGTCGCACACGGTACGGTCACTACGGTATTGACCGTACCACTATTTGACCCAAGTACCCCGTGAATCAATAAAATGCACTAATTTGGGCTCTAATTTTCCAAAATTTTCGGCTCAGCCACCCCTCCCCCACGAGTGAATTGTACTTCAGATGGCTGACCATACCACACTAAATTACCTTCCGACGCCCCTGGTACATATAGTATTTCAGTATGCATGTACTCGGCAGGAGAAAATGCACTATTCTTACCGGAGAATTACTCTATTGCTCGCAGATGTAGCAGAATGTGTGCACGGGTTACTGGTAGTGGATATCGTATGCCTGGTTCAATAAAGCCATAAATGACCAGCTAGCCGATGGTTGAGCAGTGTATCTTTGGCAACTCTCTCTCTCTCTCTCTCTCTCTCTCTCACACACACACACACACACACACACGAGCCGGAGAACAAGCAGAAAGCTCTTTACTAGCCCTTGGCGGATTATGCCGGCATAATATTTGGCATAATATACGGATTCCAACGTGTATTTAAGGTCGGCATAATCTTTCGGTTAGACAAATATTTTGCTTAGGGGCATAATACAGCTTTGTCAGAAAGCCTGCAGATGTTCTTTTTTTAAATACCCCAGTTACGACTCCTTGTCATAGCCCTTGGCGGATTATGCCGGCATAATACTTGGCATAATCTTGGGATTTCGTCAAAAAATCATGCTGGCATAATAATATACGGATTCCAACGTGTAAGGTCGGCATAATCTTTCGGTTTGGACAAAATTATGCTTAGGGCATGGCCGTGTGTGTATGCGTGGTTTCTCAATCCTCTATGTACAGCGTGAATACATAGTGGAACCGAGCATAATTCAGCATAATTCAGCATATTTGTTGGCATCATTGTGGCATAATCAAAAGCATAATTTGACGATTGGCCGAGCATAGTCCGCCAATGGCTACTCTTTACAACAAAAGTGCGGGTACCAACGAAAGCCACGCATGTCTTCTCATGAAACACAACACCACTACAGAACAGACCTACACAAACGGTGCCGGTACCCTTTCCCATACCAAACTACATCATCATAGACTACGCATGCATTACAAAATTAATACAATTAATTATTACAAGTACATGAGCGCTAGAAACCTACATGAAACGAAACGCGTGAAAAGTTTGGTGCGGCTTTGAGTTTGAGAGCACATCTGCTGATCTTGCCAAACGAGCTCTCCCCGAGGTCAAAGGCCGAAAGATCAAGATGAGGAGACTGAGTAACACGTTAGTTGACCATGTCACAGTGACGGTGAACGCTACAGTCACCACACTGCAAGGTGTCGCCAGAAGTCGGTTCGTAAAACGTCTTCAGCGTGGCGCACTTTGTGGTGACTCTTTCCCCTGGACATCGGAAAAGGGAAGGAAACGACCGAATTCTGGGGAAAAAACACTTCTAACACACAAAGTATCCTGTTATGTTCCGAAGGTACTTGCCGATTCGTGTGTCGAAAAAATTGGTTTTCAACGAATCTCGAAGTACAAGTCATGCAGTTAGGACAAGTTTATAGTGTCGATGCTGTTTAGGAGCCTAACGCATTCACCAGCAACTATACATGCAAGCGAAGCAGCATGCTAGCAATATTCGTCTTACCTAGCCGCCGTCCGTTGTTCTTTTCAAACTACAGTATAGAGCACGTTTTCAGAAGAAGAAGTAGTATCTGCTAAGAACCCGCCAATGCCCCGGGCAATGGGGTATTCATGACCAGGTTACCACAGCTTCATTCTACACACCCGTAAACTGTCGCCGTTTGGAGCTCGAACGAAAGAACGTCGAAGGGCAACATGTTCAACATGCAAAGACGACTAACGGTCGTTCTTCCCGAGCATGCGCGCTAGCCCACTACGAAGCGCCTGCAGCTTGACCCCATGGCCCACGCCCTAGGCCCTATGTCACGAGACTGTGTGGTCAGTCTAGTCCCTTGAAAACGGAATCCAAGTGAAATCGCCTTGGCGGGAGAAAACGTCGCCGGGCCCGGGCGTTGGACTACTACTGTAACAGTAGTAACAGTAAGACTAGTTACTGGTAAACAAACAAACAAACAAACAACTGGTGAGAAAAAAGCAAGCCGTTATACTTATAAGGAAGAACTACAATGGTGCGAGAAATAGCAGGGAAGTGATACATGTACTGTAGAAGATAACAAGTAGTGTAAGGTGTGACTGAGGAAATGTGAAGGAAGTGTGAAGGAAGTGTGAAGGAAGTGTGAAGGAAGTGTGAAGGAAGTGTGAAGGAAGTGTGAAAAGGAAAGGTGTTACAGTAACACCTTTCCTTTTCACATTTCCTCAGTCACACCTTACACTACTTGTTATCTTCTACAGTACATGTATCACTTCCCTGCTATTTCTCGCACCATTGTAGTTCTTCCTTATAACGGCTTGCTTTTTTCTCACCTTCCCCTCCTCATGTTATTTCTATAACTGATACTTGTAAGTTGTAGAACCTTCCAAGTAATAGTTGGAAGGCTGTTGGAGTGCGCATCCAAGATGTGCTAGAGCTAATAATAGCCAGTTAGTTAGTTGTAGAGCGTCAGTACAGTCGGTCAGTGTCCTGCAATGTTATCGCATGAGCTGATTGTTTAGTAACTCACTGGGTCACCCGGTGGTGTTAGTGGACAACAGTGTAACTTGTAGTTTCTTGGTCCTTTTTTCTTTTACTATAAATTTATCCTTGGCTCTCCATCCGAGTCCATCCGTTTACACTGGTAGCAGAGGATGGTTGTGCTCAACTCAACCAAGTTGCTGATCCCGCTCATCGTCCTGGCCTTGTGTGTGCCGGTGTGTGTGCGCGCGCGCGCGTGTGTGTGTATGTGTGTGTGTGCAGTACATGTGTCATTGACATTCACAGTCAGGTTTTGTGGACGACTCAGTGTATACGGCCCGGCAGCACCCTCCAGTCATCAGATACTGCGCGGCCATATTCCGGAATTCCAGTTGATGAATCAATTGATGATAATTACATAGAAGGGGCCACTGGGCATTGTGGGCAACACACAACTAACCCAGGTCAGCGTTAAGTGAACATTGCACAGTACTGCCTTACACAACACCATTACTGCCACCCTCAACACCATCATATTTATCACAACACACGAGCTGTTTTGCATGTGGTTGGCAATACATCCCTGCTTTGGCTAGATGCAATATCAATGCGAAATTGGTAATCCAGGTACATGTATATGTGCACAGACTGCACAGCACGCAATCCAGCTTTTCGTTTTGGAAAATGTGCGGGCTCAGTTACAAGCAGATACAACAACCGGCGACTGTAGTCCTGAACAGCGTTTTGCTCACTGCTCTGGCATGTATTCTGTGACATTCACACCACTCCAAACAAACGTCCAGGGCTTCACAGGCAACACGAAAACACCAGGAAACATGCACCAGACCACTCGTGACACCGCATTGAGAGTAGTGCCGGTACAGAGATGGGAACAACTGACATCCATGTTCAAAGTTCTTCTTCACGCACGCCAATGTAAAACAAGACCAGCTTGAAGTCACATGATTATTATTGTACTAGCAGTCACATCATGTGTTAAGACAACGTGAACATCCAGACAGGGAAGAGAGAGACAATGAATAAGACTAAACATCCAGCCGTGACAGGAGGACACCACGAAAAAAAAACTAAGCAAAAAGACATTCACCTATACAGAAAGATACACTGATAGATAGTGACACATGTTACTGGCGCTTGGTGCACTCAGGTGGAACGTTGAAGGATGTTGCCGGTGGGTCAACGGCCTTGAAAGATGTGAACTCATAACCAATGACAGTCTTGCCCTCCTCACGCTCAAAGACGTATGGAACGTCGGGCGTCTCCGGCTTCACTCCGAGAATGAATGAGAACTCGTCGTGCTTCAGGACAAAGGCACGAGACAACACAGAATCAAGAAGAAAAGTTTAGCAAACATACCATATGTGACAAAATACTGAGCACAAAGAAACAAGATGCGCTGCATAAGCTGGTATTAAAGGCATGCATACAATATTATAATTATCCAATGAACCTGTGCTACACCCTATCCGACAAGTGCGTGGTGCCGTATTTCCCCGAATATAAATTGCACCTTTTATACTAAACTTCAAGGGAAAAGAAGGGGATGCGACTTACAATCAAGCATGACATCTACGTAAAGTGAACTATACTGAACTGTTATGGCTCAAACCTGAAAACAGAGGTACTTCGGACTTAATATCGAGTGCGACTTATAATCAGGGAAATAAGGTACAACCCAGCACACTGAACTATTTTTGAAACTTTGACCTATGGATAAAACAGTATCATCAGGATCCCTAGGTGTATCTATAGCCCAGGTGTGTGATTTGGACACGTGCAATGACTCTCCGGCCAAGAAGGGGTGAAGTAGGTGCCACAGAACAAAATACACTCACCCTTGCAGCCCAAACTTGAACCTTGACACCAGCGGGAGTGCTATGCTCTCCTTCGTAGTGAGCGTCCTCGAGCCAGCCAAACGGAGCGTGGAATTCACCAAGAGGATGCTCTTCACAGTCAGTGCTGTTTCTGCAACATCACAACACAAAAGCACGTACAGCACTAACTTATGCCATGTGATCTCAGAAGGTTAAAAGTGCAGTGTGCGCATGTGCCACGGATCGGGTATTATTGGTGGTGGAAGTCAAATCACATGGTAAATAATGTGTCCAATGCAAGCTCAGCAATATTGATGCATTGGCTACTAGTTGTCAGGGTTACACGTGACACCAGCAGTACGGGCGCTGAGTTCTTTGGAGTCTTCGTCATGCATGTATTGTTGAAAGAAGTGAATGTTTTGACATCAACTGTAACACACATGTACATTTCAGGGATCAGATTTCTTGCCACTACTGTACGGGACTTGTAGAACACTTGATTCATTTTATGCTCAATACTAACGTGACTTACCCCATGATCAAGTATCAATACTAATGTGACTTACCCCATGATCAAGTACTCCTTTTTCTGCAGTTTCATAACATACATGCACGAGGAGAACAGAATGAAACCATCAATCAGTACAATGTCATATTATTCTCTGAAGAGAGCAGAAGAACTCTGACCTGGCTGCCTAAGTTTGAGCAGTCACAAGTACGCAGATACGACAATCCAGCAGGGCTATCCATAGGCTATGTTTGAGCAGCCACACTGAGTACGATACGACAATCCAGCAGGGTTATCTATGTTTGAGCAGCCACAAGTATAGTACGACAATCCAGCAGCTGAGCTCTGTCACAGATTCGTGACAGGTTAAAAGTCAAACACTGCTCAGTCTTCTAAAATGATGTGCACAATGCATGCTACGCCTGATTCAGTGAGGATATTGCCTCAAGAAAGTACAGTACATTATACCTACCACTGCTACATGCATTGCAGGGTGATGCCGCACATACATGTGCGTGTAGTCATCTCACGTTAGCAGATACTGGAGCATGTATATAGCACTACTTTACTGTGAAGATTGCAATATTCAAATGTGTGTGAATGAAAGGGAGCAGCTACACTGTGGAATGTGCAAGAGACTACTATGGTTTGATATGGTTGACGCTCCATTCACCAAGTACACCAGACCATCCAGCTTACACAAACCATCACACAAACAGCCTACGGCTTCCCTGCGCTGCCCAGACGCGTTAGGTGCAAGTACAGGCACTAACCAAATCAAAGCGAGCCAGTCGGTACGAGCGGAATTTTCCTTTGTCCAGTTCGCTAGTTTCCAGTTCCCTCATATGTGTGGCGTCGCTGTACCAACGACCTTGTAAAGTGAGAGAGCATTTAGACAATTGAGAAAGAAACATAGTTATAAGGCCAAAACAAAAAATAGGCTTGTTTCCGGTCGGCAACCCCTCAAAAAGGAGACTCGGTCGGCCGGAATGAAACTTTTTTTGGATATTTTTTTGGTTCCTCAATCGTTGTGGTATTGATGGACAAGAGCACCTACACATGTACATTGTACATATATCATGGCAAGGATCAATGTCAAAGTTGACTGACTCACTGTTCTTGTACAGCATGTGGTGTATTCCTGTTTTCGTACATCCTGAGAAATCAAGCAAACACTTCGAGTCCTTCCAGCTCCGTTATTCTAGCTCGTATCGACCCCATAGGTTTTCGAGCCGACAGCTGAGAATCTCTGCTACCTTGTAGGTGTTTCGATTATGGAATTCGGTTGAGATTTGACTGAGTTATGACTCGTTGAGTGCACTTGCACACATGGCATTGCCACCGTTTGTATACATTTGGGAGCAAAAAAAAGTTTCAGAATTTGGGAAAAAGTGGCCCGGTCGGGCGACCGGAAACAAGGTCATTATTTGTTTTGGCCTAATATAATATTCGAGTCCTGGCGGTGACAGTCAAATTTTCTTCAGACTTTCCCCGTTTGCATCTCTCCCTCAAACAAATGAAAATGAGGTATGATAGTGCTAGCCACTACTTTACTTTTTACTTGTCACGCATTTTACCAGAGATGCTGCAGGATGAAAGCCACAGAATGGTCAGGAAGGTGACCAGTTTTCAGGGGTGGGGTGAGGTGTACAACTAGCACAAGAGGATCATGCAGCTAGTTCAGTGCATTCGCCTACTGTCCGCCGGCATAGTAGTAGGTAGAATCCTAACACACCTACATCAGCTAGTCTTCACTGCGGCCAGCCAGTAAGCATTTCACTGCGGCCAGCCAGTAAGCATTTCATCAAGAGATTCGTATTTCAGAGCATCGTGTCTAGCTCGGCATAACACCTCTTTCCGAGTTGAGGTTGCTCACCCCTTGCAACACATAACGGTCAAGAAGAGATAGGGATGGGAGGCAGTGTAGCACGATGGCTCGCCGAAAGACCAAGCGAATATTTTGTACACGGAGGTGGGTGTGAAAAGGGACCCGGTGAATACGGATATCGTGAGCAAGTACCAGCTATGGTTTGCCATAGCAACCATGGAATCACTTGATGCTGCATGCCTAGGGCGGTACGCGGGACTACAGCACTGGACTGCCTATCGTAATTGTCATCGTTGTCGGTAGGTTCCAATTTCCAGTGCTCCTAGTGGCATACTTTAAGTGACCCGTGACCTAAAATATGTGATTCCATCTAAGCTGTATATCCGCCCTATTTTCGCAAAGTAGAACAAGTCACAAAAACAAGTGATGTCGTAATAATACAATGATTGAAAAGTAGACAATAACGAAGTATTCACCCTAATTGTGCTATATTCCACATAGGCACCGGAAATTAGTCATCGCCGGAAAATGTGACCCAGGATGGATATAGCAAATTTCCATGCAACATAATAAATGGATACATCGGGCTCCAGAAGAAAACCAGCAGAGAGTGTTATGACAGTTGATTTTAACACTGCAGACTGCCTGCGGCATTGTACAGTGTGCACTGCTTACCAGTTCCATTCACGTCACCTTCACGACCGTGGATACGGACCATTGCCTGACAGAGCGGGGACATGCAGAACAGCATAAAGAAATCCTCTCTAAAAATTACTGTTCCCTTTTCAGAAGATTTGCCTACTAATGCGCAGGTCAGTGGCAGCATAAGAAATCAGCTCAAGCTGTCTGTCCACCTAGCACCCTAATCACAACGTGCCACACCTGTAGTTATTGTCAGTCTGTTTAAAAGTCAGCGTTGCATCAGTAACAGACTTGTTATCAGCAGTACCATTGTGGTGACACTCCCTCAACGAGCTCTCCACCAGGCCAAGCTGCGTACAGTTCTTCGCTGTGCTGCACTGATCCGCTTTGCTAGTCACATATTCACAAACCTTTCCTGCTGGTTGTGAGCTTTGCGGATTTTCAATTAAAATCCTACAGGTACATGTAGATGACCATCATGTATCATGATAAGTTATGATACCTCACAACATACACTGTATGTTATGAGCTATTTGTACTGCACGTGTACAGGATACGTGCACATGTAGTGCACACAGACCGAAAACGTTGCGTGTTGGCCGTTGCTTAAAAGGAAGGGGCACAACTTATAATATTTATTTTCACAAACAAGGCCGGTCTAGGCAGCTCGAGGTAGAGTGCTCAATGCACAACTGTGCAGAGCAGTATACAAACACAACAGAGGCGAAAGCCGCTGTGTAGCTGCAACTTCAAGTTTCACGCATTTCAGCGATCATAAGACAGCAGCACTTGCAAATGCTGCTGTCTTATGATCGCTGAAATGCGTGAAACTTAAAGGGGAAGTCACTGGACCAATGAATCTTACAATTCTCTCTCTCTCTCTCTCTCTCTCTCTCTCTCTCTCTCTCTCTCTCTCTCGTTGCTGCTGATCGTGATAGGTATAGGCAGCTTGTTTATCAGTGCAGTTAGGTTTTTCTTCTCTTTTTCTGTTCTTTATGATGCTGCTGCCTTATGACGCATATGGCGCCCCTACGACCAGAATGGTTATGGGTTATACCAAGAGTAGATAAACAAGAGTGTGGGTTGGCCCACTGCGGAATTTTTCGTTGATGTAATCTTTTCGACGACGCACGCGCTGCGAGTCTTTTGGAAAGTTTTCCCTCGTGCACTTGGCCTGGCTTTACACTACAAGGTCGCTGCCCAGCACGTGCTCTCGCACTGCTCTGCGGAAAATGTGCGTTTTTCTGAAAAAAGGTGACGTCAACAAAAAATTCCGCCGCGGGCGGCGGTATCTGCAGATTGTGCAGAAGAGATCCGGAGTTGCACACTCTTGACTTGTTGTTTATCTACTCTTGGTTATACATACATACATACCCCAAAATCAAATGTTCACCAGTTGTAGTCTTCGGGGTGCTGAGTCGAATGGTCTTGGTCCAAGGAAGCTGAGACGCTCTGTTCCTCCTTTATTCCCTATCGAACTCGCCACTTCCACCGAAACTGGGTGACTGCGCCCTACTAGATAGGGATTTGTACGCAAAATGTCACTAAAAGCGCCATTTCGGTCTTATGAAAGCACGGATGACCGAGATTGGCCCATATGGTGTAGTCTTTTGGACGCTGGGTCGACCGGTTTTGGTCCGAACGATGCAGCGTTCGGCCCTTATTCCCAATTGAACACAGGTGAGTAAGCGGTCACGTGCTTATGCGTACACCAGTCACCTGGTCACCTTGCCTGCAGGCTACAACTTACAGCTTTTTTAAGCACGTTCCTGTCACTCGAGCTGAACTATGCCATCGCCCTGAGCTGCATCTGCCATGCATTGACACCTTATCTACCGGAAAGCAACGTGTTCTGGGCACGCTCCAGTCGACTCGTGAGCTGCATGCCTAGACAGTTTTCAGACATTTGGCTGCGGCATCTCTTGGTCCATGCGAAGCCCTTGACAAGCCGTCCGATTTCCAGACTGCACGAAACCTTGACAAGCTGACGAGGGAGCAGAACGAGACAATGCGGCTCCTGATCGAGTCTTTCGGCTGTGACGGTGATAGGCGTGTTGACTCGCTACCGGACGGTCTGTGATGTGCTCTCTACCGGTTTTCCTGCCCAGCGATCAAGCCCCGAACGATCGCGAAGAATAAGAATAAGAACACTGGTGGTGTTCCACCTCCGCTTCATTGATCGCATCGGACTAAAAGACAACGTTAACCATTTTGTTCGGCACTCATTTGTTCTCTGCAGCCAATTGAAATGGCGCTTTTGGTGACATTTTGCATACAAATCCCGATCTACAACTTATAGTAGGGCGCAGTCACCCAGTTTCGGTGGAAGTGGCGAGTTCGATTGGAAATGAAGGAGGAAGAGAGCATCTCCGCTTCCTTGGACCAGTGCCATTTGACTCAGCACCCCGAACACTACAACTGGTGAAAATTTGATTTAGGGGCCTTCCGTAAATATCGATATTAGTAGGGCGCAGTCACCCAGTTTCGGTGGAAGTGGCGAGTTCGATTGGAAATGAAGGAGGAAGGGAGCATCTCCGCTTCCTTGGACCAGTGCCATTTGACTCAGCACCCCGAACACTACAACTGGTGAAAATTTGATTTAGGGGCCTTCCGTAAATATCGATATTTTTTCAAGACGATTTTTGTTCACGTCTCCCCCTCCCTCCCCCTCCCTCAAAACGAACATACACACGTTTATGCAGGGTATCGATATTTTTTAATGAAGTGCAATCTCCTCGCGAAACGTGACCAACAGGAACTCCAAATTCATCAAACACCTAGGTTTACATTGCCAGTCTCTCAACCTTGCCATGGCTGTATTCTTGGGTTGACTTTCACTTTGTGTAGGTCATCAACTGCATGTTGGGGTGTTTGCACAGTGCCCGCCCAAATTAAGAGATCGATATTTTTTTTTAAAGGACGAGACGAACAGGGACCAAACCCCCTCCCCCCCCCCCCCAACGAACAAAATCTTCTCTAAAAATATTGATATTTTGTGGACGACCCCTTAAAAATTTAAGGGTATACTTCCCTTTTAAAGTTACAGCTACTAGTACACGGCCTTTCGCCTCTGTTGTGTTTGTAATATTAAATTTTATTTTCATGTACCCGGGGGGCCCCCGGCCCCATGTCCAGTGAGTGGAGATGATCAGTGAGTGCGGCTGTGTGAAATGCGCCCGCTAGCGCTGCACTACAGTCTACTGAACTGAAGTACCATTCCGTCAGGGTTGATTTGAAAGCACTGGACTGGAACCCTACATTGGCTACAAACCATAACCCATGGCCGGCTCGACATACGCCTATGCAAACACGCTTTGCTAGCTAACTACTTACCATTGCCTCGAATGTGGATCCAATTTTCGGACGGGCAGGTTGTTGTGCCAAGGCCATGGTGGCCAAAGCGAAGAGCACTAGGCAGCGCATTGTCTCTCTTGTTGGATCACAAGCGGCAAAGTTTTCAGACTAGGGCTGGGAGCAGCACAACGATAAAGTGAACGGTCGCAGACCTCGAGGAGAAACACCTTCGAAGCTTTGTATAATCTATTGCCCAAGACCATCCGTGCTAAAAATGTGACGGCGTTCTCCGCCTACATCGTGCGATACCAACCATGTCGACCGCGTACTGGTACCAGTCGATCAGGCCGGCCCGTGTCACGTCGAGATGGGTAAAATCAGATCAGATCAGCGATGTATGACGGCACTAGCGAACACCTCTCTCTTCATCTGTCGAGTCGGCTAGTCACGAGTTGATCAGGAGCGAGGGCACGTGCAGCAAACCTGTCAACAGGGTCGAGTCATCATCACATGCCTACATGTAGTTCTACACATACATGATTGTCGAGTAGTAGATATCTACCAAGACTGGCAAGAGTACAATCATAACCCCCCGGGGTTATTGTACTCTTGTAAAATAATTTAATTTTACAGTACACGACATAACCTCACGTACTCTTAGTAAGTCTTACCAACTGCAGTGTAAGTGCAGGTACATCATACAGTCCAGACTCCAGTCGTGTAGGTCTCACTGACAAGACTACCTCAGTACCTGGCACAGATTCAGTAGACCACGCATATAGAGACGGGCTGTGCAAAAAAAAACTACTTTCATGACACCACTGCGTTCACAACAAAATGAGTGTTACATTATTTTGTGAGTACAATCCACATGTAATTATCATTCAGTGTCCAAGAGGAACTTCAAGTTCAAAGTATCATGTGTAAGAGTAGGTAAAACTATTGGTATCGACAGTTCGGGATGCACAAAGGATCTAAACATGATTGTATTCCATAGCACATTGATAAACCATTACCCCCAGTACCCCCTGAGAGGCAAAGTACATCATAACTTCGTACACTGATAGTGATACGGCTGCTGTGCACCAACGCGGTGGATCGTGCCTCAGGCACCTTCGTCAAAGGCCGGCCCGAGATAGCGAAGCTACAGTAGAAGCAATGACAATGCCACATTGTGTGCTGGCATTCAATGGGATAGAAACAATCAACAGCTTGCAAGGCTGTAGAACTGACTACCACAAACACACATACACACCATGTACCACCACACACAAACACACGCACGCACGCACGCACACGCAAACATGCACGCATGAGCACATCCAGACACATCCACGAAACATGCAGGTACACATTCGCAAGTACACAGCCGCATTCACGACGTCATAAAACGTACATGTGCTAGACAAGTCAGACCAGAGGAAAGCAAAAGTTTTTGAGAATGCAAAATCATTCCTGAAGCATTCACATAGGACTTCACTGTGTCATGCCTAATATGTTTCATAGACGAGTTTGCACAACTGGGTAAAATATCATGAAGAAAATGCATTCAATGGTTTTAAAGTATGAAAGCTGATAAAAAGAAAAAAAGACTTTTGGTTTGTGAACAGCTTGAGCTGTAAACAACAAGAGAAATGTGCCGAACACTCTCTGACGCTAAGAACAGTAAGACCTCCAAGTATCATGTACACAGCTCAACGAGGGCAGGAGCGAATGAACTAAAAACAAACACACACACACACACACACACACACACCAACAACAACAACTGTAACGATCATGGCAGTGGTGGCAACAGCAGTAACAGCAGCAGCAGCAGCAGTAACATACAAGCGGTGGCAGATGGGAGGCACAATGTGAGAGCCAAGCTAACATAGCTGCAGACGTTTGTGGATTTGACCTGGGAGTATATTTCATGAATGACTATTATTGATAAAATCATCGGTAAGATAATAATGAAGGAGGAGACTTAGACTTGCAGTCCAACAAATCATGTAAAAAAGCATACAGCAGTTGATAACAGCCACAGCCTACCACTCACTTTTAGCAGTGGTGGATGGCCAACAACAAGCTATGTACAGATAAACAGCAGGAATATATCCAATGAGTAGAGTCGATATAGAGTCAATGGCAATAATAGCATCAATGGCATGTGGAGCTGTGGTAGACCAGAGGTATTTCTAGATGCTAAACTGCAGTGCCCAGCAGAATGGCAGTGTAGAGAAAAGAGGCAAGCCGTATAGACAAGAGGAAAATAGTGACAGCAGTATACCCACGTTTGAAAGTGATCTATATACCCACGCTGGGCAACGTATCATCGTTGGCATACCCGGGAACTTTCAACACTAGGTGACTGCAGCAGCACAGCCTGCACGCTGAAACGCCATGGTTGTGTCTACGTTGGACCACGTTTCGGTGACTGGATCAAATGACTCCACAGAATCAAGACGATCAACACCATCATAGCCGCCGAATACGTAGATGAGACCACCGCAAACAACTGAGCCTGCCCAGGCACGTTTCATATGCATTGGCTGCACTTGCCTCCATTCATTTCTATCGCAGTCATAGCACTCCACAGCCTGCAGACACACAATAAAATTACAAAAATGGGGAAAAGGAGAGGATATTCTAGCGTAACTTGTAGCTCGTTGGTCCTCTTTTCTTCTTATAAATGAGTACATTGGGTTGGGATTTCACATCTGATCACTGTAGACGCCCCAGATGGATGATTAACAGGTGACATGGCTGACATCATTAAAGGGGAAGTTGTGGCAAAAATCAAAATTTCACCAGTTGTAGTCTTCGGGGTGCTGAGTCGAATGGTCGTGGTCCGAGGAAGCTGAGACGCTCCCTTCCTACTTTAATCCCAATCGAACTCGCGCATTTCCACCGAAACTGGGTGGCTGCGCCCTACTAGATGGGGATTTGTATGCAAAATGTCACTAAAAGCACCATTTCGTTCTTATAAAAGCATGGATGACCGCGGTTGGCCCATATGTTGTAGTCTTTTGGACGCTGAGTCGATTGGTTTTGGTCCGAAAAGGCTGCGATGCAGCGTTCCTCCTTTATTCCCAATCGAACATGGTTGAACAAGCGGTCACGTGCTCCTGCGTACACCAGTCACCTGGTCACCGTGCCTGCAGGTGTCGTGATCTGCATCCCGATGTACCACTTGTAGTGTAATGACTGCTGTCATGACTCGGCCTGGTCTAGTCGTGCATAGCTGACTCTAGTTACTCTTGTCCCCCACTGACATTGTGTTTCACCATTAGTACACTTTGCCTCTACTCTAGTCGGTGCATGAATAGCCGTTCCTAGGTTTACATGTTCCATCGTGCAGTCCGTAGTGCACGCGACATTCTCGGCTTGACTTCCGCTGCACTGGCAGCCAGCCAGTTATTATTCCTTTGTGATGGTAGAGAAAGGTTGTACATTGTCTTGGCTCGTATCCAGTAACTCTTTCGGAATGAGGGTACGGATTTGAGAAGTAAGTTGGAATCACTAACTGTAGTTACTTGTGTGACTGGATTGGTTGGGATTAGTAAAGTGAAACTCTCTCGAGACGTTTAGGTTGTGCGTCAATCGAGATATGGTGCTGTGACCAGGATGTCGTCACCCAACGAACAAACAACCTCTGAACAGGAACAGCCTGTCGAGTCAACCGGTGCAGCTGCTGCAGAATTACCGGTGACCCAAGCCGCTCAAACGAGCGTAGATCCACGAGCCGTGGATGGTACAGCGGATGAGTCCCATGAGGCCGGTAATGAGGACGCCAGCAAGGACCAGACCGATGGCACGGACGCTGGTGCAGGAGATTCGGAGCGGCTGCTAGTCTCGTCCACCCCCGAATACAAGCAGATGATCCAATCGAGGTCCAACATGAAGCGTCGACTGACGAGGGTGAGGCAAAAGATAAAAATTCACCTAGACCTGCCAGGAACTGATTGTTTCAGTGCAGACGCTCTTGGCCGCCTAGATGTTTCTGCCGCACGTTCCCTTTACGATGAGGCGTCCGGTTTGAAGTCAAACATCGAGGGTATCCAAGACAATATTAGACGGAGCTTAGAAGACGCAAACGAGGATAAGAAATTAGATGAACAAGACGCGTGGGAGAATAATTTCGAACTTGAATGCGTGTGTTTGCTGAGGCTCGCACAATGTTTACAACAATGCGACCACCATTCTCGCACTCAATATGAAGCTGAAGACGAACGCCGCACCCGACTCCGATTACTAGAAGAGCATGGGCCACGCGCGCTAGATGTTCTTGATGCGGCCATGTCTAGCCCTCGCAGCGGACCAAAACCAACATGTCATGCGTCGCCAACACTACATGCGTGGAGTGAGAAGAGTGCCGACACGGATATCGACACTGCTACTTCAAGTGCTTGTGACACTGTTGAGCCACCGCGACAGTCCCAATGTGAGTCGGCTGAACAGTCACACGCACAAAGTGCAGTGCTTCATGACATTGTACATGTAGTAGATGCAACTGAGTCTCCTGCCAGCGCAGCAAATGCACAGGAAACCAGCGCAGCAGTCAGTGTCAGAAGCCAACCAAGATCACCAGTGCCACCAGTCCCCAAACCACGTGTCAGGCATGCCATTGGCCCTGGCACTGGTAGAACTGCTGCCACTCCAGCAGTGCATGCGGTGCCCAGCCCAAGTCCCACCTATGGCAGTGGTGAGGAGGACAGGGCCTATGACTATGAGCATTACCTCCAGCAGGAGACCCAGGACAGACAAGCAGTACAACAGCTTCAGCCAGATGCAGAAACATTCTATCCACCAGACCATTCTGTCGCCGCCAGGACAGCCCCTCCACCAGCCACAACCTGGCCACGCGATGCTATTGCCCCACTGGAGCAAGCTCTTCAGGGCGCAGTTATGAATGTCGCCCAGGCTTTGAGCCAAAACCAAACGCCACAACACACCAGCATATCCGCTGCAGCCGGCCCAAGCTCCGTTGTGTTCAAGCTAAAACCGATGGAAATACCGAGCTTCGACGGGCAGGTCACCAACTGGCCCGATTTTTGGGACCTGTTTGAAACTGCCGTGGACAAACAGCCAATGTCCGATGTCGTTAAGCTGAGCTGCTTGAAGAGTGCCCTCACTGGCCGAGCTGCCCACACGCTCGCTGGTCTGGCTATCACCAACAACAACTATGCCACGGCCGTACAGCTACTGAAAGAACGATACGGACGGACAGATGATATTGTTGCTGCCCTGTATACCAAGCTGCAGCGATTGCAAAGCACATCGTCCAAACACCGTGATATCCGGAACACCATTGACAACATCGAACGGATACTACGACAGCTGTCTGCCATGGGCATTAGCGTTGAACAGCAGCCACTATTGGTGCAGCACATTTTGTCCAAGTTCCCTACGGAAGTACTCACCAAGCTAAAGGAATGGCGAACATCGAGCCATCAGTCGTGGACGGTCGCCACCCTGCGATCCGCCCTTCAGCGGTATGCCGAAATCCACCGGAATTTGCGGGAAGGTTCCGAGACTTCTGCCTCTCAGTCTTCAAGGACACCGGCCACACAGACACAGCACGGCTCACCAATGACCATGCAAGGAACTGGACACGCTCTTTCATCTCAGTCAACGCATAGTGCGCCTCCACGTCTATGTGTCTTCTGCAAGGGGACTCACTTCAACGACCAGTGCGTCACCTACAAGCTGGCTCGGACAAGACAACAGAAGCTCCGAGAACAAGGTCGTTGCTTCATTTGTCTGCGACGGAGCCATATGGCGTCCCAGTGCCCAGAGAAAACCAAGGCGTGTTTTCACTGCAGCAAGACCGGCCACAACCGAGCTATCTGCCCAGCCCATGAGAGACGTGAGCCCTCCAAAGGCAGCTCAAGGCCACAACCAAATGGCTCACAACCTGCCAGGGCCGTCTCCACACAGGGTAATGATGAGGAACTTGCAAATACGTGCTCCGCCAGTCTCGTGTCAGAGGGTCCCAGCGACAAGACTGGTGCAGTATTCCTCCAGACAGCACAAGTGCAGATTCAAGCTGCCGATGGTAGCTTTATCACCGCGCATGCGTTACTGGACACCGGCAGCAATCGCACGTACATGAGTACCCAGCTCAGCAAGCAGCTTCAGCTGCAGCCGGAGAGACAAGAGTCATTGACCCTCATCACCTTTGGAGTGACACACCCACGCAGTGTTGTTACATCGGTCGTTCAGACGTCCATCTCACTGTCCGACGGACAGAGGTACCCCATCAAAGCGAATGTACTCGACACCATTACACGACCTATCCGACGCTACCCTCTTCCATCTGAAGATGCGGAGTTCCTGGCAGGCGAACCATCCATTCAAATGGCAGACACCATACCATCAACAGCCGAGACGAGGGCCATTGACATTCTCATTGGTTCTGATCATTACGGAAATCTTGTGCAAGGATCACCGCAGCGTCTACCGTCAGGTTTGTACGTGATGGATACGCTCTTGGGTCACATCGTCACAGGACAGTGTTCGTCCAAGTCGGATGACAGCAACAGCTCAACGCTTCTTGTCATGACGCAGGCAAGCACCGGTCTACAGCGTCCGCTATATGACTACATGGCAACCGCCGACTCTGCTCTGCTTGCTGAAGTCGAACCAAACCTGACGGAGTTTTGGTCGCTAGAAAGGATCGGTGTGGAGGACCCAGCAAGTCTCCCAACAGATGACGACACAGTTCGACAGTTCGAGGAGACCGTCACGTTTGCCGACGGCCGCTACACAGTCCAGTTTCCATGGAAGCCCGACATGCAGCTTCCACACAACAAGGACCTAGCCTACGGAAGGATGAAGTCACTGGGGAAACGGCTTGCAGCAGATCGAGACCTGCTGACCAGGTACAACGACGTGCTGCTGCAGCAGGAACGGCTTGGCATTATCGAGCGAGTCACAGAGAAAACCAAGTACGGTCAACGCTCGCACCATCTGCCGCACCATCCAGTGTTGTCTCCTTCGAAGGCTACCACCAAACTCCGAGTGGTCTATGACGCCAGTGCGAAGATCAATAAGACAGCACCGAGCCTGAATGACTGCCTGAATCAAGGGCCGTCCCTCCTGCCTAGCCTCTGCGGCATTCTGCTACGATTTCGCCTGGCCCCGATCGTGCTAATCTCAGATATTGAGAAGGCATTCCTGCAAGTAAGGATTCAAGAGACAGACCGTGACGTCACCCGATTTCTGTGGTATTGTGACATCACTAAGCCGGACGTCATCGTGGACAACATCGAAGTCTACCGGTTCTGCCGACTACCATTTGGCATCATCAGCAGTCCGTTCTTGCTGGATGCCACAATCAGGCATCACCTTGACAAACACAAGACAGCCACAGCAGCCGAAATTCGCAAGAACATCTACGTGGATAACATCATGCTGACGGCTGGTACTGCAGAGGAAGCCGAGGTCAAGTACCGCGAGACTCGGCAGGTGTTCAACTCCGCGTCCATGAATGTACGTGAGTGGTCGTCCAATGACCCTGCTACCTCCTCTGTGTTTGACCCGAGTGTGACGGCGACGAACACGAGCCAGAAAGTTCTCGGCCTGCAGTGGGATACCGTCGCCGACACATTCCACATTCCAGGTGTGAGCTCCGAGTCGCCTGACGTCGACAGCATAGCATCCAAACGGCGTGTTTTGCACAACGTAGCACGCATTTATGATCCACTCGGACTCTTCAACCCAGTAGTGTAACATTTTGCTGGCCGGAGTGTCGTGATCTGCATCCCGATGTACCACTTGTAGTGTAATGACTGCTGTCATGACTCGGCCTGGTCTAGTCGTGCATAGCTGACTCTAGTTACTCTTGTCCCCCACTGACATTGTGTTTCACCATTAGTACACTTTGCCTCTACTCTAGTCGGTGCATGAATAGCCGTTCCTAGGTTTACATGTTCCATCGTGCAGTCCGTAGTGCACGCGACATTCTCGGCTTGACTTCCGCTGCACTGGCAGCCAGCCAGTTATTATTCCTTTGTGATGGTAGAGAAAGGTTGTACATTGTCTTGGCTCGTATCCAGTAACTCTTTGGGAATGAGGGTACGGATTTGAGAAGTAAGTTGGAATCACTAACTGTAGTTACTTGTGTGACTGGATTGGTTGGGATTAGTAAAGTGAAACTCTCTCGAGACGTTTAGGTTGTGCGTCAATCGAGATAGCAGGGTACAACTTACTAGCCTGTTTGACCTTTTTTGGGTGCAGTCCTGTCACTCGAGTTGAACTCGAGTTGAACCTTGGTGTGAAAGTTGTCGCCTGCTGCTGCATGCTGGCGTGGTGACCAGGTGATTTGGGCACCCAGGAGCACGTGACCGCTTCTTCAACCATGTTCGATTGGGAATAAAGGAGGAACGCTGCATCGCAGCCTTTTCGGACCAAAACCAGTCGACTCAGCGTCCAAAAGAGTACAACATATGGGCCAATCGCGGTCATCCGTGCTTTTATAAGAACGAAATGGCGCTTTTAGTGACATTTTGCATACAAATCCCCATCTAGTAGGGCGCAGTCACCCAGTTTCGGTGGAAGTGCGCGAGTTCGATTGGGATTCAAGTAGGAAGGGAGCGTCTCAGCTTTCTCGGACCAAGACCATTCGACTCCGCACCCCGAAGACTACAACTGGTGAAATTTTAATTTTTGCCTTAACTTCCCCTTTAACAGTTTCTACAGCATAGCTACTGGAAGACTGCCCTATCCCAATAGTCATGTTGCATACGAAACAATTATCATCAAACGGGAATACTCACCTTGTAGTATATGCTCTGTGATCGATTGCGCCCACCACATGCATATATGTGTCCGTTGAGTGCACAAACAGCAACTCCAGACCGTGCCAACGTCATGCTCTTGCCCAGAGTCCAGTGGCAGTCACTTGCATACTCTCTCTCATCCTTGACCTCATTAGGTGGTCGCAAACACTCCACAGACCTGTCACACAAACAAACAAAACAACATTATGAGCATCATCATGATCTGCATCAGCAGCAACAACAAAAAACTTTTATAATAAAGATTTATAACAACACAGACAAACCCAAAATCAACGCACACATACAAGCACATGCAAGTGTGCGAACACACACACACACGTGCACACACATGCGCACACGCGCACACACATGCACACACACACGTGCACGCACACACACACACACACACACACGTGCACACACATGCACACACACACACACACACACACACACACACACACACACACACACACACACACACACACACACACACACACACACATGCACACACACACGTGCACGCACACACACACACACACACACACACATGCACACACACACATGCACACACACACACACACACACACACACACACACACACACACACACACACACATGCACACACACATGCACACGCGTGCACACACGCATGCTGGCATACCCATTCATGCACAAATGATGACAAAGACGATGAGAACAACACCAATGCCAACAGCAGAAGCAACAGTGACAGAATACTTTGAAGTAGTAAAGGGCACCCTCAGCAAAATACGTTATTCTGAACTTCAGCTTTTTTGTTAACGGTACAGGCAGTATGTGTACTGTGGTAGGGTTGAATACAATCATGTACTTAGTCCGCCCAGTTACAATTGGCGCTTATCTTCAGACTTGTCTCAGGAAAAGAAATACGAATATATGAAGCAAGCCACGATCACAAAGCACTATATACATGGTTATTTACATGTCAATAAGCAACCCAGTCGAAAATTCAAGCAAGTTACACATCCTCCTCGCCGCTATCGTCGCTGGAGGAAGAGCTCAAAACGTCCGATACGGACAGCAGCTGCACGTGTCGTTTCATAGCTTGTTCCACTTCTCCCCGTCTCGAATCACGCTCAAAGGCAGTGCGTGCCTGTCACCTTGCCGATCAGAAGCTGAGTGAGACTGCCGGCATGTTGACTGTAAGTGTTATCCCCGTTCGTCGCAATAATGCGTCTTTGTTTGAGACAAAAAGGCAACGCCATATCAGTGTCCTTTTTTCAAATCGCCTCTTGCGCTTGTCGTACTTGCTGATCAGTACCCACGCGAGCCGCTGGTGCTTGTACATGCAGCGCAGTGATAGCTTCCGCTTGATGTAGCACCTACAAAGTCCTAACGCCGTGCACCAGGCTTTTCGGCTAGTTTCCTGAAAGTCCTTTGCACGAGTGTTTCCCTCAGGACTTGGTGTTTTCTTTGATTAGCTCCTTTGCCCTGTCCTCTGTGAGCTTCAAAGTGTGTCCGCCGGATTGGTCCCACTTACTGGAGATGTCGACATGAGGTGCAGTTTCTTCGTCAGCGATTTGCTGGTGATAGCCCTTCACTAGGCGCTGTACTGTGCAAGCACTGAAATTCAAGCTCGCGAAGCGCTTTTTCAGCTTTTCTATACCTCCCCGGGGTAAACAATCCTTGCCATCAGACAGCTGGAAGAAGACAGAAACTATATTCTCCATCGCTCTGAAATGCGAACATCCTGACCTATTTTACGGACTCGAGCGGAGGTTGCAGTGTTTTCTTGCGCTGACGGAAGTGTTTGTCGGCGGTAGCTCCGTCAAAAAGACTCGAACGAACCGATCGCAACTTCTGTGATGGTTTCTGCTGCCATGTCGTGGGATGCAATGGTCAATGGTTATGTTCGAATGGTGAATCGGTGGTTCCATGCCATGTGACACAGGCAGAACACCGAAAAACCAAGTGAAAAGATAAGCGCCAATTTTAACTTGGCGGACCAAGTACATGTATGGAACCTTATACTATAGGCCAGTACGCAAGAGAGCGGACACTGCCTTATACGCACACGCATGTGCCGAAACTAGTACAGCTACTTACATGTGATAGTTCTCAATAGCAGCAGTGCAACCACCCATGACGTAGATACAGCCATCCACAACACAACAGCCCGGACCAGATCGACGCATATTCAAGTGTGGACCCTCAAACCAGGTGTCCTTGGCCGGATTGTAGATTTCTACACTGAGTAGACTGTAGTTACTGCCATCCTCTCCACCGATGACAAAGATCAAATCTAAAACAATAAATACAATGGATAGCAGGCACACGTGTCTTAGGCCATGCGTGTCTCAAGACCACCAGTAACACCTAGCGCTAGCACACTCTAAGTAGGGGTGAAACGAGTACATGTATGTCGAATACTCGAGCACTCGCTCGAAAATTTGAAAAGAGCGAGTACTCGTTTCGCAAAAAATATTACTCGAAGCATACTATGCACTACTGTATGCATGTACTTCCGTTACTCTGACCGGTAATGCACAACTCAGGCAAGCACGCCTACTGCGATCTCCGGGTCTGAAACTTGTGAAAGTCCTGTGCTTTTTGATAGTTGTGATAAGTGCTTCTACGAGTTAGTGTTGTCGTTGAAGCATGAGTTCTATCCGGCAGCCTTCATCCATTCCACCGGCAAAATCTGTCGTGAAACGGATGCAGGCTGGCGATATAACTCACGTTAAAGTATTGTGGCTTGTCCCTACTTACCAGCAACCGATATGTCGGACTATATCTTGCACTATCTTGCTGGCAAGACGTCATGTATCGGGTGCACTACATCCGGTGTTGCGAGAATGCGTGCAGTTTATTGCTTATGTTGTCAGTAAAATGTGCGTACTCGCTCGAATACTCGCTCGTTTTTCAAAGAGTACTCGAGTCCTCAATCATGGCACTCGCTTCACCAGTCTCTAAGGGCGCGTTCCAATTGTCCCCATCACCTTTTCGAGAAACATACTTAGTAAAAGAGATTAGTTGAAGTATGCCAATAGAACGGTTGTTGTCAGCCTCACAATTTCCTTGGAATTGGCATAGCAATGAGATTTTCCAAGCGTGCTATCCACGTGAAAATGGGCTTCCCTTACCGTATGGGCAAGTTTCGTTGTAGGTTCCAGGGGCGGATCAATGGGGGGAGGGGGGGGTGCGAAAGGTGAAACTGTGACGGGGTTATTTCCTCTTCTTTTTTTTTACTATGGTGGCAGGCCCTCATGGAACAGTCTACTTATGTTCATGTGACTGACTGGGAGTAGACCTTGGCAAATACAGTACACTATTGTAGTATACTAGTAATGCTAAAAACTGGCAGATTCTGCTCGAAAAGCATTGAAAATAGTAGAACCATACACAGCTTATGGCAAGAAACTCCTCAAACTGTGTTCCCTTGCATTTTCCGGACACCAAAAATACTTGAAACATACCAGACGAAATGCCAAATTCCGCCGTTTTTTTCTGCCCAGGCTATCTGGTATTGCTAGTCAGGAGCGTCGGAACCGGTGATTCAATGAAATAATTATGGGCTATTTGGGCCCATATTTCCAAACATTTTCCCGGGGAAGGACCCCAAACACCCTGTCGTTTTCATAGCCACACCAATGAAAATGTACAATATAGTCAACCTACCCTTATAACGATAACCCCTATAACGATATCACCCTTATAACAATATTTTTCTGCCAAACCAAAATCACTCCATTGACTTTTGTATACAATGCCTTACCTCTATAACAATATTGATACATGTATAACGATATTACCTCTATAACGATATAAAATGCGCTGACCAATCGATATTTTCCATTTTATAACAATATCTAGCAGGGAGTATGTAGAGCCCACTATCCAGGTAGGGCAAGTTTCACTTGACAAGTCGCTGGGACATGCCGAAGTGCAATGGGGGCACCAATGGGCACCTTGCTATGTACATAATGTGCATGTACATCAGTTTTTTATGCTATGAAGATTGAAAACATGAACAAAATTCGTGCATTATGACCTATGTGTATGAAATGAAGCAGTTACCCTTATAACAATATTTCTTGGTCTGACGCAAATATCGTTATAAGGGTAGGTTGACTGTACCTTTTAACACCCCTGGCAGTAATAGTATTTTGCCTCATACGAATAGCATTTCTGGGGTCAATGCAGGCTAGAGACCAACGTACAACAGAGAAAACAGCACTTCTCCTGTTTAAAAAGGTTTTCATGGCCAAAATATTTGTCATGATATTTTCTGCACCCCGCAGGCCTGGATCCGCCCCTGGGTTCTAAGGGAAATGCATACAAAAGGCAGTTTTCGCAGGGATATTCCAAGCTCCTCTAAACTAATCCACCACTCCCGTTGGATGAGGTTGTGGAGTTTCGAGGAGACTTTCGTTTTCTGAAGAGGCCAATAAATAACCCACCTCTTCAGAAAAACAACTCCTCGAAAAGTCAAAGAGTGGTAATTCGAACGCCCCCTAACTATACTTCCGCTCCCTTTCTTCCTCTCGCAATTGCTAACTTCTGTCCGTCTGTCGTTCCTCTATTGCGGCGTGGATTGACTTGCTCAGTCTTCAGCAAATACTAGAGTGGGTGGGTGCAAAGCAGGAAGAACCCAGGTGAGAAGAAGAGGTGGTGGAGGGAAGGGATTTGAGTGGTGGTGAAAGACCATGTATAGAGAGGCACTGAATGGAAAGACAACGCATATACATGTACCTACCGTTCAATACGGCTGATGCAGCGAACGAACGACTGGTCTTCAATGGTGCAACATTATCCCACACGTCGCTTTTAATGTTATAGCGCTCGACAGAATTCAGGTAGGATGTACCATACTGGGAATACTGAGTCTCGCGTTCGCCACCTATGGCGTAAATAAATCCATTCAGCTGGGCAACTGTCACTGCTGTCCGTACCTAATCAAAGGCATAAACAAAGTATAAATCAATGACCCAGACGGTTCAACATAAATTGACAATGACCATGCGACACCAGCAAAACTGGTTGGGACAATGGAAGTGCTGCCCCCCCCCCTCCCAAAAAACCCGGCATGCCTCTCTTCTAGAGTTCAAAGTGGACAACTTCTGAGAGCTAGAACCAAGAGTTTCTATCATCCCACTGGAAAACCAAGACAGGATGAAATTCAACTGAAGGCTTTTGCATGCGGATGCAGTTTTTGGCGCTCCGCCCAAACGTGAGATTTTGACTCTTTTCGTAGTTCAGTGAGCCCTTGGCTCCCGTGGATTCACGGAAACGAAGATGAATGTTGAAATAGACCTAGCCCTGCTCGGCTTTGACAGACTGAGAGAGCTGGGACGGCAACAGGGTATTGCTGGATGCGATGGCCTCGGAAGACCGGAACTTGTCTGTGCGCTGCGGGACGCTGGCGTAGGATCTCACTGGACCTGCGGCAGTAAGTCGCAGTCTGACACACTGACTAGCCTAGTAGACCAGGTCAGTTGTCTCACCAAGAAGCTATCCTTGATCAATGGTTGATAAATATGGTGGTAAAGACACACCTGGCAATATGGCGGTAAACACACGCCTGCCCACACACGCTCTCTAGGCTGCAAAGTTCTGGCACAGAGCTCTCCTTCTCACCACCACCACCATCAGTTCGCGCCTGGCGCCTGGTCGATGCATGGCTGGTGGTATCCGGCATAGCAGGCTGGTACATTAAGTAGCGCATGGCACATAGATGATGACACAGCAACGACATAGCTCGATTGCGACGTACGTTTCGTCCCCGCTGGACTCATCGGGCAATCTTCTTCTTGGATGTCTTCATACGGAGCTTGACTCGAGAGAATGAAATTGAAGACACCACAGCAGCTGTACTTATGGTTGATAAATATGGTGGTAAAGACACACCTGGCAATATGGCGGTAAACACACGCCTGCCCACACACGCTCGTGCATTGTCTGTACCCCATGACAGTTTGCAGAGCCACCACCCTGCACCCGGCTGGAGCTCTTTTTAAAAACGGCCCAACCTGCTATCTGCGTACAACCCCAGAACCTATCCACATCACCTAATGCAACCCAGACTGAAAACAGGCCCGCCAAAAACGGCACCCATCATCCCCGCCAAAAACGGGACCCATCATCCCCCATCACTGTACAGCATCACAGTACAGGCTGGGCACCCGGGACCAAATAAGGCATACGACACACGTACTGAGACCACCGTCCCTCAACACGAGTCACATCGTACTACGAGAGCTGACCAAAGCCCTCGGAACAGCTGTCAGGAGGGTCCCTCACGAAGTGTTGCGCCCTATATTCGGGCAATGTAAAGAGTGGATGCTCCTCCGACTCAATCGCCAAGTGGTGTACAAGACGAGAAATACAAGTGATAAAATGCTCAGTCTCCGAAACCAAGTATTCTGGAGTGGCATTCTCCCACGTCGTCATTCCAGCGGAACACAAGGAAGCAGCCCTCGGCCCACATTTCTGGCCTCCAGAGGTCACTGCAAGAGAATGGCGCTTTAAAGCCCCAAATGGCCACCGAAAGGATGGCAGCACACACAAAGTGTTCACCTCCTGTTAACCTCTTTAGCGCGAGCGTCGTACTAGTACGACGCACACGAGTTGTGTGTCTAACGCCCGTCGTACTAGTACGACACTGTACAGTGAACCTGCATCTTATAGTCGTGGGTCCGTGTCGAGTCCATAGTAGTTTGTTCAAACTATCGTAACTCAGTCAATACTAGGTCGATTCTCACAATCGAAACATGTATCTGCAAGAGAAAACTCTCAGCTGGGGATAGAAACAATCGCCGAAGCGATACGACTACCGCTTGTTGAGGTATGCAACTCGACACGGCAAATTTCAAGTAGATTTTTTGCGGAGTCTTGCAGAACGCGTATTTTCCATTTTGGATCATTTTGCGCCACCTGCTGCCATAGAAACCAGATTCAAATGATGGTAGTGGATCTCGTGAGTCCTCACAAAAAATATGAGCTCGATATGAGCAAGGAGACCGAAGTGGCAGCTCAATATTTGAGCTCGTTTAATCTTGGCCGTGCTCAAGTCTGTCGAGCGCGTGGATGAAGTTTGCCAGACTGTAGCACGAGGTTTTGGTTTCGCTCTGAGCTGGGTTTGTTCCTCGTCTCAAGACCTTTCCAGGAAGCTCAAGATCGTGGAAATCGTCCGAGAGAAGGCAAAGTTATCGATCCTTGAACAGCTAGTACTTTCATGGGAAAATGCGACTTTTACAGGTGTTGACGTGGGGTGCGGTCAGGTAGCGTCGTGCTAAAGAGGTTAAGGTCCGCTGCCCCAACCGCACCTCGTCTAAGGCATAATGCAGCGGTCTCTCAACCCTGCCTAACAACCCCTGGCTAGCGCATAGCTAAGGGAAATATATACCGTACTGGCAATATATGTTGCCGCAGTGAGGCCATGAAGCGTTACATTGGCACATGTTTGCCGCACGCAGGGCGTTACATGCAAAGTCGCACAGGAGCCGTTACACAGGTTTCTATATTGCCGCAGTCCTTTTTTTTTTGCATTGAGAGACTTCTGCATTGTCACAAGGAAACTGGTAAACACATCGCTCTTCTTCGCAAAACGACCTCGGGAAAGAAGAAACCATTGAGATCGCCAACCACTGAATGATGCTTGGGCCTTTTGGCGGTGCCGACGAACACGCTTTCTCGTTTGCTCACGAACTTTCTTCTGCTTCACTAAAACTTTCTTTGCACCATCAGCAGCAATCCTGTTTTTCGTCTCCTTTCTCTCCTCATCCTTTCCTTTTTCACTTTCCTTGGGCGTGATTTTCTTCACGCCGAAGGCGAATAGAGACTTCTGCATTGTCACAAGGAAACTGGTAAACACATCGCTCTTCTTCGCAAACTTGTGACGACCCCGGGAAAGAAGAAACCATTGAGATCGCCAACCACTGAATGATGCTTGGGCGTGATTTTCTTCACGCCGAAGGCGAATAGAGACTTCTGCATTGTCACAAGGAAACTGGTAAACACATCGCTCTTCTTCGCAAAACGACCTCGGGAAAGAAGAAACCATTGAGATCGCCAACCACTGAATGATGCGCCTTCGAGTGTCAGGACTTCCTGCTGCGTCCAGTTTTGAACTTTTCACCACGCGGTACACGTGCTTTCACAGTTTTCAGCCTTTTTTTGCAGTGCAAACTGCAATGAAAAGATCGCCGCACCCCGCCGGACGCGCGTTACGAACTCAACGAAAATTTGTCGCACTAGCCTGGTCGCGCGTTACGCCGCACCCCCCTGCGTTACGCGTTACGCGGCAACATATATTGCCAGTACGGTATGTAGCACTCAGTAGTCCACAAGCTCTCTATATGTGTTCACTCCTCTATATGTCATCACCTGTTTACGTCGTGCCTATATGGCTTCACTGCGACCGTTTCTCTATATAGCTCCAGACGCGACTTTCCCTATACCGTACTTCCCCACATATAAGCGTATGCGCTTATAAGCGAAAATTTGCTGCAAATGTTTGGCTGTGTAAACTTGTTCGGGTAGAAGCCCATGCGCTTATATGTGCAATAAAGGTCTGTCTGTGTCATAACAATGGTGTTATCACACTGCTTAGTGGTATATTCAGCTCCTGGATGTTTCACCAAGTGTTCACATATAAGCACATGCGCTTATGCCCGGACGTAAGTACATGCGCTTATATGTGCGGAAGTACGGTATATCTCCACTCAGGTTGAGACTTTATGTCATCATCTGTTTACTTTGTGCCTATATGACTTCACTGCGACTTTCTCTATATAACTCCAGGTCATTCTCTATATAACTCCAGGTCATTCTCTATATAACTCCAGACGCAACTTTCCCTATAATTATATCTCCACTCAGGTTGAGACTTTCTCTGTATGACTCCAAATTTTGGCACCATATAGCGAAGTTGCGTACGGAAAAAGCTATATAGAGACAGTGACGACAAATAGAGAAATGATGTCATACTGACTGACCATACAGCACACCAGATGTGACTTGCTTCGCCGAGACCATGAAGATATGCGCGAAGGGCAAGTTGAGCGTGAAATCACGCTGTACTTCAGGATAATTTTGGACACCTTTGCTTGGAGTTTTGACAGCCTATTAATCGTCTCAGAAGAAAACGACGTTACCATCGTGATTAGCAATCTCAAAAGTACAAAGTTAGGCAAAGAAAAATTGCGGTGACAGTTGCCTTTGAATGAAAGAAGCTCTAACTTTTCACTTGAACTATCAAGCTCACCTGCTTCATTGAGCCAATAGCATTCCAAGTGTTATTGCATGGATCGTAACGCTCACACGAATCCAAGCAGTGGGTGGCATTCCTGCCGCCAACAACATAGACTGCAACGGGTGGCAGGCGAACCTATCATAGTAGAAAAAAAGAGAAGAACAAAAAAACAGAAACATGCTCAATAGTCAATAGTCAATAGTCAATATGTCCTTCGAAATGCAGCCAAGATAATGTACAGTCAACTTCGCTAATAACAACTGCGGATATAACGACAATTCGCGAATAACGACAGAATTTCCATGCCCAGAGCAAAGTCACATCCAACTGTAATACATAATGGGACTTCGGGTATAACGACACTTCGCGAATAAGGACACTTTTTTGATGCCCCGCCGAGTGTCGTTATACGCAAAGTTGACTGTACTTAGAAACACTTCTACAGCTCCATCATCAATGAAGAATGTTGTGATCATGTACAAGCTACAAAAGAGAGTTGGAACGCATCTATTGAAGCTGAAGAATGAGAACTGCGGCATGAAGGTTAAAATGACCGGTGGTCTCAGTTGTCATGGACAACTGACAAACAACAAAACCAATACAAAATTACAAAATAACTATGGTCCGGCCATGAGTGGCAACCAGGAAGACTGCTGCTACATCTGCATGTAAGTGCACAACAGTTCTTATCGCTTTCAAGGTTGCACCTGAGAATTGCCCACACACGACTTACACAGCAGTGGCAAGCTAACCCCGCAACACAACATGAGGTCAAAGTTCGCTTGTCACCACTGTATATCCTGTAGTAGTGCAGATCATTAATTTTGTACACTACGTGTGCTTAAAAAAATCATGTATACCCTACTTGAAAAGTTTGTAAAAAATGCACAAACTAGCACATGACACTATTGCAGTGTGAGTGATTATGATGCTAGTGTGTCGTAAGGCTAGCCAGGTGGCCTGATATTAAATTAAAAAAACACTTCTCTCACCACATGTGCACAGATCACTCACCTTAGTGTGAGGATTCATATGAGCAGCTAGAACACCTTGAAAGAATGCCTCACAGTTTGGAGTGGATTTGATAAGCTCGGATGGAATAATGCTGGACTCGATGAAGCTCCGAGAGAGGCTGGGGAATCTGATACAGCGTAGCAGGTCGAGGACGTGTTTGGACCGACCAGCTCGGTCAGCCTCGATCCACATGATCAATGCATGATATATTCTCTCCTCGGATGGCACTTGCACAACTTCACTATCGAGTAGGCGAGTGACGGCATCAACATCACATGAAAGAAACTCCTCGGACGCAACAACGGCATCAAAATTCTTACAGGCAAAGTTATCAGCAGCCGCAAGAAGCTCCAGGAAGCCATGTGTGTCTGCAAAGCAATGTGTGCTAATACAGTTGTCAGGGGAGAGACGGGACTTCAAGAACAGACAGCAGGCATCTCGAACTTCATCCATTTGCAACAGGTTAGCAGCAGCAACAAGAGGATATACACTCTCAATTCCAACATCAAGCTCTCCAGTATAGCAGAAGTTGACGATGACTTCCATGGACTCCTCATCCACCTCATGCAGGCGGACTTCCTGTTGTCGACTTTCTTTCATCCCAGAGCACAGCATAGCACGCAGAAAGGGAATACTGCCAGCCATTACAACTCGGTGTACTGAAAACGTTCTAGCACCCACAAGTAGAGTTAAATCACAAAGCTCGCCACGTTGCCACATCTCCTTCATTGAATGCAGCGCCAGGAGAGAATGTCGTTCTGTCATTCGATATTGCTTGCATTCTTCCATTGCTTTGGATGCAGTGGTTATCTCCCGACATACCTTCTTCCTTGGAGGTTCACCTCTAGCACTCATGCTGTGTGAAGGAACTGGACCTGAACCTCAGAAATGAAGGTGTTAGAGTTACAGACACTACTCCATTATTCTCCTTCGGCTTTATAGAACTTGGTACTGCTTATAACTATTTCTCAGAGCAGGTGGCAGCTGCAGCAGGCCCAGGGTAGGGAATGCGAGCATGCGAGATAGCTTCAGAGTGGGCACTCGTAATTTAGAAATCTCAGTTTTTTCATTTCTAGTTCTCTTCGATCTAACAAAGTTCTGTGCTCGTTTCGTTGTTTGCTTTGCAATAAGTCGGAGGACGTTACCAACTTTACACCGAGTCTGACACAGCAACAATATAAAACGAGTGAGGATGATTGGAGTGAGTTCAAATGACAAGAGTCAAAATGAAAAACAAAAGAAATCTACTTGCATGACCTCAAAAAAAGTCTGTGCCTGATACAGTATTTTGTGGACAGCATACGTACATGATTTTTGTACTACAAAGTACAATGCTCAAGTCAAGAGTATTATACTCTTGGCAGTCTTGCTAGTCTTGGTATTATCAAGAGTACATAACCCCTGGGGTTATGTACTCTTGGTATTATCCACAGTATCATAAATGCATACCAGTACAGTCTGTATCGGCTATAGAGTGACCGGATATAAGAATATATCGGCTACAGTGATATTGGTACGAAATATCAAAAGCAAAACGTATTTTATCCAGTACAAATATCACTATAACCAATATTATCGGATGTAATGATATATCGGATATTATGATGGCAACATAGAATCAAAACATGCATAACACACTACATTATAATCGGCTATAGTGATAACTTTAAAATACATGTTGCAATAATATCAAAGGCCCTATTTTTTTTACTTTCTTCACGTTGCTTATTTTGATAGTGACACATGTACATGTACATAACAGAATTTTTTATGGAAATGCGGGCACTGTCAACTATGCAGCATGCTCATTTGTCAAAACGCCATGCTGGAAGTATTCCCTTGCCTTTCATGTGTCGCTCGAAAAAAATCGATCATATCGCATATAGTGATGCATCGGTTATAGTGATAAAATCACGGAAATCAAAAGGGTACGCTATAGCCGATACAGACTGTATGCTACTTTTGACGATTGCCAGCTCCCAGATAAGTCTTGCATGATCGATAATTATAATATTAATAGTTTACCAAGTATGGTACCGGTAAGTGTGTCTTCCACATTGTGATCATCATCATCAGGCGCGTGGCACCGCCGTTGGCGGTGGTCCGGGGGGATGCCCCCGCGGAATTTTTTTGAAATTAGGGTGCAAAATCCTGCATTCTGGGCACTTCTGGCATTGTTTTACTATGGTGGTCGTGGTCGGGCGAAAAAGTGGTCCGGCCAAAGCCGGACCGGCTGCTACGCCCCTGATCATACGTAAATCTACCTGGTAGCAAAAGCACATAACCATGGGCATGGGGTTATACCTTATTATGGACTCTTGCCAGAGCAAATAATTTGAAATAAATTCGCACACCGCCAACGTTAATGGTACACTGTAACACAGACTACATGGTAAATGCCAAATCAAAACATGAATACTAGTGGTAGCTAAGTACATGATTGTGTACGTAATCGTACTCAACAAAAACATTCTGGTGCTCTAACTGCGAAACACAGTGGAGATGATTTGCACATGGGCAGATTATCATTATTGTACTTGCACCGATTCCGACATCTTCATAGTACAGTTTACAAACAAGTAATTAGTTGAAACAACACCACCAACACCAAAGACAACAAACCAACAACAACATTCAAATGATAGCCCCAGGCATGTACCGTACATTGTAGGCCCATTGCCCGTCAAAGTGCATGTTACAGTCACAGTCACACATCGGTCGCAAAAGTTGCACTTTGGTCACATTCTGCGACAGCGGACATGCGACTGAAAATTTGGTATCCCCCTCCACTTTGCAGTTTGCACACAGCAGAAATAGCACAAAAGAATCCCAAGGCATCAGTACACCGCATAAAAATGCTCTCTCTTTCTATATTCTATCATGCGACTGCAAACAACATGCACACACGATGCTCACGCATAAGACACAGAATAGAAATCTGTAAGCAAATTAAAGACGAAATTGCGCAAGCTCTCACTTTTTAAATTACATGGATGATATAAACAAAGTGGTGAAAATTAGGAAAAAAAGTTGATGCATGCCATGATTCTTGAAATTTGTAGGCGCGGTTTTACATGGCTACTAAAACAGAGAAGTGAGGGAGAACTATGGTGTACCTCTCCGCATAGTCTTTATCAACAGCTAAATATTATTTCATAGCCAAGGAGTAGAAACAGATACTAGACACAAAAAATGGAGGCCAGCCAATCACAACGATAAGGAACCACACTATATGTACAAATATTGGAAGATGTCAGAAAATACCCTCTACTGTGCAAGCTCATTCGACAGCCAGTCAAGTCCCTCGTAGAGACCTTGACCTTGAGTGGCACATGCCGACTGGATGTACCACTGGCAAGAGAAACACAAGGAGGCAAGAAAGACAACAAAGAGAACAATCAACATGTCACCATCATCACACTTGTACTACAGCAACCTGTCGACTACGAAAACAGGGATAATTTAGCCCTGCAAGCTGTACATCCAACGTCATGACATGAGTGAAGTACCAAAACATTATACTCAACAAAGGTACAGTAAGGTAACACCTGGCAGCAAAATCGCACACAGAAGTGGCTTGATTGTACATCTATACTAAGGGTGCATTCTTAAATCCTCTCAGAAAAGTTGGAGACTCTCCGAAAAGTACGAGAGCTGTTCTTATATCCTCTCCGACTTTTAGGAGGCTCTCCAAAGCTCTCCAAGCTTCAGAGGTGGTTGAAACTTGGAGATTCCCGCGGTTTGGGATCAGCGCATGCGAACTACGACTAAAAGCCACGTGTTCATCATGAGTGTACGCATTTCCCTTTTCGCATACGCACATACATTCATCACTCAAGATCGCGGCCTCTTTGACGCTTCATTTTGCTTGACATGTGCAAAATATCTCCGAATTCTTCGAGACCCGTTCCTGAGTAATCCCAGTTTCTTCGACTTCTCTTTTCTTCTTCTTCTAGAAGTTAGAGAATAAAAGAATGCACCCTAAGAGTCTCACTAGGGGCTACAACACATTTCAGCTGCAACCGGGCAAAAAAAAAAGGTGTGAAATGGCGGATAGAGATCGATCAAGAGCGCAAGACCAACATTGAGACGCCCGGCCTAAAGCTGGCTTGCCGCACTGGTCCAGTGTTTGGGATTGAATTCAAGCTGATATTGGTCTTCTTGCTGGGAACTTTCCAGGACGCCCAAGATGATGACAATTTTAGGAGGAAAAGCTTCGTCCAGTTCAAGGTAAATTTCAAGAGGGTGAAACCTGTATACCGCACTCACGCTTCTATTTATTCAATGCCGCTGTTGAGGAGGCTTCTATGCAACAGGGGCTTTTATTATTTCAATCCATATCAATATTCCCATCAAATCCCTAAAATTTTAATATTCAAAGCAACCCGGCCTCGGTTCAGTTCACACGCATTGCGTCGACCTCAACAGATACGGACATGTAGGCATGCACATGCACTAGATGTTTCGTACGCACTTGACCTTACCGTAGACGCCACGGCCTGGTCACCCCATGCTTTGCGGACACTAGCCTGCGCTTCTATTCTAGAAGGGCTTGTGTTATTTCAAACGGTTGTTGCAGGGGGGGGAGATGAAATCCTGATAACTCGAACCTTCCGCTCATTTGAAGTTTCCTTAAAGACTGATTTCTATCAATACAATTCCCATACAACAATATCTGACAATTTGAACCTCAAACTGGGCATGTCTGGTTAATTGTAACAGATAAACTTGAACGCAAACAGTGCGTACCTTTCTATTCCTCAGTTCATGGAGACCAAGTTTCTCCTGCAGTTCCGTTGGGTTCATAGCATTAGGCAAGTCCTGCTTGTTAGCAAACACTAGCAACAAGCTGTCACGTAGCTCTTCTTCTTCAAGCTAGGGGAGTTGGAAGGAAACACACAACAAGAACCACAAGCATACCATTACACACGCAGACATGCGAACTAAGCTACACCTCCCTGGCATAAGTACACTCCAGCAGAGAAACAGACAAAACCACTTTAACCAGCGTCTGTGATAACAAACATGGAGCGGTGTCTTTACACAATGTCCATATTCAAGAGTGAATGATTCCTATATCACATGCTCATAGTCTGACAAAGAGAATACAGGAGGAAAAGAAGAATTACAACCAGCCAGCATTGATTGAGCAGATAATACGCCGGTAGCAGTAGCAGTACTCTGTATGATGGGCATTTTGAAGGGGGTTCGACCTGTAAGGATGCTGCCCTCACTCCAAGAGTATGCAACTGTGCACATGGGGTCTGGTGCAGTGCGCTGCCCACATCACATAGCCATGAACTGGGGAATCTGCAATCAGCAAGGCATTACACCACTAATGATCTGCTACGGTTTCCAGCTTTCAAATCAGCTGATCTCTGACACGTCGGGTGGATTTGCACATGATGCGTCACGCACAGGCATTGCATCTACCATGACGAGTGAAATTGTTCTGCCTAAACCATAGCAAAACTCAAATCCAACCGGCTTGTCCGTTATTTCACTACATAATGAAGGCAGGGCGGAATGCAGAGCACTTATAGCTCGGAGATCAGAATTGCACACTCTTGGGGATATGGACCCTTGATACAATAATATAATAAACTGGACGCACGCATTCATGTGCACACACAATTAACATCAAACACTCACCATTTTGTGAAGCTCTTCTCTCGACTCCTGAATTCGCTCACGATCATTGCTGTCCACTACAAAAATAAGGCCCTGGTCAAACACACCCACACAGATGAATACATTTACATATGGTGCTTTACTTTAGTACAAAATACACAAAGATTAGTCACGACTGAAAGGCAGGGCACCATAGACATCTTGATGGCCAACAATGCAATCAACCAACCTGTGTGTTCTGGAAATAATGCCTCCACAGAGGTCTGATCTTGTCCTGACCGCCAACATCCCACACGGTGAAGCCGATGTTCTTGTATTCAACGGTCTCAACATTGAATCCTGCAAAAGAAAGACAAGGAGCAAAACGTAAGCAAGTAGCAAGTTACTATCAACCCTGGGATAAGAATGCTATGGGATCAATACATGAAAGTTAGTCACAAGCACAATAGAAACCGAATTACAGGATCATACAATGAACACCCACGTCGGGGTTTGAGCAACACCATACGGTGCACAACACAAACGCAACAGGCCATGTTCTGATCCGATATTGGTGATTTGACAGACACTCCACAAATACATGGCAGGGACTGGGAGTACGATCCTCTGTTTGCAGATACTAGAGAGGTTCAGTGACTCGTTCGTTTCATACAAAACGAGTGAACGGACCAGGTCTGGGCCAGAGTCTCGTGAAGATCTTGTAGATTAGATTCGTTTACATCATGACAAAACAAGAAGTACGATCTAGTACATGTGCCAATAGTGACCCAATACCCATACAGTTGTACCCGTACTTGTGTGTGTTTCTGTCTCTTTACAGCAGCACCAGCTGTTGCTGGTTCAGTCATGTCACCATGGCAATGAAAGTGAACCTTGTTCACGCACGACTGAACCTCCCTATTACGTAGTCGTGTTCGACAAGCAATGTGCCCAGCATGCTCAAAGTGCTCAAATGCCATGGGGCAAAGCTTTGTACACAAAACAAACATGGACAAAGGCTAGTCGTGCTGTTACTCCGGGTTTCATGCACATTGTGCAAGCATCGGACACGGGGGTAATAGTGATCATGCTGGTATACATATGCAAGGAAGCGAGGGTGTTGATAGCGGGATGCTAAAATGTCAGCACCAGGAATTGCAGTTTAGGCAATGATACTACAATTGAAGGGGCACTGTAAGTGTGGTGCAATGCTTTAGGTGTTGGGGGGGGGGGGCTAAATATGAGCTGCAGGAAAACCTGTGTATGGGACTGTGAGGGTTTCAGTACTTCATTATTGGGTGGGTATACCACCTGTAAAAGTATGTTGGTAGTGCGACAGGGAGGCTGTGATGGCCAGGTGACACATTGCTTACTTAGAAGCAATACCGTATATTTGTTCTTGCTTCAGCATTTAACAGTCTTTCAGCGTGTTCCTGTGGGATCTGGTACTTGGCTCGGCTCAGCAAGTGGTGAAGCGAGTGCATCATAAGTGCATGTATATTACTGTTCACAGGTGCAACTGGGGATCAACTCGTCCAACACAAAACAATCCGCATACATTCAGGCCTGGCGCTTGAGATATACAGTAAAACCTGGTTTAAGCGACCACCCCACGGTGCAAGCAAAAGCGGTCGTTGGAGCCAGGTGGTGGTCTTTAGTCTAGAACCAGGTCCAATACATCCGTGGCATATCGGATCGTGCACATACATGTACATGTGCATGACTGCACTTCCATGCAGTCACAGGTGTGGAACACTTTCGTGCAGGCAAAGCACACCTCGCCCAAATGCATGGAGCGCATCCTGCACTGTCACCCGTAACATCTGTTGACTGCATGCACTTGCTTCAGAGAGCACTTCAACTCTGTTGCAGTCAACCCTGCCAGCCAAGATGGCACTTTTGGCTAGTTTTGGGCGCTGTGCGCAGGTCCAATATGGCACTTGGTACACAAGACGTTGGTCGCTGGTCGTGCAAGGCAGGTGGTCGCTATATCCGGTGCAGTTTCTGTTTACATGTAGAACTATCCGTGCATGGAAAAATGGTCGTTAAAAGCAGGCGGTCGCTAAAACCAGAGGTCGCTTACACCAGGTTTTACTACAGTATACCGTATTTCTCCATAAGTCGCACCTTTTTAAAAAGCGAATCCCAAGGTTGAAGAAGGGTTGCGGTTGCGACTTACAATCGAGTGTGACTGATCATTCAAGTGAACACACTGAAACTATAATGATAGAGACTTGAAAAAGCGGGTGCGCCTTTTAATCGGATGCGACTTCAACACTTATGACCGGGGAAATAAGGTACCAGTACCCATGTTGCCCCATTGCATGTTTTGGTCTTACACGTACACAGATGTCAAATAAACATAAAGGTGTCCACAAACTATTAATTTTACTCCTTAGGCCATGGTAAAAAATATCTTTGATTCTCAAGTACGCGCGCATCGATTTTTGGTGGCGCACCGACGATTTTTTTTATTTCTATGCATGCATATGCGTGCATGAAAACGGTCAATGCGAAAGGCATGAATCCGGGAGTAGAAAAATACCGGTACAGTCTGTATCGGCTATAGCGTACCCTTTTGATTTCCGTGATTTTATCACTATAACCGATGCATCACTATATGCGATACGATCGATTTTTTTCGATCGACACATGAAAGGCAGGGAAATACTTCCAGCATGGCGTTTTGACAAATGAGCATGCTGCATAGTTGACAGTGCCCGCATTTCCATAAAAAAATTCTGTTATGTACATGTACATGTGTCACTATCAAAATAAGCAACGTGAAGAACGTGAAGAAAGTAAAAAAAATAGGGCCTTTGATATTATTGCAACATGTATTTTAAAGTTATCACTATAGCCGATAATAATATAGTGTGTTATGCATGTTTTGATTCTTTGTTGCCATCATAATATCCGATATATCAATACATCCGATAATATTGGTTATAGTGATATTTGTACTGGATAAAATACGTTTTGCTTTTGATATTTCGTACCAATATCACTGTAGCCGATATATTCTTATATCCGGTCACTCTATAGCCGATACAGACTGTATTTTTCTACTCCCTGGCCTGAATAATAAAATAATTAAAAAATTAATTATGAACCTGTGACGTACACATGTGTGACCCTATCTTTGGAAATAAAAAAATTGTGGGAATTAAAATAAAAAATCGCTCGCTCGCACCGATTTTCACAGGCTCATGACCTGAGAATCAACTTTATTTTTTACCATGGCCTTATTATCAAAGTGTAAATGCATAGTGTGGAGTTCAGGAGTAAGGATATTCATGCACCAAAACTACATGAAATCCGCCAAATCCTGGCAGGTAACGCACAGCCTTCAGTGCGCCACACGGCCAATGTGATACAAGGTTATATCAATGTATGCAAAGCTATTCAACAAGGAACGAATGAATATTCTTGCTTGAGAGTCATAACCACTGCATTCACTTTCCTTGAACATCAGTGTCAAGCCGCTCATCAACAAACGCTAGCCAATTGAATTGACACTCACCGATAGTTGGAATAGTAGTCACGATTTCTCCAAGTTTAAGTTTATACAGAATGGTCGTCTTTCCAGCAGCATCCAGGCCGACTATACGAACATAGAACAGTGGTGTCCAAGTCTTTATTCAGTGGGCAACTTGCTTGATGAATGAAGTCAACAAATTCCATTATCTTACCCATTAGAATTCGCATACTAGCTTTGCCAAAAAGGCGAGTGAACACACTCGATATCGTGAGGCCCATTGTCGATGAGCGTTCAAGTCCCCGTCAAGACTATTCCACTCTAGCTTTGAACAAGACTTCGAAACTCACAAAATAGTTGAATAACACAATGGATCCCCAAACAAGTACGAGTGGGTCTGATCTGCTGTTCAGTATGGAAAAGCCAAAACAAAAAATCTACCGCTCGGCTCCTGATCCAGCGATCAGCGCCGCGTATCAACGATCGCGGTTCCACGTTGGCAGGGCAAAGTGCGCATGCGTTTTGTAACCACAGCAACTCGCGATGGCGTCTGAAAGCCGACGTCAAATCAAGCTTTTTCAAGGAGAAAAATAAATTCAAATTTTCTTATGTAATTTTCTGATGTAAAATCAACAATTGTCTTGTCCACAGATTTGAGGGTATTGCATGCAGCAGTCTACAACTTTAGCTATTGTTGGAACCATGCTTTGAGATAAAACAAAGTTAACGTTATCTTCGCCTTTAGTTTAGAAGTAAAGTCGGCTGTTTTGAAGTAAGAACTGTCTGTGCTGCTGTGGAACTCAAAGAAACTGCCATGTCAGGCCTGGATTCGTTTGTGAATCGTATCCATTCTACTTAGTATAGATACATCCTGCTGGCTTTTTCTGGATTGTCTCACACTGTGAAAACTCATCTCATTGTGTGCTCTGTAGAATTTTCAAATAGAATCTCATAGAAAATGCATTGCCATGTTCCCCGTCCAGGGGACTTGTGGTGACATTAGCACGAAACAATCCTGGTGCATGAATTGAAGAATTCATGCCCTGAATGGGGTTCATGGACTCTTGATGTACCGGACTTAATGGCAAGATATTTGCAATACTAGCACATGTTGAATTTTTCAATATTAAAGATAAAGTATGAACGTCGCTTCCGAGTATCACGTTCTTACATTCTGTGAGATATCAACAACTCAGAGTTTGCCAAGTTGGTCTTCATGCTCAATGTAATGGACTGTGTAAAGCTGGCCATGGTGTATTTTAAATGACCTTGGTGGATGTTTGTGTCTTGGTGGATTATTCAATTTATTCATCCCACGTTCTCCGGATGCTGTCGAATCGATATTAGTTTCAATCTGTACCTTGTCTTCACAGCAATCTCAATGCCTTTCTTCGGTGTGGAAAAGCTGAACTGTGCACCTGTAGAAACTCATTATTTTATAATTGAACTTCTTCGTAGTAGAGAAACCCAGTAACATGGTGCTGATGTTAGGGATACAAGAAGACCTAGTCCCGGTGCCAGACTACTAGTATTATACAGTCTTGATATAGAGCAGGGTTTGTGCTGCACTCAGTTGACTGCAGAATGGTGTAAGCTCATGGTGTGTACATGCATTGATAGTTGTGTACAGACCAAATGCAACATGAATCACTGTTTTATCCTTCACCAAGATTTTTCCAGACACTGTTTCCATCATCACAGCAGATGGCCGGGTTATCTTTGTAAGTTTGCGGTGAAACCGGATGAGGGCAGTCGTTTGGTAGTCTACTACTTGAAAACTGAAGCTTTGGTCAAGTTCTCGTTACCAAATGCAACAAGGGTTTCACTTTTAGTATGGAGGGTTGTCTTATTTCTGAGACTCATTGTCCTTTGTTCTTTGGTATACCATTAGTTCTCTGAGGCTTTCATGGGCACATATGCTAGTACATGTCATTATGCTTCAGCTTGTGAATGGTACACCACACCTTTTATGAGGCATGTACAATAGCACACTATGGGCACGTTCGATTACACACATTTCGGTCAATTCTAGAATTAGTTATGGTGAATGCACCATTCGATTACCCAAATTCCGTCGGCAATTCCAATTCCGTCAATTCTGAAGAGAGGGAGGAATTGCTAATTCCAGAATTGACGCACTCGACGTATAACGCCCTGCTAGGTCCACGTACGTGCGAGGATGCACGGGATCCCACGTGATCCCCTTTTACGACTTTTACGTGTAGTCGTTCGTTTACATGGCCGCAATCCGGTCATGCTGTTCATTCGAGAATTATAAAACCCGGGCCCAAATGTGTAATCGAAAGCGCCTTATGTTGTGTCGGGGGGGGGGGGGGGGGGCATTGTGGCACTTATGCTGCATTTCTTGATGTCTTCTCTGCTGAGTTATTGACGTTTGTGTGTTTTACGTGAGTTTTCTGTGTTGTCTTTGCCCTTTTGTTCAGGGTGTTCTGAAGGGTTTTGACCAGACGATAAACTTGATCCTTGATGACAGCCATGAGCGAGTATTCTCTGCCGGAGCAGGCGTGGAACAAGTCACGTTAGGGTTGTACATTGTCCGTGGTGATAATGTGTAAGTCTATTCGTATTGATAGTTTGGAACTGATCACAGTAGGCACACACATTATAAGAGCTGTTGTTGCTGTTGTTGTTGGTGGTGGTGGTGGTGGTGGTGGTGGTGGTGGTGGTGGTGGTGGTGGTGGTGGTGTTGTTGTTGTTGTTGTTGTTGTTGTTGTTGTTGTTGTTTCAAATCTTTATTCTCACGATAGTTGTTGTTGTTGTTGTTCTTTATTTAAATTTGCAAACCGAACGGACAGAACAGTTTTTTTCCGATAGTCGAGGCCTCTTGTACGGGCAACGACTTGACAGCGTGTTACAAAGCGGAGGACATGCTGTCATGAATTCATTGCACATTGTACTTACCTGTTGCTAGCTTGTGCTATGAATAAATGCTTTACATATGCCACAGCATGCACCTTCACATTCTAGTAAATGCAATCCATATGATATGCATAATCAGACTTGGGGTGGAGAGCCAAGGATTAATTTATAAGAAGAAATGAGGACCAATGAACTACATCCGCCAACGTCCTTCACAGCTGAGATTTTCAGCTCGTGCTGGTCTTGGCTGCGCTCACCTTCCCCTCCTATGTCATTTCTAACTTAGAACCTTCCAAGCTGGACGGCTGTTGGAGTGCGCATCCAAGGCGTGCTAGAGCTGATTGCAAATTAGGTGTAGAACGTCAGTACCGTTGGTCAGTGTCGTGCAATGTTATCGCATGAACTGATTGTAAAGTAACTGGTGATGTTACTGTATAAGTACTATGTTTCGTTTGGAATTAACTTTCGCTATGTTCGGTAGGGGGCACGAAATAACTAAAGTTTGTACCAAACTAAAGTTTTTTTTCTGAACCTTCGGGGTGACAGACCTCGAGCAAAAACGAAATTTATTACGTAACGAACCTGCTTGTGGAGTGATCTAACGAAAGATTTTGCGAACGAAAATTTGTACTTATACAGTAGCGGACGTTATAGCGTAACTTGTAGTTCCTTGGTCCTCATTTCTTCATATGGTATGCATATCGAGTTTTTGTCAGATCTGGATCAGAAGAACTCCGGATAAGACAACCTTGTTCAGTCCCTTGAAGTTCGTCCTAACGAGCTTTGCCTGTACCATATTTTGTGCACAGTCTTCACTACATGTACCTTTTAGGGTACATGTAAAAATTTAAAATCCCACCAGAGCGCCCCGTCTCTCCCATGCGCCCCTCCCTGACTTCTTGCCAGGGAAGTGAATCCTCATATGACTCCGTTAAGTGTGATGCCGTACTGTACTGCAGACGCATGCTTGACCCGGTTGGAAATGTACGCAACAGTTCCTCTTGACCATCGATCGCTCAAACCCTGGGTTTTGATGGGTTTGTACGACTCCCTGCTCTTGACCTTTGGTACAACTTACTAGCCAACTTACTAGCCTGTTTGACCTTTTTTGGGTGCAGTCCTGTCACTCGAGTTGAACTCGAGTTGAACCTTGGTGTGAAAGTTGTCGCCTGCTGGCGCGGTGACCAGGTGATTTGGGCACCCAGGAGCACGTGACCGCTTGTTCAACCATGTTCGATTGGGAATAAAGGAGGAACGCTGCATCGCAGCCTTTTCGGACCAAAACCAGTCGACTCAGCGTCCAAAAGACTACAACATATGGGCCAATTGCGGTCATCCGTGCTTTTATAAGAACGAAATGGCGCTTTTAGTGACATTTTGCATACAAATCCCCATCTAGTAGGGCGCAGTCACCCAGTTTCGGTGGAAGTGCGCGAGTTCGATTGGGATTCAAGTAGGAAGGGAGCGTCTCAGCTTCCTCGGACCAAGACCATTCGACTCAGCACCCCGAAGACTACAACTGGTGAAAATTTGATTTTAGGGTATACTTGGGAAAAAGTGGTGCGACTTACAATCGAGCATGACTTACTACTGAAGTGAATATATCGAAACGATATGGCTCAAACCTGAAAATGGGGGTGTGACTTATATTCGGGGGAGAGATACGGTAATGTTCACACATCCACGTTGCAATCTACCGGTATATACAATAGTGTTGAGAAACGTAGCAAAGCACTTCTATCCAGCGGCGAGGGCGGATAGAAGTGCTTTGGGATGATGAATAGTTGATACAGTGATCATTTAGGCGTTAACTCATGCAGAAAATGAACATGTTGGCGGCTTTCTCTTCTTTTCGGATTGCCTCTGGTAGGTAACTTACTACAAAGAGTACATAACCATGGTTATGTACTCTTTGTAGTTCTGTAGCCAGTAGAGGAATTAAGCGGGATTCACAGAAGCTTTTTTGCGATGCGACGCGATCTGCGACGGACGCGTGCGATGCGAACTCGCGAAATACCATTCACAGAAGAAGTCAGTGCTGCGACAACATCTTGCTGATTTGGCTACGTCACCATGATATTCGCGCGGTTTGATACAACTTGTACAAATTTATAGGCAACTCTTGAACCTTTGTACAACTTTGCTGTAGAAAAGGTCAAAATCGTACGCCAAATCGCTTGTCGCATCGCATCGCAAAAGTTGAGCCAAGCTCAACTTCTGCGATGGCCTGCGATGGCCCTGTTGCGGCAGTTGCGTGGGGTCCGCGATGGTTGCGATTTGGGGATTTCCCGGTTTCGCGGCTGTCGCATCGCGTGTCGCATCGCAAAAAAGCTTCTGTGAATCCCGCTTTAATGCTGGTATTTTCTCTCTGCTGGTATTTTCTTACAGACTGTGTTTTCTTTGTGTTCTTGTTCACACTTCAGAGCTGTAATCGGCGAGGTTGATGATGGCGTTGACTCAGAGCTTGACCTTTCAGCTATCCATGCGGATCCTCTTTCTTCTGTTGTCCACTGAATATCGAGAAGCCAAGGAAGGGGTTTTGAGGTTTTTTAAAGTTGTACAGCAATCCATTAGTTTGTTAGAATCATTAGCTACCGTATTGTTCTTTCTGACTTGCCACTTTGTGTGTGTTTATTTCTCATATCCTGAGTTGAGTTATGTGTACACTTGGAACTTCAGAAATTGTCATTGCATGGGGTATGTGCATACTTGCATGTGAGTGCGGAAATATTGAATTCGTACTAGTAACAGTGTCTGTGTGTTACCCTACTCTGCGTTTCAAAAGTATGGACCTCTAGACTTTTCCAAATACTTCAAATTTGGTTGAGCTTTTTTGAGAAGTTTTTTTCGGGATTTGCTTGAGCAGTTTCCACAATTTTTCTCTTTTAGATTTCTAAACGATTGGATAACAAACGGCTAATTTCGGAAAATTTATGCACTACTTGATCACAGATTTTATGTGGTATAGATGCTTGCCTAACGGTGTTTTGAAACCAGAGGTCTATACTTTTGAACGCACTGTAGGCTGAGGGTTCCAAGAAGTAGAATCCATGAATGTCTGGGAATATCCAGCCTGGAGGAAATAATTTATAGAAAAGTAAAAGGACCAAGGAACTACAAGTTACACTATATTAAATGTCCATCCCCCAAGTTGGAAGGCTGTTAGCCAGTTAGTTGTAGACCGTCAGTACCGTCGGTCAGTGCTGTGCAATGTTATCGCATGAGCTGATTGTTTCGTAACTGGTGGTGTTAATGGACATTATAGTGTAACTTATAGTTCCTTGGTCCTTTTACTTTTGTATAAATTTAATTTAATAATTATTCCTTCGCTCTCCATCCGAGTCTATTCCAGTAAGAGGACTGTCCCGGTCCCATGGGGATCACCAAGATCAGGTTACATCTGCATACTTCGAAGTACGTTTTGCGTGTACATGACATTGCATTACTATTGGGCGCTGGCCTGAGGAGGAGGGGGGGGGGGCTGCACTAGTACTGCCGCATGTCGTTCAACGAGTGGGAATTCTTCTGAGGGGATACTTTTGCTGAATATGTCAGAAACTGGTTGTCTGTTGGGATGGAAATATCTTGGTATCAAAACGAGGTGTAGCCAAATTGGCGCGGTTCCCACCCCATGAATCACTCTGCCTACGCCCCTGGTAGCATGCGAATCAGGGTGTAGTACAATACCCGTATCAAGTTGTACTACACCCTGATTCGCATGACCAATTAAACCAAGAGTACCCCGGGGTTATGTACTCTTGATTAAACTATTAGCACCTTTTAGTTTATAACAATATTATCACTCCGTATTCACTATTCAGTATTGACTCCCTTAGATTTTTGCTATGCCTAAGCAGTCAAATATTCCTCCATATTTCACTCCTTTTAGCCTAGTTTTAGGGCTATTGACTGCTTATACCGGTACATGTATTTCACTCCTTTTTTAGGGATTGAACACAGGCTTTGGCTAGTCGTGATAAATCTTAGAATAGTTAGATGTCATCCCTACTGCGTTCAAGACTGCTGATCTGGAGTACAAGTAGGAAAGTACACGATAATCACGTACATGCCCTGTGCACGTACGTACACATGTGTGCTTGACAATTATTTTGTCAATATAAATAATCAGCACACTGTTTTTTAGTATTTTACTCACGATATTATGCTGTCGGCTCGTACCTAGCTAGCACCTGTTGATGAGAAGACAAAACACCCAATTATTTCTCAATGATATTCGGGAAGGTTGTGAGACCAAGTGCAATGTCCCTACGCTGGGCATTTCGATATGGAAGTTGGAATCCAACTGAAGAGGTAATTATTCATTTGAATGCCTGATTGTTGAGAGGTAAAGATTGAAGCCCTTGACATGTTTTATATCCTGTGGGATTATAGCCAATGTTCAGAACCGTGGCGAACAGACGTGGAATAAGAGGGATATTAGAGTTGATGATCAAACAAGGCTCATAGAAGTTGGGGAATTCATTTATTAGACACCCTTAGCAAACAACGTTATGTTGTAACGGTATTATCGTAAGGGGGAAAATACCGTGATTTGGGTTCGACCTTTAGCAAGATGCACGCTATTTTTAGTACGCTGTTGCCACGAAAATAGCTTTGATTTCACGCGGTACAACCATTTTTTCATCATATACGCGATACGAGGTGAAATGCGTACGGACTATGCAGTATTTGGCTAAAACACGTACCGTTGGTCACAACGATAAATCAGCCCCCATAACGTTTATACGCTGCAGCTTCAACGCTATTTGGGTGATCAAGGTACGAGTACCGTAAAAAATAGCGTTACCGTTGTTTGCTAAGGGTGTCTATTATTTATAGCAATACACTGTAAACAAATAAAGATTTAATTTCTTACTTTTCCTCTCGTCCTGGGAATGCAAATAACGTTTGCAATCCCAGTATACCATAAAGCCCGTAATGCAGCACTGGGCGGAAACGTTAGTAAAGGCGCAGAACAAGTAGCACGGACATGTAACCATGGTAACTCGGAAACTATGTCGTGGTAGAAGTCACGCATTTGTTGCACTAGCAAATCCATCCACCGATGTGCCTGTGATTGTCAAAAAAGCAATGCACAGTGGCACATCAGCAGAACGCAAAAAAATGCAAAAACACGGAAAATCAGAAGTCTCAGGGCATGTTTGATTGGTAGGATCGGGATCCCAATCCACCGGATCCACTGGATTCGCACCCTTTCGATTGGTCGGATCCAGATCCGGATCCTTCGGATTTGGATCCGGTCAACCCTCCTCGGGGAGCAGGGTTGACCGGATCCAAATGTGACCTTTGTGCGTATATGGCTGGTAAAAATCATTTTTGTACACATTGTGATACGCACACGTGGATGGAGATAGAGCTTGTTGACTTTTTGTACGACGCACGGGATGAGTACGACGTTCACCCTTTTGGGTGCCTTGTGAGCGCCATTTTCAACATGGCAACAGTCAAGGTCCAAAATAAAGTGTTCAGTTGAATCTGAAGGATCCGAGGGATCTGAGATCTGGATCCCGATCCCGATCCTTACCAATCGAACATGCCCTCAGTACGCAAAACAGACGCAGTTGGTCGGCAGCTCTGCCAGTGTGGGGTGGAGAAAGCCAGCTAAACTGTTTATGTTATGATGTAATAATACCGCCACAGTTGGCAGTTACCCACCCTTGGCTTTGGAGCCTGATCCTGCAGGCCGCCTTGGCCCTGGGTACAGTGCCACATAGGGCTTTGAATTCTTAAACGTTTGTGGGAAAGGGGGACTGGTGGTTAACGTGTACCCGTTGCAGGCCCGTCGGAAACACTTCAGGATCGGTCAGGCCGATAATGTTGAGGACACTAGCTTTTCAGCATGTCCCCTCCCCCATCCCCCATCTCATCCCTACCTCATAATACATGTATTAAAGACTAATTTCATGTAGCAATATCTGGATCACCTGTGCTATTCTGGTTACACTGTATATCTAAGTAGGGCTTTCACTCTATTCAAAGCAGAGATACTGCGGACTATCCACGAAAATCACACATGGCTGAGTCCGTCAGCGCAAGTGGTTATGTGCTCCGAGCTCATGAGTGTGCGTCTACACAGAATCTACAAGGACGATTTCCTGAAGATCCTTCAAAGACTGCACTTGGCTGCGGATCGTGACTCGCGGCACTGTCAGAAAACGACCGATCGATCTCTGGGCTAGCTCCCCAGTTCTGGCTAGATCAGCATACTCATAAAAATTACACCGGTTTTGCACGTTTCACAAGGACCACCTCGGACGAAACGTGGTCAGGCCATGGTCCGAAAGCCTGATCCGGTCTGACGGCCTTGCACTGGCTTTTTGTCAGGTAACAGGTGGCTGTGTTTGCGTGTTTCTTTTTGACTGTAGGAATGGCTTAAGGCCTGTGCTAGTGTACAGCTAGAAGAATGCCATCGTGTTAGCCAGTTTTGCTACAAGAGAGATGCTAAAGCGTCACTGGTAAGATTGGTGTAACTGGATGATCAAAGTTCTGGCCAAATGAGGGTAGGAGAGTGAAGTATCCTCTTGCTTTGGTGATGAGCCCTCCTGGGGAGAAAGGGCCACCCTTCTACTGCAGCGGACATGGAAATCCAGTCGATTGACCGGGGCCGGCGCCCCCAGCGCGTACAGAACGCTGCGTGCAGTGCACAACGTCATGTTGATCCGCGATGCGACCAGTGCGCTGCATCGCATAATGCATGTTCCGCGGCTACATGGCCAGCGCCCTGGGGCCGCTAGACGTACTACCGGATTTCCATGTCCACGACAGTATGAGGATGCAGTACAATGAAATTCCAATACACATACATACCTCCACAGGCAAATACCACAATAGTCATAATCTACAGTTGCGCTCGGTGAAATCCGACCCAAAGTGCCAAACTGGCGCCCTGTACCAGTTCTTATTACATCATTGTATTTGTGCATGTGTGCGTCCAGCCGTATTCGTGCTACTTCCAGTTCCAGGGCGTCCAGGGCTGTGAAGATTGAGGGCACCAAATGCGCACTCTGGGCCGGATTTCACCGAGCGCAACTATACATTCTGGCCATGGCACTGTATGTCTGAGGCCCAGACTTGAAGAATGCACATGTTGACTATGTGGCTATTATCGTTGCTATGGTAATACGTTCTACCTTATTTAAAAATTTCCCCAATTAATGTTCATGTCGGCGTGATGCCGGCGGGCGGCAATGGTCAGCAGTCGTGCCCGGCCAGCATGCCTTTAGCTGTTTCCAGCACACATGCATTCTGAAACGCAATCACACGTTGACGTGACCATTGAATCTGCATTGATGCTGACCCTCAGCCGCACTGCCGCAGCCCTTGGGGTCCCGTGGTCCACCAGGCTGCGGCCTCGGGCCTGAATCAACGATCATGCCTGGGTTTCTATATATGATTCTCTAAAATGATCGTGTGTGCCCCCAGTCTGGGTTTCTATGTGTGATTCTCTAAATGATTATGCCTGGGTTTCTACACCGAACAACAACAAGGGCAAGCAAAGCTAGTTTGTCACTACTCTGAGTTTCATGCTGTTACGCAATCATCAGGCAATGATCATGTCTGGGTTTCTATGTATGATCGATCACGCTCGGCTTTCTATGTGTGATTCTGTACTATTACTAATTGCCCAGTTAGTGCTAGTGGCAGTTACCCATTGGAGCAGATTATGCGGTGACCAATGCATGCACCCCTGGCATTGCTGTTTGATGTATGCTCACCAGGTCGGTCGCTTGTTGCTGCGCAAGGCAGTGAGCAGTTTGTTGGGAATCCCTTACAAAGAAATCATCTTCAATCGAACTGCTGCCGGCAAGCCTTTCCTGGTGGGTACATGTTGGATTGTATTGCAGATGTTTGTGCTGTAGTCCGACTGTTGTGTTGAGTGCAATGAGTTTTGTGTGATTTGTGGTTGCGCTATCTACTGAGTACCTAATATCATGCACTGTGGTGAGATTGACTCTGATGAAGACGGTGAATGATGAATACTTCAAGTGCGTTTTACTTGGTTGTCTTACTCTCGTTGGATGGTGTGAGCCGTGGTGTATCTAGAATTGTACTGAGTAGGGGATGGAGGAGCTTTGAATGACGTAGTTGCATTATTGTTTACTGGTGCTAGTACTGGCAATGGCATCTGTCATTTCAGATTTCAGAAAACTTCGGCAACACTACAGTAAAAGCCCGTATTAACGCCCACCCAGTATAACATCCACTACATTATAGTACTGAAGTACCACTAGTAGTGGTCCATGTACACGCCCAGGTGCCCAGTGTCTACACTCGTGTCCCGTTTTCTAGTCCACCTCCGTGTAAACGCATGGACGAATTCACAGGTCCATTGCACAGTGCAGTGCATGCACAGCTCCATGTGTATGTACGGTGCTGTAGGATATCCTAGTGTACAGTGCACTGTACTACCTGATTTGTACATGCAGCAGTACGGCATGATGTTTAAATCCGTCTGATTTCACTTATCCGAAATAACGCCCGGGCCCACACTAGCGCCCATGTTCTGGACTAGGGCTCAAACGATTAGTCCGATTAACCGGTTTCAGACCGGTTACGAAGAATTAACGGTTAACCGATAAAGATAACGGTTGCGCAGTAACTTTTCAGTCATTTTTTCAAGTATCAGGTCGTTGCAAAGTGTGCACTTTCGCGGGCTGTCGCACGGGTACGCAATTTCTGGGCTGTCAACTCGGTCATATCTGGTCACTTGCTGTGAGAGTATGTATGAATGAGCATGCAAGAGAATGCACAAGTGCGCGTTGTACTGAACAGGGTACATTTTTTGAATGAGTATAGTCAAATATACGGTTAAAAAAGAGTCCGCAGGATTGCAGTGGCTTATAGGTTATAACCGGTTAACCGACCGTTAGCTTAGCAGTTAATCGTCAGGGGTAAAACCGTGACCGTTTGAGCCCTATTCTGGACCCTCACTAACGTTTCCGCCCAGGGCCTTATTACGGGCTTTTACGGTATTCCCCCCCCCCCCCCCGAAAAAACAGGATCATAATATTATACCGATATGTACCACTTTACGAGAGGATGCATTTACATACCTATGGTCAATTGGTCTCCAGGTATTGCTGTGAGGGATGTTGTTTATGAGGTAAAGTGATGGCAAGCACTCTTTAGCTGATAGGCGTTACCCACTCCCTAAGGGCCGGGTTCCACTGCGGCTCCGCTGTCATCCACGGCTTGAAACGTCATCATTATCATAGTGACCGCGGCTCGACCTGGAGCAGCGAGGCCGCGGCTCACCACGAGCTTTCGCTACGATTCTTGATCAAAAACTGGGAGCCGCGGTCGCGGCTCGACCTGTTTCCGTACTTTGCATTGTTTTGTATGCGAGAATTTTAAAATCAAAATTTTAATTCGTTGCGCAGGCCAGAACTCGAGGATTTTTGGATTTCGTGAGTACGCGCGCGCCCGCAGGCAGGTAAAACATCATAAAACACGTGGAGCACGACCGCTGTACAGCGAATGGCGAGTGTCAGTGGAACCGCACTGCTCCACTGCATGCAGCCAAGTGCCGCGGAGCAGCGGAGCCACAGTGGAACCCGGTCCTAACTCACTTCTCACTTCTCAGGTCCTTACCCGCCACAACCACTGTATGGTGTGTAGCCGTGGTGGCGGCGTGCTGATGCAAGGGTGCTTGAGTGTTTCTCTACATGCAAAGTTGTACGTGTGCCGTTCCACTTTCCTAATGTTTTGATTTCTTGTCACTCTTGTTCAGATGAATTCTGGAGTACCTGCTGGATTTTCCGTGAATATTTCTCACCAGGTAATAAATGTGATGTTACCCTGCGTGGTTCACAATCAGGACTTCTTCATATGACTGTACTCTTGTACATGTGTAAATGGTGATACATACTGACGTTGGAAGGTTGCACCGGGGGAATAGATGAGATTTGAGAGGCAGCCACTCTTGACTGTGAATTGTGTTGCTTTCTGGCCTTGCCAGAATATAATTATGGGATTAGGTTTGCATGTGTAGTGTGATAGACCAGCCTGAAATTATTCCATTGAAATTAAGATAGCTTCACCTGCTAAGCATGTAACCAAGAGTCCATGTTTATGCACTCTTGATGTAACTTTTTAGTAGAACGCCACTGGCCGGATCGTATCCATTCTCAGCCAGGTGTTGGTCCTTTTTCATTCTAAAAAGAAGAAGTTTGTATTGATTCTGACTACAGGGCAGCTTCACAGTCCTGGCTGCTGAGATCGACAGGCAAGGTATGTGTATGTTCTTCAAAATGAAACTGGTCTTGTGTTTTGTATGTCTAGAATATGGACAGAAGGAAGTATTTACAGTCAATATGTGTGGTTGTGTGTGGCTTATTTCGGGCCTGTGCTGCATTGCTTGCACCTTGAGAATATGCCACTCTGTGAATGTACTACGCTGTGTACTGCATTGTGTGGCAGTATACTGCAAAACCGGAAAATATCGATGAGTTCGGTACAGGTAATTTTTACCTAAAATAAAACACGACCTAGAATTCAACAAGCCCATGCCACACAGTGTGCAAAATGCATTTTTTGGATCTGGAAAAACTGGTTTACCGAAATTTTCGCGCTACCGAACTGTTGATTTTGGGAAATACCGAAAATATTACACCACCGAAATTTCCCGATTTTACAGTATTATCATTGCCAACACCGTCAACATTGAGATAAAGGATGGAATTGTCACATTGAATATAAAAGTTCACCACATCTATTGAAGCAAGGAAGAAATCCCTGGTTTTGAATGCTTTTTTCTTCTTCTGTATCTTGATTCTTGTTTCAGTCGGTATCGACACAATGGATATTGCTAGACCTGGTATGGACAATGGATATTGCTAATATCTAGTTTGGTCGTGCTCCTGTTTTCCATGTTTTACTCCATTGCTGAATATGCAGACCAAAGAACCATTCTAGCAACGCTGGTTGTATCCAGGGAAGTGTCTGTAGATGTACATGAATTGTTTAGGTAACTCCACACCACACCACACTGCCCTCTGGCTCATGAGCTCTTAGGTAACTCCACACCACACCACACTGCCCTCTGGCTCGCGAGCTCGGAGGTAACTCCACACCACACCACGCCACACTACCCTCTGGCTCACGAGCTCGAAGGTAACTCCACACCACACCACACTGTCCTCTGGCTCACGAGCTCGACTTGCACAACACCACCATGGTGAGGACAATTCCGTTGAAGTATTTGTATTGCCAGATCCTCCAGGCAGCTGTTTGCTCCGTCAGAGCTCCTCAGTAGAGGTAGATTGTGGATGAATAAACGCAGGGCCTGCTCTAGACATTCAACACAGCCCGGTCAGAGTGTACCTGGCGCCTGCAGGCCAGCCGGGTCAGATCATCCGGCAGAAAAACAACCAAAAAGCCTGCTCAAAAAGCAGGAAAACAGAAACGCGAATTTATTACCGGAAATTGGAAATTTTGGAGAACAAGGCGAACTATCAAAGTCTGCAAACGTAGAAGGTAAACGACATTACGTGAAGAATGCAAAGCAGTTCCATTGGCTGTTTTCTAATTAGTGCTAGTAGCAGGACGAACGACCAAATCCACCGCCGCTCGTCTTCCTTTGGAAATGCGTCTTGCACAAAGCGCATGACATGGATAGACTGGCATGGTCGTAGTCCACCCAGGGTCGACCTTTCTTCCAAGAGTCTTGGAAAGCGTATGTTCTTTTTCTCTTCGCTGCGGGCTCCATCGTCCAAATCACCAGTCTGCTGAAAACTTGCAACTGTGTCAAAAGCTATGCCAAAGTTACGCTTTTGACTGCCTGCCCCATCGACTTTGAATGTCCTGACTTCCTGCTCGCCGCTGGCCAGATCGCGCTCGAACCAGTTGACCCCAGTTGACCCTAGCCGAGTTTCTGTCGCTTGTAGACTGTAGTGTGTACGGTTGCGCTAGATTTGCAACAGATGGGGTCCGGCGAGTCGTAAAATACCGGTATTTTAGGAATCCATTGTCAGTTTGAGACATTTTTCAGCCGGGTCAGACTGGACCCGGTGTTATCTGTTCAGCCAGGTCGTGCAGTTCCCCAGCCGGGCGCGTGACCCGGCTGACCCGGCTCTCCAGCAGGCCCTGAAACGGTAGAGGAATAATGCTTCACTGGGTAAACCTGGTGCCATTGTGCACTTCACGCTTGATCTCTATCCATCCATCATCCACCTCCTCTGAGGAGCTCTGAAGGAGCAAAGCAGCTTTCTTGAGAGTCTGGGAATATAAATGCTACAAAAGAATAAGTCAGAATTGTCCTCACTAGCGCTAAGGTGATGGTTCTGCAAGTGGAGCAGGGGACCAAAAACATAGTATAGTGTGGTATGCTGCGCTGTAGCCTGGGGTTACAATGTACAAGTACCATTTATACAGAAAAGAAAAAGGACCAAGGAACTACAAGTTACGCTATAATATGTCCTCTAACACCACCAGTTACTAAACAATCAGCTCATGCGATAACATGGTGGTGGTGTTAAAGGATTTTATAGCGTAACTTGTAGTTCCTTGGTCCTTTTTCTTTTCTTTAAACTTATCCTTGGCTCTCCATCTGAGGCCATTAATACAATTTGTTTTCTATGGCCAGGTCTGTCCCGACTTCTTCTTATGCATGAATTGTATAGTATTGTGTGCTTCTTTGTTGTCTATGCAGCCAATACGAGCATACAGTACTTCTTCCGCCTGATGTCCTCTAAATTCACCGAGTCTGAATGGGAATACATCCGTAACGGTTCCTCGATTTCACCCCAAAGGGAGTGTGCGCTCCCAAATTCACCGGCTGACTGCACGGAACAGGAGCAGTTAGGCCGATTCTATCGTATGTGGTGCTTGAAAGAAAGCTTCATCAAGGCAGATGGTAAAGGCCTTCAGATCAGCTTGCAGCGTATGAGTTTCACGCCAGTTGAACCTGGACTTTCTCCATCTGAAAACGTAAGGTATACACTGTACAATGACATGCATCAGATTGATCCTTGTTGAAATCCCTTGCACATGCACTGCTTGCACAAAGTGCTGTAACGCACATGGCAACACAGGCTTGATATGCACTTGTGCGATCCCAGTATGCACTGACTGTGCAGTATGCAGTGTCCAGTGTGCAGTGTGCAGTATGCACCGACTCTGCAGGATGCAGTGTGTAGTGTGTAGTGTGCAGTATGCAGTGTGTAGTGTGCAGTACGCTGTGTGTAGCATGCACTGGCTGTGCAGTGTGCAGTATGCTGTGTGTAGCATGCACTGGCTGTGCAGTATGCAGTGTCCAGTGTGCAGTGTCCAGTGTGCAGAGTGCAGTGTGCATTATGCATTATGCACTGTAACTTATTGATGCAGTTTGTTATGAGAATCAGGAGTCATAACCTCCAGGGAGACAACAAGACGCGATCCCATCATCTGAAACGATGTGCGGTTCACCCCCTGATTTGGAAGTTCTATGCGATGTGTGATCTATGTAGCAAGTGGCTGCGATGGAGCCAGTGACCTACTCCCCCAGGCCAACGATTCCTTATGTGAACTTGTGTAAATCAGTCCTGTCCCAATGGTAACTGGAACAGGCAACTCGGGAGCGAAACCCCACATTATTTCATGCTCCACTTGCCTGTATCGTCGTCTCCCTGGTAGATGTTACGAGTCCTTGATGAGCATGTGATATACACTCTACTGACTGGTGTGCACTGAGCTCCAATCATCCAACATGCATACGCTGTTTAATGATGCTGCACCTTTTGCTTTGTAGGCATTTACTGACAATGAGTCTTTACAATCAATTTGTGTATAAATGCTGCTTGTGTGTGATATGTACTTGAATTCCACCTGAAGCTCACTCCTGTATCAACAGTGCATGTTCTTTGATGTGTGTCTTGCCGTGCATATTGTTAATGATCTTTCCCTGCCTCTCTTGTTGCAATGTATGTGCTCAACGTGTAGATGCTCTCTGTCGGTACTGTGTTGCACTTTGATGGTGCTCTCAGTAGCTCATGGCAATTTCATGAAGGATATCTCGATGACACGGTATGTTGATGGCTGTAATGCGTATTTGAGTTGATGTATGTGCGTATCTATGGCCTCTGGTGGACAACAGGAGGTGTTTTTGCATGATTGTTGGTGGATAAGAAGGGATGGTCACATATACTATGTTCATTTTCCATTAGATGTACAATTGTACATACTTTGCACTGCTAGGTGTGCCCTATGACAATCATCATTCTACATGGCTTGCTGTTCATTTCCTTTGCTTTATGTACCCACAGCACCTGGTTTGCGTATGCATTGGTCCTGAAGTTACTGCAGCAAACCCACTGTCATCATCACCCACTTCCTCCATGACCAATTGCTTCACGCACTTCACCGTAGAACAGTTGCTGGACAGTGTTGAAGAGATTCATCCCAAGGACCGCAAGTGGTGGAATGAGTTTGAACCGCGGGAGGAAGTGCCTCGTGGCCAATCAGCGCCTACGTGATCATTTATTATCAGCACTGTGAGTAACGTAGCATCATGTGATGTCACACAGTACTACACTGTATTATAACTTATAAGTATTATTACATTAGACTGTAGCTTGCCACACCTTTACACTGTATGCTGTTGCCATCACCAATGTGCACATGGTACTACACATTGACTTTGGTATGAGCGTGAGTGGCTATTCTGACCTCTTCTCTTATGCCCCCCCCCCCCCCCCGACTCCCTTTCTATTGCTCACCATCTGCAGGCATCGTGTACAGTACTGGCCGCAGTTCTCTCCTAGATCCTGTCAGGGCTGGGCAGAACACGGGCTGACTTGACTGCCGTGTTGCCAGTAGAGAAATTCCGCAAATGCTGCAGCCCAAGCTCAAGGCTGGTCACATTGGTCACATTGGTCACGGTGCACACAACTACTACAATTAGTGGGCCCTACTGTACTCCTACTTCAAGTTACTACTTCAATTTTCAAGGTCAAGTATCTGCCGGTGAACCCCTATAGATACTACGGCGCTGCTTGGTAAGTGGTGCTTCGTGATCTGAATCTAAGAAGAGTTTTAATGTTAAAAAATACTGACCTACTGGGCTGTTGCCTTTTTTTAGACAACAGCTGGCTGGAAAAATGATTCAATCCTAGCTGAGTTATCCTTCACTGAGTGTAATCTGAGAAGTTCTTCAGCCACTGAATCCATTTCATTTGATTGACTGCCTTGTGGAGGAGACGGTTTCAAAAAGGACACAGGCCGAAAACAGGACCGGCCTCAATATTCACTTTCTCTGTTGGTATTTTGATCAAAAAACATAATTATTATGTCACAGTGAGACTACGATGTGTTTTACTCCGAGCCAAAAGTTCATGGCTCTGCGATGACCAGAAGCGCCATACCAAGCAGGTTAGTTTTTTGACGTGTTGCTTCGCATTGCGACTTGAGTTCAACGTCTTTCGAAAAATCAACTTTTTGTCGCAGGTAAACAGCGGCTCGCCTCTCGCCAATAAAGCACCGTATACCAATGAAAACTAATGGAAGCACACACAAGACTTATTGTTTCTCTGTACTGGCCGTCCTGGGGCGATAGCAATTATCTAATTTCAGAACTCAGGGTGAACTTGATGTGGACTCCAAAACTGTTCCTGTTTGGAGCCACCTCTGTGACACCAAAATTTGAAACGGAAAATCGGGCAACTTTGAGGCAACGGGCCAACAAAAGGGCTCAGTTCGATCGACTCTGGCCTCAGAGAAAACTTCAACATGCCAGTTTCCTTCCACAAACATATTTCGAGTGACTGATGATCAGTTTGGGTCAACACAATTTTGCTGTCAAACCGGTCCTATTTGAAACCATCTCGTCTACCATATCTTACATCTTACTACACCTGTGAAGGCCAGGTCTTTTGGTGAGCATTTATAGTCGTTGGCAAGTGTAAATGTCTGCTCTGTCTTCAACGTTCTTATGTTGGTTTGTTTGTTCCATCTTGTGTCTGTCCAGTTGGTGTGAAGTGTGTAATGGACGGATTCGGAATGCTATGCCTCTGCTCACATGTACTTCATCCGATTGGTGACCAGGTTGCAACACTGTGATTAGCAACTTCCCAGGCAAGTAGATTCAGCTTGTTTTCCAGCAACTTCACTGCATCGTGTGTGTGTGTGTGTGTGTCAGTGGCAGCACTGATGCAAGCGGGAAATGCTGGCCTCGATAACTACTCACAATGCCCGAAAAATGCAAGCGCTGCTGTTGCTCTTCTTCAAATTAACATTGTTGCCACCCGTTTGCCAGACACAGAGCTTATTGCTTCTGCCACCATCGCCCCGATGTTGTGCTATTGTCTGGTTAGTCCAGCGCAGCCTAGGAAGCAAAGAGCCAGGTCAAACCCAGTGCAATCAGGATATTCACGCTGTCGGCTCATGTATGGCTGCTGATATTGATGTTTGGTCAGCAGCATTCTGAATTGCTTGCTGATGCGTACACATGCTCCAGGTCTTGCCAAGCTATCCAACCTCCGTACTATTGTATGTGTGTCATTGGGTGACGTAAAATTGATTCTCTCTCTCTCACTCTCTTCTTCCTCGTGGTATGTGGCAAGTTCGTATACTCTTGTTCTCTCGACTCGACATCTAGTTATGGACAATCCTCCTGAAAGGTAGATCTACCCACTGTTTCCACCAATGATTATGTTCGCACTGTTTTTTTATTTGGGCCAGGATAACAACAGCCTCTACACTTCGCTCTGCAAGTGAATTCTGTTAACACAGTAGGCAAATGCAGGATGTTCAAGTTCAAATTCAAGTTGCACGCAAAGTGCTCGCCATCCTCAGGCAACGATTCTAACAAGACATTTTGTTTATTTCTTGCAAAATACTTTGTCTGTAAACCAAAATTTGCATGTGCTGGGGCAGTAGTCCTGGTGACGTTGTAGCAAAGCCAGAAAAGTAAATAGGCAAAGCAACTTTGCAATATGTGGGATGGGGAGGAATAGACCGGGCTGTAATCTGTATTCTGATATGGGTCAAACCATTCATTCATTTATTTGTTAATTCATCTTTCTTGTCGGCAGCAGTAGGAGCAGCACAGGGAAGCATAGCCCAGTCCGTGTATATGTACATGAAAAGTGCAAAAATCCAAGGTCATTATGGCAACGTCTGAAAGAAACGGTGGCTGCAATTTATATGTACATAGTTAACTTATCTATGCTGTCATTTGACATCGAAGTTGAATTCTGTTGTCAATGGTATGGACCAGGGCTACTCCTTGCTTTCTCAGCTTGCATAAACATCACAGCCTCCAGCTGTCCGGCGAGAGATTGTGCCTTTTTAGCCACAGATACACCTTGCAATTCCTTGAGCTCTTCTCTTCTGCCAGCCATTTGCTTGTCTTGCCACTTGTCATTTGTTGGTGGAGAAAATGCGGACTTACTTCGACGTGGTGACTTCTTTGGAATCTGATGCTGTTTTGACGAGATGGTCTGTGGTGGATTTGATGGTGGTGGTGATAGTGCAGTGCCACTTGGCTTGGCTAGTGCCAGCTTCCTGGGCTTGGGTACTGGTGTTGACTTTGCCTGTGGTGACGTTACTCTTGCTGGTGGTGACATCACTCTTGCTGGTGGTGACATCACTCTTTCTGGTGGTGACATCACTCTTGCTGGTGGTGACATCACTCTTGCTGGGGGTGATGTCACTCTTGATGGTGGCGAATGTGTCCCACCTGAACTGTCATGTTCCACTTTTCCCAGGTAGTCGGATGGCTCATCGTTATCATTGAACTTCACTTCTTTGCTGACTGGTACCAGTGAGGTGTGGCTTGGCGGTGATCTGCTCCGTATCATGTGGAAACTTACATTGACGTAGTCATCTTCACTGGCCGGGGAGGAGGAATGCTCATCATGTGCCACTAGCACTGGCACTGCTGCTTCTATGTATTCACTGGTGTCCTTCACTATATCTTGCTCACGCTCGTGCTTGCTCAAGTCGGAGTCGCTGCGTGCCCGGTACATGTTACTTGTAACTGGTTCAGTCAACCAGTTAGTACCCAGTGTGGCACTGCCACTGCTGCCGTATTTGGTCGTCTGGTTGATCAAGCAATCGTCAGCACTTGTGTTGGACTTGGAGCGGTATCGTGCACCTTTAGGAAAGACTGGTTTCATAGCGGGTAGTTTCGGTAATCTGTGTGTATACCAGTCAGTATCTGGATCCGGTGGTAGTGGAGGTGCACGCGGACTGTACGCACCCTTTGTACGGATCTCCGGCACTACATAGTTTTCCTCATCTTCATCGTCATCATTCTCCACAGAAATAGCGGTGAGGTTTGTCTCGCTGCAGGCTCGACGACTCAGCTTGGTTAGTTTGACGTGGGCATGTGCTTGAGGTTGACGGAGTGCCTGCTCATCGAAAGCTGCCTCGTACGGACTGTGTGATTTGGTGCGGGTGTGCTGTGTCAGGCACGGTTGTTCTCTCTCTGATAGCGACTGACTGTTATGCTCACTATCACTATCCTCTCCTGGTAAGGGTGGCTTGTCTGAAAGAAACCAGCCAAAGCAGAATCAAAAGCAAAAAAGAAGCAATTCAAGTTAGTAAGAATAGAGTGTGCATGTCAGCAGCCACTTAGACAATGCATGTCAGCAGCCACTTAGACAATGCATTGTGGAAGCCGAAACATGCACACTGAGCACAGCCTTGTAGCAAGAGCAGAATGATAGCAGTCACTGTAGTTACCCACAGTGGCACTCTTTCCCCAGTCAGAAGCAGACATCAACCCAGCACCAACATGTTCATTTCTAGGGCTGGACTGCAATGTCATCATTTTCTGAAGCAATTGCAATTCCTAACGGGAAGATCTTATTCAACCAGTAGCTTGTCTGCCATGCACTGCATGGAGTCCAGTGGCCCAGAAACGCAATACACTGGCCCACAGGCATGAGGGCAAGAGAGAAACAGCACTGGCCCGACACGGGAACACTTCTTGTCTTTTCATGTAGTGTGGGGCAGTTTGACAACAACAGCGGGAGCCGGGCTGCCAAGCTGCAAATTTCCAGAACGAGCTCAGCACATAAGCATCATGCTTCATGTCTGTTTACCAATCCCAAAGGCTTCCCAGCTTTCGTTTTTCTAATGCAGTTCATGGAGGATTTCTTTCATCGCTTGTTCGTAAATACATCAAGGAGTCGATGTGATGCATCTGAGAATGAGTCACGTGAGCGGATGGACTAATTTTTAGTGCTCAAACGGTTCGTCCGATTAACCGGTTGCAGACCGGTTACGAAGAATGAACGGTTAACCAATAAAGATAACGGTTACGCAGTACCTTTTCAGTCACTTTTTCAAGCATCAGGTCGTTGCTTAAGTATGCACTTTCGCAGGCTGTCGCACGCGTACGCAATTTCTGGGCTGTCAACTAGGTCATATCTGGTCTCTTGGTGGGAGAGTATGTATGAATGAGCATGGAAGAGAATGTACATGCGTGCGTTGTACTGAATAGGGTACATTTTTTTGAATGAGTATAGTCAAATATACGGTTAAAAAAGAGTCCGCAGGATTGCCATGGCTTATAGGTCATAACCGTTAAACCGACCGTTAGCTTAGCAGTTAACCGTTAGGGGTAAAACCGTGACCGTTTGGGCCCTACTAATTTTGGCTGCATGCATTGCCTACTGTAAATCAATAGATTTTGGCAGGTGAGGAACTTTAGCTGTTTGGGGTTTTCAAAAAGAACTTGTTCTATGGGGGATTTTCCTCGCATGCAGTCATGGCCCAATCTTGCATTTCTCAGACCTGGTGAAACATATTGCATGGGCGGCGAATTACTTTGCTGGTATGCACCAAGCAGCAAAATGAAACCAAATTTAGACAGACCGTAACGTTTTTTGTTGATTTACAGTATGTTCAGTAACCCAATGTAAAAACCGAACAGTGTTTTACAGCCAGGCTTTCTAGATAGATAGGTAGTGTACTCACACGATGCTGCTGTCTTGAAACCAGGTAAACTCTTGATTTGCTCGGTGAGTTGTAGGATATTTTCTACACTGGGCCTACGGGGCCCTGCCGCATTTTTCCTTCCAGCAGTGAAGCGCCGTGCTCCAGAACGCTGGAATGATGTTTGACCTGTAGCGTCCGGCGTATCAGGTGCAGGATGATCAGGGCTGTTAGCTTCTATGTGTGTAAATAGACGCTCGTAGCGTGCGCAATCTTGGCTGTCCAGACTAGAACTGGCGCTTTGCGTTCTATTGAGTCTTCTGTCAGTAGCTGGTGATACTGCAGCATCTCCTGAACCTATCAGATGTGGCTGGGTAAGATGATCATAGTCTAATGATGACTCTGATGAGATAGTGGGGTGTGGTTGCAATACGGTATTGTCATAAAGATCCTCGCTGGTGTCTTCAACTGATGCCTGGTGTTGGCTAGCTGCGTCTTGGTCATACAGGAATGCTGTGCCCTCACCGTCCATCTTCTCATACAGAGCTGGAGCACTACCGGCATAGATGCCAGTGAGGGTCTTAGCCGAATGCTTGACCTCCGCCATGGGTTCGTAGAATCCATTGAGCTCCTCAGTTGGATAGCTGTGTATAGTGTTAGCCTTAGAGATTTTGCGCAGTGGATGCTGCACCGCTGCGTTGGCAGCAACGCCAACAGGAGCAGGACTGCCGCCAGATTGCAGAACAACATTGGGCGTGAAGAAAGACGTCTCATTGCTGCCTGCCACAGTGTACGAGATACGATCAGCATTTTCCATTTGATCGTTGACATCTAACTCTCCAGCCGAGTCCTGAAGATGTAACTTCAGAATACGTGCAACATGTGCTGCCGTTACTCCGTTGATATGCAGAACGACCTGGCTACCATCGGACACCTTCAGCCATAGGTGACCTGTACGTGAGCTGTAGCCAAACGCTTTGATGGAGACGATGTCACAGCTGTAAACGACAACTTGGTTCAGAGGTGATCGGAAAACTAGAGAATGCGGCTTCCACCGAGGGTGGAACTCCAGGAGTCTCTCACCTTGGGAATCATTACCGGGACTATCAATCACTGTGACGTGGTAGAGTAGTGGTGCACCCTCTGTATACAGGTAATACACACACCATACAGACACACATGCACATACACAGATGCACGCATGCACGTGCACGCACACACAAATGCATGTATATCCAGCCAGTTAGATGTTTGCATGCACACACAGACACAAGCATACATGAAGAGACAGATAAAATGCATGCAGGTCAAACCTGGTTGCAGAGAGCACCCAAACATGGGACCGACCTATTGCGGATGTTCTCTGAAACCAGGGTGATCCTGGTACATTCAAATCACTCAGCGTCAGAGAAAAAAGTGGCTGCACGCACCATGCAGATGATAGTTGAAACCAGGTAGCTGCTCAACTACAAAAGTCAAGCGACCTCTGCCGTGTACATGTATATGCATACCTGGGACTATAATAACACGTGTACAAGAACGTTGTGTTTTGCAGCAGAAGCTCCCAATGGGCTCGTACATGTAGCTGTATCCCGAGTGACTGGTCTTGTCAACATGAAGTAGAGGTTCTCTGCCTATAACGGCGGAATACTACATCCAGTGTGAACGTGTTTGCTAGTCCATTCAGGCGAACAAACTCCGAGGCTCTGCTGCAATATCCGCAGAACGCGGTGGAATGTCGTCAATATACACCCATACTGGCAACTTGTTCACGTGTCTGCATAGTAGTGGCCTTGTACCGCTCAGAAGAAATCACTGCTCTTACTGTACCTACCTTGAACCCTGCTTTCTTCCATTGCTGATTGAATGGCAGCCACCCAACCAAACATGTCATCTTCATTATCAGCTACACAGTGGTAGACTTTCTTCTTGAAATGCATGGAGAAGGAAGCAGCCACTTCGGATGGAAATCGATCACACGCAGTGACAAGTCGCATCTCAGACATATCGATGTTGATGTCCTTGCTTTTCTTCTCATTTTTCGGAGTGAGCACCAAGACAAGGTTTCCTGCAAAAGGGAATAGTGACAGGATTCATGCAGCATTATCCCTAAAGGTTGGATCCATTGACTTCGGCACACCGGCATATTAGGTACGCCGAGCAAGAAATTCCCTCAATCAATGCTCAAGAAAATGGGCAATACAGTAAGTACCGTACGCGCTCGAATGCTCAAGCTGACTGTTTTGGAGCAACAATTTCATGCATAGTGCAATAGGGTCAAATGCAGTGCCTATACTCGACACATCACACACACACCTCAGACACCTGAGACATGCCCATCGCGGAAGCGATGACAGCGAACAGCTATGTTAGACATAGCAACTTGTGCTGGGATTACACCATTCAACAGCTTGCAAGGCTGATGAATAGACCGCCACTATTTTTAGCCTGGTATCCACCACACAGCTGTTTGAAGTGACTTTTCTGGCCAGTGAATCCCTATTTTTCATTTTTCCATTTTTTTCTACACACACACACCACCACACACACCGGCATACACTGGCTGTTGGTAACCACCCAGGAGAATGAAAGAAAAGTTAGGAAGAGTCCGAGAAAGAGAACACACACACACACGCACACACATACACACACACACGCACACACATACACACACACATACATACACACACACACGCACACACACATGCACGCGCACGCACGCACGCATGCACGCACACACACACACACACACACACAACCTTCCGAAGTCTAGAAGAAAATCGCACTTGGGAATTGAAAATCGTAGCAAATTAATAGCGGCCCAGCAGGTACCCCAGCTTGCGGCTACGCATTGAGGGCAGCGTGCCGTGCCAGACCCCATGTGCGGTTGCATACTCTTGGAGTTGCAGACTCTTACTTTCACCTATTGAGGGGATCTGGTAAGGCTTACGTTTGAACTTTGCTGAACCAATCTCCCACATCAGTTTTGCACGACAGACTTGGTCACGATACACGATTGACTAAAGATGCACACAACACAAGCAACATTCATAAGTAGACTCAAATCAGCAGCAGTAGCAGCAGTAGCAGTAGCAGTAAGGACGATAACCTACCGCAGTGTTATTCTATTTTTGCACGGGTTTGCGTACAGGGCGGGTTAAGAAAAAAAGAAAATTGAAGAAAGAAATAATCCTACACAGTTGCGAGGGCACTACGCGACCGCGGGCAAGATCACTCACATGACCGAGGGCCTGATCAGAGCGGCATGCCCGATGCAACTGTGTGGGATTGTGGTTCAGACAAGGCTGACATATATATAGAGAGATTCAAAGAAAGAAAGCCTTGGCAATGATGGCAAATTGCCGCAATGACTTATTGTCGATGTCACATTGTGTGCAGAGACCATCACAAACAGCTATTTGTTTGGTCAGAACTTTCCAGTTTTGAGATGAAAGTATTCAAGTACAGTGAAGGCAGTAGTATCGTTAGTAGTACCAAGAGTACATGAAAACCAGAGTGTGCAGCTCGGATGGGTTGCTGTCACGGCGAAATTCCGTGATTACATCATTTTAGTGATGTAGTGCATACAAGCAGGTCTCTTTCTGCACAACTGCAGCTCAGTTGTACGCACTACGCCATTTCCCGCCTCAGATCTGGGCCAAATATGATGTAATCACGGAATTTCGCCGTGACAGACACCCATAGCAGAAAAGGCCCCAAGCTGCACACTCTGGTTTTCATGTACTCTTGGTAGTACCAGCAATATGATTGATTGAATAAACGCGTTCTCCGAGTAGGATGATCATCAGAGGAAGGATCAAATGCGAGTGCTGAGAAGGTTACATGTCTGTACTTGCGGAGGTCTGCTTCCATTACGTGCGCTTCGCTGAGCAACATGACCAGCTGCAAGGTCGGATGGTGTTTCTGGTCTCCCTACACACGTTCAGTACAGTAGTGAGTAATTTTGGAGAAGCGAGACAAATGTAGAAGAACTCGTCGGAGATGTTGACCAAGGCAAGCACTTCGAAAAAATGTAATGGTAAGTACACATGTACGGCGCGATGTTGTATGACTGCTGTTCTTGCCCGGATATGCGGGCAAGAACAGCAGTTGTACCGTCTCGCGTACAGAATAAGCGGGCGAGATGGACTTATCTTGCCCGCTTATTCTGGCCACTCATTGGTTGTCACCTGGCAACAAGCACGTGCCATGTCTGAGTAGTTATCAAGGCCAGCATTTCCCGCTTGCAAGCACGTGTCATGTTCCGCTTCTGTGGGATGCTACCACCCCATGATCATGCGTCAGATGCGAGTGTTAAAGATGGTGGTAATAACAACGAGAACAGCTAGTAGTAGCAGCAGCAGCATTGGTGGCGGCGATGACAAGACTGGCAGCACTAGCAACGACGACGATCACGACGGCAACAACAGTGGAGTAAAACCTGTAACTAAAGACCACCCCGGGGCCAGAAAAAGCGGTATTTAGTGGAGAGATAGATAGATAGAGAGAGAGAGAGAGAGAGAGAGAGAGAGAGAGAGAGAGAGAGAGAGAGAGAGAGAGAGAGAGAGAGAGAGAGAGAGAGAGAGAGAGAGAGAGAGAGAGAGAGAGAGAGAGAGAGAGAGAGAGAGAGAGAGAGAGAGAGAGAGAGAGAGAGAGAGAGAGAGAGAGAGAGAGAGAGAGAGAGAGAGAGAGAGAGAGAGAGAGAGAGAGAGAGAGAGAGAGAGAGAGAGAGAGAGAGAGAGAGAGAGAGAGAGAGAGAGAGAGAGAGAGAGAGAGAGAGAGAGAGAGAGAGAGAGAGAGAGAGAGAGAGAGAGAGAGAGAGAGAGAGAGAGAGAGAGAGAGAGAGAGAGAGAGAGAGAGGAAGGGGGAGAGGAGAGGGAGAGGAAGGGGAGAGGGAGAGGAAGGGGGAGAGGGAGAGGGGGAGGGAGAGGGAGGGAGAGAGAGAGGGATAGAGAGAGAACATTAAGTTGTATTGCTGATGTCAATGCAATCAGGGAGTTGTAAAATACCAGGTGTTTGACTTCCTGGTTGCTACTTCTGAAGCCAGGAGTCAAGCATTCCCTGTGGAAATTTCAGTTTGCGCTGGGCTTCACATTTGTTGATGAAATCACCAAGTTTCTCAACATTCATTGCCATAGTAGCCAAGCCACGCTGCAACGTAAACTGCTGCAATGTTGCATAGTAGCATTCTAGCACTGCACCTGTTCGTCTGTGCGAGTCGTGTGTAATTGCACTTCGTCAGGTCCGTTCAGTCTTCGTTTCTCTCTCAAGCATCAACATCGATCAGAGACTGAGAGAGCACTTTCCAAGCGCTCTCCAATACGTTCTCTATCATGTTTGTTCCTGACAACACTTGAAATTATTACAGGTGCAGTGCAGCCCACAGTCAAAATGAGCTTGCTTTCATTTCGTTCAGCTGTAGTATCGAAAGAGTCCATTCAAGAGCATGGAAAATGATCAAACAAATTCAGAGAGGGAACTTCGAACAACTTTTGATTTCCTACATCGCGGTCGCTAGTTACGGGTTACAAAATCAACACTGGGACAAGAAAAGGCTGCCACTGGTCTCGTTCAGCAGGTAGTCGCTAGTCACAGTGCATTTTGAATGTGAGACCGCCTATACCTGGCAAAGTGGTCGGTAGTATCAGGTTGGTCGGTAGTATCAGGCTGGTCGCTAGTCACAGTGGTCGCTAGTCACAGTGGTCGCTAGTCACAGTGGTCGGTAGTTACAGGTTTTACAGTATGTCAGAAAAAGGTCTCTGCAACAACAGAAGACTGCAAAAGTCCAAAAACTCCAAGGCCTTGCCTAATACTCCAAAAACTGACTACCAACATTCAATTTCTGCCCAAAGCAATTTGCCAAATCATACCTTTCCTTTCACAACATCAATGCGAAGGTGCTTGTCACGGAGTAGAGTGGTGGACAGAAGGGATGATGCTCGGCCGGCTGGTGCAGACGCCGACAGATTGGTGCGTCCACTTTTGCCGCCCTGCAGTACAACAGAAACGCGTAGCGTGTTTTGACTATCCCGGATATCTTGCCCCCACCCTGCGTCAAGACACCCTGATTGCTCCGCTTCTGGCATGTAGATCTACTACAGGTTGAATGTTAGCATAAGTATTGACCCTCCTCTGGGCACAAGTACTTTAGATATAACCTGCAATCAATTTGCATGGACATGTCACCATGATATTCACACCCATCACGACTTCCAACCCATTCTTTACTGAGGTAAGGGGCTCTTTGAAACTGGGTTTATTGCAGCCTTCTTCACTCAGATCTTGTCACTTACTTCCTGAACCGTTTCCAGCTAACAGTCATTAGGGCATTAGTCACTAGCAGACAGCGGTACATGTAACATTTGTTGTGTGTGTTGTTCAATCAAGACCATGCATGTGGACCAGGTGGACAGGATACTGTGTGCCATTACTCCTCCATGTTTAGGCTACTGATTTTTAAATAATTTGTTTATTTTTCATTTCCTAAGTCACCTAGCTATCCCTGTAGTAGACACGAAAATGGCGACATAATTCAGTGCAACAGCAAACTATAATTAATTTTAGCATTCATACCATCAAGAGTAGATAAGCTAGGGAGCCTATACTCCTGATGTCATTGATACTCACCGAGTTTTCCATAACTGCATGCTAGTTTCCTGCAATGAACATCACCAGCATACGATATGCAGCTCACGCCCTGTAACGAAACCAGAACATCACCGTAACACGGACATGACCCACAGTACATAATCATAAGAAAAAAGCACGGGCCACGAAGACAGCAGACCGCTTCCGAGTTCCCAAACTCTGCTGAGCCAGAGTGAGCCAGTGCACGCTAGTGTTTCGGACTTGCCGACGGCTGAGTCCTTCACTGCTTCAGAAAGCCAGGTTTCCACTACCGGCACACATGTCAGCAGATTCTGAGAGTCACATGGTGGCGGTAGTAAATAGCAGAATGCGGTGAGTCGCTCTAATGAGTTCTTCTTCACATCAACACCTTCCTTTTCCTAAAGACTTGCTTGGGTTGCAGTTTGCAGTCTATTACCAACTGGGTAGTCACACCTCTGACGCTACGTCCTAGTTAGCACTGACAGCACACGTTTCGGCGACGATAGCACTTACCGTGTAGAACTACTCGCAGATCGAAAGCGTTGACGGCAAGCGATTTTTTCGCTTCTTTCCGCTCTTCTAGTAATAATTCTACCTTGCGCCAACCAAAAGGCACCCTAAAAATGCAGTGTTCCCAGCTAGACTGGGGTGTTTCCAACTACACTATGCGCAGACATGGGCGATTCATTGAGCGCTACACAAACATCACGATTGACGGGTTGTTTCTGAAATCTGCGCCCCACGCCGGTCCAGGCCGGACCTCTTCACGACTACAGTCTCGATCTCCTATCGATATCACAGGCCAAGTCGGTTGTCGGGTAGGCAACAAGCCCGCTGCCTCTGACTGCATGTCGGTTTAGCAATCGCTCACTACAACACAGGTGTTTGATGAACTCTCTGCGGTATCCGGTTTCCTAGGGCTGCTCGTGGAGAGTTCTGCTCGCTACAGCCTACAGCCTACACTACATCATGTAGACTCTACCATGTACCATGATGTACCAGTACACCACACACACAGGCCAGTGTGACTTGCAGTCGACAACGATACACCACCAGTCCGGAGGCTAGAGCTTCAGAACTCGGGGAGGGCTTTGCTCGACGTAACAAGTCGTTGGTGTTACCGTTACGGCGTTAGTGTAACAGTTACTGACCATTGGTCCGGGATATTACTTGTGACGCTGGACCACAATCATGTCGATATCGGATCACACCTCACGTCGTCAACCTTCAACTAGTACTAGTAATAGCAAGAGTCCATAACTCCGGGTTATGGACTCTTGCTACTACTAGTATCACGAGTCCATAACCCAGGGTTATGGACTCTTGCTAGTATTCAAGTAACACAATAATAGCTGTGTGTTCTACAGATCGATATTAGTCCATACCCATTCCGATTCCCCCTTCATGGGACTCTTGATATACCAGTGCTCACTTGTGCCAAGTAGTTGCGGCGCGTGCTTCCTTCTTTCTTTGTGCGAAACTGCGTGTCATGTCGATATCAGTGTTCCTCGGAATGTTGCAAGAGCTTCACAGCTCCATCAGCCGATGCATACGTACTGTAGCAAGCACGCAGGAAGCTTGTGATCTGGTGTCGACCGTACAATCATTCCCCCGGAGTGCCCGGACCTGTACTAGTGTCGTAGTGAACATCTTCAAAGTGAAAGTGCAATGAAAACACGCTTGATAAGATTTGTGATGGACGCTGGTCGGTGGTTACAGTGTATTGTACATGTCACTAGACCAGGAAGACGATAAGCAAAATGGTGCTTGACATTGCTCGTAGCTTGCTTTGCGACGCTCTTCAAGAATCTGCTACACTTGTCAGGACGGCTAGTAGCAAGAACTATCGTCTCCGCATCATGATCTCCACGTATTGACGTAACACGGACGGTAGATCTACAGACTACTTAGTACAATCTAGTAGTATCCCCTCATGCAGACCAGCAGACCAGCACCAGCAATCTGCCGTATACTGTACATAGGGTCAATCGTATACCATTGTATACAATCATGTAATCTGAAATAGTAGCACATTTTCTTGATACAGTAACGGAATGTGGGTACATACTACATGTACATGTACAAGGATACTTCGTCACAGGACTCACATGCACAGGTCGTGCCATGAAAAAACCAAATCCGTCCATCCGCGAAATAATTGAAATCGTGTTTCTTCAAAAGTAACAATTCTCCTTGTATTTCAGGTTGCGGCAACGTGTGTCCAAATACAGTATTCCTTCCTGAAAGACATGCTTTGTTGTGTAATGCTAGAGTTGTCCATAGATTTCATTTGCGGATTTTCTACCACCGCCCTGTGTAAGATCCAACAGTCTACATGTACAATGTACATTATAGGTCAGCTATAGAGTTGCCCCACCCTTCTAACACCTGAACACTGTTCATCTTTATAAAATTCAGTGTAATGTACTAATGTCATGTACTAGTACAGTCATGTACATGTAGTTGTGAATGGCTCTACAAAGTATGAAGGGCTCTCCTGACTAGGCCTTGGCGGATAATGCCGGCAGAAAAAGTGGCAGAATTCGGTACTTTTTCTGGTAAGTTTCATGCATGTTTGGTATGTGGATAAAGAAATGGAGCAGAATTCGAGGAATTGCCCGCCATAAGGTTTGTATGGTTCTGCCAATTTCGGTGCAAAAAAAGCAGAATCTGCCACCTTTTCGAACATTATCCGCCAAGGCCTACTCCTGACAAGAATCAAAGTGATCTACAGCTGAGTCCCACAGAGAGAACTGGGGAGGGAGAGGGAAATGGGACGGGGGAGGGGGCGGGGAAGAGTTTTTGTGAAGAGGCGCTACAGAGTCAGAGGTACATGTATGTGTATATGTACATGTATAGGGAAACACAAACACGGAGGGATAAAAATAGTATAACATACATGTACATGTACTCAGTCCAACTGTGCCTGAGAGCGGAGAGTGACAAACACGAGCCGATAGGTAGTGCATGTTTTCCATCCGGGCTATTCCTATAGAAAACTGGTGCACTTTCAAGGAATTGTCTCCCAACCCGATTGACAACTTTAGTTTAGGTTCCCTAACTGAATTCTAGCGTCATTTACGTATTTACAGTGCAAAGTATCGAGTTTGACTGCACTTTGATGTGCAATTATTGATTTGCGTGCTTGTTCTTCACTACTGTAGTCACTAGTCACTGTATATTTTGTACTACAGCATTTTTTTGACCGCCAAAATGCCCGTTATATTATATTATTATTATTATCAAATTTTTGATAGGGCAATCCCCACAGGCCTAAGGCTAAGGCCTTCTTACAGGGTACCGGTACCCTAGAAATGAAAGTACTGAATTACGGAATGGGTGCAGTGAAGAGCATAAGCGGACTGCAGCGGGGAGTGCATTCCAACGGTCGGAACCGATGAAAGAAACTGAAAAGAGACCGAAACGAGTTTTAGCTTTTGGTAGAGTGAATGGACTTGCTTGCTAGCTACCTTGTTGAAAAGTACGAAAGGCCTAGTCGAAACTACCGGTATGATGGCTTCTGTGCTTCGTGTGCTGATTTGCTTTCCTCCAACCAATAATCTACTCATCTTTCTTTTCCGAACTCACTTTGCACACTTTCTTTTCCCCACTGAGTCACTGATTACAATGCTCAATGTACACAGTCATGCTGTACATACACAAACAGGAGATCCAGGATTTCCGCTGATATAATGATAGGCGTTAGCCTTTGGGTAATCCTGAAATTAAGAATTATTAATATTACAGACATGGTTAGCATTTTACCGTTCACGCTATTTCGACGGTCGGCGTAGAGGGCGAGTCTACTGTTTTTGATGTGTTTTCGAGACACGGTTAGTAGCAGTTCGGCTTCTGAGTCCTGACTCCTGACGCAACGATAGACGTGTGAGGTAACGGTTAAACCCTAGTTAGAATCTTACCGTTTCGTTCTCCCGCTAAAAAGAGCTTAAAGGGGAAGTTAAGGCAAAAATTAAAATTTCACCAGTTGTAGTCTTCGGGGTGCTGAGTCGAATGGTCTTGGTCCGAGAAAGCTGAAACGCTCCCTTCCTACTTGAATCCCAATCGAACTCGCGCACTTCCACCGAAACTGGGTGACTGCGCCCTACTAGATGGGGATTTGTATGCAAAATGTCACTAAAAGTGCTATGTCGTTCTTATAAAAGCACGGATGACCGCGATTGGCCCATATGTTGTAGTCTTTTGGACGCTGAGTCGACTGGTTTTGGTCCGAAAAGGCTGCGATGCAGCGTTCCTCCTTTATTCCCAATCGAACATGGTTGAAGAAGCGGTCACGTGCTCCTGGGTGCCCAAATCACCTGGTCACCAAGCCAGCAGGCGTCAACTTTCACACCAAGGTTCAACTCGAGTTCAACTCGAGTGACAGGACTGCACCAAAAAAAGGTCAAACAGGCTAGTAAGTAGTTGTACCCTGCACTAAGGCTGCAGGCACGGTGACCAGCTGACTGGTGTACGCAGGAGCACGTGACCGCTTGTTCAACCATGTTCGATTGGGAATAAAGGAGGAACGCTGCATCGCAGCCTTTTCGGACCAAAACCAGTCGACTCAGCGTCCACAAGACTACAACATATGGGCCAATCGCGGTCATCCGTGCTTTTATAAGAACGAAACGGCGCTTTTAGTGACATTTTGCATACAAATCCCCATCTACAAGAGTAGTAGGGCGCAGTCAGTCACCCAGTTTCGGTGGAAGTGCGCGAGTTCGATTGGGATTCAAGTAGGAAGGGAGCGTCTCAGCTTCCTCGGACCAAGACCATTCGACTCAGCACCCTGAAGACTACAACTGGTGAAATTTTGATTTTTGCCTTAACTTCCCCTTTAACTAATAAATATTACTTCCCCTTTCATTTCTATCGTCGAAACGGTACCAAACCGACGGTATTTCGGGTTTGGGGTACGAGTACCGTTGGATCTAGCGCGTGAACTGTAAAATGCCATGTCTACACACACAAAAAACGGTGCAGGCCGACCGTCGAAATAGCGGGAACGGTAAAATGCTAACCATGTCTATTAATTATTATGATACCCGTGACCGTTCATTACTAGTCTTTAGTTTAGTCATAGCAATTCATTACACAGGGCAACCGGTTTGTCAAAGCTTCTTGTTGTTTACAAGCTGTCCTTCTTTTGACTTTTCGTTTTTTTATTATTTCATGATGGATCCAATGCAGTCAGTGATTATGCTGTGTAGCACCGCTACACAACAACAACAACAACAACAACAACAACAACAACACTGCAGTGAGCAACTCATGGATCATGGAGAATGAGAGAACTCTGACCTTTGACCCCTAAGTTCAAAGGTCATGCTTTTCCAAAGATCGACCGAATGGATCGCGAGGTATGTCTTGAACGCCGACGCCAGCGAATCCGTTATATCCATCCTTTGCCTTTACCTAAGTCCTTTGCAGGCTTTGGCAGCACAGTCCACCGTGGTCCGCAGTCTAGCTAGCCTGGTCGATCAATGATCAAGCGATCCATCGCCGCATCACACAACAATGCCATGTAGATTTAGATTGACTTGGCGGTAGGCTTCTTCTCGGCGTTTCCTCCTTTCACCATCGAGAGGCTTCCCTGAGCTCAAAGCTACAAAGCCTGAGACTGATATGAGAAGAAAAAAAACTCGTGGTATTCAAGTTATCGTGTGGCCCTGACAGTAGATCTACAAAAGGATCCGGCCTTCTAGAGTGTCGACTCGATGGCCGTATAATCACTTCATTTGTCCTTTACGAGGCTTGAGTGAATGATCGCAACCGACATGCAAAGTCAGCAAACGACTCGGGCTCCATTTTTCAAGCCCCTTTCGCCTCCATCGCTGAATCCCGCAGTATCCGACAGCACTCAGGAGAGACTTCTTCAAGATAAGCAACGGGCCAGCAACCAATCCTCACGGACGAAAGGTAAGAAAAACACGTAGCGAAAAGACCGCGCTGATCCGAAACGTTTCCGAACCTCACAGTCACACTGTGCGCCTTGATGTCATCGATGCATCATGCGTGCACGTGTGTACGGATCGGCGAGGCAAAGGGCAGATGTTCAAAAATCAGGAAGTCATACCAAAAAGAGTGCGTGTAGTGTCAGTACTCTTGCACAGACGAGCAATGCTGCAACACATTTCTGGAAGTTTTTCTTAGCTCTCAAACATGGCAGATGAACTAACTTGTCAGCAACCAACTAACTTTAGTTGTGGTCATCCTTGTATTGCAGTGTATTTGTTGTCAATTCATCTTGTTACCAAATCAGAGCCATGAACTTCTCCAGCGCTTTTGGCCAGTCACGCCTTTTGTTGAAGGTTTACAGCCAAACAATTAGACTTGGTATATTGTATACAAAAGTCGGTTATGGATTGCTTGTCTTATTACCCCAAGTGAGTGTTTCATTGCACTTCTTAGTTAGATATTGTAGTGCTGGGATTAGTGCTATCATAGTGGTCAGTGTTAGGTTGTAGAGTATAGGTTATAGCATTAACGCCATCATACTATAGTGTAGAGTTTGGCACATTCCGTATTGTGTTATAAGCCGAGTGTCGCATCATGCAGAATCAGAATACAGATCTTCTGGAACCAAGCAGTTGCTCTGGCAAGCGTGGGCTACGGTACTACAGATATCACTGTGTAGGGTTTTGTTGGGTACACGCATGCATGTACTTCAGTCTGTCCAGCCTTGCCACCATTCCAAAGCAGGGCAATCATAGACCGTAAAGTACCGTTCATCCTCCCCCTCTCTAATTCCCGCCCCCTGTCGATTTTCTACCTGTGAAGCGACTTCGGCGTATACAACGAAATACGATGTTGAGCCGACGCATGCACTGCTGTACACAATACGTGCCAATTCAGGATGAAAATGTGCACAATCCAGCACATCGAGTCTGATCCTCCACGTTGTTGTACATGTACATCGTACTGCACTTCACAGCCTTGATCTAATTCCCGCCCCTGCCGAAAACCCAGCTGGGAAGCGATATGGCGTGGGGGGGCGGATCAACGGTATTTTACGGTACATAATACTCAGGCCCGCCGGAACCGGTCTGGTTGGTCAGGTTATTACCGGACCAACTTTTCGGTCACCAACACAATCATGTTTCATACTGTGGAGACCCAGGGCATGTGTACCCGCCATATCTTACACAAAATATGAACGGCCATGATACTAGCGGACCAATCAAAAACTGCTTCCGGCGGTCCCGATACTTGAAGTAAAAAGGCAATATTCTCCCATGTAAATGTACCCGAATGTTTCGGTCCAAAGCAGGGTGGTTGGATAGCCTGACACTTTTTAATTGAGCAAAGTGATGCCACCATATTTTATGCAAAGTTGCGTATGTGTGTGTGTGCGTGTGTGTGTGTGTGTGTGTGTGTGTGTGTGTGTGTGTGTGTGTGTGTGTGTGTGTGTGTGTGTGTGCGGGTGTGCAGTCGATTTCCAATCGAGAGGTTGCGGGTTCAATTCCCGACAATTATGGTCGCACACGTCTTTCTTCTCTTTCTCATTCTCCTAGCTCTTCTTTCATTCTCCTGGGTGGTTACCAACAGCCAGTGTATGCCGGTGTGTGTGGTGGTGGTGGTGTGTGTAGAAAAAATGGAAAAATGAAAAATAGGGATTCACTGGCCAGAAAAAGTCACTTCAAACAGCTGTGTGGTGGATACCAGGCTAAAAATAGTGGCGGTCAATTCATCAGCCTTGCAAGCTGTTGAATGGTGTAATCCCAGCACAAGTTGCTATGTCTAACATAGCTGTTCGCTATCATCGCTTCCGCGATGGGCAGGTCTGAGGTGAGGTGAGGTGTGTGTGTGTGTGTGTGTGTGTGTGTGTGTGTGTGTGTGTGCAGGGGGGGGGGGGGGGGGGGCTGAGAAAAGTATGACAAACCACATTGCCAAGTGACGTTTTCCTTGCGTTTTGTATAGATTTATCATGGGATACCATACAGAGTGCTTCACTTCACGCCCGGCTACAGCAGGAAGCAGAGAAAATCCGTCGATGGAAGCTGTCAACAGAACTGGATCTGAAACAGCGGGTATGTGTGTGTGTTGTGTCTGTGTGTGGGTGTGTGTGTGTGTGGGTGTGTGTGTAGACAGAAACACTGTGTGTGTGTTGTGTCTGTGTGGGTGTGTGTGTGTGTGTGTGTGGGTGTGTGTGTGTGGGTGTGTGTGTAGACAGAAACACTAGCTGTGTGTAGAACGGTCCCCTCTCACCTCAATTACTCTCCTTGTTTTTCCTTTCTCGCTGTTGTCTCCCGCTTCTGGGAGCGACGTGGCCATTTTGTGGCAGTTGTACATAGTAGTAGTGTGTGTGTGTGTGTGTGTGTGTGTGTGTGTGTGTGTGTGTGTGTGTGTGCCAGTTAGTTGGGTTGGTGGGTGCACTTATGCCTGATTGTGTTGGGTCTGTTACCAACAGGCTCGGCTGCTTGAAGGTGTAATGTTGTACCTGCCATCTTTGTTGGTTCCAGGGTTCATATACTTTCTATTTGAAGTATACATATCTGTTAACCATGGACTGCTTCTGGCTAGATTAACTCTTGTGTAATCAGTGGTGCTAGTGAAGCTTTTATCAGATCCACTCTGATTTAGCCACCCACACTAGTAGCAAATATTACCTTCACTGGAGGCAGGGGTAACTGCAGTTGGATCCCGGGACGGATACCCTGATGCCGTCAATCCTCTTTCTGCACCTTGTCCTCACCCACTTACTGAGGTGTGGTGAGCCCATAAGTGGGATCATTTTCAAGTCCACCCAGAGTTTTGGGGATTTCAGGGGGTGTCGGCCGTTGGGCGGTTCAATAGCCAATTGAGTCATCTTTCCAAGATTCCTTTTGAGTCTCTCTCCCCTCTCCCGGGGAGACCCACGTGACCAGTTTTGGCAGTGAGCAACAAGTACAAGTGTGTGTGTGTGCGTGTGTTGTGTCTGTGTGTCGTCAATCCTTTTCTGCACCTTGTGCTCACTCACTTATTGCGATGACATCATGTGGTGAGCCTATAAGTAAAGTAAAGTAAAGTTTGCACGTCCGCGTTTCCACCATGGTGGTTACATGGATGCAGCTAACAAGCCGATAAGGCGGGTCATATTTTTTATGTCCACCCGTAGTTTGGAGGTTTGGGGGCTGTCAGCCATTTGGTGGTTCAATAGCTAATTGAGTGTTCTTTCCAAAACTTACTTTGAATCTGTCTCCACTCTACCAAGGGGAGACTCACGTTACCCTGAGTTTCTGGCAGTGAGCGAGTGCAAGTAGAAGTGTGTGTGGGTGTGTGTGTGTGGGTGTGTGTGTAGACAGAAACACTAGCTGTGTGTAGAACGGTCCCCTCTCACCTCAATTACTCTCCTTGTTTTTCCTTTCTCGCTGTTGTCTCCCGCTTCTGGGAGCGACGTGGCCATTTTGTGGCAGTTGTACATAGTAGTAGTGTGTGTGTGTGTGTGTGTGTGTGTGTGTGTGTGTGTGTGTGTGTGTGTGCCAGTTAGTTGGGTTGGTGGGTGCACTTATGCCTGATTGTGTTGGGTCTGTTACCAACAGGCTCGGCTGCTTGAAGGTGTAATGTTGTACCTGCCATCTTTGTTGGTTCCAGGGTTCATATACTTTCTATTTGAAGTATACATATCTGTTAACCATGGACTGCTTCTGGCTAGATTAACTCTTGTGTAATCAGTGGTGCTAGTGAAGCTTTTATCAGATCCACTCTGATTTAGCCACCCACACTAGTAGCAAATATTACCTTCACTGGAGGCAGGGGTAACTGCAGTTGGATCCCGGGACGGATACCCTGATGCCGTCAATCCTCTTTCTGCACCTTGTCCTCACCCACTTACTGAGGTGTGGTGAGCCCATAAGTGGGATCATTTTCAAGTCCACCCAGAGTTTTGGGGATTTCAGGGGGTGTCGGCCGTTGGGCGGTTCAATAGCCAATTGAGTCATCTTTCCAAGATTCCTTTTGAGTCTCTCTCCCCTCTCCCGGGGAGACCCACGTGACCAGTTTTGGCAGTGAGCAACAAGTACAAGTGTGTGTGTGTGCGTGTGTTGTGTCTGTGTGTCGTCAATCCTTTTCTGCACCTTGTGCTCACTCACTTATTGCGATGACATCATGTGGTGAGCCTATAAGTAAAGTAAAGTAAAGTTTGCACGTCCGCGTTTCCACCATGGTGGTTACATGGATGCAGCTAACAAGCCGATAAGGCGGGTCATATTTTTTATGTCCACCCGTAGTTTGGAGGTTTGGGGGCTGTCAGCCATTTGGTGGTTCAATAGCTAATTGAGTGTTCTTTCCAAAACTTACTTTGAATCTGTCTCCACTCTACCAAGGGGAGACTCACGTTACCCTGAGTTTCTGGCAGTGAGCGAGTGCAAGTAGAAGTGTGTGTGTGTGTGTGTGTGTATTTGTGGGAAGGGGTAACATTCCTGTGTACACTGATATCTCTTAGCCTGTCGAACACTTTTTTCCCAGTTTGATGGCTATGTTGAAGTTGTAGGGTTTGGGTATTTTTAATGTTTCGCATCAGGCACCCAGCCTGGCTGCACCATCAACAATAGAAAGTTTTGTTTCACAATTTTGTTGAAGTATCCGGCCATCAGCGTATGTACTATTTCAGGGCTTCCACTTTTATATCAAGATATTTTTTATCAGAGTCTCAGTCATGGCACAGTCACAGATAAGATATACTTTATGTTGTTTCTCACTAATGTCTGTTCCAGGAACGAAAGATAACTGAATGCCAGTCAACTATTGAGCAGCAACGCAAGGCTCTTCTCGACTTGCAAGTGAGTTTCTTACCACGTACTTTCACATGATTCTGCGTTTAAAGCAACATCGTGATATATCAGTCACACCTCCACTTTGCAACACGTTCTCTTTGTTGTGATGAATGAAAATAATGAAATAAAAATCAAGAAAATACAAGATTCAGACCCCTCACAATCATCATCCTGAAAGCTCTTCCATTGCCGTATTTCTCCGATTATAATTCGCACCCCCACTTTCAGGTTTGAGCCATATTGTTTTAGTATATCCACATAAGTTGGATTTCGCACTTGATTGTAAATCGCATCCCCTTCTTTGCCCTTGAAGTGGTGCGACTTGTATGCGGGGAAACACGGTAGTACTTTGTCACGGAATGGACTTTACGGTAATAGGTCTATACTTGGATATCCTGTGTGATCGTGAAATCCTCTTAGGCCACATGTTTTTATTTCTATGTTTCTCGTCACCTGAAAATCTAAAAATGTATGCGAGAGGTGGAAAAAAATAAAAAATGACCGAAAATAAAAAAAAGTTGATTAGACCTTTGTTCACACTAAAATTATTATTTTAATATAGCTATGAATAGGATGAAGGCCGCAGACATCACGCAACTACGTTACTTGTTTGACATGTATTACTGTGTATTTTATAACAAAAATATTATTGAAAACCCAGAATCGATTTTCTCGTTCCTATCATCAGTGGGAAAAAACGGAACTAAGGATACCACCAAAGAAACTGAAGTTAAAGGGGAAGTTAAGGCAAAAATTAAAATTTCACCAGTTGTAGTCTTCGGGGTGCTGAGTCGAATGGTCGTGGTCCGAGGAAGCTGAGACGCTCCCTTCCTACTTGAATCCCAATCGAACTCGCGCACTTCCACCGAAACTGGGTGACTGCGCCCTACTAGATGGGGATTTGTATGCAAAATGTCACTAAAAGCGCCGTTTCGTTCTTATAAAAGCACGGATGACCGCGATTGGCCCATATGTTGTAGTCTTTTGGACGCTGAGTCGACTGGTTTTGGTCCGAAAAGGCTGCGATGCAGCGTTCCTCCTTTATTCCCAATCGAACATGGTTGAACAAGCGGTCACGTGCTCCTGGGTGCCCAAATCACCTGGTCACCACGCCAGCATGCAGCAGCAGGCGACAACTTTCACACCAAGGTTCAACTCGAGTTCAACTCGAGTGACAGGATTGCACCCAAAAAAGGTCAAACAGGCTAGTAAGTTGTACCCTGCAGGCACGGTGACCAGGTGACTGGCGTACGCAGGAGCACGTGACCGCTTGTTCAACCATGTTCGATTGGGAATAAAGGAGGAACGCTGCATCGCAGCCTTTTCGGACCAAAACCAATCGACTCAGCGTCCAAAAGACTACAACATATGGGCCAATCGCGGTCATCCATGCTTTTATAAGAACGAAATGGCGCTTTTAGTGACATTTTGCATACAAATCCCCATCTAGTAGGGCGCAGTCACCCAGTTTCGGTGGAAGTGCGCGAGTTCGATTGGGATTCAAGTAGGAAGGGAGCGTCTCAGCTTCCTCGGACCACGACCATTCGACTCAGCACCCCGAAGACTACAACTGGTGAAATTTTAATTTTTGCCTTAACTTCCCCTTTAAGTACTGTAAATAGAAAGGTGTTAGAAATAACATCAAGACACAAGTGCAATAAAACCACTAGAGGAAACGCAAAAAAGGTAACAAGATTACATAACCAAAGACGAGAAGGCACTGAACGAAGTGTCAACCTACGAATACAACTTCAGTGCAACAATGTGCTCTTTCTGCTTACACAAAACAGGCTTATGAATACGTATACAAACTGCCTCTAGAACTTTCAACTGTTGGACATAACGCGCACGACACAGTACAGAAAAATGAGAGTCATCATACACACCAAGACAGTCAGGACGAGATAACAAGTGTAGATACACAGCTGACTTCTTACGATCAACACATTCATCCGCCTCATCTCGCTCCTTCCCACCCGACTCCTCCTCGTCCATCTCATCGTCCTCTTCCTCGTTCCGCTCGTCATCCTCACGATCATCATCACCACCATCATCTGCCTCGTCCTCTGTCTCCTCACCAACCGTTTCGTCATCCAATTCCTCTTCCATCCTCTGATCATCCGTCTCATCCTCCTTTTCAGTACAGACCACTTGTCTCCCATTTGCTAGCTGCTCGTCCCGTGAGCGGAGTTGTTCCTCCAGATCCGCTTCACTCACTGACTCATGATACTGCTCGACCCTCCTCCTGTTGGTACTGTCCACAACGCGCGGTCCTTGGCCGTTTCTGGCATAGATCTCTGTGGAGTAGTTTGCTGTTGCCCTCCGAGGTCTCTGGATTAATGTGGGTGGCGTGGCAATTTGTGTGAGAGTTGGTGATGCCAGCGCGAGTGTAGGTGGGTCCACCCCAGCCCCCGCCACAAGAAGAGCCGGTGGCGGTTCTGGTGGTGGCAAGGGCGATGGTGGTGCTGCTGGAGTTGGCAACTTGGGCAGCCTAGCTCTCCCACACGGCACCGCATTCTGCGTTGGCTCAGTCTGTACCACTGGCACAGGGGGTGGGTTCTTGCGCGGTCGACCACGCGGCACCACCGTCGCCCTTGCCACCACCAGAACCGCCACCGGCTCTTCTTGTGGCGGGGGCTGGGGTGGATCCACCTACACTCGCGCTGGCATCACCAACTCTCACACGAATTGCCACACCGCCCACATTAATCCAGAGACCTCGGAGGGCAACAGCAAACTACTCCACAGAGATCTATGCCAGAAACGGCCAAGGACCGCGCGTTGTGGACAGTACCAACAGGAGGAGGGTCGAGCAGTATCATGAGTCAGTGAGTGAAGCGGATCTGGAGGAACAACTCCGCTCACGGGACGAGCAGCTAGCAAATGGGAGACAAGTGGTCTGTACTGAAACGGAGGATGAGACGGATGATCAGAGGATGGAAGAGGAATTGGATGACGAAACGGTTGGTGAGGAGACAGAGGACGAGGCAGATGATGGTGGTGATGATGATCGTGAGGATGACGAGCGGAACGAGGAAGAGGACGATGAGATGGACGAGGAGTCGGGTGGGAAGGAGCGAGATGTAACCGAATGGCGCCTAGTAGCATGCACTATGATCCGACACACCGCCAAAGACAACAACCGACCGTTCCTTCTTCGTTCTAAGATTCTGTTGAGTAAGAAAAGTGTACGGTATTATATGTGACCAAAAAGATACAGTGAAAGAAAAGCCTAGCAAAGCATTGCAAGGCACGTTGGTTTGGCTGCGTTGGTTCAGCTGCACGCTAGTGCAAACATGCAGATCGACAATGTTGGGCGGAAACCAAACACCACAACATTGCCAGAAACTAACTTGTTCACACCTACATACAATCATGAGTCCATACCGTGTCTGGTCTGGTTTGTTATGTTAGCAACCTAGAATGCATTGAACACATGGATTCGATCACACATTCCCCCCTGGTAACACAACAAAACAGGGAACTTGCACTAAAACGTAGAACTAAGGTTCTCCAAAGAAAAGAACAACACTCCACCAACAGCTAAACAAGAGAACAGCAAAATGCGTAATGGGTCTTGCATTTGCTAGCTTGCTCCTAACTAAGCACGCGCCAAGCTAGACTGATAACACGGCACACGTACAGTTTCAGGAGCCATAGCGCTGCGGAGGCCTAATGGCAGATCTGTCTCGCAGGGACATGCGAATGCCGCCATCCCCAATGTTGGGCTCAGGGCCTGGCAGCACTGATGCTGGCTGGTACAGATAACCACCATCTGTTGCCGCTGCACTGTCGTCCATCGGCGCTGTTGGTTGGGCCAAGTCACGGGCGACATCCCTCTTGATGATCTCCACGTTGACAATCTTCTCCGCTGAGTGTGGATCAGCAGCCCGGGTGATGACAACTGTCGACGGCGACACAACGCGAACGATGCGCCACCCAGGCTCGTACGGTGCCAGGCATTTGCGGCTCCGGGAAGGCCGACGTAACAGCACCGCATCCCCTACGCTGTACTCTGCTCCTTCGATCACGCTCTCTGTGTCGTTCCGGGAGAGCTCTTCGTTTACGAGGTCTCGCACACGTGCCGTCTTCTCTGCCAAGCTTTCAACCCAGCTTGACAAACTGAGGTCTTCTTCCTCGCGCTCGACCAGGAGGTTGCGTGGTTCCCATCCCATCATTGCGGCGCATGGCGAAATCCCAGTAGCACTGTGCGGCCGCACCCTGTAGTAGTAGAGCAGCATGCTCAGCTCTGTCTGCCAATCGCTGCTGTACTCGACCACTTTGCGGATAAGACCCAGTGTAGAGCATGCAGATTCTTCAACCTTGTACCTGTTGCATTGTAGTCTAGTGCCTGTGTCACTGTAGCTTGGTGTGTTAAAACCTGTACAGTAATAGGACTAGTATCCTTTGCATGTGAAGTTCGAACCTACCTTTTTCAGAAGCTTTCCTTTTTTCTTTACTTTCTTCCAATACATGTCTTCTGATTGGCCGAATCTGTGCCATCTCTCTATCTCCTGATTGGTCTAAACCGTTGCTCGTTGTTATGTGAAACCTGAACTCTCTTAGTCTTGGCACATATAAAAAGCTCTGTCTCTGAAGAAAGATCATCCTTCATTTCTTCAAACTTCTCCTTGCTCTGGTGAGACTTGTTGGTTGTTGTGTGCCCAACCACTTGGGCCACGCTACAACTGGTGGCAGCGGAGGATGTTTCGGGTTTTTTTTCATGCCATGTTTTTGTTGTTGTGACAATGTGAAGTGATTCCTGGTTCGGAATGGCCCAAGCACAGCCTAACCAGCAAGTACCGCCGGCCCAGCCGCCCCGTCCTGCCCAGCCTGCTCAGCCAGCCCAGCCAGTTCAGCCAGCTCAGCCAGCCCAGCCAGTTCAGCCAGCCCAGCCAGCACAGCCAGTTCAGCCCGCCCAGCCAGTGCAGCCAGCCCAGCCAGTTCAGCCCGCCCAGCCAGTTCAGCCCGCCCAGCCAGTTCAGCCCGCCCAGCCAGCTCCCGTT